TTTTGAACCACATTCGTTTTACTTGACTTCCTTTTTGTTCCATGATACTTAATTCAAATGACTAAATTATAAACTTACCTTTCAGAACTTGTTAGACAAAATTTTATTTTACACTATCAGATCTATTTATTAATGGTGTATGTTTAGCATACTTCTAAGTTTTAAATATCTAGAGTTTACTTTAAATTAAAGCAGGTTAGCTATAAGTCTGGTACCTTGTTTTGTTTGCATCTGAGAACGCTCACTGGGCCAAAAACTGAATTATTTGCAGCGCTGTTAGTGGGCACACTCAGGCAAAGAACGCCAAACATTGTACAGATCTTAGCCATTTGATCAAAACATGCATGTAGATCAAAAATTGATATTTTCGTTGCTTGCAAGGGTTATAGCAGTTTCAAAGCGAGAGATGTTTCATCGTGGTTTTTTCTTTCCTCGCGTAAAGAAAATAGACAGTAACACCAGGGGCGAAAGAAAAATGTCAAACTGGAATATTGCGGAGTGCAAAATTGTTCCAACTAGGGATAGTTACGAGTTCAACTGATTGGAAGAAATGAAACCCGCGCTTTCATTGAAACTTTAAAAAAAATGCTTTCAGAGTTGTCCGTTTTTTACCTTTTCAAGTGTTGGTAAAAATGAATTTCCATTTGTTCAGCAGGTTTATTTTCTTAATTATAATTTAACATCATTATCAACGTTTGCTGACAAAAAATGGACATTAGTTGCACTAAGCGGTAGCCCAAATTGCGAATGACATTATGGAAAGCTTACTCCGGGTGATGGCGTGTAAACATCTTTAATAAATTTAAAGTCATCTGAAACTTGCCCCCGTGTTAGAGACATGCCATGAGAAAGTCAAGCAGTAGTCAAGAACTTCCTCAAAGACAGGTATGATCCAAAAACTTTGTCTTCCAATGCATTTCCAGAAATTCGAGGGTGACACACTTGAGTTACAATAGTTAGCAATAAAGGGAACAACAAACGGCGATATTGTTTCTGAGGTGCAAGGCAGTGATCTGATGACAATGATACCTTTCAATTTCGAAGTTGACTTTCACCGAGAAAATATAAATTTCTTCTTTTTCAAGTTTAGCTTTAAAACATATGACGACCTAATCATCCGGAGACCGTTTCAGCTTTCAGGATAGTTGACATGTATGGACGGAGGGCGGAGAGTAGAGTTAGCCTTCTCGAGATGTCTAGAATAGTTTTATTCCAGCAAACGAGCTACAGACTACTTAGTTTTATGAGCGCTGCACCGGTATCGCAGAGGTCGTGGGTTCAAATCCCGTACAGGCCTGAATTTTTATCAGGCCTTATTTTCACTACTGCCTAAGTAGTGCACATTACTGCGAGGATCACTTTCACTCACTTCTTTATCTGCAGTTCAAATATGTGACTTTCATATATTCTTAACCGTTGGTTTTATGAGTTGATAATATGAATTGACCTCCATAGAGATTCTATCACTGATGACTCGAGCGTTAGTCATTCGTCAGAGCGAAGGTGTCTAGGCCTGCTGCTTTCTTGCTTGCTCATTCAGCAAAAACGAACAGTTCGTTTCCGTTCAGTGTGTCGGTCGCATATATGTCTGGCTTCTTGAAGATTACAGCTGATCTCAAGACTGAGTCACTAAAACATTCTAGACCTCAAAACAGTTATATAAGAAATAACCGAGACTGACGGAAGGAACTGGTCAAACACGGATCTGCAAGACAGTTATTTTTTAACAGAATATTCGCCATTCCTAATACCTCGAAAGATATTTGATAAAATGATCAAGAATTAATAATGAAAACAATGTAATTGAGCACTGTATGATTATTATCAAAGAACATCTTTCATTTAGTTCTCAGAGAATGTTAACATAAAGGAAATTAATGAATAAATTCTGAAGAGTTCTTTTGAGGAAAACTAAAGAAATGAGAAATAAGCTTTTAGGCTTCTTGGTATTTGACATGTAAATCCTTTTTCACTTGCTGATGGACTTATGAAAAATAAGCTCAGAATGTTTTGCTGTAATCTGTAAAGGGCGGAAATTACAAATCACCTCCATTTGGAGCTCAACAACAGCTGTTATCTGGAACACAAATTAGCAGGAGATAAAGTAGTTACTGTAAAGGCGGGGTCGTTTTTCGCTCAGATTTTTTTTCTTTTTTAAATATTATTCTGAAAACAAGTCAACGTAGTCAAAAGCACCCTGCATATTGAGCAGAGTGACAGTCAGTTATAAGTTTTCATCTGAGCTCTTTCCAAATTACTGGGAGACATCGGTTTGCAAATGCATTTCAAACTGATTTGCGATGGACGGTTTGGTTACTTAGCAAATTTGATTAAGACACCATCAGTACTCGCGCAATTATTAAAATAAAAAAATATGTTTCGAGCAACATTCATTAATTTTTCGAGCCAATTAATTTTGGTTTAAGCCAATCGGATGCTAGTGAGATACATAGAGCAATACCTCCTCCTTCTTTCATTTTTGCAGGCTTAACAAAGAAAAAAGGTTCTTGTTGGCCATTAATGAGTCAGAAAATGCGATAAACTTAATTGACCGCTCACCGGCCATTTACAATTTGTATCACCTCAATAGTCTAATTTAAGCTTTCATCTGAAATCATTCTTGATTACCAGTTGACAGTATCAGTTGACAACTGCATTTCAAACTTATTTAAAAATGATGGCTTGGTCACTTACCAAATTTGTTCAAAAGATTAAAACTGTCAGCGGAAATATCACATTGTAAGAAAAAATTATAGTCTCGTTTTATTCATGCAATCTTCGATTTTGGTTTCAGCCAATCAGATGTTAGTACATGTATATATATTTGTAATTGTCACAGCCAGCAATGTCTCCTACGTTTTCTATTTTTGCAGGCCTAGCAAGGAAGAAAGGTTCTTTTCGCCATGAATGAGTCAGAAAATGCGATAAACTCGGCTGTCTCGCCAGCCATTCACAATCTTGATGTCTCACCAACTATGATGACATTTTCCATAATTTACGTCATCATCATCATCATCGTTTCGCTGCTGGGAAATATCATAGTTTGTGTGGTCGTACTAAGCACCAGATCCCTGCGGCAATCCATCAACTCGTGCTTCATCCTCTCCCTGGCAGTTTCTGATCTGGTAATAACTTGTCTGGTGATGCCGTTTGACGTGGAGCTGATCATTTCATTCGAGCGCTGGAGACATGGTGAGATCATGTGCAATGTATGGACGACAAAATATTTAATTGCTGTACCCACGTCCATTCTTAGCTTGTTGGCTTTGACAGTTTATCGATACCGACTCCTACTCCTCTCGACATCTACAAGGCATCGCCGCTGATTACTCGCAGGCGCGCCTCCTTAATCATTTGCTGTTTATGGGCATACTCCATGCTCTTTTCACTCGCCCCAGTCTTTGGCTGGAAACGGCGTCCAAGAAGAGTTTATCGTGAATACTGTTATTTCAACTCTTTAACTTATTCGTTAAGTTCGATGATAAATTTTGTGATACTAGTTGTAATCGCTTCCTTTCTGAACTGCAAAATGTTCTGCGTTGCAATCAAGCGAGCACATCCTCCAAAAGCTGACCGCCAAAATGGAAAAACTAAACACACGACTAGATTAAAAGAAGAGAGAGGGAAAGTTTCAGTAGCGGAACCAGGAGGCATTGAAGACCCAGCAAGGCGTAGTACAGTCCAAGAGAGTTCCAATTCACCTACTTCAAAACAACAACCCGTCGAATCTGTGCGATCACAACATGATGCCATCCTCATCAGGAAATTATAACAACGGAACATTCGCGCAGTCAAGACAACGTCTCTGATCGTTTCCTCGTTCGTGGTCTGTTGGCTGCCTCACTCATTTCTGAGAATCACGTACCTTCTCTGTTGGAAGTGCACTATCGATATCGCAAAGCATCCTGAATTGCTTACCTTCTTTCTTATGTTTGGTCATCTTAATTCAGTCATTAACCCCGTTTTGTACAGCTTTCGGAGTTCTGAATTTAAGAAAGCAGTGAAAGATTTCTTTAGAAGAGGGCGCCCCTCTCAAGGTGCCGTGCGATTCCGGGCAGAGAACACTCGTGCTGTGGAAAGGCGTGCAGCAACTCTATAGACTACACCTTCCGTTAACGATTTTGAAATTAATTTGACATTAATTAATGCTGGGGCGATTTGTGAAGCATAGTTGTAATTCTCTCGTCACATACCTAGACAACACAGACAACATAAATGAACAAAAAAGGAACAATAGCAGATTATTCTATTGAAATATGTCAAAAGAGCTGAACCAACCGTTGAGGTTTTTATTTGCAGCGACCAAACAAAAACAGACATTATCAAGGGATGTTATGTTGCAGTGCTTGAATATGAATCTCACCTTCCAATGTTTATTGATTTACTCAACGAATATCTCGGTAAACCTTGCCAAAGATCCTTTATAACGGACCCTGTTGTGTGATGAACTTCCGTGTGGACTGTCCCAAAAGTTATCTTTTAATTTACATCTCAACACCAGCATGACTAGCTGATTTCGCAAAAAACCGCGACACGTGGCAAAGGACTTGATCTTTAAAGGAGAAAAGAACGTATAATATCGCTACAAACACAGCAAAGGTACTCATAAAGTTGACAGTCTCCAATTCTTTTAACAAGTTGGAACTTCTGAAAGTTTTATTTTTTACCGAGCGCATTCTAATCTGAAATAGCATACCGATAACTTTATTCGTAATACAAGCTGATAGCAATTATTTAAACTGAATTCTCGAGTTTCAGGAGATCCTCTTCTAAGGACGTATGCAAATAATCAGCTGTGTTTTCCCTAAACAAAGTTTATAGGCAGCCTTCGGAGAGTTGTTAACTTCAAAAGAAACTGACCTTCAGTTCTGAGAATGTCGACAAACGTGACCGGAGCGATGAATATAACGTAGTCTATTTTGAGCTGCTTCAATCTCACAGCACAAAGAATTGGTGAAACCTTCGCTTACTGTCTGCAATTTGTTGTCTCATTGGTAGCAAATACCCTCATTGGATTAATTGTATACAAGACAAAAACCCTCAGAAAGCCCACCAACTTTTTCATTGTAAACATGGCCATGTCCGATCTACTGTATCCGATTTTCCTGTTTCCTCGGGATTTAGAACAGTTACACATCAATATTCAGTCCTGGTTAATCGGCGGTCCTCTTGACCAAGTGTTGTGTAAACTGATTCACTTCGCAATAGACGTCTCATCTACTATTTCAATTCAGAGCCTGGTTTTGATAGCAGTGAATCGATTCGTAGCTGAGGTATTTCCCATCCGTTCCCCACTGATCAGTTCAAAACACTGCAGGTTCTATATCCTCGCCACTTGGATCATTGCCTTGGCTGTCTGGTGCCCAAACTTGCTCGTCTATACCCTTGTCGAGTATCCAACGAAGCAGTACTGCATGCCACAATGGAATGGCGCATTTGATGACTTCAAGTCCTTCCTAGACTACAATATAGCATGGTGCGTTGTCCTCTTGTATGTCACTTTGGCTTTAATGTCCATTCTTTATTTTGTCATTGCCTTAAAACGTTTAAATGAACGTTTTCATTCTCAGGTGTAAGCAGCTGAAAGAAGACCGCTAAACGTTTAATAGTCGCCGTAAGCAGTACTATTTGCATTTAACGTCACGCTTTCTCTATTTTAAAACAACGTCCTTTCTCGTGCGTGATGATTCTGAGACCAGCTGTCAAGCTTCGTTCCATATCATTAAATAGGTCTATTTCGCTACTCGCCATCCCGTCATGTCCTCAATTCTTGTTCGTTTTAAATTCAAATCCAGTCTTGCATTGAGCTATCTAACTCAGGAAGGAAGCCACCATTCATTTGTAGATGGAACTTCTTCAATGACTGCATGAGAGCCAATATTCCCCAGCACGGCTCGAGCAAGGTTGGCAAATAGCTAATTATATGGCTTTCGCGACCAAAATACACGGCTTATGACCGTTTCCGTGATCAGCAAAGTTTGATGTTGTTTGTATCTGTGATATCGGTAACTAAGGTATTGCTTGAAAGTAATAATTATCGTCAGATGTCTTACAACTCCTGTTCAGTTCATTTCTTTCGAGCACAAAAAAACGCTGGACGTTGTGACGAGAAGATGGTCGTATTAACCGATTGTTCATAAGGCGGGGTTATTTTATATTTTATCAAGAGAAGATAATGGGACTTTATTTTCTCTTGGTTATATGAATTGAATTTTACAAATTGGTTGATATACTTCCCTCCCTTTTTGTTTTATTTCTGCGTTTGAGAAGGTTGGACCTCAACTTATCGAGGAAGTTTAAACGGAAGCCTCCATCAATCATTTTCCCGATGTGTTCGTGTGCAAGTCAGTCATCTGCCCTCCCTCGTCAGACATTGCGGAGGCTTTATCTGACTTTGTTCTACGGACTTCAGCAGCTGCGTAATTTTTTTCACTGAAAAGCAAATTCTCCCGGTGACAAAGAAATCTTACCACTAAATGCGTAAATTAGAAATCGGCTCTTTGTTTTCAGCCCTTATTTTATATGAATGAATGCCAGTAATTAGGCCATTACTGTGTGATTCCCTTTCCTGTCTGATTTACGTTACCAAACCATTAGTTTCGAAGTGCGCCTTTCGATGGACATGAATGTGAGGCAGTACTTGCATGCTTTGGCAGAATAACTTTACCTTAATTTGAGGTCAGTAAAACTAAATTTTCATTTATTCAGCCGGTTTCTTTTCTGTTTTTAACGTCATTATCAATGTTTGCTGTCAAAAAATGGACATCTGTTGCAATAAGTGGCAGCCCGAATTGTGAATAACGCGATCAATCGATTGTTATGGAAAATTTACTCTGGGTGATGGCGTGTAAACATCTTTATCAAATTAAGAGTCATCTGAAACTTGCCATGAGAAAGTCAAACCGCCTGGATCAAGACTCTTTCTTGAGATCCTAAGAACTTCCTCAAAGACAGGTATGATCCAAAAGCTTTGTCTTCCAATGCATTTCTAGAAATTCGAGGGTTACACACTTGAGTTACTATAGTTAGCAATAAAGGGAACAAAAAATGGTGATTATGTTACAAAGGTGCAAGCCAGTGTTCTGATGACAATGATAACCTTTCAATTTCGAATAAAGGGGTAAGTTTCTAAAGAAACTGTGGTGCTGCGTCGGTGGGAGAGTATAGCAGGTAATTTAGTGTTAACAACTGGGTTGAAAACGTAAATTAGCCACCGTAAAGGGTAAAAAAGCTGACGTTTCGAGCGTTAGCCCTTCGTCAGAGCGATCATACAGTGCTCAATTACATTGTTCTCATTTTCAATTCATGCTCATTTTATCAAATATATTTCAGAGTATTAGGAATAGCGAATATTCTGTTAAAAAAATAACTGTCCGGCAGATCCGTGTTTGACCAGTTCCTTTCGTCAATCTCGGTTATTTTGTATTTAACTGTTTTTGAGGTCTAGAATGTTTTAGTGACTTAGTCTTGAGATCAGCTGTAATCTTCAAGACATACATGCAACCGACAAACTGATTGGAAACGAACTGTTCCTTTTGCTGAATGAACAGGCCCGAAAACAGCAGGCCTTGAGACCTTTGCTCTGACGAAGGGCTAACGCTCGAAACGTCAGCTTTTTTACCCTTTACGGTGGCTAATTTACGTTTTCAACCCAGTTGTTAACACCAAATTACCTGCTTTCAAATTCGAAGTTGACTTTCACCGAGAAAATATGAATTTCTTCTTTTTCAAGTTAAGCTTTTAAACATATGACGACCTAATCATCCAGAGACCGTTTCAGCTTTCAGGGTCGTTGACTTGTAAAGACGGAGAGCGGCGAGTAGAGTTAGCCTTTTCGAGATGCCTAGAATAGTTTTATTCCAGCAAACGAGCCAGAGACTACTTGGTTCAACGAGCTGAGTTGATAGTGTGACTTGACCTCCATAGAGATTGACGCTGATGTCTCGAGCAGCAGTTTTCGTGCCTGTTCATTCAGCAAAAGGAACAGTTCGTTTCCAATCAGTTTGTCGGTTGCATGTATGTCATGAAGATTACAGCTGATCTCAAGACTAAGTCACTAAAACATTCTAGACCTCAAAAACAGTTAAATACAAAAGAACCGAGATTGACGAAAGGAACTGGTCAAACACGGATCTGCCGGACAGTTATTTTTTTTTAACAGAATATTCGCTATTCCTAATAATCTGAAATATATTTGATAAAATGAGCATGAATTGAAAATGAGAACAATGTAATTGAGCACTGTATGATTATTACCAAAAAACATCTTCATTCTGATAACCTTTTCTTTTAGTTCTCAGAGAATGTTAATATAAAGGAAAGTAATGAATAAATTCTGAAGAGTTCTTGTGAGGAAAACTAAAGAATTGAAAAATAAGCTTTTAGGCTTTTTGGTATTTGATATGTAAATCCTCTTTCAAATGGAAAATAACCTGAGAGTGTTTTGTTGTAATGTTTAAAGGGCGGAAATTACAAATCACCTTCATTTGCAGTGCAACAACTGCTGCAATCTGAAACACAAATTAACACGAGATAGAGCAGTTACTTTACAGGCAGGGTCGTTTTTCACATAGGTATTTTTCTTTTTTAATATTATTCTGCAGACAAGTCAGCGCAGTCAAAAGCACCACACATATTGAGCAGAGTCAATTAAAATAATAAAAACTATGGCCCATCGAATCAGTTGTTTCATCCCAGTGACAGTCAGTAATAATAATCATCTGAGCTCTTTCTTAATTACTCGAAGACATTATCAGTTTGCAAATGCATTTCAAACTGATTTGCAAAGGACGGTTTGGTCACTTACCAAATATGATTAAGACACCATCAGTGCTTGCGCAATCTGTTTCAAGCAACATTGATTAATTTTTCGAGCCATTGAACTTTGGTTTAAGCCAATCGGATGCTAGTGAGATACATATAGCTATACACCCTTCTATTTTCATTTTTGCACGCTTAGCAAAGAAAAAAGGTTCTGCAGTGTTTGCCATGAATGAGTCAGAAAATGCGATTAACTCGACCGCCTCGCCTGCCATTTACAATTTGCATCACCTCAATAGTCTATTTTAAGCTTTTATCTGAGATCATTCTTGATTACAGTATATTCTTGACAGTATAAGTTCACGAATGCATTTTAAATTTATTTTAAAATGATGGCCTGGTCACTTACCAAACTTGTTAAAAAGATTAAAACTGTCAGCGAAAATCTCGTTTTATTCATGCAACCTTTGACTTTGGTTTCAGCCAGTCAAATGTCAGTACATATATGTATATTTGTAATTGTCACAGCCAGCAATGTCTCTTACGTTTTCCATTTTTTCAGGCCTAGCGAGGAAAAAAGAGTTTTTATTCGCCATGAATGAGTCAGAAAATGCGATAAACTCGACTGCTTCGCCAGCCATTGAAAATCTTGATGTCTCACCAATTATGGTCACATGTTCCATATTTTACGTCATCATTATCATCGCCTCGCTAATGGGAAATATCACAGTTTGTGTGGTCACACTAATCACCAGATCCCTGCGGCAATCCATCAACACGTTCTTCACACTCTCCTTGGCAGTTTCTGATCTGATAACAACTTGTCTGGTGATGCCGTTTGACTTAGAGCTAATCATTTCATTCGAGCGCTGGAGACATGGTGAGATCATGTGCAATGTATGGACGACAACGTACTTAATTGCTGTACCCACGTCCATTCTAAGCTTGTTGGCTTTGACAGTTTATCGATACCGACTCCTACAAGAACCTCTGGATATCTACAAGGCATCGCCACTGATGACTCGCAGGCGCGCCTCTATAGTCGTTTGCTGTTTATGGGCATACTCCGTGCTCTTTTCACTCGCCCCAGTTTTTGGCTGGAAACGGCGTCCAAGAAGTGTTTATCGTGAATACTGTTATTTCAACATCTCTTCAACTTATTCGGTGTTAAGTTCGTTGATAAATTTTGTGATACCAGTTTTAATCGCTTCCTTTCTGAACTGCAAAATGTTTTGCGTTGCAATCCAGCGGACGCATCCTCCAAAAACTGGCCGCAGAACTGGAAAAACTAAACACATGACTAGATTCAGAGCAAAGAGAGGGAAAGTTTCAGTAGCGGAACCAGGAGGCATTGAAAACCCAGCAAGGCTTAGTTCAGTCCAAGAGAGCTCCAATTCACCTACCTCAGAACAACAACCTGTCGAATCTATGCGATCGCGACATGAAGCCATCCTCATCAGGAAATTACAACAACGGAACATTCGTGCAGCCAGGACAACGTTTTTGATCGTTTTCTCGTTCGTGGTCTGTTGGTTGCCTTACTCATTTCTGAGCATCACGTACATTCTGTGTCGGAAATGTGCTATCGATATCGCAAAGCATCGTGAATTGCTTACTTTCTTTCTTATGTTGGGTTATCTTAACTCAGCCATTAACCCTGTTTTGTACAGCTTTCGGAGTTCTGAATTTAAGAAGGCAGTTAAGGATTTCATTAAAAGAAGGCGCCCCTTTCAAGGTGTGCAAATCCGTGCAGAGAACACTCGCGCTATGGAAAGGCGAGCACCAACTCTTTAGACTATACCATCCGTTGACGATTTTGGAGTTAATTTGACATCTGACAGTCGACTTGATTGTAAAATGCTACAGCGATTTGTGAAGCATAGTTGTAATTCTCTCGTCACATGCCTTTGAAAAAATGAGAGTTAGAAGGAGAGCGCAAATAAAAGTGCCGCTAGGGGAGAAATAGTTTGCATGTAACTTAACTACTTTTTTTAGCCCGAGTTATTCTGTTTCTCTTTCCTTCTCACCTTTAACGTCTGGTTCAACATCATGTACTCCATATTCCAAATAAAGTTGAAAATTTATCTTCTTTTTTACGGTTTGACCCTTCGGTGTTCATGAACGCTACATCATAATAAGTATCTACTGTTTCAAATTCTCGAAGAACAGATTTCTCAATAGTTAAAAATATTACATCCACCGGGGCAGATCCAGGGGTGGTTCGGGTGGTTCGAAAGTCAGTTCTCGGCGAAACTCGTGAATGATAGTACTGTAATTGGATACATTTATTTACATGGTTTTTTATAGTTTATCTTATACTAACTCAACTTGTTAACGGAGAGTTGTCCGATCAAGAAGTGATAAGAAATAAAATATACTTGAAATCAAAATTTAAAAATAAATACAACGAAGAAAGCAATGAAGACCGGTTTTGCGTCTGTTACAGCTTATTCGTTATCACGGTTATTCCTTTCGACGGGAAACGAAAATTTTGAAGGAAAAATCTACAGGATAGTAAATCACCTCTTATTCTGAAGTCTAATGAACATAAGTTAATTTTGAAAACTTTATTCATATTTCTTTGCATTGAGAATAAATGTCGCAGAGCCAACCAGGAAGTCAACCAAATACAAAAGAGATCATGATATGAGAAAACTGAATTTGTGCCTTTTTTCAGGGAGGGATAAACCATTGAAGCGGTTGATTGTATCCATGTTGACAAACATCAGTAAAGCAACTTCAATGAAGAAACCGAATTAAAGCGAGTTTGAAAAACAGCTTTTAAAGATGTTTTAGCTTTGGTAGGAAAAGGTTATTAGACGACGCCTCTCGTTGGACAGTGAAGACTACATAACTTAAAGGAACGACACAGAATCGAAACGAGAATAAGTTTAAAAAAACGAGACAAACGAGTGCATCCATTGTTCATGGATTCTGATACATCGGTAACTGCCTCTCAGTTGACAAAGAGTGGAACCTTCATTTGCCTTCTTTAATCAAAACTTATGGGAAAACCACTCGTGAGATTTCTGTTAACTAAGGAAACTACGAAAAAGATGTATCAACATATCTCTCGATCAAGCTGTTTATTAAATACGAAATCAATAGACACTTAAATTGAAAGAATTTTCCTTGATGTATCATGAATTGTTTCTATTCATAAGTGGCAGATAGGCGCCGAAAAAATGTATAGGGAATAATTGATGCGCAAGTCAGTAAAATTTCCAATAATTTCGTCACAATTTTTAATAAAATGGGAGTTCTATCCATTGCGTGAGCTAAGACAAAAAAAGTTGACGAAAAAAGGAAAACTGCAAAGATTAAACAGAAGTATGGTGAATGAAGCCTTAAACTGAGTTCGAGGCTATTCTGCAAACTATTTTCCTTTCGTTTATCATTTAGAGAACTTAAAAGCTCTACAAACATTGTGGCGGTCTTGGAGAGAACAGAGGGCGGCCAACTGGGGTAGGCGAGGCCTGGAACCAAGTATATGTGATCGCAAACGAAGTGCAGGCCAAGAACGTGTCTGACTACCTGGCTTTAGAAACAGGAACAGAGTCTTAGAACATCTGCGTATTTCACACAAACCATGGCAATGCAATTCTCGGGAAAAGGAAAGCGTACGCATGATCCTGTACGACGAGAACGGTCTGGTTCCAATTATTCCTCTCATGTGTATCACCCCAAAACATATTTAGTCTCATAAAGATCTCGACCCAATCTCTTCTTGCTAAAAGTTTCTATCCCATACCGCAAGGATAACTTTTGCTCTTTCTCGAGAGAAACCAGCCTTCTAACTTGGGAAACTGAGTAATTTTCAGCCAGAGGGGCTGATAAACTACAGTAAACAATGAAAGACTTGAAGAAGGAAAGGATAGTAGGCACACGAGAAAAATGGTGCATCTTAAGGCCACCAGACAATCCCCATTTTCACCAGATTTTAACAAAATGTTGGTGTCAAAGAACATTGCTAAAAACCACTTTTAACAGTCTCACAAAGAGAGTCAACAAGTTCCATGGTTACTTTGGAAGAAAGCATGTTACAAACATCTGAAGAAAAACCAGCAAGCGTAGTGCGAAACAATACACTCCAGTAATATATCTGTCAAGATAATAACTTTGTTGATTTGTAAATCTATCAATAAATAATTATAAACGTGGCTTCACAAACACTTTAGAGAGTCTACTTTAGACAACATAGTTTTGATTTCAGGGGGAATAAAGGGTAAGTGAACTTATGTACCACACCAAATGAATGACCAATATTGCACATATGCAAAAATTGGCAGGGGTCAGCTGTTCCTTTGACAACTAAAACTGACAATTGTTGCCAGCCTCTTATTTTTTCAATCTCCCCTGACTGAGAGACTGACGCAGGCAAAAATATGTGAAAATCAGAAGGTTCAATACATCAGATGACAGCTGTGTGTAGTCAGAGGAGTTTAATTTTGACACATGTTCTGTACATTTCATTGAATGCTGCCAGCATTTGAGGCAATCCTTGGCCACAGATCTGCACATTCCTTGGCTACAGGGCCAGTGATAGCAGAGCCTATAAAGATAACAAGAGACTTGTCACAATTATCTTTAAAAATACAATCCCAAAAAAGGATGCAAATTCTATTACTTGATTTGACACCTCACAAAACTTCACCATCAACCTACACATTCAACTTTGATTCAGTCAACAAAAACACTTTGTTCACTAGCATCTCATTTTCAAATAATTCACATTGTTGTTCACCAAACTGTCAGTTGCAATAAATCCTTATCAGCTGCATCTCTCTTGTATTAAAAGTCTGTCACAGTTTGCTTTCTTTTACCTTTCATCTCTCCTTTGTTATTCACTATGACTCCTGCGTTATCTGTAAAGAAAGAATATCCATATGCAATTCATGTTTACTCAGAATAAAATACAAAGACCCCATAAAGCCTAAGCAATGCTTGACAATCCTCAATTTTCCTTTTTCTTTGATTTTGATTTACCAAGAGTGGAATTACAAGTATACTAGGAAAAAGAGAGCAAGAGTTCTGTGAGTGCTCTATTTCACTTGAATTTTTCAAAATTTCCATGAAATGTCAGACTTGAGATAAACCATGATATTGACACTAATCAGTTATGTGTTTGCTGCATATGCTGTCACTTCATATAAAATCATAAATTAACAATTGGTTCATACGTCAGCATGCCTTCATCGAGATATGAACAGGGCATGAAATTGCGCCTAATACAGGCGGCAATGCGACTAAATTTTTTACTTTGGCGACCAAATCCTGAAAATTAGTCGCCAAATTGGCGACTAGAATGTTTTATCATAACCTTACCTAGAGATATAGTAAATTAAAAAGATTTGCAAAGATAAATCCGCGGCAAACTTCCTCATTAAATTTGTTTCCAAAACACAACACATGCATCAAGATCGATCACTAGACACCATCTTGGATTTAGGTGAGCTTGAATGTTGCATATCATCCATCCTAGTGTCCACTTTGTAGCACGTTAAAGATCTTTTCCCTAACTTAATTTCTAGAACGATGACAGTGTAAAAAAAAAAAGGGTTTCTTTGTCTTTGAAAATGGCGACCAACTTCTTTTGAATTGGCTACCACTTTGAAGAATTTAGGAGCCAAGAGGCTATCAGAAAAAAAAATTAATTTCACACCCTGTATGAAGCATGCAGGAAGTTTGGAGAGCATGAAAGATGCGTAAGGGTTGCTCGAAGCATAGCCGAGAGCAACTCTAGCTTCTTGAGTGCTCTCCAAACTTCCCAAGTGCTTCATATCTCGATGAACGCACAGCTGACATATGAACCAATTGTTTTATAACATTTTCAATTTTTTTTTCTCAACGGATTTGTTTGCTGACGTCATGAGCGTGCACATTAGGAATATGAAGCATGCTCACGCAATTGAATTTGATTAGACAAATTTACTAGCTATGTTATAATGTTATTTAATTCAGTCGCTTGAGTCATGAAGCATACCTTCAAAGTAAATGAACAGCCCATTCTTCCTTCTAAATGCCTTCCGTTGTCTGATAACTACTGCAGGCATTACTAAAAAATAAAAGATTAGAAAATATTTACTAAAAGACAAGCAGAGACTTGGAAGAACATGGTTAATGTCTGAACCCTTTAAACCCTAAACATCAGTATACAGGTTCTCCACACTGTTCTCTATACATTTCTTAAGGTGCTGAAAAGGAGAATTTGTTTGCCAATCAAAAGGTTCCTTCCCTGATGACCATTTCCCTTATTTTTATGACCTTAGTGTGTGATTCAGGAGTAATACTGTAGGGAGAAATTGGATGCTAGTCACTCTTAGGGTTTAAAGGGTTGAGTCAAATGATGGAAAGTTTGGATAATTGTTGTATCTGAGAAACCTTGCACCTACCCCTCCCCTAATAGGGTCAAGTGATAACAAGTTAGGGTTAATGTTGGGTTAGGGGAGGGGTAGGTGTGAAGTTGCTCAGATACTGACATTGACCTCCAGTTCTTTCAACAAGCAAACAAAACAGACAATAGATAACTGTACAATTATGTTAGTGACAACTTAGCCAACATTTATTAGAAAAACATTTGTTTACTAACAATGCAATGCAAAATCACACCCTAAACAGTAGCATCGTGGTTTTTCCTGCGCATAATTACTCTTAACTCTGAGCCTTTCCTACTATGCAGTAGTACATCAAAACATAGCCAAAGAATTTTCCACAGAAGCCTGAAATATCTCCCATCTCCCATGGCAAATAAAGATCCTGTTATTGTACTACACTGCACAACTCACCCTTTTTCCTAAGCTCTGGTTTTCCTTTCTTCACTGTTGCCAGAACCATATCACCAGATCCTGCTGCAGGTAGTCTGTTGAGACGGCCCTTGATTCCCTTAACTGCAATGATATACAGATTCTTGGCTCCTGTGTTGTCAGCACAGTTTATTACTGCGCCTACTGGCAGACCCAGGGAGATACGAAACTTCCCTCCGGAAGAACCACCACGTCCTAGCATGGAAAATGACATCAAATAATTCACAAACTGGTTGTAAAAATGTGACTAATGAAGTTCTCTACAATTCAGTGTAGAGTTAACTCAATTGAGAATTGACTCTCGTCCAATTGTTAAGGAAACGTTGGTCTTTGCTGCTAGCAATGATGCACAAAACAGGCGCAGCTATAAAATAAGATGAATCAACAAATCTAACTCTCCACTTAACATGAAAATAAAACCTTTTACGGCTTACACAGTGTGACTAAGATTTAATATTTGGTGAAAAAATAATCCTAACCAAACCCCCTTGTTTCTTTCGACTGACAATATTATTTTATAAGTATTATTTTGCCCTAAATGTGACAGTTTCATGCTTCAAACGCAAGCCATCACATACAAAACTCCGTGTCGTATCTAAGGTAAGGCGCAGACTAAATTACTCAAATACGAATAAGATAATTGGCAGAAAAATTAAGTTTACTATTCTAACGAAGAAACTTCAACCTAAACGCAAGCTAAGTTTCAATTTCAGTCAGAAACAAGTAAAATGTGTTCCGTAAAGGCAGCATAATGAAACACATCTGCAATCAACCTCTTCGAGAACACATTGACATTCATCGATTAAACTTCCAAAGAAAATTTACAATTTCATCAAAATTGATACAATGAAAATAAAGTTTATTTATCAATTATTTCATACAAAAGGTCTTTTACGGTAAGATGCGTTTCAACAAGCCGATGAAACACGATTGCAATTCTTCTCTCTCTGTATCCTTACCTCTCTTCGACATGTTGGATAGAGAAAGAGGATTAGTCAAGATCACGCATGCGTCTGATAGGACCCAGTACCTCTGGATATTTGTACCCGTGTGGGGTCAAGTAAGGTTGTTTTGCCAGTCGATTAATCGTTCTGTTCTCGCCATTACTCGTATCTATTTTGACGAAAAAATTCAAAAAAAAGGTAATAGAGACAAAAGTATGCTGTTTCACGAAGAAAATTTTCTGACCAGTTTGAAAGATAGAAGGCAAAGTAGGATGGGGAAGATCCAGAAGTGTATTAAGAGTACTAGCGATCGGCTTGCGAAAGCTAATTATAGATACCAACTTCTCGGTCTTAATATTACTACAGTAAAATCAAAACAATGGCATACTACCACTTGTAGTGCCACTGGAAGCGATATCACTGACTAAGTCAGTATCCTACAAATTTAGGCGAGCGCAACGAGGATACGTTTATACCGAAACACTCCTGTTAGGTGTGTGAAGGTGTCTCTCCACCGAGCGCGAAGCATCGGGAGTGACTGAATATGGAATTTTGGGTTGGCATTGGACTCCTAGAAAGGGTACCGAACCAGAGCTGTTACGGATATCACCAGATCAGCCACGAGGGCGATGCGATGGAGATATCTGTAATAGCACCCTACGCTTCCGGATACGAGGAGCCACCAAGTCCATTAATATTTTCGTTGTATCTCGGATTTCACAGACATGTGGTAGTGAGATTGTTGATTTTGTGCAGCATTGAGGTAACGAACTGAGATCCTGGGAGAATTCGAATCGTAACTACCTATGGTGGTTGTTACTGCGCTATTTGAAATTTTATGGCAATTATTACAATTCGGGTAAATTTAGGACCATCCTCATGCGCATGCGTTTCAAAAGGTCACAGTGATGTTAAATTTTAGTAGGCAACTAACACTTGTAACCTTCTCACTGTTGATGAATTTTAAAGATGAAAGTCTGTAGGGCCCCCTGCTCTATGAAGGAAATTGCAGACGGGAGATAAACCTTCACAGAACTCATTTCGGTACATGAAGTCCTGTGCTATGCCTTTTACAAAATACAACCCATACATGTCGTCTTCAGCGAACTTACTTTATCATTTGTCATTACTTATTAGTGAAAAACAAACAAATAAATAAACAAACAAAAAAGCGTAGAAGGAAAATGCGCCTTGAGGAGTTATTTCTATTTTGGTAACGGCGCGCGCTAACTAGGACTGTCATCACCGGCACGAGGAGAACTGAAGATACACAGCATTGTTTTTTCAACGGGCTGGACGCTCGGAGCTTCAGAGTGCACGCTATGATTGTTTTACTAAACAATCTGACCGTGATTTGAGAAGAGTAAGGGGAGAAATAGGTTAAAGGGAACTTACTCTACCTAGCGTGCGTAGCTAGCAGTTTTGCGTGCGCGTCACGGTTTTGTGTGCGTTGGATGAGCAAAGACGCTGCGATTTTCAAAACTATCTTCTGTCCCAAGCCTCTCGCAGCTTTGCCGTTCATTTCTTTGAAAAAAAATCTGCAGGCCAAAGTGCATCTTTGATCGGATTCTTGAATAACTAATAAACTATGAATATTGTGTGCAGCAATAATCCCGAGCATATTTAACATTTTGCGTGGCTCCTCTGGTGACTATTACTTGAATGAATATCAGTAACAGGAGCTCATTACATGAACGTAACGAGATTTGAAAATGAAAACAAGGTCAAGAGATGGAAAACCCCACAGAAATTTGAAACTTTCGTTAGATCTCTCTTTTTTTTTCGCTTTGCAGCACAACTTCGGTGGGAAACAGATACGGATTAAAAAAAAAACAAACAAAAGAGAACGAGTGCTTAGTATTGCATAGTCTTATTTCTCATCGTCTACAAAAATAACCTTACCTGTCATTTTCCCAAAACTGACAACCATTGTATTCTGTCCCAGTAAAATTTCAGCATTCTAATTGTGTTGGGGATAGGGGAGGTCGCTATGTAACACCACGTGATAGAACGACCCCGCTCTTATCTTACGCCCTACTTCATCTTCCGTTTTCTGAAGATTTACTCGACCTATTCTGGCGAATTTACTATCTTCGTCTCGTCGTCTTGTAAGCTCAGCAATGTCAAACTTGCCAAAGGTTTTTTTCGATATCACCATCGGCGGAAGTTCAGCCGGACGAGTTGTGATGGAGGTAAACGACTGAACAATCTTCTGCAATATTCGACAGTACAAGAAAGCGTTGTCAGACAAAAGCTTCGGTATCTTAAAACGAAAAGGTCTCTCTGTACTTCTCTTCATCCTATTTTTTTCAATTAATCGTTTTCTTACCGTTCTGTTAACAGCTCAGAAGCGATGTAGTTCCCAAGACTGTAGGTTTGTGCAAAATTTTATTTTATTTTGTTTCCTAGTTGACTGTAAGGTAATAGATTATAAGTTTCATCGTTTGCACGAAACAACTCCGATCAGTCAAATTTCACGTGTTGCTGCCGTTGAATTTCCTGGAAGAGCTCCTAATTGAACAAACTTAACTACAAACGTCAAAATTAGTCATCTCATCCTGAGTGAAACAGGATTTTGTCGTTTCGCTCAAAAAAAATTTGCACCAGTCAGGTGAAAACTTCATGGCACGTGTTGTTGGGTCTTGTTGAGATTTCATATTTTCCCAGATGCTACTGTTTATTTTGAGAAACCAATTCAAGAGTCTCTTCCCAAGTCGAGAAATAGAATTCCTTCCCGGAAAATTCACGGAGCAAATTTTAGGATTACTTTAGGCACATTTCAGTCCCTCCTCTTAATTATCGATGAAATTAGAGCAGTTTTTCAAAGGAGTGATTAAACGAATGCAGAATGGAACGAGCTTTGCTTTACGATGCTGCATGATCAGATGAGAAAACTCGTGTTAATCTTTCAACCAAGTGGATGCAAAACTAGAGCTAATTGGCTAGGTCACTCACATGTACGGATTGCTCGCTTTTCGTGCAAATTCTGATTGTCACCTTAAGATCTTTTATCATCGCTCTGATTGGCTGTTGTGACGTCTTTGATTTTGAAGCTGGAGTCTGAGCAATGTTTAAGTGAGAAGAATTTGTAAGGGCTAGTCTTTCTTACCAAGGCCTACAGTAATCTAATGGTTTTTTTAGTTTTTGAGTCAATGGTGCTCAAGGCAATGTAGACTCCTTGTTATGGAGTCAGACTGTGAACATTCCTATCATTTTTAGCGGCCTTACACATGCAGACATTGTTACAGTAACTAATTTGGGAGAATGGCAGAAAGCAAATTTCACTCCTTGCATCCATCACTTAGTCACTCCTTTCCACTCCTGTCAACTATTTACCCGCTAGTGTATAGGGATTTTGCGTGTTCATTTTAAGTTCCTGCTTGGGGCTCAGCTGATAGCAGTCTGCTGAGGAAGAATGCGTACTTAACCAACAGCTAAGATCTGAGACCAGATAATTTTACTAATGGCTGAAAATTGATGAAAATTAAGACTGAGTGCATGGTCTGAAACAAGGTTTAAACAAATTCTGCACATACAAGGTGTTGGATAAATTACTTTCAAGGGTGACAAGTTGTCTAACATTTCAGTATTTGTAGGCCTTGTTTTAAAACCTTGTCAATCCAGAATTTGAATAGAATACTCGATCGCCAAAAAAACAAAATATAGATGAACTATATTCTTAAATGCTTAAAACCACACCTTTTTTCCAAGAGCAGAAGAGGAAAGACAAACGATTTGCTTTGGTAATTGGCTTCTTGAATGCTGATTTCTGCTCAGAAAAAGGTGATGTTCTGGATGAAAACAGAAAAAACATGCTTTTGAAGAATACATTTAAAAACAGGGGAACAAAAGGAAAAAGAAAGACAAAAAAAAAATTTGCTATTGTCTTGAGTTGAATCCTGGCCCTTTACTGTGCCAAGGGAGCAAATGTGAGTTGAGACAAACCATGTGCTGTCAGTGAATGGACCAAAAGTTTTAATTCAGTGGCCTTAATATTTCATCCCTTTATAATTCCTTTTCTGAGTTCAGTAGCCCACAGCCACTTAAAATTGTATGTTTGTTCGCGTTGTTTACATTTGGGTGCTTTTATAAGAGTCAAGCTCAATTTTATCAGGAAAGTGGTAATTTTGATTTTAGTTGCACAATCATTACACTTATTACAGCATTCAATGACCAATTTACTCAGAGATAAGCCTTGTGCTGGTAGCTTTTTTCTGGTCTGAAGTAACAGTCTATTAGGAATTGGTAACATGTCATGGCTGCCCTACTGGTTTCATGAGTCACATCACCCTTGATTGCTTCCAGCCACATCACCTTTAGCTCTGCAAAATGAACTCTGTATGGGTTTGCCTTGTATTTAAGGGCCCCCTTTAACTAAAAGCAGCACTTGAGAAAGTCCACTTGGAGAGCTGAGCCTCAAAAGAGGATATTTGAGACCCATTGTAAAAACTAAGAGCAACATACACCCTTGTACCCTTTGGGTGCCTATTTTTATTGGTGCACTATTGACTGGGTGATGCTTAGTTTATGGAAGTTCAGTGAAGTTCATGATACCAATAAGCTATGATCAGGGGGTTGAACAGGTCTGTCTTTGACTCACCCAGTTTTAGCTATTGTATGTTTTTTTAAAATGATATTCCTTTCTAGAGAACTTCCGTGCACTGTGCACTGGTGAGAAGGGATTTGGCTACAAAGGGAGTAAATTCCATCGAATCATTCCTGGGTTTATGTGTCAGGTAAGTTTCTGTTACTGCTTCAGTTACAAATATAAATATTAATATTATCTTACCTAACTCTTATTAACGCTAAACTGTAAATCATTTTTTATGCTCATTAAGTTGATCTTCCCCTCATGGCCACCTTTCCACAGTAACCTCCTCATTTGTCCCAGCAAGTGCCCCACACAGTAACCCTTAATTTGTTCAAAATTGTTTCTGTCGTACACACCCCTTCCTTGCCATAACAGTCTCTTCTTTACACTGGTTATTTTAAGGTTGCTGTTGTAGAGAAGTTCAAGGGTTTTCAACATTAAGAAGTCAAATGCTAATTAAAAAATCAGATACTGACGAATTTTCTAGACATAATGTCCTTCTTTCTATGCATGTCAAAAGCTTATTCAACATTAAGATTTTGACTGTCTCTGTCAGACTGTAGCTTATTGAGTGAGTTATAGTATGTCTCTGATAGGGTACAAGTTGTTATATATTGATTTATAGATAAAGAGCAAATGCAGCCTTTTCATGTTGGGAATTTCTTGGCCAAAAATTGGTCAGATTTGCAAATTTCTTGTGAGATAGGAATCAAAATCCAGCCAGCCTTTTCAACCTCCTTAGGCACTTCTCTTTAATTTTAAGGATCTGCTTCTCAAATTTTCTTTAAATATAGTATATTTATGGTGCTAGGTTGTAAATGCCCTCGGACAGCCATGCATTCAGTATGAAAAAATGGAATTAAAAGGATACAGCCATCATGTAATGGATAAACAACTGTTGAGCACATTATGTACACATGTAACTTTCTTTAACCGTTATATTTAACTAGGGTGGAGATTTTACTAATGGCAATGGAACTGGTGGCAAATCCATTTATGGTACAAAGTTTGCTGATGAAAACTTTTCCTTAAAGCATACTGGTCCTGGTAAGTGTTTGCTCTGATTTTGTTTATGTTTAAGGTGAGATTAAGGGTGGAGCAAGGGTGTAGCTAGGAGGGAGGAGGGAGCTGGGGTGCCTCTAATCCCCACCTCATAGGCCTTTTTTTGTGACTTGTAGAAAAAACATGGCATAGAGGTTGCCATGAGAATCTGGTAAGTACCCTCTGTAATTTGGGAATAATTAACTTCTGGACAGAGGTCAAGCAATTAGATGTTACATCCTGTTTTCATCAGCTGTGCTTGAATATTTTCTTAATTTTCTTTGACTTAAAATATATTTTAAAGTATCTTGCTTTCTTTTGTTTATTTTGTTTGTTAATTAATACTTAATTTTAGGGATCCTATCTATGGCCAATGCTGGCCCCAACACCAATGGATCACAGTTTTTTATTTGCACCCATAAAACTACATGGCTGGATGGCAAACATGTTGTGTTTGGAAGCGTTGTGGATGGTATGGATGTCGTCAGGAAAATGGAAGCAGTAGGTTCTGATTCTGGCAAAACAGCAAAGACAGTAGCAATATCAGATTGTGGGCAGTTGAATTGAAACAACCACCTTTGATCTGCTGAACATGTAAACTGTAAAATGGTAGAGATCGGGAAATAAAACTTCAAGTTGTTTTTGCAGTTTGTGAACTATAAATTGTTTTCACTGATCTGTTAAATAAAGTTGTTTTAAAAGCGCGAGTCTCGGAACATATTCACAGAAAACTGTTAGTGGTCTGCCTTGAATGGACAATATCCAAAAATTGGAAAGGTTTATGAGTACTCAAAGGGCCTTCCATTCAATAAAACTCTAAAAGTGGAGTCAGAGATGAATGATATGTGCAAAAATTAGCCTATAACTCCAAAATCCAACTGGTGTATTTCTGTTAAGTGAAAGGAATGTTGGACAGTTTGAAGAACACTTTCTGTTTATTATGATGTTTAACTAAGTAAAAGCAGTTTATACCAAACTTTGCTGATAAGAACCTTCTCATTAATTAAGACTGTTCTAACTTCCACTAATTATTTTAACTTACAGTCTTTTCATGTTGTACAACATTTTCAACTTTGATTGGCTCACTGATATCTCAACTTTTAGATGCAATTAATAACTTCCTTTGTCAACTGACAATAAATATAGATATTTGCTTAACTTAAAGCCGATGCAGTTGTCTCCAGAAACCAATCATGTTGGAAAAAAAAAAGTTTAAAATATATTATCTTCACAGTTTAAAAAAAAAACATGCCCTTGCTGTCAACAGAGGGAACTCTACATCCTTCTATTGCATTTGCCCAGACCTTGTGAAATATGACTTCTTCTTGCATGCAGTAAAGCTAGTGCCTGGCTTTATATGTAATTAAATTACCCACATCAGTCTTAAAATGGTTCTTCACCCATAGCATGCCCAAGTACACTAAGTTACATGTTAAATATATATTAATAAATATCTACAAAAAAAGGAACTCCAGTTATAAAGTTTTAAAATACCACTTAAGACTTTCTGGTCTTTGAATAAATATTAGGAAATAAAACAGTTAATGTGGATTTGACCTTTCATGAATGAGTTCCAAAGAGATGATCAAAATTATGTATTGCACTGCAAAGGTAGTTGTCAACTTTCCGCATTTCTAAAAATGCTACAATGTAATACGAGCTGTCTTCAGGTGACTGAGTGTTGTCATGCAAACCAAAATACATTTAGAATGATCCTGAAACCTTTAGTTCGCAGAAGTGATTAACATCTAATTTCTCCCTGAAACATCCATACATGATCCAGTAAAAAGCTAACGAGAATACTCAGACATATCATGTAGAAGTTGTCGTCTTGATCTAACACCAAATTCTTGTTGCTACTTATTTACAAGGAAATGTGTTACAGCTGGAGGGAAGAATTGACAATCAAATCTTGGGAGTTACAGGGTTAACACTGAATTTACTAAATTAAAAGCCTTGGCAGCAAGCTGAACAAATCAATTTAAGTGTTAAGCTTAACTTAGAGCAAAGAAACTCAAACTAAATTGCCTTTGCCATCCAAATAACGTGTAAAATCATTTTAAAGAGCCCTTTGCTTTAAACATGCTTTAATCGCATTTTGCATTTGTTAAGTTGTCAAATTTTGAACAGTCTTACTTATCTTCCTTACCAAATTGTATTGAGCTCAATTATCTGGTTCTTACATCACATCCAAATCCATGTGGCTATTATCATTGGTAACCTCTTTATTAACAACTTCACTTTCATAATCAGTTTGCCCATTCTCAGTAACATCTACAGAGTCTTCCTCCCTGACTGGACCTTGCACTTCTGATGAAGTTTTGCTTTCAACATTTCCTTGTCTTGCTGATGTACTGTTACTTTCACATCCTTCTGCAGATTTGACAGAATTATCTACATCATATGTATTCTCTGTAGCCTTCCTTAACTTGAGGTCTTGCAATGTGGAAGCTGATTCTTGTGTAGCTTCTTCATGTACCTGGCTTTCCTGATCATCTTTTTATCCATCTCCTTATTCAAGTTCTGATCCTCAAAATCAAACTGATGATTTGTCAATGCCTTAAAACATTTTTCATCATCACTCCTTCTGCTACCTTGGTCAGCCACAACCTGTATCTCTAAACCACATTCAACTTCTTTGTTATCAGAAAACTCACTTGCTTCCATTGTGTCCTGAGATGCACTCGCACAACTATCAACTTGTACAACAGTCCATTTTTCATCTGGTACTGAAGGTTTGGAATTGCAATTAGAGAAATGTTTTCCCATGTTTCTTCCCTTTTCAACATCCTCAGAAGAGCCTGTTGGACCATTTTCACCTTGGCATACAACAGACACCTCAGATTCACTGATGTCCTTGGTAAATGATTCTTGAAGCTTTTTACTCCCCTTCTGTTCATCAAGAGAGTTACAACCCTCTGGGTCACCATCTCGCTCGCCCACAATCAACCCACTGTTTTCAAGTTCTGCCTCTTTTGTGGACGAAACTATTGCTATCTTGAACCCATAAGATGGTTTTATTTCCAGCATAGTCCCACCTTCCAAGTTTGTTAAATCTGTGTCATCAGGGGACTCTGCCCCAACCCCCTCCTCTCGCTCAAGTAAAAGGGCATCTAGGCTCTCTCTGCTGCGTCTCATTTCATGGATTTCTTCACTGATGCCTTCCAAGTTCTTCAGGGCAACTGAGTATTTTTGTTTTGCCTCCTGAAGACTTGCTTGTGTGATTTCAACTTGACGCTTGTGTGCCTAGTGAGAAGAACAACTATTAATACAAATAAATTTGGCTAAATCATAAAAGGGTGGACAATTTATTTGATTTGTTACAAGCTGATAAGAGCTGGGATGTACATAACATGTACGTGAAATTCCCAAAACATTCCTGAACAAATAATTTGCAGCACAAAAACAGTAAATTATTTCTATTTGATAATTTATGGGTGGCTCTGAATTTCCCCTTTAATTTTGTTATACCCTGCACAAATCGTTGCTGTAATCTCAGATTAGTAAGCTAACTTCAGAGATAACTTAAAGCAAAAGTAGCAAGTCAACATTTTTGAAAGGTTACACCACTGCTATCATTAGTGTCTCATTACATCAAGGTAACAATGGAAACATTATTCAGTTTCCAGACAGTTTCTGGACAGATATACATGTATTAAAGTACAGGGTGATGGTGATAGGTGATGTTACTCAAAGGGACAAAAATGCTATGAACTATCATGTTACATGTGAGTGAAATTCATTACTAATCCGGTTTTATTTGCAAGGAATGTTTACAGTTAATGATTACCTCTAATATTTGATCATACTTCATCTTCAAATCAAAATATGGCCTAGAAGTGAAGAGAGGAAAAAATTAGTCTGGTTTTACAGAGAAATTGCTGTAGGTAGATCAGGTACTAAAAGGTACTAATATCAGTGAAAGTGCCTGACATTTCAACAACTTCATGTGAAGGTCATCATTACAATCATTGCTACTGATAGTCTCTAACCATGACAGTAGACTTTAGCTCAAGTTGTCGAGACATCAGTCCCTAATACTGAAAAATAATCCTTTACAGAATTCCTCTCATCTCAATGATCACCTAAATCAACTGTTACTTCTGGGTTTAATCCTTTAACTCCCAGATCAAATCTGTAATCCTCCTTACTATCAACCATACTATTCTTATAATGTTACCAGAAGTTCAGAAAATTTAGTATTGGATCAACTGCATATCCCAAAATTGATATTTTTCTATATTCTCATCACTTAGCTGGTTGATTTTGTATTGATACTGTAAGGAGAAATTCTTTCTTGGTCACTCATGGAAGTTAAAGGGCTAAAACTGACAGTATCTAACAGAAGTTCATGTTTGTGAAGACCATGATAATAATTGTATACCTTGACTTGTTGATAGCAGAATTCAGCTTTGATTTTAATTCTGTCACTTTTCTCCCAGCTTCACTGAAAGCTTGTGCTGTCTCAAGATGTTCTTTTTCACTCAAAGCTCGCTCTTTATCAGACTCCATAACCTACCATTAATAGAAGAGAAATGATTGAAACTCTCCATCATGTAAGGTTAGAAACCCAGACCTTCTGATTTAAATTCTAGTGGTCTACCAGTGAGCTAATAAATAATTGATGGTGAACTGCAGTGAAGGCGATGACCAGGTTCATATGTAACAAGCACCCAATACACTACTTGGATCAAAAAGGTTGGTAGTATCATGAAATTGACAAATTTTGAGTTCAATGTGGAAAGCTGTTATTCTCTGTGTCATATGAGTGTGCACCAGTTGCGAACACTAAAAGTTCTCTCAGTATGATTATGTTGGTCACTGAATAACATCTTCTTTCACCTAAAATGTAGGTGTAAAAATTCACCATCTTCATAGACACTCTCCTTACGCATAAGTATCACATATCAACTTCCTATCTAAGTAGTAAGCAGAAAGTTTGTCAAAATGGACTTAGTTGGATCTTTTTTTAGAGTAATCTTGCAAAAAAAATCTTTACTCACAGGTAAAACAAAAGACAAATTTTATACAGGACCCCCAACCTTTAGAACAGCTTGATTTAACATTTCTTGCCATGTTGGGTCCAGAACTTTATGCTCCTTAGATGTGGAGACAAGTTTCTGTTCTGCTATGGAAAGCATTTTCTTGGCTGCTTGATGTGAGCTACAGGCCCTCTCATATTTCAGTGCAGCTTTCTGAGTTTCAATCTGTGACTAATAAAAGAAAGACGAAGTTGTCTTACTCTGAATACAAAACCATTAAATAATACATAGATTATACTTAGAAAAAATTGTTTTTTCATTTGGCCTGGGTACTTTACACTTGGGTTTCAATCTGGAAAATTCCTCAAGCAAGTTCTCGAATTGTAATTAGACCCTTTAACTCCTATAACTGATTAGCATGTAAGTTCTCCTTGGAATATTCATACATTATCCAAAAATCAGGTAAAGAGAATACTCAAACATATCAGGTAGAAGTTATCTTGATCTAACACTGAATTCTCACAACCAATTAAGAAGAAATGTTTGTTAGTTAGATGGGAGAATTGGCAATCAGATCTTGGAAGTTTGAGGGTTAAGTGGACATTTAAACTTATTGTCTTACTGACATGGAGATGTGTGACAGCTAGACAAGAGAAGAAACCCTTGTCCATGCCATATGTTAACTGACTGTAATAATATATATGAACAAATTATGCGCATCTGATTGGCAGGAAATTAGTGTCCTTTTAGTGTGACACAAGTGCAAAGTTGTAACATGAGTGAAAATTACAAACGGTGCACACGCTGCTGAAATTTTGTCCGTTTTTCATGTAAATTATTAACAGTTAATGACATGATTTCTCATGCAATTTGGTGTAAATAAGCACTTGTAATTTTTCAAAGACTACAAATTGCACTTACCCTACAGGTGCATGCAATTTTGTTGCACTCAAAATTGTGTACTCGAAATCATGCTGTTACCTATTCCAATAAAATTACTACAGATCACATAGAATATTCAGGTTTAATGATTGCACTTAAGAGTCAAAAAGTTCAAACCTGTTTTGCTTTCAGTACTGCATTATAATACGGCCGTGCTCGATCTATACATTTTAATCCAAGAAAGGTGGCTTGGCTTTTCAGAACATATGCTGACTCTGTCAGTGTCTGTCTGAATGTTGCTTGAAGCTCCTGAATATAAAAAAAAAAAAAAAAGGCAAAAATAAATGATGCAAATCAATTGGAATTGTTGATGAGTAGTGGTCCTTCCACGGAGCAGCTCTTCAGGTTGAATTTGGAATTTTGAGTGTTAGTCTTTATGGAGGGAGGAAAAGAAGAGCATATGGAAAAAAAGTCCTGGAGCAAGGATGAGAACTAACAAAAAACAACAATCAACCACATTTGATTGATGCCATGCGCAGGAATTGAACCCTGACTGCTGTGCAGGTGAGAGGCTAAGTGCTCTCACTATTGTAACAGCCCATTTTCCAACCCAAAAAGGAATAATATTTGTTACCAAAAAAAAAGAAGAAGACCGTTAACATGAAGTTGTAGGGTAACTAATAAATAAAGTATGCCCCTTATACACATGGCCTGCATTACCACAGCTTATTATTATGGAACTCTCTCCCAGACACTTGCAAAACATTAAATTTTCAAGAATTCAAGCAGGAGATCTTCAGATATGAAGCTTTTCCACAAGTTATATTTTCCTCTGCATGCATAATGTTTTATATAGTTTATAAATAATATTGGAATTGTAATATAGCATATTTTATTTTATTTTAGCTTATTTTCTCGAAGATATTAGCTCTACAGCTACACTGTGAATTTCGAGTATAAATAAAGTATATGTATATATGTATGTATCATCATTTCATCAACGGAATTTTAACCGAGTCCTTAACAGTAACCAAACCAACTTCAATATAACAAATAATTTGGAAACTTCTGATGTTCGATATTTTACCACAAATACAGTCAAATCCCTGGTATGTAGCCCAATTCGCAAAAGAATCGGAATAAATGCCAGTGGAAGGCTCAAACCGACGACTTCTGGGCTAAAGGCCCGAGGGCTAGCCCTCAACTTCAATGCTGAATACGTTTTACACACTAGTTCAAGCTCGTGACATTTGGAATGGATATCTTCAATATGAAATTATTGTAATCAATATCGTTAAAGAAACATTTGGCTCGATCGACCTTCAGAATCAACGTCTGCATAAATGTAAGTCTGCATCTATCTAGCACATCAAAGATAAACGCAAGCATTTATACAACTATTTTAATCGTTAAGCTGCACGTTATGATATTAATATACATATTCTTACCTCAAGATCGTGTTCCAGACGATTGATTTCTGCGGTCGAAGAGTTCAATCGCTCTAACTCCCCCTGTTTAAATATCACGAAAAAAACTCGAACACATTAGAATTGAAAAACATGTGTAGGTAATAAAGAAACACTGTAACTGTGGTAGTTTTCCAGGCAGTCAAAACTAAAAGATAAATATTAATGTGTACAACGGTAAATTTTTAGGGTGTTGTAATCATTTACGATAAACAACTGACCGTACGTGTCTAGAAACTGTCTACCTTCACTCGGGGATCTAAGACATCTTCACTGTCTTCCTCGTCTTCAGCATCGCCATCAGCGCTACGAAATTGCACTTTACTCTCTGTATAGGTCTGCGAGGCACCTGAAGCCATATTCTAGGGCGACATAATGAAAAACAGCGGTGTAAATAGGTTATGTTTGAAACGGGCAGAAATAAGCGGTGACTCACACCAGGAGCAGATCAAAACAGGTGTATTTAGATGAGGCCTCAATCTCGAGCCCAGGCTCCTTTTGGCTCCTTGTTAGCAATATGGTCGGCAGTTGGCTTTCTTGAGAACACGTTTTCTGCCGCCGAAATTATTATCCACTTCAAAACGTCAATTATTGTTTCTGAAGATTTAATTACTTTTACAGAATCTAGCAGAATATTTGGGAAGGACTGAAATGGGAGCAATGTTAAAAATCACATAAGGTGACACTTTTCAAAGCTGGCCTTTTGGAGTCCACAGCCAATGATTCAACTCAGCTGATCGACATGACCTCCGATAATGTCTGGTTCAAATATTTGTTTTTTCGTACCAAGGCGATGGCGCGTTGCCGTTTTTGCCGTTGTGCTGTTGATGTTTGCCTATCTTCTCCTTGAACCGATGATCAAATCAAATTTGCCGATTGATGTCGGATGTGAATACGAAATAAAAGACGTGATTGTAACGCCAGAATCACTCGGAGTAGGCCATTGCCCTATCTGTTTTGGTCGCAATGAATCTATTTGTGAAGGTGTTATACACAATACTGTACGGTTACGCCGTAAAAAGAGGGCTTCATTGGGAGATAAGTGGAAACCAAAAGCTCTTGGTATATTGAATAAAGACAGAATTTCGATCAAGCATTTAGGAAATATCAGCGAGTTCCACAAGCTTGATAATGAATTGTGTAGTATGGTGGGAACGGTAAATGCGCCATGCGAGAATGATGTAGTTCGGAAACCGTTCCTTAATCTTTCATCAATAGAGAGGTAAGTGATGTTTTATCAAATTTTGAAAACTTCACTTTTGATTGGGATTTGTTACTAAATATTGATCGAAGTATCAAAACAAGTGCTATTGCTACTATACTAGGTATTGTACGTCACGCAATGCAAAACAAAAATATTTTTCAAAACAAATTATGGAGCTAATCCAGGCAAAAAAAAAATGATGGTCTTAGCAGGATTAGTGCCTTTTTTAGTGTAAACAAATATTGAGTAATGTCGGAGGTTAAGTGTGACACCTATTATACTCTTAAGGAGAGAGTTAAGAGGCTCTCCCCCAATTACTGATCAGGATTACCCAAAGAACCTTCCTTAATACCGATCATTTGGTTGCGCTAAGTAGTTTTATTGTTTTAATTATGGAAGGGCACAGCCTTAATACACGTTATATTTCCTTCCAGTGATAATAGAGATTACAAAGAATCAAACAAAATGGCTAGAAAATCCCAGTTGTGTGTCTCTCTGTGAGTCACTTTATTTGACAGAATAGTATTACATATTATCACTATAATTACATCGCTGGTAGTACCCATGGGCAATATGAAGCAAATCCTGTGATCTGTTGAGCTACCTGAGTGGACAAGATGGGCCCATCTTGTCTGCTCTTGATTGCTTGCTTTGGTCCCGTGCTAGATAGAATATTCCTTGGAGAAAACTTACAAAAAGGTTCGTAATTTTGGGGCAGTGTCGCTGATAGAGTTGCAAAAAGTGGTTGAAGACAGTCAAAATAAAGAAAAGGAAAAAGACTCCCATGGGTTTATTGAGCTACAAAACAGTTGGCTGTCTTTCCCTTCTCTCGAAATAAGCAAGTCATTCTTGATGCTTAATGAACTTAAAAATTAAATGCAAAATCTTTTTGCTCTGAAATAAATCCTTTATTGACAAAGCTTTTTTTTGGTAAAGATGGCTTGATATTAGCGTCATTGTTTTATGAACCTTGACTTAGTCTCAGTCCATAAAAAAAACTCAGCAAATTTCAAGCTATCTTGACCTCACACTTGATCAATAACACATAATTATATAGTATGTTCTGAGTGTACTCTCCAAGTACAACTTTATAACTTAGTTTTTTCAACCCTCAAAATTGATGATATTTTCAGTTTCAATGGTGTTATCTTTCTTAAATTAACTTAAATTGATAATGAAGAGAATTTGGTCAAATGAAGGGGTCCTTGGAATGAAGTGCTAAGTGACTTCTGATGCAAAATTTACCTCTCCCTATGTTCACAAGATAATACCTTACAATTTTAAAGCCATTAGGATAATTTTGGAGTATATCATGGGCTGTGGGCTTTCTTCTGCACGCTAGACTGCAAGTGTTTTCTTTTTCTCTTGAGGAAGGGTAAGAACTATTCTCTAGATGTTGAGCAAAAACTTTGGTTAGAAAAGATAGGGATGAGATGCAGCGTAGACTATGCTCAATTAATTCTGGCTCATGCATCTTATTTCCTTACACCTCTAGGAACATGTTACGCCTCTAGGAACATGAAAACTCGATACTTCTCTTTGTCTCTCAGTGTACCCCTTCAGATAAAAATCCTGATGCTGACAATTTTTTTTTCTCATCATCTGTTAGTTTGTATTGTTGTAGTAAAGAGAGGTTACATATACAAGTTAATGATTCCTTATTGTTGAAGGTTAAAACAATTATGTTTTAATTTACAGTGTAATGAAGGAAACCATGTACTGTCCATCAGAGAGATTCATCTCCAAAGTTAAAAATATTTATATAGGAGAGAAATTACAAAAGAGCCAAAACAGTCTTAGAACTTTGCAACTTACTTCCACACTTTATGTGAACCAGGAACCCATAATTTTTCAGGTGAGCAAATTCTATCCATGAATGTTTGCAGCCTTTTTCTCTCGTTCTTTAACAAACTGTCCAAAGTTTTTGCATTCTCTAACAAAACTTGTTCAAAGTTGTGGGCCAAAATACAATTTATGTCTAATGCTAGGATCAACAATACCCAAATCATTCTTTGAAAGGGAAATTAACAAAATACAGTGGAAAAAGACAATCATTGTTCTTAAAATCCTCATGGTTTTAATTTTAGTGAATCAATTGTGATTGACTAAGATATTTTCTTCTTTTTTTTTTTGTAGGTTTTTCCTTCTGAAAAGGGCTGGCCTTTCCCCAAATTCTACGGAGCTTGTGGTAGAGTGATTATAGTTGAGGATGCAGGACTTCCTCTTGATTATTTTTTGTCATATCCCTGGATAGAGAGAGCAAAGCTGGCCCTTGCAGTAATCAAGATTGCAAAGCAGCTGTCAAATAATCCAGAAGATTGGGGATTGTATATGACAGAGATAGCACTGGATAATTTTGCCGTATCAAATGGAACAGTGAAACTTGAAGATGCAGATGGAATTTTAGTCGCTGATCTATCAGGTTCAGGTATCAAAGGTAAGGTTAGCAATACTGTGTAATTTTGTTTTTGAATTCTTTTACGTACTAAGAAAATTTGGTTCTATCAACTGACAAAGTACTAATCCACTCTAGTGTATTAAACCAAAATTATCTTGTGTCCTCTCCCTATGATGCAGTACCACAGTTTCTTGAGAAACTTGCCCCCTTTATTAATTTTTCTTTCAAATACCAACTTACTGGTGAGAAGAGCAATAACAGACAATAGATTTTTTAGGGTCAGTTAATGAACAATCTAGATTGAATGTAGGGGCTACATGGTGAAATGCATTTTGACCCCTCTATCCCTGGGGTAACTAAGGAGTACTATCTTCTTTTGATATCCATACACTATCAAACTTATGGGTGATATGAATAAGGAAATAAAAGATAAAGTAGGGGTTATCATCTATTTAAAACTAAATTCTTGGAACTAACATAGTAAGAAATGTACTGATAACAGACAGAAAGGAGAGTTGCTGATAAATTAGAAACATCTAGAAATAGAACCTTACCATGACTTGTGCTAACTCTATTTTATAGCCGAAAGAGAAAAGACTGTGGATGTTTGTGACTGGGAAGAGACAAACTGCTTGTCCTCACACCCGGCTGAGCTCTGCAGAGGAGTCATACGAGATCAAAATTATTATGCAGTCTGCCGCAGTGTGTTATCAGATATAGGAAGTGGAAAAGGACTGTTACACTCCCCTCCTGAAGAAGGGGATTTTAACAATTTGCTCCAGGAGGCACTGACAGAATGTGTTACAGCACAAACATTAAAACGAAAAGAAGCTCTTGATCTGGTAGTGAGTTTACTTCAGAAGCAAATTGAAACATGATAAAATGCTTAAGCATGATATTCATAGTAAACAGGTAGCTGCAATAATTTAACTTCTTATCCTTTCCAAACTCAATTGTTATTGTGCCTTTTCATTAACAGGAGACCTGTTAATTGACCTTTCCTTTGTGGAATTGTTAGGATGTAAGTGTGATATTTCACAGGGCTACCAGCATTCTAAGACCACTTTCCTTGTGTGCTGATTGACAATTTTGTTTGTCTCTGCTTTCAAATGTCAGAAACATTTATTTAACCCTTTAACTGCTAAGAGTGACTAGCATCTAATTTCTCCTTAAAAGCTCAACCCTGAATTACACATTAAGGTAAAAAGATTGAAGGAAATTATCACTAACTAAAGAAACTCTTGAATGTTAGGTAAATTCTCCTTGTCAGCACCTTAGGAAATGTATAGAGAACAGTATGGAGAATATGCATACTGATGTAAGGTTGTAAAGGGTTTGTGGTTGCTGGGTGGTAGACACTTTTGTGATGAGTGCATCCTAAGACCAAAACTGACTGACCTACCACTGACAGTGATTCAGAACAACTTTCAACTTCACATGGAGCCAATGGAAAACTCATAGGAAAGGCATGTTAACTATGTAAAGGAGCAAAGAATATCAAAGCACCAGTGCAAAATTATCATTTTCAACACTCAATCTACCTGCAGTGCAGCTCAAAGATAAGGGGACCAAAATGTGCCCACTTAGAACTAGTCTAAGACCAGATGCAGACTAGTCTTGACAGACAAAGCAGACGCATCTAACAGTAGATGCATCTGCTTAATAAGTATGTTAATGAGCTAGCTGATTGTTTTCTCTATTGTGGAATGATTATTGTTTATTTCAAAGGGCATTGTGTTTAATATAACTGCTGGTGTTTTATATAACGCTTTTTGTTTCAGTGTTCTCTGGAATCTTTATATATTATTATAAGTGGAACACTTACTATTTGTGGTAATATATATAAGTTATTTAAGTAAACTTAACTCTCAAGACAATGGCACAACTATTAATATGACACCCTGTTTACCAAATTATTTGGATGCAATAGGGTCATATTTACATGTCATTGAGCAATTTCTTAAGACAGACATTCATTCATACTTGGTATAATTATAGAACACTTTGGACAAGCATCCAGTCTGTGCTTAAGTCTCAATTATTGTTATATATTTTGTAATAGACAGAGTAACCAATGAAATAATATTAACTGGTTACCTTCAAATAAGATGTTGTTTAATTTTTTTGGCAGGATGAACAGTTTTTTGCGACCCCTTATGTGCCAAATGAATGGTAAATAATTAGGAATTTTTTGACATGCAGATGAAATGTATTTACTGTTATTTATTGTTAAAGTAATGATAGAATTAATTGAAATTTGTTTGCTTTTATGAGCTACTTAGTAGCCAGAGTAGATATCCGTTTAAAGTTCATATGGAATTATAGAGAATTAGCTTATATCTTCGAGAAATAATAATTAAATAATAATTAAAATAAACATTAATAAAAACAAGATAGTGCAAAAAAAAGGAAATAGTGTATATATATATATATACACACATACACACATACAAGATCTACAATAACCGTGCAAGACCTCTACTTTTCTTTTACTGGGTTAAGGTATCTAGGCCTTGTATTTGTCTTCTATTTAATGATATACCTCAAAGCTTTGTTGCAGTGTTGTTACTTTATTAAAGTTTTGTTAATGACAATCGAAAATTAGGAAATGATTAACTAAGAGATTACTGTTGTCCTAATTTAAAACCAATATTTTCAGGAATCTCTCGAGGACATGAGAAGTAGCCTGCAGAGCAGCTATAATTTGTTTTTTTGCGTTTTTTAGTGAACGGAGGCGAGCGCGAATTGTGAGTCACGCGCGAGGAAGGAACGCTGGCAGGCGTTAATTTTTTTTCGCGCTTCTCCCTTCGCGCGTGACTCGCTCTCTCCTCCATTCGCCTTGCTCAAAGACGCAAAAGAAAAAATTCGCCTATTCTGCAGCCTATGCGAAACGAGAGGTTCATCTGAGGTGCCGCTAACCTAACCCTAACCCTAAGCCCTCACTAAAACATCCGGAGAGAGCCCTCCTTCCTTAAAACATGTTTCATGCCCTTAGCGCGAGTCACTTTCTCTAAAAAATTGTGTTCTGCAAAAATCAGTTTTAACCGACGTTGTCCACGGCGTCGCCGTCCTCGTCGTCGTTTCTTAAATTCCCCATTACTGTTGGTGAGTGGACCATTGGTGTCCGTGAGTTCTTAAATTAATGGCGTCAGCCAGTTATCATGTCGGAGAAGTGACCGGTAACCCTGAATATCGACAGTGGTAGAGCATCGAAGCGTGAGGGTCCAAGCTTTGAATCTTTGTTGGGTTTTGGGTTTTTCTCTTTAACACGTGCTCGTCATGAGAAAATTCATATCTTTTTCTAAAATGTTGGAGCCCTTTTTTTAGTGCTCATATTGAGGTAAACTGTTGGGAAAAGCTTTCAAAAGTTTACTCCTGGAGCGAAACGACTTATTATCTGAGGCCAAACGACTTCGATTTCTCTCGGTAACGAAACGACCGTAAACCATTTGCACTTCACAAATTGAAATCACCTGGCATCTCTGAAAATGTATCTGATATTGTCAAGAAGTTTAATTGGACGAACTTCTGTGAACTTTAATGACATGTCTAGTGTGTGGTCTATATAATATTTAGCCTCAGCATAGGGTCAAGATCACCCTATTTACTAAAATAAACACCAAGAAAAGTCTTAAAGTATTTTGATTCCAGTTAATAGACGATGACAATTTACAAAATAAACAAAGAGTTCAAATTGAAGTTATACCTTCCGGCAGTTATGCTGAAGGAGTAATTTTTTAAAATTCCCTTCTGGAAGGAGAAAACGGAGTTAGTTTCCGCGCGATGTTGTAGTGCGTTTTTCCGGTTAGTAAAAGTCTTCACTTTTGCAGTCTCAAATAGTCGTAATAAAAAGGTTTAGTATGCGGTTTTCTCTTGAGGATGAAGTTTACACTAAAGTGATTAGTGTAGCAAAAATATACTGGCGAAACTAATTAAACCTTTTTTTTTGGCCATTAGGACATCGGCACTGCAGTTAGATAACACAATCTGCTCAAACAATTAAAAACCATCAATGATTCTTTGTTGTCAAGAAATTGTTTCTGTAGTTCAGGTACTGTAGACTTGGTCTTCGACTGTCTGTGCCAACAATGACAAGGACGAAAGAAAAGAGAGATAAAGTCTAACCGCAATAATTTATCTCGATGTTATCAAAAAAAACTTCCTCTGGAAAACAAGGCAGGTTAGTACGATTGCTATGCGAAGCTGTGGGAATTCTCTCGGCAGCCCGTGGTTGATCAGATAAATGCTCTCCACATCAAATAACTGAATTGAGAGAGCTTCCGCTCTGATCATTTCTCATGTTACATAGCCATACCAGACTAATAATTAAGTGAACGCCTCTTTGTGATAAAAGCGAAGTAGCGGAGATATTTTCAACGCCCTGGCGTGTTGCGAGAAGATCATTTAGCTTGGAACATCAACAGAACACTAGGTGGCGGCTTGAATCCGCAACGATTTGGAAGAAAATGGAGACCGAGAGGCTTTTTTACATCTCCGTGCTTCTGTGTTTATTTTGCATCTGCCAGGTGAGCACGTTGAATGCCTGTTTAGAATGAACTCCTTGCCGTCTTTATGATACTATCGATTAGGAGGGTTAAGAACGAATAAGCATTGATGACAAAATCAAAGTTACAAAAAATGAACTCCCGGTGTTGGAAACCGACTGAGTGAAGCATTACTGCGCGGTTGTTTAGCAAGAGGCTTACCTCAAATAGTGCTGGATAACTGTTTTTCTAGAGTGGATTAATCGATCGGAAAAGCTGCTTTCTTAGAGGGATGTGAAACAAAATGCTCAACAAACGAAGACGGGTTTTTTTCGTCCCAAGCCACACTTATGGCGCCCCATGTGTACTAAGCAGAATCATTGATATCTGACCTATTTATGGTAATTCTGACTCACGGACTAAATCAGAACCTTCCACCTCGAGAGAAGCTGCATTTTCAAGTGCATTGATATTCCCTGTGTGAGAGTTTGCACGATCAACATTTATTCTTACAGATATTTAGAGATTGATGTTTATAACTTTTCTCAATAAGAGCAGAAACAATAACGTTCCTTGTTAACAGATTTCCCTTGTCGATTGACTAGGACACATTTTTGTATTCACCAGTTTCTTAACTCAAAATGGCCGAGCTTTTGCAAAGAAAACATACCGAAGAATTTCCTTTCGCCTAGTGTAAACACCTCTAAGTACCTTGGGGAATTTTGAAAAATTAACAAAAATATCAGTGATTGATGATTGTTATGACACTCAATCAAGACAAAGGAGGTCAGTTCCTAATTCATCTGGAACCTATCTCGCCTACCTCATTAGTTTCAGAAGTCAAATTTAGAGGAAAATTCCACCTCTCGATACAAACGAAATTCCCTTTGGTACAGGTTTTCCTGTTGAGAGCGAGTTCGTACTTTTTTTGATTTAATATCGATTTATACAGTTAACTGGAACGTACATTTTTCGTACCGTTTAGGAAATCATTATCCATAACCTGTTAGCCAGCTGATTTCTTGTAAAGGAATCCATGACAGACTCTGAGCTGGATTCTGTCTAAAAAGCTCTTGAAAGTTATTGAAACCTCTTGAGTTTTTAATGGGCGTAAAATAGAATGCTTGAGTAAATGCCTCAAATCCTCTTGATATTTTGATACCGAATACCTTTGAATCATCGGAGGTTCTGGTATTCGATGAGCTGTTTCTGCTTTGATTTGCAAATGTTTTGCAGCGTTTTTTAGATTTTTTCATTGAATTTTTTTTAAAGCATACTAGCCTACGGAGATGACTTACTGGCATGTGAGGGTATGAATGAACTCCAGAAACTCTTTTGGGTAGAAATCTTTCAACACAAATACCTTTGCCGCTTTCGTCGCTTTCACAGATCATAACATAGCGATTTAAATTCAATGATTAAATTTCTCCAAGGGTTCCTTGTTGTGGGCCTGTCTACAAGATCTTAAAATTCAGCCAACATGGAAACCCAAATGCCCGTATAGTGAAGATAAACCTATATTTATCGGAAATGAGGTATAGATTTTTTTAAAAATTTTTTTTTCTATAAGGATTGCAGCAATGATAAAAGACCAGCTGTTTCGTTGATTGCAGTGACCCAGGTCATAAATTCGTTAATTCTGCCTGGTTGTTTTCTAAGATATGACAATATGATAAATAATATTTTTAGAAATTTTAAGGATGAACCCGGCTGGATACATGTTTTTGCCACGAAACTTCTTGAATGTAATGCGGTAAAATTTGAAAGACACCGCCATCAGCGACCTTAAAGCCGCAAAACTTTTAAGTTTTCGAAGTGAATTTTCCCTTGACTTTTCAACAACTAATAAAAATTACGTAGATCGAGGTTTTAGGATCCTCGAATCTCTGACTTAAGACTTCTGTTTCCCTTCTCTTGTTCTAAATTTGTTTAGCATGTTACAAATCCGCTAAATAGCTCTCAGTCGTCTCGAATATCAAGCTTAAGCGGTCGGCTTTAAGACCTATCAGGGTGGTCTTTGCACATGGGCGTGATACCTGATCCACTCGAGAAAAACACATCTCCTCGCAGCTTTCTTCCGGACACTGGACCGAGAAATGCAAATGACTCATGATAGACTTTGAACAGTCAGTCTATCTCGGCACAATAAATCCGTAGCGCGAGTCTAAAAAGAATGGCTCATGAAAGACTTTGAACAGTCAGTCTATCGCGGCACAATTATGACGCAGCGCGAGTCCAAAAGGGAAATACCTCGCTACCCCGGAACTCGTAAACATTTTTTTCGTGGCCGTCTGCTACTACTGTCTCTTCGAATGGATTATTCGATGTTTAGGCTTCTGGAAGAGGGGGGAAGGGATTTAGGCTGTAGTTGCGCTTGATTCTTTAATCGCTTGAGTTTTAGTCGACCTGGAGCTTGGTGGAAAGGACGTGACGGCTAGAACGAGGGGAACACAAGGAAAGGGGCGCAACGAGAACAGAGCGCCTATTCGTCGTGTGGTCTTCCTTCGTCCTTCGTCCAAATAAAGGGGATCGGAATGAAAGTATCGCTCGCATGCAATTAGCTGAAGGAAACCATTTGAAAGTGTCAAAATTTCGTGCTTGTTATATTTAAACAGACAAGGTGCTTGTCTCATAAAACGACAATCGGAAGTGACTGGTTATCTCCACGAGAAAATAACTCCATTATTTTCTCATGCAATCACAAAACCCAATTTACCTGAAAGTATTGTAAGAAAAAATTCCAATTCGGGAGAAGATTCCAGGACTTTTTATCTCGGCAGGTGGATATTTCATCACCCATATCCTGTTTTTCGCCCTTAGAGGGCTGATTTAGACAGCAAAGTTTGTTTCGCCTAGTTTCTATGATCTGCGAGGTCGTTTTGAGAGTTTTTTTTTTAACGGTGGAGCTGTAGGTACCTGGAAAAAGGAGATGGAGGCTCGAGAAATTCACATAAACAAGCTAAGCAGGATATATATAGTTTAAAACGGATTAAGAATGCTGTACCAACACAATGCGAGCCCATGTATTTTACTCTATCAGGTGCACGGACAGGACGAAGATCCTTGTAAGGGTGTGGTCTGTCCAAGGGGGCGAATGTGTGTGTCCTCCACGGACAGCGGTGAAAGCTACACTACTTGCGAGTGTCCAGAAGAATGTTCAGCAGACTCTGAACCGGTTTGTAGCTTTTATCATAGAGAGTTCAACAACCGATGCGAAATGCACAGGTACGCATGCGCACACGACCTGACAATGAAAGTAATGAACCGAGGAAAGTGTCCGACAGAGAGTAAGTGAAGCAGATGTTACTTAATCTACCAGTTATCTTGTGATAAGTCGTTGACGAAGATATACGAGTTTAATTAATATAAGAAAGTGAGAAATCATGAAAACCGACAAGTCTTTTTAACCCTCTAATTTTTCTCGATTCGTATTTTTCCGTTAGTTTTTTTAAACGTTTACTGTTGATTGCATGAGATTGATTAGAGCTTAAAGCCAGTGACATCCTAACCGGTGTAGGGTGAGAAGAATGGTAGGAAGGGTGGAAGTGTTATTATTTTTTCTTACTATCCTCTCCCCTCCCTCCCCTCCCCCCACCCACGCCCTCTGTACTCGAAACTTCAACAATTTCAATTTGTCGTAAGTGATTAGGCGTTAATCCTTTAACTCCCATGAGAAACCAAGACAGAATTTCTCCTTACAATACCAATACAATATCAACCAGATAAATCGTGAGGAAAGAGAAAAATATCAATTAGGGGATAATGAGTTGATCTAATACTAAATTCTCTGAACTAACATTAGAAGAATTGTATGATTGAAAGTAAGGAGAATTACAAATTTGGTCTAGGAGTTAAAAGGTTAAGGAAACACAGACGGTTAACTCTGTACCGACTTAAACTCGCGATGAGGCCTTAATTCAGTTTGTAACCTCGCGTAAGAGGAAGAGGGCAGGCGGGAACTATTGTCGATCCCTTCTGTTAAGACTTCCCCCAGCAAGCCCACAGGTTCCAAAAGCGCCCTATTTGTGTTTTCTCAAGAATTTGTCACGTCAAAATACGATGCAGTCAGAATTAATGGTTAAAACGCATAAATGACATCTTTTTCAGATCAGTATGCCTGTTCAGACCAGTTTCTGCTTCAGTTCCCGACTCGCTACCTAGAATGGATCACAATCGCACGAGAACATTCTATAGACCCCACCACCTCGTTGGACTTCAATGCACGAGCCGACGGGCTCACTGAAGACGAACGTAAAGAAATTTTGTCGGTGAGTGCGTACTTAGGGGCGAATCCAGAAATTTTTGATGGGGGGGAGGGGAGGGAAGGGGTTGACTTACAAGTTACTCAAGACAATCCGAAGAGGGCCTCGCATCATATCCTTTATTGAAATTTTTTCATTTCTTCTTTTATTTCAGTGGGAATTTGAGTACATTGACCGGGACAAAAATAACGTTCTGGATACAGCGGAAATTCAAGATGTATTTTCTGACGTTCTTGATTTCGAGCCATGTCTCTATGGCTTTCTCAAGTCGTGTGATCTAAACGAGAAAGAGGGAATTGATAAGCGCGAATGGGATTTCTGCTTTCCAAAGACAGGTATTTCTAGAACAATCAGAAATATTCAAACAATTCATTCCTAAAGTAAAAAAAAGATGTTTTCTCGAGCTGTAGAGAAGCTAGTATATGGTATACCACGCCTAAACGTTTTCTGTGGTTTCTTAATCTTGAATAAATATTGTCGTGCTGTGTTACGTTATGTAATGTTACGTTATCGCGGCTACGTTGTGTAATGATAAGTACTCACGTAGTGCGGTTATTAGAGCATTACATTGCGTGCAGGCCCTCATGATCAGCGCTTCGGTTCAAATGTTCCTTCGTCCGCCAGCTGGCGAGACATCCGCAGTCTGCAAAGGGTCTGTCATTGAGTATTAGCCAGATTCCCGGCAAGCCTCTACCTGACTCGTCGCATATTTCTCCAGGGGCAGAGAAAGGCGCGTCTCGCATGGCTATTATTGGCTATTGTCAGGAGAATTCTTTTGCTATTTCAACATCCGAGCCGGAACGCGTAATCGTAAGAACTTCATTTCAAATCGGCAAGGTTGACGCAGATGTTTCTTTCTGTCCCTCGCTCGAAACAGATGTTTGAAGTCTTTCGTGGTACTTTATCTTAGTGTATGGATGACATATGGGAAAATATTTACATTTCAGTTTTTGTTTACTTTTCAGGTACTGCTTTCGAGACCAGGAAATGAAAAGGCTTCAACTCACGATTTGGAAAATACATTATTGTACAATTTGTTTGACTGGGAGATTGCTGAATTTTCTCATGTTACGTTAAGGCTGGAAGAGCCAAATTTGTTGAACGTTTCAGTTTGTGTTTCGTGCTTGTCGCGAACGCTATTAGATGTTTAATTAGTTCATGTAGGTCACGGAATAAACACAGGCAGACGGGCACAAAAAGCAGATTTGTTCACTCCTTCCCGTCCCTACTTTTCTTTGCCTCTGACCATTACAAATTACTAAATAAACGAGAGACTACAATACGAGCGCCCTGATTGGTCAAAATCCTATCGTTTATTGCACCGGTAAACCATAGAAACACACTGCCCTTTCTATCGGTTCACCGGCGTAAAAAACCCATTTAGCCCTATCTTTACAATTTTTTTCAGTGTTCTCTCGACATCCCGCGCCGGTAAACGGATAGAAAGTGTGGTCTATTGCTTGAGCAGCGCTCTAGTTTGTCAAAAAGCGTCCCATTACTGTAACATCTCGACCTCTATAAAATTCTTCTTTTCTAACAGAATCGACATAATTCTTGATTCATTATGAGGGATTACTGTCCATCTCAGTCAAACTGTTATGAATCATTTCTTTAGTTTCTTCGTCCTTGGCTTCGTTTGCTAGTTTCAGCGCACTCTTCAAAGCTTCCTTAGCTTTCGCCACATTTCCTGAGGGGAGAAAAATGATTTTCAAAAATCATCAGAAAGGGTAAGGAAAAAGGAAGAGTCCGCCAAAGAAATTGCGCGGGCCATGGTGTCTTTAAAAGAAAGGTACACCCCTTCGTTTTTCTTCAGTTGAGCAACCTTGTGTGCGAAGGAGAGATCACGCGCGAGAGGATTCTTTTTCGTACTTTTCCTCTTGCGGGTCACTCGTTCTTCGTGCACGCCTCACCACAAGTACGGAGAGTGTGTCTGCAGGCTAGCTATTCCGTGAAAGAATCAACTCTAATTTATCAAGTTTTTAGATCATACCTTCCAAATTAAGAATTGTTCCCAGGTTGGCCATAAACCGAGAGAGATGTGTGCTTTGTGTCTTCTCAGCGATGCGTATCGCTTCTCTAGCAAGTTCTTCTGCGTGTTCATAGTTGCCACTTTCCGCGTGGGCTTTTGCAAGGTTGTTAAGGATCACTGTCGTCTTAATGGAACAAAAATCAAAATCAATCGTAGGGTTTGCATCAACATGAAAAATCATTAATTGAACAGCTAAAAAAAATAAATAAATAAATAAATAAAAAATACACATCCATTTACCAAGACCGAAAAAATAATGCCAGGTATAACTAACAACTATTCACCCAAGTGAAGGTGGCTGGTGACAGTTATTTACCGAGCCACAAAGCGGCGAGGTGGAGATCTACCACCAGCCACTGACACCGAGAAGAAGAGTTGTTTTACTAATACTAAACCAGTGAGATATATTAGCACAAAAAGATGAGTTAAACTAATTTGTTCCGGCAATGCGGAACTCACGAGTTGCTCAGAGGCGAATAGCAGGGGATTTGAAGTGTTTGAGTAGCCAATCAGAGCGCGCCTTCAACGCTATCCACTGCTTTATATACTGACTAAACCTAGATAGCGTCTGTCTTGGTATGGACAGGGAAAATTGATTAAACTGAAGGGAATTGAAAATAACAAGAGGGTGATAATTCCAAATGAGGCATACCTAAAAATATTTCCCTGGATGTTGAATCCCTCAGAGAAATATTGTCATTTACTTGCTCTAAGGACTATTGTCAGACGGTTTCCCAAAGACACAATGTTCTGCTTTCCCAATGTACTGTTCCTACCTGTTCATGGTCTTCTCCCAACACCTCCTTGGAAATATTCAAGGCTCTTAACAACAGTTGGGCTGCCTGTGCGGGCTTATCGTGAGCCAGTAGATAAGTGCCCCAACCTTCTAAACACACACCTAACAGTGCCTTACTGAAACAAAAGACACGCACTAAATAAGCCAGATAAGAACGGAATAAATTGTAAAATTCTAGTTTCGTTACCTTATCCAGGCACTCAAGCCACAGGCACACCACGCTATGTCTCCGTAGTTAATAATTGTTGACATGAGACGAACAAAATATTTTAACAAAATTACTTTTGGAAAGGGAGACAAGGCTTGCAACTTGGGGGCCGCCAGCCATGACCTTCTCCACTTCAAAAAGTATTTTGTACAAAGACACTTCAAACAGCCCATGAAGGCAAAAAATATCACAAATGAGTTGATTAACATTTTATTTAACGTTAGTGAGATATTCAGACCAAGATGTAATTTAGCTATGTAATTTTCAGAGCTTTATTCATAACTCTCATAGATTTTGTTTGTCTCATGTCAACAATTATTAACCATGAACACATAGCATGGTCTGCCTGTGCTCAAGCTATGGAGATAAGTAAAGAAGCTGAAAATAATAACAATAACGATACTAATAGAGCAAACCATTTTTCAATTGCAACATGATTATAATTACCAACCTATTGTCTGTTGTAGCTGGTAGCTCATCCACTTTCTTTTGTATTGTATTGGTAGCCCACTGGAAACCTTGTATGGCCAGAGCGTGCCTGTAAAATAAGAAAGAGTCTGTTGAAAAGCATTGCAAAACAGTCTCAAAGAATACAAAGGCTCCTGGGTTTCAATCAATTTGAAGTACACAGCAAAAACTGCAAAGTAGGCAGTTAATGAAAATTTTTACTCTAATTTTCTTAGTTTCAGACAAAATGGGGGCCAATTTTGCTTGACAGAGATGGCAAATCTCTCTGGTACTGAAACCAATCTGTCTGTTTTTGTTGGTAAACAGCTCACCAGGTAGCCTGCCCCAAATAACAACAGCATTTTAAGTAATTTACTTTTCTCTATCTGGTTAAAATCAACTTTACTCACTTGTCTTGATGAGCACATGCAAGAGCCAGCTTCAGTGACACCTCAATGACACTATCATCATCCTGTCATACAAAGAAACAGAGCACCCAATAATGTTGCAACACCACTTTTTTTTAGAATAGGAAAGATGGCACACTTGAAGCTTTGTAATGGAATGAGAAAGTATGTTTTTTGTCAGGTCAAGAGCTTGGGATAAAGAAAAAATTCTGAATCCCCACAAGAAATTGAAACTCAGAAATTAGGAACTGGAAGGAGACTAAGACTTTGTTTTCTCTGTCCCACATTTGTGACCTGACTAAAACCATCTTTCTTTAACATGCTTTTAACTTAACTGTTGACCATCCCTGCTAAAGCCTAGTGATAACAGTATTTGTGAAACTATCAGCTCTCCTAATGCTTCTTCACACCTAAACATTGTATATGTGTGAGGTTACCAAAAAGCAACAGAAATATTCTACTGATCTTGTATCAAATGTCTCTACTTAAAAGTTTTTCCTGAGATTGTCTCTGTCTTTGACAGATATCAACTCTGCCAGAGAATTAATTTCACAGCTGTTAAAATGATGACAAACATCTTTACCATGGCCAATAAATACTTCCCCTAGTTGGCCTTTACAGATGTTCCTGCCATAATTATTGTGATATAATTTGTTACGCATTTAATGATTCACAACACTAAAGATCTAATTGCCACTGACCTTAGGAGTTTCCTGTGACAACAGGTCTCTTAGTAAGAGGCGGAAATAATGCTCTGCCTGAATCAAGATTGAAGAAAATCAATGGTTTGAAAGAACATAATTATGAATGCTTCTATTAGCTACAAGCTCAAAATCTGTTCATCCACACATTGTCCAGCAAACAGGTAGTGAGAATACTCAAACTCATCAGGTGCAAGATATTAACTCAATCAAACTTTAGATTCTCCTAACTAGTTTACAAGGAAATGTGTAGCAGCTAGAGGGGAGAATTAACAACCAGATCTTGGAAGTTAAAGGGTTAAACTATGTTGCTGTCAGGTTTCAAAAACAACATGCTCAATAAATGCAATGGCATATGGTACCTCATTCCATCTCTGAAGCTCAAATGTGAGATTTGCCAGCTGCAAGTAGAGACAAACACATAAATAAAGTTATATAGAGTTTGAAATACATACAACTTGGCTCAATAGAAAATAGGATAATTTGGTTTTCTCAACTGAGTTTATAATGCAAACTGGCCTCTGTAAAGAGTTTTTAAAGCTGATGTTTTGAGTGTTAACAAAAGATGGAGTGGTTACCGGTAACATTCAAAATGTCAACTTTGGAATCTCTTTATATTGGCCAATTTTCCGTTGATAGGACCAAATTATCTTGTAATATGTCCCACTGACACAGCACCACAGGTTGTTTAGAAATTTATTGCCTTTTGAAAATAGGGTACTTTCAACATTTGATTCAGATTTAAAAACCTTCTTGTTCTTACCTGTTCCAGTACATAAGTGAGGTACTTTTGCACTTTTATTGTATCCTTGTCATCCAGATGAAGTTCTTCACCTGAATCTTGCTTAATTTCTTTAAGATAATCATGTATAAGATCAAGAGCCTCCTTCAGCAAAATGATTGACTGTGTTTTGTCTCCATCTAAAGCTTTTTTCTATTAGAATAAAAATTGTTTATAAGTATGTTGGGTATAGAAAGGATGAAAAGGTTCCAGTATTTTGGGTCATTTAGCTCTTCTTGATCAATATATAAGTCTTTAGTTCGGTGAGAAAACTTTCTGCCAGCCTAATGGTACAGAACAAGACAGTGAAAAAGGAATTTCTCTTTACAGTTTCATTACTATATCGCACAGTTGAGGGATGAGAGGACAAAGGAGTATCAAATAGGGGGATGTTTTGTAATTTAACCCTTCAACACCCATGAGTGACTAAGAGAGAATTTCTCCTTATGGTATCAATACAACATCAAGCAGACAAGTGATGAGAATAAAAAAATATCAATTATGAGATTATCAGCTGATCTGATACCAAATTCTCAACACTAACATCATTAGAATTGTTTGACAGACAGTTAGGATCTTAGGAGTGAAAAGGCTAAAACCAAATTCTCAATGCCAAATCTTTTAACCCTTTAAATCCTATGAGTAACCAAAACAGAATTTCTCCTTACAATTCCAAGACAATATAAGGCAGACAAGTGATGAGAAAAACGAAAAATATCAATAAGGGGATCATTAGTTGATCCAATACCAAATTCTCCAAACTAACATCACAAGAACTGTACAGTTGACAGTAAGGAGAATTCCAAATGAGATGTTGGGAGTTAAAGGGTTAAAATTACAAAGAAGAGAATTGACATTTAGATGTGTAGATTGCAAGGATTAGGAATTAAGTTTTAGCTCAGTGTGGAATTTCACCTTCAAACTCTTAATCAGTAGTCCAGCACCCTACCAATTCATCCCAGCAGCCAGAGTCAAAATTGCAGGAAGTCAAACTAACATCTTTCAAGAGTTAATATTCATATTCAGAGTCCTACGTTTTCTTACCTTAGCCATCTTTAACTTGTTTTGCAAGCTTGGGGGGCTCCTTTTGCCATACAGAACTTTTTCATATTGTGTATATGTAAATACAAGAACACCACCCAGTGCTGTAATAACAAACATTGACCTTAAAATTTGCTTCTATAACACCTAATATATGTTTCAGTTTAAAGTGAAATTCAATTTGAAATAATTTCAAACTAGATTCCTCTGTTCTTTATACACTACCATGATCTCTTAGATGAGGAAAATAAAAATTGAAGCAGTTGGAAATAATTTTCAATCAGAAACTCTTCTTAGCCCATAGTAAGTAATGCTAATTAAAAATATTTGTATAGCATTTTAAAAATAAGATCAGAACTATGCTACTTAAGTTCTAGCACATTTGAAGACTGTAATCTTGGTAAGAAACATCTGTTCAGTATGAGACCAGTGACAAGTCTTGCAAGTATTGCCTCGCATGAGAATTCAAATAATGAGGATAACATTGATGGTATGGTGAGGCAGGATGATGATGGTGACATTAACAATACTGTTGATAATTATAATGTTGATAATAACAAATGTATGATTTGATGATCAACAGGTAATAAAACTCTAGGAAGTCCATCTGGTAAATAACATGGGAAGATCTTAGGCTAATATTCTGCCCAGGTCACCAGAGAGATCTGAAAAACTTAGAGAAGCACTTTCCTGACATTTAGGCATGCTGTGGCTCAGTAACTCTTAGTTTTACTTTTCTGAGCTTTGAACACATTGTCATAACCTAAAGGAAGACAGTACTTAAACTTTGTTGACACATGTTAAAATTAAAAGATATTAAATATAGATATAACCCCCATAGTTCATCATGCATGTAGTATTTGGATTAGGAAAACAATAGAAAAAAAAAGATTACCCTTGGGAATACGCCCTTTCCGATTGAAAGTTTTAACTATAACATATATTGGTTGCTTTTAATGGGCGATAATCTTACCCACAATAATAATTGACCATATTTCATCAGGTAGAGTTTTTCTTATTCTTGTTAGTCGGCTGTCTTGTGATAATTTTGAACACTGTAAAGCTGCCGGAAATGGACGTTTTGGCGGAAAATATTTGCCAGAATTTATCATATGACCACATGTGAAGGTACCTCCTCGTTTACTACATGTTGTAAAAAGTCTTGCATTCGAAATACACCTGGTAGTGTCGATTACGAGTTTAAAATATCTGCCGACTCGGGGCATAGTATAAACGTCTATATTTTTTGTACTAAATGGATGGAAAATATCTTGAAAACGTGAGGAGGTACAGATCGTCCGCCATATTGGCTTGGTTACGAAGTCAAGTGAAGACCCGGTCACTAAGCAAGATGCAAAAACGCGGGAAGTTTGTATAAGGAAAAATAGAGAAGGGTAGGTTTTCGCTTGTTTCGGGTTATCATAAAGGTTTTGTCTGGGTTTTTGAGGAAGATTTGAGAGATGATCGGATGGGAAAACACGAGGAGTGCCTTAGGAAAGCTGGAAGAATTGTTAACATGCAAAGTTTGGTATGTATTTCTTGGAGCACCGCGATTGTCTTTTGCAGTTCCATAACAGGAATGCCTTCGTTACACGTTTTATGCTTATTTCACTTTTATCTTTCTATTAGTGCCAATCTTGTGTCTGATCCTTGTTCTCTTGAAGCTTGTGACCACATTTTCTGTCGGTACGTATGTGAATGATTGTATTTTATGAGCGGAGAGTTGTGTTAAGGTTAACTTGAACGTAAATGCACTAAACAGCTGAATCAATTGTAACATGTACGCATGAATGTAGCTTGTGTAGTATGGATGTGTCCTGTGGTTGCAGGTAAGTATTCTCAAAAATTCCAACGAAAACGCGTTTCAAAACGTCTATGACGATTTTTGAGATAACGTTTTGATGAACTCAAACCAGTACCACTAAACATCTCAATTAACTAAACCGATATTTATGGAACTTTTTAGAGGGATTGTGCCTCAAGTAAAAATGTGAAGTTTCCTTCCTTGACATTGTTCTGTAGCTATAAGGGGAACTTTAAAAAATGGTTCACAATAGTATTTTTAGTCACATTGGACAACAAATAACCATGAATCCACAAAATTAAACCTGGGTGAAAGTTGTTTGCTACAGGGGATATTAACGCCCTCCATACCTAGTGCCTGTTTTCAGTCTACAGGGATTGTAAAGGTCCTGGAAAACCTGGAAAGTCCTGGAATTTTATTTTGACATTTTCCAGGACTGGAAAGTCCTGGAAAAAGACCACAGGGCCTGAAAAGTCCTGGAAATCTGCTTAACTCAAGCAATAAAGTTTTCAGAATATACATTGTAAGAAATGTATGTAGACCATAAGGAGAGTTGATTTTGAAATCTTAGCAACAAGAGGGTTTAAGGTGAAATTTGGAGTCCTGGAAAAATCAATCTGAGTCCTGGAAAAGTTCTTGAAATTTGTTTCTGAAAAAGTATATGAACCCTAGGTCTGAACCCTTTAACTCCTTCTCAGGAACTGCCACAGTTATCTGACTCCAAATTGTTCTAATGATTTATCCTTTTTTTGCAGTAACTGTGTAGAAAAATTGGTTGGGGCTGATTCAAAATGCCCAGAATGTGGAGCATTTGCCTGGGTGAAGAACTTGAAAACCAACCGTCAACTTGCCAACACTGTCAGCATGTGTACAAAGATAAGAAAGCTTGTTGGATCAGATGATCATGATAAGAGTAGTAGTAGTGGTGATGACGATAACAATGTCAAGTGCATCTCAGACTTGAATAACAAACCAGGTGATGATGACAGTTAATAAGATCTTGAAACACCCCAGAATGTGACAAATGATGGATATCTTTCTTCTTATGACAACCAAACTTTATCAAATCAACAGTGTTTTAGTGTGGTTTGTACTCCTATTTATTATTTGCACTATAATTATTTGTTGCAGACTCACTCAGCTGTGCCTCATGAGTCAAAAAGATTTTGACCACTGTGATGATGAATATTGAATATAAGAGCACACTGAGAACATGCTAGGCCACTTTCGATTTGTTAATTTACTACAATATTGACGTCTTTCAGAGTGTAACCATTACCTGACATGTTGATGCAAGCAATGTTTGTACTTGTATCAATAAAGACAACTTGGCCAATCAGATTGCAACATTACCGCTAATTGTGTTGAAGAAAAAAAATCACCATCTCTTCTATTACACTCACAATACTTTAAGTTTTTATTGGACTCTGCTGATTCTAGGTATATCTACCGTATCTACTCATTGCTCTGTAAATCACATGTACAGCATCCATCTGCAAAATCAAAGGATCTGAGGTTTAAATTATTGTAGAGGAGAAATTCTTCACAACACTTTATTTTTAATGGATGAACAAGCTCATATTTCCAATCTTTCTTTATTTTTTTGCAACCATGAGAATCAAATAGTAATGATGATATTGATGAGGATAAATGTTATCATAATGATGATGAGAAAATAACTGTTAGTGATGATTTTTTATTCACTCTGTCCCCAGAAACTAAAGCAATCTGGGAGGAAACACAGTCAGTGTTTGATCAAGAGGCTGATTCTTATCAATTCTTAACACCTGAAATTGTCATCCCTGCTAAGGCAACAAACAAATGTGATGTTGCCGTGCAGGAAATATCACGTAACAACAAGAAACAATCTAAGGAACCTACTCAGATGAAGAATCTCAGCAGGAAAACACAGATGAAAATTGCAGCAAAAAGGGTTAGTAATGGGAAAGAAATTACAAAACAAGGTCTCTGCAGGGAGCTTGTTGAAGAGGACAGTGAAACATGTCCTGCAAATGAGATCCTAGCAAGTGGACAGGGATTCAAAGAAATTGTTAAAACTTTGTCTTCAAGTAGTTCAAAAGGTGAAATAAGAACACAAGCAAAGATAAAATGTTTTGGAAAACATTTAAAGAAAACAAGATTAATAAAGAAAACATGTCCAGTTGTCACAGAAAATGGTGATCATGAAAATAAAGGACAGACTGATCACATGTTAACAGAAAATATTGACACTGAACAGTTGGAAGATACAGATGAGGGGGTAAACAATACTGATAAAGAAAAAGACAAAGAGAACCCTGCCACAGGATGTTTTACAAGGCTAAGATCAAAAGGTTCACTTACTTCTGATGGCTCAGTTATGATGCAAAATGAGGGACCTTTACATAAAGGGAGTCCTAAAGCTGTAGAAAGCACTCCAAGGACAAGGGCTCAAAAGAGGAACTTGAGAGGAACACCACAGAGTTCTTTACTTTGGACCCTGCCTCAGAATGAGCTGCAAAAAAATCTTACAAATGAAAGAATCCACAATGAGCAGGTGCTTATGAAAAAGAAAAAGACAGAGGCTACCAAAGAAATTCCTTTGAAGTCCCAAGGTTAGATTAAAATATGCTAATACAGCTGCTGTAAATATTTAATGATTGTTTACACTTGATGAAGGAGTTGACCATTTTTAAAAATATTTCCAATCTGTTATTCCTTGAAAACTTCTCCATGTTTAAGCATATGCTGTAGCTCCTATAAAAATGTCATGAATTATCTCTCTTATTCACTTTACATTGTTCATGAATTTATCTCTGGCAGGAAATAGGAAAAGAAAAATGTCAGAGCAGACTTTAAGCAGCCCAAAGAATTGTATTCTCTGTCCCCCTGAAGTCAAGAGAAATAAACGTGGAGAGACACCTCTTCATGTGGCTGCCATTAAGGTACACTGTAATAAAACAGATTTCTAATTAAAAAAAATTGGAGATTTGGTTTTTATGGAAGGAAACTCGGAGAACAAATCTTAAACCAAAAATGAGAACCATCAGTTAACTAAACCCACAGGTAATGTTAGGTTTGGGATATTGAATCTCTGCCACAATGGTGGAAACCATGTACATTCTTTCACTTTACCATCCTTGCTCCTTTACATGTAGCCCTTATTGTCATATACAGTTTTCTTTTTCTTTTGTCATGCATAACATATCTCTGATGATCATGTCTAGTAACTTTTCTTATCTAATATTATCACCTTCATAGGGCTGTGTGGAAACTGTGAGAAAGTTACTTGCAGGAGGAGCAAATCCTAACACCAAAGATCATGCTGGCTGGACTCCTCTGGTGAGTTACATTCCTGACTATAATATGGCAAATCTTACCTGTTTCATTGTTCTTCCAATCTTAGGTGACCTATATTTACAGAACAGAAACACTCTGTCCAAATAGTGATTTTCATCTTGATATCAATTATTCCTTAAGTTGTATCTCTGACCTTGAAATCCTGCATTTTATTTTATTCTTCAGCATGAAGCCTGTAACCATGGCTATCTTACCATCACTGAACTTCTGTTGGAACATGGTGCAATGATTAACACTCCTGGAGGGTTTGATCATGATACACCTCTGCATGATGCGGTCACCAATGGGAGAGTGGAAGTAGTGAGTCTGTTGATCTCCAGAGGAGCTGCTATTAATGTCAGGTGGGAAACTCAATTTACTATCTCTTAGGTTTCGGTTTAAGAATTCTCTTCAATTACCTTATTTTATAGGATCCTGTATGGTGTACATGAAGATTGCCTTGGTTGAAATCAATCAACTAATTTAATTGTGGATTTGTTTATTGGTCAGCAGGTGACCGACTCTCAACAGGTAGTCAGCTTAGTCAATGCCCCAATCGTGGTTGTCATCTTAGTTTGGATGTAGACCAAGGTTTTTTTTTATGAAGTTTGAAAATTGGCTGACCACTGGTTTTCTTAAGGTTGACTACTGTACCAACCGAGGTAACGACTGACTGTTAATTGAGATACATACACAGTATAATTATTGACCAAGACTGACTATAGCACACATGATCTCTTTACCCCTCCCCCCTCTCCTTCCCCCCCCCACCCATCTGTATTGACCATTTCATGTACTGGTAGTTCCAATCTGATCCTCAAACTACCTGCTGATCTTTTTTACTCACTACTGTAGAAACAAACAGGGACTCCTTCCAATAGACTATGCAGCCACTGAAGAAATGGTGTCCATTTTATCAACATCATCTCCCAATAAGGAAATTGACTCCTCAACAACAGTACCATCACTTCCAGACATGAAGGGTTCATCAGACTCCCCTAAGGTGTTACTTGCAACTGGCCTTAGCTCAGAACAAAAGGTACATTTATTTACTTTGCCAAGTATCTAATTGTGCTTGTGGTAAAACAACTCATCACATTTGATTTGTCATTCCCAGTCATTAGTGTGAATTCTGCTATAACTTACAGTAATCTTTGGTAACAGTGTTACCTGAAATTGTTGTGATGATATCAACAATGTAGCACTGACCTTTACTGAACGTGTTTACAATCTCTGTAGGTAAATATACAAAAATGTGTGAGGATTCTCAATGCAAGTATTGTCAGCCAATTTTCTCTGTCTGGTAAGTAAAGTGTTCCTGTTCAGTCTGTTGTTTCCTGAACACTGATTACAAAGAGTATATACAGTATGACTAAATATTAATCAAAAGTTAAAAATGTTCGAATTATTGTTGTTTGTTTAGTGACACACATTGTGACAGCAACCAACAACAAAGGAGTTTGCCCAAGGACACTGAAGTATTTGAATGGTGTGTTGACTGGAAAATGGATTGTGAAGTATCAATGTAAGTCCATGGTTCATTACATTAACTGGAAAAAGCTTTGTTGGCATATAATCCACTCTGTCAGAAAACACCTCCACATGCTTCATATAAACCTCCAATGTTAGTCTCTGCCTTCCCTAGGTCACATCTCTGGATTATATCAAGCATGTCTCCTAAGAAAAAGTACTTCAGAGTGGGTGATTTGATCTTACATTCGATTGCAAATGTACATAATATATAATCATTACAATTCTTATGTCCCTGCTAAAGAGAACCTCCTGTTTTTCTGTGAAAATTGCCTTCCTTGGCTGATTAAGAAGAGCATTTAGGGAGTTATTGTTGGCAAATGATCTAAAACTTGCCTATTGTTCAATTTTTAATCTCAATTTGTCTCACTCATCTTCTATGTAGGGATACTGAAAAGCTTGCAGAGAAAAACCTGGGTAGATGAAACACCTTTTGAGGTTAAGGGTACCAATGATGCCATGATGGATGCACCTAAAAGAGCTCGCATCAATTCTCTGAAGCAGGTTGGTTGTGCACTACATTCAACATCTTGAAAGAGCCATTAACAATGTTTTGATTTTTTTGTAATTTCCAAGTGACAAAAGAAAGGTGTTGCAGCAAAGTGGTTGATGAACTTGTGTACCCAAAGTTCTACCAAAGCTGTACTTAAACAAAAAAAAACAAACAAACAAACAACAAAAACCCAAAAAAAATGAGGACAAAAACCAAAATGTGAAAAAGCTTAATGAAAATAAGGAGTGACTAAGATTGCAAGTTGAACTTTGTGGATAACATGCAAAACAACTCTTCATTTCTCATTATATTTTCCAGCTTCCTGGTTTGTTTGATGGATGCCAGTTTTTCTTCAATGGTGAATTTATCCCTCCTCAACCTTCAAAAGAGGATCTAGTACAGTTGGTCAAATATGGTGGAGGCAGAATCTTATCTCGTGAACCAAAACCAGATATTGATGAATCTCTCTGCTTACCTAGAACTCCTGAATCTAACAAGGCCTCTGTCACCTTAGCCCCTGTTGCTTACCATGCAAATCCAGACACTAAACATTACAGATGCACTCAATTCATCATCTATGATTCACTGGCAGAAAAGAAGCCTCACATCTGGGACACCGGGTCAGTTTGTAGCATGCCCTCGACATGGCTTATGGACTGTGCTTCAAACTTTCAAATACTGACTTTAGAGTGAGACTGTAATGCCTGTATGGTGTTCATTGACTTCATTAGGCAGAACAGATCTGATGATTCTTCAGCTACTGCCCAGAATTCTCCTGCTAAATTTTGATAACCTGAGCTGCTAGCTATTCAAATGTGGAGAATATTCTTGTTACTTACTGCTACACCCAAGCTGTTTTAACACCTTAATTGAGAAGAATGATCTGACCTCTGCTTATAACGACTCCACATCAAACATTTTTTCTAGAAATATTGTATTTAATATTTTCAAATTTCTAATGCAACTATATAACAATGCTATTTGTCAGAGTTTTCATTAAAAAGCATTTAAGTCTTATCTAAGCAACCACTAATATGCAAATGAGTGCATTCTTGTGCAGTGAACCCACAATTTTTCATTTTGTTTTTGTCAAAGCCCTTAAACCTCAGAAAGAGAAAAATATGTAACTTCTCATCTCAATTTCAATACATATCCACCAAACAAGTGAAGAGAAAATGCCATTTCGTTTTCTAGAGGATCATATGGTAATACAACAACAAATTGGCACAGTTATTTTACAAAAAACTGTATAGTCACCAGAAAGGAGAATCGCAGTGACTTTATCAGATCTTAGGGGTTACAGGGTTGAAACAGTGTGGCTTCTTTAATGTTAACTTTTGAAAAAAGTTAGGTATTGATTATAACCTCTCATGTACTGCCCTTCCTTTGATTCATCATTCAAACTGAAAAAAAAACTCTAAAACAAATGTTATAAAAAATTTAGAGGATATACAGAAGATACTGGTATATACACTGTTAACAGTTACAAACAATATGTGGTTTGGTTATCTTGTGAAAAATACATCTTCTTTGGAGGAAAATGCTATTTAATTACAGTAAAAATAAGGCAAATAATTAATTAGCATTCATACTGTCTATTCTGACAAACAAAAGGCATAAAAAATGAAAATGAGCTCTTTGTATAAACATCCTCCTTTAGACACCTTGTAATGATAAGCATACAAAAATCTATGCCATGCCAAAAGAAATGTACCCATTAACTAGCTACCCTTAACAAATGCCATGAAAAAACAACTTTAGAAAAATGTCAAAAATAAAATACAGTAGCATCAAGTAAAAATTAACATTACCGCAATAAAGTATAGCAACCAATCAAATTGGTCACAATCTTCTCTCTTTATAAGCAGTAATGAATATATATTCATCTGCTTTATTTAAAATGATTATGTTCACCTATTGATCTATTTATGGTGCTGTTCAAAAAAGAATTGCCTTTCCCCCATTTTCACACAATTTATAATTTTGCCCCAGATTAGTTATCACTGCAGCACATATCTTCATAACACTACTTGTACCACCGAGGGCAAACATGGCATCCAAAGGAAAATCACACAGAAAGGTTCTAAAACTAAGAGACTAAAAAAAATGTCTGAGAGGTTAGCCCAACAGATAATTGGAGGGCTCAGAGCAAGAATGATCCCTTGATTTTTTGGCCATTTTGAAAGTGTTCAGAAGTAGTTGAATTTTGGCATGTGGACACTTTCAAAAATGGCTGAAAAATCAAGGGATCGTTCTTGCTCTGAGCCCTCCAATTATACTCAAGGATCCAAAGAAATCAAATGATTCAGGAAAAGAAAATGGCCAAGACAAAAATACAAAAATTGGTTTCCTTTAGTCAGTCTTTACTTTTATCACCCAACTTCTCAGCTAGTAGTCGAGCTGGAGGTTGGGTTGGGATGGGTTAAAGGTTTAAGACAAGCCAAATGTTCAAAGAATTATACCAATAAAAGTGTAATTTTGTATTAAAAAAAAAGTACTTGTGATTTAAGGTTAAAATTTACATCTTATTAACTACTTCTCAACCAATGTCTGATTGTATCTACTACAAGAATGAATCTCACAGGTGTTTGAGGCTGATCCAGGAGTCATAACACCATTATGACCACAACTGATATTCAGTCAGCCCTATGTGCTTCTTGGAATTTCTGCCTCTTCTTGTAGCTTTCACTACATAGTATTTACTACCCATCAGGGATCAGGGAATTTTCTAGCAAAGATTCTATGCCCTTCTACCAAGATGTGGAGAATACTTTTTCTAATACTGCATTTCTTAATGAACACCTTGCACTATGATATCATAATACTTGCATGTGCTTAAAACCACCTTTACACATCAAAGGTCTTAAAAGCTCAATGTTTCTACATGCAGTGTCCAAACTGATGTGTGCTTTTAAGCTTATAGCAAAGTTGGTTCTTGTTAGTAACTGAAATGACAGAAATTTGTCTCCTGCCAACTTTAAATAGGGATTTATAAACAACCGTTATCAAACAAGATAACAATAAATTAGATGATCATCTAAGTCTAGAAAACAGTCTGAGTGAAAACTTGATTTTGGCAAGCCCTTGATGCACACAAAGAGGATCACATGTTCAGGCCCTCTTAGAATTTGTTCCCAACCATCAGCCGAATGAGTGATACAGCTTTCTGTTGCTGAACACCACTGGTCTGGAGGTCTAACCAACTCATTCTGTAATAATGCAAAACAAGTTGTACCCATGCACCTCTGTAACTCTGTCCATATTGTTTGCAAATCTAGTCTACTTTAGGAAGATTACTGTCTGTTGTAACAAATTTAAGCATGGTATCCCTTGCCATTATCCAACATTCTGTCAACTTCTTCTGGGTCAGTAATATTCTTGTCAAACTTTTGTCGCTTGAAAAAACCAAGCTGAAAAAAAAAAAGGAAAAAAAAAGCATGAAATGTAATTGATATACAATTTAAAAGAATATAAAACCACTTTAAAAGGTTAACCCAGCATGCAAGGACCGCAACATCACTGAATCACTGATAGCATTCATATGAGAACTGACCATCAGATGACATGAAGTCTAGCTATCCTAGAAATCATATTTGTTGTAATCGTCCAGTTGCCAAATAGTAGGTTTTTTTTTGCCTTTTAAACCCTAAGAGTGACCAGCTTCTAATTTCTCCTTAAATATCACCCCTGAATCAAACATTAAGGTCGCAATAACCAAGGAAATGATCACCAACTAAAAAAGCTCTTGATTGTTAAACACATTCTCCTTGTCAGCATCTTATCAATTGTACAGAGAACAGTGTGGAAAATGGCATACTGATGATAGGGTGTAAAGGGTTGACTAGTTCTAGCAATTGCAGCCACTGTGTTGATCTTATATACACTGGGTTTTAGAATCAAGGAAGTGGCAAAGTTCAGCAGTACTTTTCTGTATCTAAAATGGAGAAATTTGAGAAAGTTTTTGTCTCTGTCACTGGAACATTCCCAAATTCAAACTGGTTTAAATAGGTACATATGATCACAGACTGAGAGAAAATAAGGTCACATCAACTTGCTGAGACAGCAATATACAAGATGCAGTGTGTCACAAACTTTAATTTTCTCTTTCATGTATTCTCACACTAAGTTTACTATCATTATCATTAAAATATGAAAAGCAGTTATGCCCTGCTCACTTACCTTGTACAGACAAAAGACTATTAGTACCAAGAGAAGAACAGCACTAACTACACAGACTGGTATAACCCATTTGGGGAGACCCTTTGAAGGAACTGCAACATTGGCATCTGGGTTTAGTTGAGTACCAACCTGGATGGTTGAAACATAACAAGTATGTGAATTCCATGAGCTGACAGTCATTGAATGATGATGAAACAGGGTGATATTGACCACTGAAAATCACAATTCCTGTCACAGTCAACAGAAAATGATGCATAAAACTCTTACTAACAAAAAAACCTCAACAGTGAACTTAATCCAAGTTTTTAGGTTCAAAGGCTGGATTTTTTGTTGCAATGATGGGAACTCTGAATATTGCAGCGACAAAACAGAAGATCACCTCAGGTTACTCCAAAACTTCCAGCTCTAGCTTTTTCATTTTGTTAAGTCCTTAAGCATGACACTTTGCTTAACTCCAGGGAATGAACGGGTGATAACAAACTGTCAGATGAAATGCTGGGGGGGGGAGGGGAGGGGAGAGGGTAGGGAGTAGTGGAATATCACCTCATATAGGAAGAAAAGCAATACAAGGCTTGTGTGCTGACTTTTAGACAGTGTTTAATTTACCTGCGCTTTGTTGTTTTCCTTGTTAGTTTCTTGTACAAAAGTATTAGTTGATCTTACACTTGCATGGGATATTACTCTTAACAATTCACCTTGATAATCCTGTGAAAGAAAATGAAATAAGTATAATGCAACCCTGTTTACCTCCCTACTTACCAACTCAACTACTCTGTTATCAGTGTTGATACTACCCTGCAAGCTATTACAACTGTAGGGTTCCTCACACTACCATAGTCATTTGGTCATCAGGCACACTGTCTTCAATAATTTAAGCGTTGACACTTTTTACCAAACACAAGATGGAAGACTGCACAGAAACTCAGCATTTTCACACAGTGACGACCAAAACATATGTATCTTAACCCTTTGATCCCTAACAGTGACTAACATCTCATTTCTCCTTACAATATCACACCTGAATCACATTAAGGCAGGTCATAAGAATACAGGAAATGATCACCAACTAAAAAAGCCCTTGATTGTCACACAAATTCTCCTTTTCAGCATCTTAGGAAATGTACAGAGAACATTATGGAGAATGTGCATACCGATGTTAGAATGTGGAGGGTAGTATCATATATAATCATCATCAAAGTACATAAGAACTGTCTGTAGCCTACCTCTATCATGGTACCATTCCAAAGACGAGATATAACTGTAAATGTCACATCATCACCAGCTTCCAAAAATTTGATAGTGCAATGTATATTTGTACACTTTGCAGATCCTAACTTGCAGTCCTATAAAAAAGGAAAATCAAATGCTTAATTATCCTGGTTAAATAAGGAAAGTTGATTTTGATATTTGAATCAGTTAAAGTAGTCAAAATTGAAGCAACACTAAGATGGTGTTCTAAAAAATCAGCAGGCAAGAGAGAATATCAGCTAGGTGTCATTTTCAAACCTTTCCCTTCCACTGTTCTAAGGAGTTCATATAGCATTGGAAGAATCCACTGGCTTAATTTCCATTACTTAACCTATTATTGAATTAATCAAAGAGAATATTCTCCTCCTTTTAGGATTATTCTTATGTAATTAAATTTCTTATTTTTAAGCAAAAACGTTTCCCCTCTGAGTATAGTAATAACATACAGCACCTCCCCCCCCCCCAAAAAAAAAATGTTCCAAGTCAAAGTGATTACACCATATTGCATTCATGTTATTGCTTTACTTGCTAGCTTTCAAACAAATGCTGACAGTTTCACCCCAAACTATTTAGGAGACCTTCACAAAGCAATCATTACGCAAAGATGTATAGTAGAAAATTTACCAGGTCAGACTGAAGCTTCTCTGGCTTCTTAGGGTCAGTTTCTCTTTTGACTTTGGAACTTGATTCTGTCTTTTCCACTGCACGCCTTCTTCGTCTTTCTACCATTGCGTCAACTGATGTGTCATTCTGTTGCTGTCCTGAGCTGCCACCAGATGATGTCTGAAAGATTTCGACAAGCATCACTCACAATCAGTTAAATACAGTAGAACCCCACTAACTCAAACAGTTTATTAAAATCCCCCTGTAACTCAAACAAGAGCCTGATACCCCACAACATCTGACATTTAACAATGACCAATCTTGATATTAAGAAGATGCGAGACTATGGAAAGGGCAAATGAAGTGATTTTCAGTTATTTACCTTTAAACCAAGCATATTCAGTTGCCCAGGTTTTTTCTCACAATAAGCCCTATTTCCATCAACCTAAAAAGGGAAAATACCATGACAACATTAAACCACCTCTACTAGCTTGAGTTAAGGAGACATGATGACAGAAGGTTACCATAGGGCATGACCACCACTGGGTTGTTCAAAACACAATTAATCTTACACAGGATTAGTGTAAACTTTTAATTGAATTTAATACCTTTGCAAAGGGATTTTTCTTTTGTATGTTTTTTCCTGTTAGTTTCAATTCATACTAAGATATAATCCTGAAAAAACCTGCACTCTTCTACACAAGCAACTAAAGCCAAGGTTAACTGTTAATCCATTGATGTTGACCCCCTTTCGAACGACCCGACCCAGTGTTATTGAGATGTAGTCTTGGATGAAACACTTCACTATATCAGGGTCTCTCTCTGCCAGGAACCTGTCAGGGAAACCTGATCAAATGCTGGAAGGTGAGGTGGAGGAAGGAATGGTCGATAGATGAGCAGTAATAATTCTTAAGACTAATTAAAAGCGATCAATAGCTGAAGACCCACTGACTACAAACATTAATGTGAGTAGTCTTAAATGAGAAAAAATGAGGTAGAAAACATTTACCTTAACATTCATGAGGTAAAGTAAATGTTTCCCACTTGGTGCTTCAAAAGGCCATTCTATTATTACTTCAGTGTGGGGAACTGGATCTGGACCACGATTTTTCACCTAAAATAAATTCAAGTTATAGATATTGAATAATCAAACTGCTTCTAATAAAATTATGACCAGTAAGTTGAACAGATGGTTAACATAGAAACAAACAAAAAAATTGTACAAGGATCCTTTGAACAGAAAATAGGAAAGAAGAGAAAATTTTTATTCTTAAACATGGAACAATCAGAGCAGTTAAAGAAGAGCTTTACATGTGCATCCAGTTTTTACATATGCATATAGTTTTTACATGTGCACCCAGTTTTTACATTTGCTCCCAGTTTTCTGCTTAGCCTGTTCCTTTGATATCATCAAATGTATTCAGTTTTCTGGGGAGAGACGCGAATTGCATGACACAAAACCAGAGAGGGAAAAAAACTCTCCTATTTACAAAGCACAAGTGAGAGAAAGATACAGCTTCTGAAATCTACTCCACACCAATGATCACTGAATAATGGTCAATAGAAAAATATGAAAAAATTAAAATTCTTGTGAATTAAACACAGCTGTTTAATGATCCTACAAATGGTTAGTCATACCACAATAAACATTCCCATGAAGGGTCATGTGCATGGTCAGTTTTCTGACATGAATGAAACTACAAAACATATTAAGGTACTTACAAAATACTTGTGAATGACCTCATTACCAATGTCTTCTGCATTAACCATGGCACTTTCACCAACAACCTTGCCTCCATAGGCAACTTGTTCTTCAACTGTTGTACTGTAACAGATAAAAACATGATTATCATGAATAAATAAATTACCAAATCAGATTGACAAGTAGCGTTTCCTTATCCATATCTAATTATATACTTTCAAGCGATAAATGAGAATTTCCTCACACCATCTTTAATGATGATGATAATTGTAACTTACCCATTAATTTCCAAGTCTGCCTGTGACTTGATAGATATATTCAAAAAGCGATAGTTGTCAGCTAACGTGTTGCTGTCCTCTTCATTTGTACTGCACAGAAAACAATAAAAATTCACCCAACCTGTCAGTAAGTTACTATTTCAACTTTTAACTCTCAATTTCAACTTTCTGCACTGTTTGTGGTTAATTGATGTGTTCTGAGCCAATGAGCATGCTGAAATTTTTGCATGTGTTGTATCAAGCCAAAAAATGAGAGCTGATAAGAACCACTCATATTTGAGCATTTTGTTATTGACACAATAATTATCACAAAAAAAAGACTCTTTATAGAAAAAACACTGACAGTAACAATGTTGAGTCCTTCTCACCTGTTTGTGCTAAGATATATTGGCAGGAAATCTGGAGTGTCACTGTATCTTGAGGTGTCTAAATCAATTTGAATTGGTTGCTGAAACACAAATAAACCACAGTTGTTAAAATAAAAACCTGTGTCCATTACTATCACCCACCAAATGTCTAATCCTATGATTCTTCATCCATCAGCTCATGTTTTTCCCATGATTTTTCAAAGGCTGCAGCCTCAAAACTTAAAGCTCACCAATAAAAATCTTAGGTCCGAGAACAAGTTAGTTATTAAATAAATCTAATCAGCTTCTTATCAAGACTTATTACCATTTCATGAGATGGGAACTAGATTCTGAAGATTGGTTGATAACAAAGGAAACCACCAAATAGCTCTACAATAAATGGTTTAGTCAAGATCATATCTGACACACGGCATACTGAGTATCACCATACCTCTTTCTTCTTGAAGGGAGTATTCAGCTTAACAGTCACAAAGGTGTCATTAGAGGCCAGTGTTGTTATTTCAACAGCTTTTCCTTTAAATATCTTGAAAGAAAACAAGCATATCCACTGATAAGTGCTTAAAGGGGGTAAGTTTCTAAAGAAACTGTGGTGCTGTGTCATTGGGAGAGTGTAACAAGGTAATTTAGTATTATCAACAGTCAGAGTAGAAAACATAAATTGGCCATCAAGACATAAGAGTTCCAAAGTTGACGATTTCAAGTGTCAGCCCTTTGTCAGAGCAAATGATAAGTGTTTATGTAATCTTAAAATCCTTTACACCCAAACATCAGTATGTGTATTCTCCATACTGTTCTCTATATATTTCCAAGGTGCTGACAAGGAGAATTTGTTTATCAATCTAGGGTTTATTCTTGGGAGCTTAATGCATGATTCAGGGGTGATACTGTAAGGAAAACTAGACGCTAGGCACTTTTAGGGCTGAAAGAGCCAAACAGCTTACTTCTTTATCAACACTGAAGATTTTTCCTATTTTTATTCCTTTAGGGATTGTTACAAACAACTTTGCGTTGTAAGCATCATCTCCTTCATTCTTTACTGTAACTGCCAACTTGTAGTTTTTAGCACCAACAGCAAGTGTTCTATGGTGTCAAAAAGGAAATAAAATGTTGATATCAATATGTATTTCAACACTGATTATATACATGTAGGAACTTAAATTTTGAAATTATGAATGGCTGGCTTTGCAAGCCAGAAAGACAAAACAACGGCAGTGTTCTCATTGGGTGTACAAGCAGGCATGATGGGCCTATTCAACAAGAAAAGCTTTAATTATGCAAAAAGAAAAAAATTGCCTGGTGCAAGTTTACAGTGACTAGCTTCTAGGAACATTTATTTTTATTTCCTCCAAAAAAAATGCTTTTCTGGCAACAACTAAGTCACAAGTGCATCTCTACCTCAAAACAAAGGAAAACTTTTAATTGGTGAATGTATTTGGCAATTTTTTGACCCATGAAATCCCAGGTCTCCTTACTGTCTATCATACACTTCTTGCGATGTAAGTGTGGAGAATTTGTTATTGAATCAACTAATAATCCCCTAATTAATATTTTCCTTAAGTTTTTCTCAGCACTTGTCTGCCTTATATTGTCTTGATATTGTTAGGAGAAATTCTGTCTTGGTCACTCATGGGATTTAAAAGGTAATATTGTCTGACAACAACACCGTAAAGACTCATTTCAATCGGTCTTTTTTATTTAGTCAAAATGTCTGGAGAGCCTGAATAATACAGCTGTTTTCAAAAATGCATATAAAACCAAGGTTGCAAATAGTAACTATGTTGATAATACAAGATACACTGATCAAAGCAATGATTTCTAGTTTTTGCAAGAGCATGTATTTGAGTTATTTTCGTTTTCAATCAAATGCGTGGCAAGATGAGGGTGTGATATTTTTTCACTCACAAGTCTTCAACGAAGAAGGTGCAAGGTTTTTATTTACTTTTGAAAAAAAAAAAAAAGCAGGTCTTGCTTAAAAGCAAGTCTCTCCCATTAAAACTATCAGAGTTTTACAGCAGATTCTAACAATCTTTGTTAAAAGTAAGGAGCTATCAACAGCTTCTCCAAATTTTCGGAGAGAGCAGGCGCTGGCGCACAGCTGTTTTCTAGTTTTCAATCAAACGCGCGGCAAGACGAGGGTGTGATACAAGTCTCACAATGGAGAAGTTACGAATTTTTTTTTTTTTTTTTCTTTCGGAGAAAAAAACCAATTTCTTCCGAAATTTGATTGCCCAGTAATTTGGAAGATGAATCTGACAGCGTCAATGACGAATATACACGTAACCTGTTGAGCAAAAAAAAAAAAAAAAACAAGCAGGACAAAACGATGCGAAAAAATCTCAGCTCCCTAAAAAATTGTGGGAGGAGATTATTCAGTTTTTCGTGCTTACGAAGCGCATTGTTCTAAATTTTCTGTCAATGTTTTTTTTACTAAATTGTTTAATTTTCAGCTTCTAATAAGTTTTCAAATCGACGTCTCTACTCGATTTTATACGTCGGCGAGTTGGTGTCGGCGAGTTGGTCCGTCGGCGAGTTGTCCGTAAACCGTGAATAATGGTCTCCATCTTTTTTGCATTTTTCTTGTATGGAACTTAATCAATAAAAATGCATATAAAACCAAGGTTGCATAGAATAGCTGAATACAAGGGAACTTACACAAGCCTCTTCTGATAATAACTCAAGAGACAACCTGAACCTAGACCTAAAGCTCTCTTTCTTTTTTTCACCAATATCTTCCAATTTTAAGACTTCAAGAACATAGAAAACTCCATTTTGTCATCAAGTTTCAAATGAAACAATTCAATCTCTCTGTCACTAATAATACAGACCTGAAACAAACTTTCACTGCATACAGACCTAACCTAGCGACACAAAGTGTAAAAGTAACCTCAAAAGACAGGCCATAATTGACCCACACAGCCAGAGATTAATATTTCCTTCAATCCTGTAATTTTTCCTGCCCCCAAAACACTCAATAACTCCTCCCTTCATCCAAAGAAGTTGTTCATGACCCAAAGAGCAAAAGATTCCTTACAACTGCGGTGACTTGCTGTGGCTTCAAAGGATCAAAAACTGCAAATGGGACAAGTGAGGGTACATCTGTAGGGTCACTGACATTTGGTGTTGGTTCCTTCACAATCTGATAAGTCAGTGTAAACTGGATGTCAGGATAAACATCTGCATCTGTCACCCCTTCCTGAAAACCAAAGTGAGATCTAACATAAGCTTTTAATATCAAGCAAGATAAGTCCACTGTTGACACAAGCAAATATCTGGTCTTTGTGGCCCTTTTCAAGGTCGCACCACAATACAGTTCTCAAAAACATCTGAAAAAAAAGATATTAAAAAAAAAAGTTACTCACCCTTATATAAGCAAACCAGAAAAAGCAAGTATCATTGCCACCTATTAGCTCCGTTCGATTAATTTCGTTTTTCTGATTCTTTTGGAACAAAACTCTTGAGTCTGCTTCCCACTCAGGATCTGTGTCAGACTTCATAGTTAGAAGTACACCTGAAGAAACAAAAGTTTTCATGCTTACCTTAAATACATCATAACAAGTAGTTCATACTTGCCTTCCCTGACACTGCACAGAATAGCTGATGTTGGGAACAACTTACTTTTCAGGAAAAGGGCTAAATCTCCGGTTAAAATGACTTAAAACAGTAATGCAAAACATTCCTACTCTTGTGTATTCCAAACAGTTGGGAAATGTAAATACTCAATCATGGTTATATGCTGGTTTGTGTGAACACTTTCAATTTAATGTTTCTCCTTGTTAAAAATCCTGGAGATGTTGAAGTTCATGATAAAACAAAGGAAAAAAAAAAAAAAGAAAATGCAGTGACACTTTTCCTGGATAGAATACTTGTTATAACCAATGAAAGGTTATCCCCCTTCCTACACCTGCATTTCTAGGGATTTATGACCAACCACTGGTATTGATTTAATATACCCTAACATGAGAGTAGCATGGTGAGATCAAATTATTTTGCCCAATTACAAGGCACAATACCCCTTCTGAGGAAGGTTCCAACACAAAGGCTCATAACTCAAACTCAAACTATAACTTTAATTTTTCACAATATTCAGCCTAACTAACTCACCTATTTTTTCTTTCACTTTTCCTGATCTCTCAGTATATTTTGTACAAACTTTAATGTCAAAGCTGATTATAAAAAGAGAAAAGAAATAGAAGACTCTTTAACCCTTTAACTCCCAAGATCTGATTGTTAATTCTCCCTTCTAGCTGCTACACATTTCCTTGTAAATTAGTTATGAGAACTTGGTGCCAGATCAAGATAGCTGCAGCTTCTACCTGATAAGTTTGAATATTCTCATTACCTGTTTGCTGAATATTGTATAGATATTATAGAGAGAAGTTTTATGTTAATCACTTCTGAGAGTTAAAGGGTTAAGGAATATTGAAAGTAACTGTTCAACACATACAAAATGAACTGTAGCAATGACTAACTTTATTAATCTATCAGGTTAATATTAATAGTGTGTATACAAGCTTTTCCTGGCGTGACTGTTAACCATTTCACAATGTTCAGAGCTAGGGCTCATTTATAAGAAGAGTTTATCTCAAAGTGTAGTCTTACCATGATGTAGCAAATTGTTTATTTCCTTCCCGTTCAGTTTCGTTGCAGGTCTTACGGCCCTTGATGTCAAATGTGTCTGGGCTTATTGTGATTGTTGACGACATCGAAATGACAGGTTTTGCCCTGTAGCAAAAAAAAAAATATCAGTGAATATCTTTTTTGGAACAACTTCAATAGGTGCTGGGGAACTGAATTTGAGATCACCAAATGTCTAAGATAACCAACATTAATAAAAATATCTGGGATCACACCCTTTATTGACATACCTGAGAAGAACTGCAGTATCTGATTGATAAGCTCCGATGACAACATCTGGAACACGAATACACAAAATTCAATTTTAGTGAATTGTTTTGATGCCCTGAAACCTCTCACTGGTTTTAAGACCATCATCAAGAAACTACACTGACCTAAACTACCTTTTCTTTTCATAGAGAAAATAAAATGGCATTAAAATCACAGGATTTCATACAACCATATTTTTATTATCCTGACACCATTGATTGTATTTTCTAAATGATGATAATTCAATTCAGTTCCTATCTTTTTAAAAATTTAATTTTCTTTACTTAGTACTAAGTGTTTTTTATAATTGTAATCTTAGCAGGTCCACGTCATCTTTTTTTGCCATTCTCCTCACTGAAAGAACCAACTTTCATAATTGCATAAACATGTGCATATACATAAAAAAATTTAAAACTTATTAAATTTGTGTTTTCATTCTTTCTCTTTTCACAAACAACCATGATCATGGTGACATACAGAGAAAAGAGGCAACTAAAAAAAAATTACAAACTAGTTTGAAATTATTTTGACTGGAAATTTATTTCCAACTAAAACTGGTATTCAGGATAAAGTAAAATGCAAAGCCGACACAATCAATCAATTGTAACAAAAGTCCAGAGCCTCACCTGGGTAGCCATTGGTATCCAAGTCAAGTATTCCAGAAACAGAATATCCGAATGACTGAATACCTGCTGACACAGAAGAACCTTTGATAACCTACATGTAACCAAGAAAAAAAGAAAGTAACATTGTGATGTAGGCAATAATTTGGTTGGTAATCAATGCTGTTACTTTTACACCCTTGAATACCCTCTCTTTAGAGTGCCATTAATGTCTTCTTCAAACAGTGCATGGATGCTAAAATAGGGGAAAAAATTATCCCTAAAAAGCCTAAGACCACAGTGACTGTAACAACTATTTTGAACTGGTTCCAAGGGTTTGTTTTGTTTGTTTTGAATTTATGTTGGTTGAGCATTGCGACAGTATGGGAAAATCCTGTTGAAGTTTGAAATGGTATTTTTTGGTACTATCAACTGAGTTGATAATGTAAATTGGCCACTGACTGTTAAGAGTTTAAAAGCTGAAAATCTTTACAGTGGCCAATTGATGTTATCAACACAGTTGATACTACCAAACTACTTTGTTATACTCTCCCACTAACACAGCACCACAGTTGCTCTGACTAGAAACTTACCCCCTTTATTTATTTGAAGTTAAAAATAATCAGCTTTTTGCCAATTTCAGGCCCCCCATTCAGTTATAATTTTACTATTAAGACCATTTTGCTGCTTAACTTAAATATGAACTTTCAATGACTTGTAATGACCACCACACACACCTGCATTGGTGTTTCAACAAGGCCTTTTTCTGAGCCTCTGTAGATGTAAACTATGCCCTCGCCACTATCCTCATATGGAGCCCCAACAGCAACATCTTGTAGAAAAATCATTTAAAGATTATGTTGTGAGTTAACAGTCAAATGAACTTCCATTGTAACATGCCTTCCACAAGAAATAAATCATGTATATGGTACTTCTCCTTACAATAATTTATATCAAAGAATTATTATTTGTGCAACTAAGTGATAAGAACACACAATCTGACGAGTAATAGTGAGTTTAATTCTCTGAACTAATTTACAAGAAATAGTATAATAGCAAGAAGGGAGAATTTCTTATCAGATGTTAGAAGGTTACCCATACCTTGATATCCATCAAGATCAATATCACCAACAGAAGCAAGTGCACGTCCAAAATTTGCTCTCCAGCGATCCTTCCTTCCACCTGTGGGCAGTTTGTGAGAAAGAACCAAATTTCCATTTCCTTTATTTTCATACACATACACCCTTCCTTGCTCAGGGTATAAATCATCAGAATAGAAAGGTGCACCAACTAAAAGTTCTGAAAGTCTGAAAAAGAATGCAGAGTAATTCAAAGTAATAAGTGACATTGTGGTAACAAGATAAATTTTCTATTTTGAATTATTTTACTAAAATTCAAGTGACAGTTTTTGAAGGGCAGGCAAAACCAAAGAGCTGTAAAGGATATGCTTTGAATGGAGGGTTAAATTTACATGTTCTTTTACAGGGAACTAGTAACTTTCAACCCTCTGACCCCTAAGAGTGATTAGCATCTAATTTCTCCTTACAATATCACCTCTAAATCATACAATAAGGTCAGGAGAATAAAGGAAATGATAAACAACTAAAGAAGCTCTTGATTGAGAACAAATTCTCCTTGTCAGCACCTCAGGAAATGTATAGAGAACAGAATGGAGAATATGTAAAATGATGTTAGGGTGCAAAGAGATATTAGCTTTCGCCTGTTATGGCAAAATCATGAAACAAATCTCTCACCCATCGTTGTCGAGGTCCTCAGCACACAGAGCAATCCCAAATCCAGTTCCAGGTTGCCTACTGCCCTTTGCACCATCTTCAACTGGAGGCAAGAGAAGAGTGGGATCTTTTTGGAAATTTCCTGATCCTAAGTTTCTGAACACTGCCACCTTACAATCAAAAATGAATTAACAATTAAATCAACTGACAAATTCATAATGACATCAATTGACTGGTAATATATTGAGTGATGAAATTTAATCAATGGGTTGTTGCAGGAAGATTTAGCAAATAAAATGGCCAACAAGAACATTGACTAAAACCCTGGTTTTCTCAAAATTCCAGTCATTTCAAAGCTCAGGGTAGATTGAATCCCAAGCATTAAATTGCAACGACATTCTGGACATAGTACCTCCTAATCTCCTGACTTATAAAATCTTACTTCAACCAAACTATTTTTAAGACAAAATGCAAACAATGTGTTCACCAAATACAAATACAAATCATGACACAGTTTGATTGCTGAATCCTTATTAACAATACTAGTACACATTAAGCAGTGGACTCATCACCCAGAAATACTCCACATATTTTTATAAATTCCCTTAAGAATGAAATTAACAATAACTTTATTGATTTCTTTATAAAAGAAGTTATCTTACCATGCCATGGTGGTCAAATCTAGGTGCACCAGAGGCAACATCTGAAAAAAATAAAACAAACTATGAAGTTAAAGATAAGTGGTATGGCTAATTTTGAGAAATTCATAACTCAAGAGTAGATGATCACTATAATTGGATCACTTAGATGAAAAATTGGAAAATTCAGCTTTTCAGTGGTTACCATATGTTTTGATTTATTTAACGAACTCAGCCATTGGCAACATTAAATCACAAAATGTTCTGCAAAATTAACAGGTTAGTCACCATGAAGAAAAACAACAACAACAACAAATACATTTTTTCACTTGCCATGGCAACCACGTGCTTGGAGCATCATTGTATTGTAGAGGAAGATAGATTAATGACACTTCATTTGTTGACTTTAACTCAGTGTGTCAATAAATCAGCTCAAATAATTAACTCTAATGTCCCACTTATTGACAGGAGAGATAGTTAATGTCAATATTTTTATAGAATATTTTGTAAAGCACTTTAGAATATTTTTTAAATTTTGGCGCTTTAGAAATGTAAATTATTATTATTATATCATAAAAGATGAATGCAAAATGTACATTGTGCTTAGATGAAGGAGTGAGATGGACTTACCATTTGCACCTTTTTTAAAAAAGCTTCCCTGAGCAAGTGCATAACCTGCAAAGATATAATTATTGTGGTGTCTTGGATAACAATTTTTTTTTTAAATTTTGCTTCTTCTTGAGCTTGGTGAATAATAAGATCATGAAGTAACAACAAAGATAAGATATCAGCTTTGGTTTATCATTTTTTACAATTGAAAGGAATTGTTGAAATAATTCTTTGAAGTAAGATTCTTTAAACTTGTCTGTCTAGACTAGCATTGGCTAACCATGGACCAGGAGAAAATTGTCCCTGCTTAATTAAGATAAATATTAACCCTTTAACTCCCATGAGTGACCAAGACAGAATTTCTCCTTACAGTATCAATAAAGAAAAATATCAATTTGGGGATAATTAGTTGATCCAATACTAAATCCTCTGAACTAACATTATAAGCATTGTATGGTTGACAGTAAGGAGAATTACAAATTTGAGACAGGAATTAAAGGGTTAACTTCTTACTAACCAAGCCCATAAGGGTCATACTGAGAATTATTGGCCTAAGGTCATAACACTCTGGACTAAGTGTAATGAGGTCTGTAAAAAAAAAAACAACAACAGAGGGCCAATTTTTCTCTGTACGGCTTGAACAAGCAAGGCTAGTAAGTAGTTTATTATATGGCTTTCCCACCTAAATTGTTAACTTGAAGAAATTAATCCAGAAATAAATATACCTTGATATCCATATGGACTGTTATCTTTGTAGACTTCCTTCTGTTCTCTACTGTGATAAATAAATTCCCCTGAAACAAGAGACAAACAAAAAAGAAATACGGACTTTCTCTCACTGTCATCATTTTCTTTCTTTTTTTCGTTCTTTTTTTTTAAATAAATTGGTTTGGAGCAGGCTAGCATTGACGAAAAGCTTGAGTGTGTTGCACAATGTTACTGTCACCTTCACACTCGCATAGCATGCACAACTATGCAATTAGCATGAGTGCGAGCATCCTACTTTGTATAAATTATAATGATTTTGTAATGAATAAAGGTTGTCAGTTTTAACATGAAACTGTGCAAATAAGAAGTGCAAAATAGTATGACCCAAGCACAAAGTTCCTTGTGCTTGAATATTGGTCACATGATTATTTCTCAGGCAAAGAATGTAATTTACAACAAAGTGCCAAACCTTGATAGTTATACACTCCAGGAGCCCCTACCAGCGGCACATTTTCACTCAGCTGCACATTATCAGCCTGTGGCAACAAAAGAAAACATGAGGAATAACTAAATAAATATGTAGTAGTTAATGATGTTGTTGTTTTTTTTTTAAAGGCAATATTCTAAAACTTCTACAACATTAACAGCTCTGACAGAAATGAACTGCATTGAGAGTAACAAAAGTTGTTATACATTAGACTTACAAAGAAAAATCTGATTGGTCAAGAACATTCAATCAATATAAAATAGCTTGAAAAGTTGACACGATAAATTCATTATCTACAGCAAATATTGCATTTAACAAGTTCAAAATCTGCCTAGTTTCCAAGTCTCTTGCCTGTGTTCTCAAACTCTTTCAAACTCAGAAAAAAGTGTCTTCTTTCGCAGATTGTCAAAAAGTGTATAATAAAACAATTATTGAATTCAGTTTTCAGCCTGATGCTTTGGCAAATGACTCAGACCTTGATTTTGATAAGTCATGATATCATGCTCAACTTCATCCAAAAATTGCTTAATACTGAACTTATGTGAATATAAGGAAGATGTTGTAGGAGAGAGGAAGGAAAAAAGCGAGGTTGGAAGGGAGGAAGAAAAAATGCTGAGTAAATCAAAGGATGCAAATCATGGAAGAAGAGGAGGGCAGAAAATGAACAAAGAGGAAAGAAGGGATTTGTGGATTAAAGAAATGAAAGTAAAGAGGAAGGAAACAGAAACAATTATTATAGAATAAGCAAATGTATAGGAGAGGGGAAGGTATGGGGTAAGTATGGAGGTATGTGGTCCCAAAAAAAAAAAAAAGAAAAAAAGATCAAAAGCCATGTGAGATAACATTTCAACTTCTTGTGGCTGTTTATGGTTTGCAATAAAATCTCACCTTTAAGTGGGCAAGGGAAACTCCCATTTGACAATATTTGTGATCTTTGAAATTTATTGTGGTTGAACCTCCTTGATTTGCCTGATCTGTACAGAGATGAATGCAAAAAAAATTTTCAATAATAATTCACCAATGCACAATGGGGGATGGTTGAATTTCCAAGACAATTACTCACAGTAGCAGTTTGCTGCAACTCATAGACATTACACCTCTGAGCAGAGAGAGGCATTGTGAGTGTTACCTGCTCTGCTCCAGAACACAACATTATGACCCAACAGGAGTTCAAACCAATTCAAGAATCAAGGGTGCCCATTAAAAAGTGACAAATCTCACCAACTATAATTGCAAAGCAACTGAACAATATCCTTATTAGCTGCAGTTGAACAACGTATGTGACTTGTTGAAGACATTTAAATTACTAAGCTCTCTCCTGATTCACCTTTCAAAGAAACATAATTTCCTTGTAGAGTAGTTGATGAGAATTTATTGCTGAATCATGAAAATTCCATCTCAATAATAAGTTTGCCATTCTCATCAACTTGGAAACTGCTCTGACACCATAGGAAGAAACTATGTTACATTGTTTCATTCATTAACTGGAAACAAATGATGGTATGAACATAACATTTAAATTATGTATTAGTTCTGTAGGGGGGAGTTTAACCTTCACCCTTTAACTTCATGAAGTGATTAACAAGTAACTTCTCCCTATAATATCTAAACATTATCCAGCAAACAGGTCATAAGAATATTCAAACTTATTGGGTCGATAAGTCTTGGTCTGACACCAAATTCTCATAACTTATTTACATGGAAATCTTTAGCAGTTAGAGGGGAGAATTAACAATCAGATCTTAGGAGTTAAAGGTTTAAAACAAATGAACCTACTTTGATTCCTTGATTCACAATAGTCTAATGTTTTCCTCCTTCCCACATCTCCATCATCAATTGGTGCCCTTATGCAACGACCAGGGTAGGTATAGAAGGAGCCTTCTATATGAAGTAGTCGATGAGAGCATGCCTAGAAGTTATTTATAAAATATGTATGTAAAATGCTCTTGACTAGAGACCTTTTTTGAAAGAGCAACAACAACCTTTTCAAACCTTTTTAAGGTTCAGAGAAGTAATCATTCAAGGCTTGGAGGAGTGGTTTCTTGGTAAGTGACAAATTTTTGAGCAAAACTTCAACTACCTTTGAGGATATCATTAAAAAGGTTTTTCAATTTCTCCTAAATTCTGTCTCTTCCAGTATAGCTAGAGTATCTGTAGGATTTACTTCACAGCCAAAAAGCCAAATTTTAGTGAGTATTTTTTTTTAAACAATCACAAAGTGAGCAATCTCAAGCAAAGAAGATAACCCACTCATGTAACCAATCAGCACAAAAGATTGGTATTCTTGGTTGTGACATCATCTTCCTCCAATCCCACATGCATGGACCTCTTTTTTAACATTCAGGCAATTTTTTACCTCAAAAGTACCTACTGCTAGGGGTAAGTCCCTTTGTATGGATGTAAAATGAGAATTTCAGCCAAGAAATACCAAATTGCCATTTAGCAGATTTATCTTGCTTACCACAACATCAGCATCATGTCCTTCACTCATGACAGAAACTCCAAACCAACCATTTTCTTTCCTATCTCCATTTTGATTTCCTGCAAAACATGAAATAAGGAACAAATTTATCTTCCCAAGGAAAGCTGGCATCCTTTGAAAAATATATATATCTTTATTCTGTATATTAAAATATCAATTAAAAAAATGGGTTTAAAAAAATACCCTAACAATCCAAAAAAGTGTATGTTTGATTTCTTTGAAAGATTCAAAGCTTTGAAACTCTTTATGGTAGCCAATTTATGTTAATAACTCAGTTGATACTACTAAATTACCCTGTTATATTCTCCCAGTGGGGGACGCAGCACCACAGTTTCTTTGGGAACTTACCCCCTTACTCATTCCGTCAATCATTCAAATGAATAGAGGGGGTAAGTTTCTAAAGAAAGTGTGGTGCTGCATCAGTGGGAGATTATAACTGGGTAATTTAGCATTATCAACTGTAAATTGGCCACTGTTAAGCGTTTCAAAGCTGATGTTTCAAGCATTAGCCCTTTGACAGAGCAAATATAGGAATTGTGGGTTGTGTGTTCCTCTATTCTATCTGACCAAGGGCTAACACTCGAAACGTCAGCTTTGAAACTTTTTACTGCAGCCAATTTACATTATCAACTTAGTCGGTCATTCAGTCAGTCAGTCAGCTAGCTACATCATCATTCAGTCAGCTAATCAGTAAGTCAGTCAACCAATGGTCAGTAAATCTGCTAATCAGATTATTGATCAGTCAGTTAAGCAGTGAGTCTGTCAGATTGTCAGACAGTCAGTCAGTACATTGGAATGCCAGTAACTCATTCAGATCATTGTTCAGTTAATCAAAAATGAGTCATATTAATTTGAGACAATAAATGACTCATTTGGTTAGTTTTTCATTACCATAAACTAGACTATCAGTCAAACAGTCAGGTATTAAGTCAACCAGTCAACCAGTCAGTCACCTAGCCTATCTCAGGAGTACAGCTAGCAAAATAGAGTGCAATAGCAAAATTAAAAGCATGATAGCAGCAATGGAGCTAGAGACTAATATCAGGTCCAGAAAGAAAGGAAGATTTGGGTTGAGGGGACATTACACAACCCAAACCAAAGCTCTCCTTTTCTCAACCAGAACCGAGCCTCCCCCATTTCCATTTTGCTACCCATGTGAAAGGAATAAATGTATGTCTACAAAGCAAAAAACATTGAACTCTACAAGATGCAAATCAGAATCACAATATATACAAAGAATTCCAAGGGGTCCCCTTTTGGTTGCCATGGCAAGTGAAAAAACAATATGGCTTCTTACTCTGTTATGAATTTTGCAAATTTTTGCCACTTCTATTTATAGAAATGTAATTAGCTATGTTCTATTGAGCTAAGTGGTGAAGGCCACAGTATCTATGTTATGACACATTGCACAAGTGTCCCAAATATTGTTATTTATTCTTAGTGACTTATATTTCATTTAGGTAAAAATCCTGACTCAAAAGTAATTGGAGCTTGAAACCCTAATAAAGCTGGATGGAAACTGCAGTAACATTTTTTCTGACTGAAAATTCAAAATATCCCAAGCAAGTTTTAATAAAAAATTAAAAAGCCAAGCCATCAAGAGGATGAAAAAAATTTCCACACAATTCTACATTTAAAACTGACCAATTTCTAAAACTATCCAAATGAATCCATCATACATTCTTCACTTGAAATACACTGAAATTTTTAATATCCTGTACTGTAATTGAGAAACTTAACTCAGAGATTACCCCCAACAAAGTCAAATATTCACTTTCAGAAAGTCCCTTCCTTACATACCACCCAGTGGGAAAATAATGGTAATTATATTGTTAATAAGGGTAATCCAGGTGATTCCCCTATCAAATCCCAGTAGGGTGATTGACCCATGCTGGGATACCAAATCAAAGTGATAAGTGAGAAAAAAAAAAAACAGAGGTCATCACGAACAACAATAAATATTCCCCTTCAGGCATTATAGACTTGATATCCACATCATATCTGACTGGCATAATTAAGAAAGTCAAACTTAATCAAACTCAAGTGATATACTCTTTGTGATAAAAAAACTGTGTACATTGGTATTAAAGATGATAAAAAGAAAGAGATGATGAGATTAATAATGAATGAAAGCAAATGAAACTTGGGATGAAAAGAAATCAGCAGAAATAGCCACAAAACAGATAAAATACTCCAAACAGACAAATCAAACTTATATCCAAAGCTTTTTTTTTGTTCTTTCATTTCGTTTGTTCCCTTCTTACAAAATAAATATTTGCCTTAAAAATGATGAGTCTGATGAAATTGAGGCACTCACGTAACCAGCTGAGATCATTTAAATGCAATATCTAGACAGGATAATTTTTTTTTCCACTTTATACATTCCCCGTTGACAGTGGATAATATTTTTGCAGTACAGGTAAATGTATTTACATCAGCAACGAAAACGTGAATCTATGATTGGTCAGAAATATAAGCTCCCCTATTAAGGCAGTGATACTTATCTCACGAACATTCAAAATAAATTCACGATGGCGAAAAAGCGTTTAAGGGGGGCAGAAGTTAATGAAGTAAGCGTGAAAGCAAACCATCCAAACAAAAAATACTCTCTCACAAAGAGATAAAACGATTTTTCCATTAGCAGAAACGATAATGGGCCATAAAAGCCTAATTTCTGGCTGTCTACCATTGCAAATGTAGGAAATTCGCGATCTATTTTGATTAAAAAGTCCATTAGGGAAATATGATTTTTTGAACTTTCTAAAAATAATGTTCCAACCTTACGAATGAGTCATTACGTTATTAGTTTGTTTTATTGATGGTGTGAGGCTAAAATGATACTAGAAAATTCTTGGCAATCGACCTAGACTAATATTATTCAACCTACGAAAGGAAAAACATCAATACGAGACGATGACTCTAAGAAGTCTTTAGCATAAAAATTAAAGATGGGCTGCGAGCCATGCATAAATTCGCTTAAAAATGCAAACTTTGCTTCACCACCGCAAGCAGCTGCCTCGCATGAAGCCGCAAAAATAAATTTATTTAACAATATCAGTATAATCGATATTGTTCTAACAGTGGCAGAAATGACGATAAGATGTCAGCTGTGTTTTCCTTTGTTTACTAAAAGAAAAGGCAACACAAAAGTCATTCGGTAAATACTCATACAATTTTCCATCCAAGCGATCGGCTCTTCGCAGCTGGCACAATAGAAGAAAAGTCATTAATCTGCTCCCTAGTGAGCTCACGTGAAAACAAAGGCAGTCCTCATTCACGGGATTGGAAAATTTTTTGTCATCGACAGTAATGGGAAGCTCTCTCCATCTGTGCACAGAAAGAACTGCTAAAACGCCTAACAGTTGACGCATGTATGTCAAAAACTAACTGACAGTGTCAAATTGACGGTACTTTAAAGAGAGAAAGGCACTTTTGTTTGACATAAGTTGTTTTTACCTTCTTTAGTTAGCGTTATTGACATAGGGGATCACGATTTTCAAAACATCGTACACATTACATAAACCGCGGACCACATATTCAAAGTGGTTCGAATTAAAGGAAAGCGAAAGATCTGTTTTATAGCTTCATCCTGCTAGATTTCCCTTTCCACGCAGGTTTCACAGGACAGATTCAAACTTTGACATTTCTAAAGTACAAGCCCAATAGTGAATTACTTTAGCAGGTTCTCCCATAGCTGATCAAAGTAGACTGTTGATCAATTTAGACAAGAATGCTTGAATGAATTTGCTCAAATATTACAATAAACTCTACTCTCTAAACTGCCTTTTGTTTAAAATTTAGTGACACCGGCTTAGAAAAAAAAAGACAACGGTAATTCCGATGGAATTTAGGACATAGCAAGCGTGCATAACACATCACGTAGCTAAAATTGTCTGTCCGTGACTTCCACGACTACCGCAAAAAGGAATTCATCGGAACGCTGCAAGGGCTAACACGAAGCTATTATAATTTCAAAACGCTATTGAGGACTTCAAAGTCAGCTGAGAATGAAGCTTACCTCTATTGACAAGTTCCAGCTCTGAGCACTGCGGATATGTAGCAAAATCGCATTTGTATACAACTCCGGGACTTTCAATTTGCGGCAAAACCGAACTGTTGCCTTTAGGGGCACCGACCAGAATCCTGCAGAACAGACAAATATTTCAAAATTATTCACAAGTTCGTCTCGTGAAAGGTGGCCAAATAAAGCCATACTCCTACCAAGAATGATTCCTCTTCGTCGTGAAAAGATCCTCATACGAGTGGCTGGCAACAGAAAATCCAAAATAGCTCCCCGTATCACCTCGTCTAATTACTGGTAATTCAGTCTCTAGGTTATAGCCAAAGGAATGTTGAATAATGCAGGATAGAGCAGCGAGTAGAAGTAGCATCTTGAACGCGAAAATGAAAAAACAGATTTCCGGCTGAGACTTTGCTAGTGAGTCTTATTCAGCAAAGGAACAAGTGATCATCTCGATTCGTTGCCGTGCAAGCGGCTGCGTTACTTCATCACGTTACGCATGCCTGGCGGACACGAATAATCGAAATTCCCAACGTGACGCGGTCGCACCCAAATATCCTACGCCTTTTGAACCGGAAATCGCGCAAAAAAAGTCCGTGATCTAGACTCTTTCTTCATCTAGATCGTTCTCGCCAAAATACTGCTTTCTCTCGATAAAAGCACTTCGTTAGGCCGCGGTATTATGTTGAGTCAAAAATAATCCAAAGAGCGGTTGTGTTTGCAAATCATTTCGCGCGCTAAGTGTAAACTTGTTCAAGAGGCTTGTTGATATTCAACAGTCAATCAACCAATTGCATCACTGACTTTTTACAACAGACTTTTACATTAATTCTGTCTTGGTTGATTTCACTCCGTAGTAACCAGAAATTAATATATAATTGTCTAAAACAGTAATGTTGCCCGATTATTCTCAAAGGGAATTTAAAATCGCTTTTATTCCGGGCCTCATGTTCGAGTTGTCCTCGGAATGTGCGCAAGTGTTTATCTTAGGATTACAGAACAACAGGAAAACAAAATCCTCTTGAATATAATGAACAGAAATGCCATGTTCCTGTTTTCCATCTTTAGCCAGTAGTTTGCGGTGTGATGTTGTGTTATGGTAATGTAAGTCGGGAGGCTTTCTGATGGTTCCATAGCTCCTGCTGATGGCTTAAAGTCTCGCAAACTCCCCCCACCGAACAGGGCATTTTAACTTCCAGACTCTTTTCCGCTCGATTATGATCAGCAAAAATCAAAGGTTAAAAGAATGGCTGATATGACTCGTACTTTAAACATATGAGTCACAAACTTTCTTCAGAACAAGATGTACTCTCAAATAATTGACTTTTTCGCTTTTCGTGTTCGTCATGTATAAATGTATGATAAAATAATTGCATCCATGTCTACCACTGAAAGTAAACTTACTTACAAAAAGCCGATAAGGCTTTTCAACAATTTTTCTTTTCTTTAATTCACCAACAAACAGGCCGCCCCTTAAAAATCCATATCAGCGTTTTTATCGATGAATACGTAAATTACAAAGGTTAAAAAGCCAAATTACTAGGGCAATTTTACTTAAGAAGAGTGAATCGATAACTCAGACGACAAAGTCGCCGATGAATTTGATGAATTCAGTAATTAAAAAAATAATTTTCAGCTCCACAAATATTGAAACTCAATTTAAAATCTCATCGCCATTTTGTCAGTCGCAAACGGAACAATTTAAAAATGTCAATCACGTGTTTGAATGGGTTTCTTTTTTCTAAATTAGTAGAAAACGTTAATTACCACGGTGTTTGTTGAAATTGAACGGAAATAAACCACAAAAGTGGGTGTTATTAGACAAAAAAGACTGATGGCAGATTTCAAGACAAAAAAAGATTGTATTCACTGATGATGGAGTCACTGATAAAACTGAGGAAACTATTTTAACCAGGGAATTATTCCATGATCTAAAACAAAGAGAAAATCCGTATGTAGCTGGACTTGAGAAAACCTTCATAATTTTAAGAAAAGTAACAAAGATAAGAGTCTTTGGAGATTACTGTTAATCCTGATAAAAAAGAGTACCGCCGATAAACGGATCTAAATTTGCAAGGAAAACTGTTCTAACAAGGGGTTTGTCAATGCAAAGAAATTATTCATACCTTGATATAAAACGTGAAACATCTCTGAAAATATTACCTCTATTTGAAATTATTGTACCGCAACTGATACAAAGTTGTACCGTTCAGCAGTTAATTAATGGAGAAAGAGTCGCAACAGCGAGGAGTTGCAATGGATTATTACTTTTGCTGCGATTTGCTCCCCCAAGCTTATAAAGAAGTAGAAAAGGTCATTCGTGATTTTCCTTCACCGATCAAAACACGTTTAAATAAACCTGAAGTTACATCCACGTTTTTTTTTGTGTTCGTCGCAAAACAGCTGCAATCAATGACGTCGTTAAGAACTAAAACTGTTGCCATCTTTATCCGAATTTGACTTTCGCCCATTAGAGAAGCGCCGAAAAATCGACATTTTTAAAAAAGCTTATGCAGTCAGTCAGTAAATTTATGTCAATCTTTAGTTGCTGAACGAATCAAGGTCGAAATATTTCGTAGGAGATTAATTAGGGCTCCTTTTCTAACTCGGCCACACCCATCTAAAGAAAGTTTGTCAAATCTGGTTCTTAATCAATGAATTTAAAACAGCGTCCAGCTAAAATCATTTTAATCTGCGCATTCACTAAACATCTGATTTCATCCATTTTCATTTCACCTTAAGTTTCCGTGAGTAACCTGGAAGTTGCCGATAACAGACATAAAAGGAAAGTTTTGCTTCGCCAATATTTTGTGGACTGTCAAATTTTTGGCTGGTAAAAATTATATTCTTGTTTTGATCTGCAAGAAAGGCAGAACGATACAGAAACCGGAAAAGCTGATAAACAAAAATAGTTTTGAATACTGTATAGCTGAGACTTTGTGATGCGGGAAATGAACGCACCATAAGCCAGTAAACTGGGGACTAGTCAGTCGATTTCAGGTCAACTTTACTGTAACTTATCTTACTTTCATCGACCCATGACGGCCAAACGGAGATTCCAGAAGGTGAAATCTATCAGTGAAGGTCGCGTTTACAAGATTCAATCAGTTTGGAGTCTCTGTTGTTAGCTTAAGTCACCGACGTGACTGTTGAAATGATTCTCGGCGGATGATATTGTCTAACACGCCCTGTCTGTTTGTAGTTTTGTTTTTGTAACTAATTTTTCCTTTTCCTTTTTTTTTTTCTTTGAGAATGTAACGCGCATTATTTGTAGTTCGTTTCTCTGTTCAAAACATCGCAGTGGCCTCTAAGAAAACTTAAAAAGAAGAACGGGAATGGAGGGGAAACGAGCAAAATATTGAATGAAGATCTGTCAACTCCTCAACTTTGAAAATTTCGGGTCACGTAATGATGAAAAGTGTGTGAGTTCCGGATTAGAAGTATTATCGACATTCTTCTGATATTAACGAGGGTTTCCGACGCAAATGTCAGAAAGACATCCTATTAGTCTGCGACATTTAGGGATGCCACCATAACCACAACTGATAAAATTAGCTTCGTCGCGTGGTTGAGGCGTGGGGGGAAGTAGGGGAGGGGGGAGAGGATGATGCTTAAAACTGGGTATTTCATTTAAAATCTCAACTCTCGGACACTTTCGGCGACTCTTGAAAGTCCTAAAACAGACAATCGCAAGGTCAATCTCTCTGTATTTGAGGTTTTTCCAGAATTACTGCTTGTTTGAAAGCCTTTTTTAGATGAACGACGAAAAACTGAGGCTGTAAGGAATCGGGAAGGCTTAGTCATGGTGGTGCCACCTTTAACGTTTTCAAGGGTGAAAATTTTAAAGGGTATTTGTGTGAACTTGGAAAGGTGAAATTTATCTTTCAATCCGTTTATAGCCCGACGCGACGTTTTTTGTCTGAGCCTTTTTTTTTGCACGTCTTAGAAACTCATGTAAACAATTCAAGTTTAAAAGCATTCTGAAAGGCGGGCTGTTGGTGCACACAACTTCGATCTGCTCTCTCGTGTGCGCTCGGCAAAAACACGTGCGCGCGCGTGAGAAGACAACGTGGAAAACATCGCACAGAAAGTTAGGAATACCGCTAAATCAAATAACCATGTAAATTTCTATCTTTTTTTTGTAACAAGAGGAAGTAAAAGATTAAAACTAACTTTCTTACTTCTACCTTTTATCCTTTTTATTAATTTTTTTTTCTGGTGAAGGAATTATTCTTAGAGCCTTTCCTTCGCAGGGCAAAATACGTTGCCTGTACAGCACAATCTGTTTTTTCTTTTTTCATAAGAATCTTTCTTTTACAAGATCGTTTAGGTTGAGATTAACCAAAAGTTTAAGAACATATCCAGGTGTTTTAAGAACGTCTTTATTTTCATCATTTTTATTTTCGAGAAGTAGAAAATAAAGGTTAAATGAAATGTAAAACTATGTGGTTTAACAGGCCAATTAATTCAAACAATAAGGGACATTTTTTCAGCTTTAATAATACGGTTCTCTTACTGCACGATGCACTAAACCTTAAGAACATGTTGAGAACGTTTTCTTACCGCAAAAAATTAAAAAATAAAGGAATAAGGAACATTATACACGTTTTTATAAAAAAAGTGTGAAATTGTCCTTAAACGTTAAGTCTCTAGATTTTAATGAATAGGAGTAATGACGCAAATGAAATCCATTTAAAAGAGAAACCAATTAAAGATATCATAACATTGTAAAGTACTTTCTTTCTTTGAAGAATGACTTTACTTCGAAGTTCGCAACTTCGCAGTTTTGATATATTTTCTTTATCTAAATTAAACTGAAATCCTAAAATGATACTTTATCTAAAAGATGGAATAATTTAGCTTCTCTTGATGTAGTCGAATTTACCGAAAATTGAACCATCAGATTCAAATTTGGATTATCGACCGGAACTTGACTTAATAATGCCAATTTGTGCTGGAAATGGAGTTGCGCTTTACAAAAAGGACAATTAATCATCGAACGACTCCAGCGGGTCTGTTCACCTTAGATGTAAAGTAATACCAACAAAACCCCGGAGGCTTCTTTTCCGCAGATGAAAATTTCTCTTTTTGGATCGATATTTGCGCAACACAAATCAATAATTATTATTATTTCCGTTCAGAGTAGAATAGAAAAGGTTTTTTTGCTTTTTGAATTTGTATGAGTTTGCGTTCTTTATCTTCCTGCATTTGGTTGGGGATTTTAAGTCTAAGGTTGAGATTGCGCAATGATTTCTACGTCATGAAATGCTGATTTTCCGTTTACATCTTCAAAAATTGTCTTTACCAGTAGAAACCCAATATTTAATAGTTTTTCAAAATGGACAAACTAAAAAGAGACAGGAAGACATGAAAGGAATGAGGAGATTTAGCTTATTTCAAGGTGAATAAGATTCACAAGAAAAAAAACGGAGATGAAGCTTAAACTATCTAGACATACACAGACTGCGACTTTCGGTGTTTGTCGACGTGCAGAAATATTGAAATTAGATCAATATAGAGCAGGCGGAGATTTTTCCAGACTTAGTAAAAATATCTTCTGTAAGGAAATGTAATATATCGTGATGATGTTGGTCACTTTCGTTTGGAAGAAAACCATTCATTTATTTTACAATATGAAACTTGTTCTAGATACTCACTAAGTTAGAATTCCTTCGGGCGACGATCTTATCAAAAATAAATTAAGTTGAATAAATTCACACTAAAATTTCTAAAATGTTTTAAACTATTTTAAATTATTTCTTTGCATTAGTTTTACTAGGCCCTCACAAGATAGGAGATCCTTTCTGAGCCCTAACCCTAATATCTTCCTCTACCTTCGTCTGCGGAAGTTTACCTAAAAGTTTTTATTTACATGAACTGGAGAAATCTCAATCACCAAACGGTGAGAACAACCGTAGCTTTGGTGGCCACGGAGAAAATAAATACCAATAACTAAACATGTCTTCAACACCGAAGACAACTCCAGAAGGAAATCAAGAAAAAAACCTCCTCGAAATAAATAAGTTAGAGACCTTATTTTAGGAGAGGAAAGCGTAATAGAAATACCATCACTGACAAACCTACGGCCCCCTCTCTTGCAAGTTACCACTTTAAAAATAAGTCTTGTTTTCTTAAATAATTATGTTTTAGGTTTAAATAAGTGCGATGATCATTTCTTCCGCGTTTGTCCATTTGCAATGCGCCTTTTCAACATTTCATACAATTCCTTCGTAGTGCCTTCTGTTGTTAATTGTCAAGTCTCGTTCAGCCGATCAATCACGCAATGACCCTGACCCATGCTCTACTTTCTCCTCAATGCTCAATTGTCTCGTTTTCGTCCTCGCTTATTTTCTCATCTTCATCAGCAACAATGTCACCTTTGACGCCCTCGAACTCTATCCACATGTCTACGAAATTCAACATAGGGTCAGGTGAAGTACGTCATGGAAGTAATTACACTAGAACATATTTAAAAGTCCGAAAGGGAACGTTTCAAAGTATGTAACTCTCACATTTGCACAGTTCGTGCAACAAAAATCTAAAAATAAGAGAGATGGTAAGTTTTGAGCTCGGTAAAGAAATAAAGAGAGATGCATTTCGTCTTGTCACGAGCGTGGGACAAAGAAAAAATTCTGAGTCCCCATGAGGGATCGAACCTCAGACCTTCGAATTCCGCGCTCCGACGCTCCACTACTGAGCCACAGAGACCCCACGGTGAGCGAGGTCTATAACGAAGTTATCTCTCTTATTTCCATCTACAAATATTACGCTATCGACATTGCTGATCCTCGCAGTATGCAGGACGCGTGTCATATAGAACTCGCTCAGCTTGGAGTCTCTGTGGCTCGTGGTTAGAGCGTCGGAGCGCGGAATCCGAAGGTCTGGGGTTCGATTCCTCATGGGGAATCACAATTTTTTCTTTGTTCCACGCTCGTGAAAAGACGAAAAATATCTTTCTTTGAAAACCTAAAAGTTAAACAAGACCGGTGAAAATCTCAAAAACGTTATATTTGTACCATACCTGTTCCAGCGATGGCCTTGGTACCCTCCGTGGGAAATTCGTACGGCTTTACGTCTCCTCCTTGGAGAGTAAGAAGCACTAATGGCAATACGCTTTCATAGCCAAGCGCAATACACTGACCCTCTCCCACGGGATGAATTGCTGTCACCTGCAAAATTGAGGAAAAGGAATTGTCCACATGCATAGAGGTTGAAAGCGTTTTCGGGTCTTTCAACACCTCGCAAAGTGCTTTCTAAGGAATACAGCTTACAATTAGACTCAAAACTGGTAAAGTTTTTAGCTGACCTCAAATTTGAGCTCAAAAGAACGCATCATTCCTCAGTATCAGACATAACTGCCTTCTGAATACATGAGAAGCAAATCAACTTCATTGCGTCTAACTCGTCTTCGTCGTCGTCGTCTCTTCCTTTTCAGACACGGCCACCGGCTAGTCTAGTCGGCTAGTCTCTCGCGACCCCGGCGGGGCCACAAGAGACGAGCACTACCACGAAGGAGGGAACGATGGGTAGGTAGAGGAGAGAAAGAAGAAACTTGGTTTCTCCCATTTTGCCCTGCGCATCTCTCGAGCACTTCCGTCGTTGATATTTAAAAGAACGTAGATTACTGGGAACGACTAAATAACAGCATTTTTTGCACCTCAGTGGGAGCACGTCTTACCTTATCTGCGGTGAATGTCGCCTTCTGTGCGCCCGCTCTCATGTCCCACATGATCAGCGTCTTTTTGTCATAAGAAACCACGATGTCTCCTTTGGAAGCCATGATGTTAATTCGCAAATTGCTGAAATGGTTGCTGGGAAGAATATGGATAGGGGTTCCTAGATTGCGAGAAAAACAAGCAAAAAGTTATTTAATAGAGAGATAAATGGCAGGATTAAAAGATGACACATGAACTCAATAAATACTACCCGCGGAAGTCAGGGGAGAGTCTATCAGTGATGTTGCAGCTTACAACAGGGCCCAGGTTTACGCGGCCGGGGAAGCCCATGGACTAAGTCGAGAGATATTCTATGATACTCGAATTCATGCCCCATGACAAGAGAGCTTACCTTCCTCGATATCCCAACAAACAATGTTCAAATCTTTGTGTGCTGTTATCACTCGGGTGTTGTCCAAAATTGTCAGAGAGATTGTGTCTGTATCATTTGGGTAACGCAAATCGTGCAGTAACTCCTCTGAAATTTTAAAACACACTTTTATGTTTAAACATAAAACGGTAAAAACGAACGATACAATCCGACGTTTCGGAGTAGTCATGACTCCATTATCAAGGTAAAAATATATAAGATAATGCAAATTACAGCATTTAAAGCGATTTTGGCGCGAAAAATTAACATAATATACACTCGCCCGAATGGAGTCTGATTGCACGTTGAGATTTGGCTTTAAAGCTCTTATAAAAAGCATTTCGTACACTAAACAGTCAAATTTGTTTCTGCATTTCTTGAGCACTTCGAAACGCTTTAGCAGGTCCTGAGGCATCGTCCCGTGCACGTTTATAGCAAGTCGGTTATCTAAACCATGTGATAAATTATCGTGAGGAAAAGAAAAGTACCTAGTCATACTCACTTTTCCTCACATCCCACACCGCCGAAACCCGGATATAGCTCTCTTTTTTCCCTTTCTTCGCACTGGACACAAAATAGTCACCGTCCGGTGTAAAGCCAGCGTGTGTCAGTGTTAGTCTCTCACACCCCTCCCTCTTGATAACAAAAATTTGCTCTCTAGTCTCCAAGTCCCACACGTGCAATTGGTCGGCCGGCTTGGGTGCATCCCATACGACGACTGTTCCTTCTGAGTTCACCAGAAATGAACGGATATCATGGCCTGATTTTAACATGGCCACTTGGTCTCCCGTTTCGATGTCGTATAGCGTCAAATGTTTACGATCGTGTGAGTAGGTAAGGATTTCAGTGTGATCGTTCACAACACAGACATCGTCCACACCGAGGAAATCATAAGGAGGGATTTTTCCTTTAAGGACGTTGACAACCCTCCACGTATGTAAGTCCACAATTGCTACGTTTTCTTTGACGCGAATAGCAGCTCTTCTGTCGTTGATGATCTGAAGGTAACTCGTTGTTATACCAGTTACTTTGCGTAGTGGTAACATGGTCGCTAAATCCCATATGGTCACACAGAAATTGTCAATCCCTAATCGTCCCAGCGTTACCAGGTGTCGAGAATCACCAGGAATGGAATAAATGTTCAATACTGTCTCGGGTTTTTCTACTTGTTGATGGACATCTTCTCGGGTCAAGTCCCACACTCGGACGACATTGTCGCCGCCCGATGTTAAAATGACGTCATAGCCGACAGCAAAAACCCTCGAAACGAAGTTAGGGTGGGGTAGGACATCTTTTCTTTCGCCGCTTTCGAGATCAAGAAGGGCGACTTTATTTTCTTTAGGAAACACAAGCATATTCTGGGCGGGGTCCAGGGACAAGTTTCGAATCCAATCGTCTATTTTGCATTTGTATGTTCGCAAATGCTCACCACTGTCGACCGAGTACAAATCTATCTTCATTTTTTTGGCAACAAGGACTTCTTTGTCAGATTTCATTGCTACTTGGGTAAGATGAAGGAATTCTTCTTCGTCCTTCTCACTGAAAACCTTTATCGCATGAAGAATTTTGTAGTCAGACGTATCGATCACCTTCAAAGAGTTTTCATCTTCTTTTGAGTTACATATTACGGTGTCGTTCCAGGAGGTTAGTAAACTGTTCTGACCTGCGCCACCGACTGGAAAGATGCTTGAAAATTGGTGCAAAAACTTTCCAGAGGAAGCAGAGATGACGTGTAAACCTTTTTCTTTGAGGAAGACCACTTTAGATCCCTTTTCCCCGGCTAGTGTAAACGGAGGACAACCCTCAAAGAATTTGACTTCCACTCTATTATTCAAATTCACGAAAAGGAAAAAAACCAAGTTATGTTACGTCCATAACTTTGGTAAAATCACAAGCAACTGAATCTTAGATCAAAAAGCGTGTCCATAAGTTGCGACAAGTTTAAGTTGGTAAGATGTCGGTTAATATAATCATAACGTAGGATTATAGAGCAATTTTCAATTGAGTTGTTTTTGCTTTGCCTCGCTCTCTGATTGGTCCAGGAAACTCGCACCATTCTCTCCACCATTGAGACGCAAATCGACTACTAATCGTGGCTAGAACACCCGCGTTTTCCCGCGCGTTTTCCCGCGCTTTTGCCGGATAGTTTGCCTGTTTTACTATGAGTTCTCAACGGCTAACGATAACGTTTTCTTTTGTTATGATTAGGCGTAGTGATCACTTTGGTTTCGGTTATTCGACGATCAATTGATACTGTTCTCACAAAGATAAAAAAAAAAATTCAAAGTAAAAACACGGAAACAGCACGCAGCGGGGGAAAAGGTAAATGACCTGGGAGTGAAGGGTTTGAATTCTGAATCCAATGATTATATTGTGAGGGTGGTGCATGTTTTCTGGACCAATGACAGAGAAAATTAAAGTAAAACCAATGTACTCACGGATTACCATCGACTGTAAAAAATTGAAAACACCGCTATGTTATGACTAACATGGCAAAAACATAACTACTGCAATCAAATATCACCTTTGAAGTATTTCTCCAGTTTCAAACGAGATCAAACTAATTCCAGTCTTAGAAGACACGATGATGACGTCATCGTCACAACCACACGTGATCATTCCAATCTCATCCCCAGCCTCCGGAACGGTCAGGAACAACGAGCCGTCGTTATTGTCCCAGACCTTAACGACTCCCTCTTGTGAGCCTACACCAAAAAAAAAACGATTAGCTGGGATCTTATTTACAGTTAAAAAAAAAAAAAACGATTGGTAGAAAAAGTAGGATTTATAGTCCACGTTTAAAAACTAACCTGAATAAAAAAAAAATGGAATTGTCGTTGTTTAATAGATGTTTAGTATGAGTTACGTTAAGTTAAACAAGCAACCCCTCCTGAATTTCAGGATGAGGGCGAAATAGTGTCTCCAATGGGGTTGTTAAGAGAATTGGAGTTGATTTTTAAACTACGAAATGCTAGCGAGTAAGGAAAGTAAAATACCTGTGACAACGTATTTTCCGTTGCTAGTTGCCGCCAATCCATACAACACACTAGCGGAGTTAACCACGAGTGTGTGAACCAACTGTCCGCCTGGGGGGGTTAAGAAACCTCTGGACGGTATGAGTGCCGGCTCTGGAGGGTTGCGAGAATCCTGGACTAGTTTGGCTAGGACCTGATGATGAAAGCGTGCAACCAATTACAAGCGCGGGAAAACATATAACCAGTGATTTGCGCGGGACAACATACCAGTGACATGCACGGGAAAAGATATAAATCGCTTACATGAGCGGAAAAACATTTGAGCGCTGACATGCGCGGGAAAACATGTAACCAACCAAAGACACGCAAGGGTAACATGTTACCGTGGACGAGCACGGGAAAAAAGTTACCGGGGACATACTTGGAAAAGAATATAACCAAAGACAAGCCAAGAAAAAAAACAAGTATTCAGTTACTTATGTGACTGACCTTACAATGAAGGCACTGATTTGCTTAGAGTCACACACTTACCAGGGATAGATTGGTTGGAACAACATGAAATGGATCCTGCACTTTACACTGAAACAAAACCAAAAAATACCCACATAAGTGTTGAAAAGCTTACAGAGGCCAATTGTACTAAATTAAACAAACGAAACGGAACCTAAGGGAAATACGAAAGCTTCAAAATCAAAAGATTTAGAATATGTTAAATAATCTCTTGAGAAATAAGCATGCGAAGTTAAGAGATACAACAATACCGTGTCGAATTGCGAATGGAAAGGAAATTCAGGCTCTTTGATGTAAAAAATAGGCAAAAGAATCGTTAGATCAGCGTGTAAAACGTTGTGGATTATGAAGATATTCTTTCGGATATAAAGATATCTTCTCGTACAGCAAACGAAAGACAGAATAAACCATGATTACAGCTGCAAATAGGACACTGAGAGCATTACCTCGTAGAGCCTGCCTACAAACTGCGCTGGTAATTGGTTGAGGTCGCTCAAAATAGCGTCTTGTGCGAGTTGGAGAGTTTCTGCAACAGCGGCAATGTCTGGATCATTGAAAGCGTTCATAGCGGAATGGAAATTATCCAGCACCGACCTTTAAATTTGACAAACAAAAAATTATTGCTGTATCACTGGTGAAAAAAAAAAATTGCAGCAGATGTGATAGCAAGGTTCGCATATATTATCTCCAACGCAGTTAGCTTGCGAGCAGTTCCTCGTCAATAGCTCTTCGGCACGAGCGGAGGTCTTGGGGAAGGCGAGCTGGGGAGAGGTCTAGGAATGGTCTAACATATTTAATCATTAGCGCCAGACCTCTGAAAAACCTCTTCCCGACTCGTCCCGAATCTTCCCGCAGGCGGAGAAATGCTCCCCGCAGCGTAATGATGAGGGCAGGCTCGCTGGCTACAACAAATTAAGGGTTTTTTTTTTAATCTCCTTTCCTACCTCAATGAGCGCACTTCTATCTTGGTACTTAGCCACTCAAAGTTGCAGAGAACTTCACTCTTTAGCTCATCTAGCATCTGGCTGCGAATCAGTTGTACGGGAAGTTCATGAAGTTTTCTTAAATTGTAACGACCTTTGGATAATAACAGGGGCTGTCCTGAAATACTCGCTAAACGCACTTGCTTGCCGTGAATCAGGGTCGTTTCTTTGGTGTCTTCCTCTGTAAACAAAAACAACGTTTCTTGACGAGAAACCGCGGAGTTTCCACCTAACAGGTGCTGTTTCACGTTACCTAATGTAACTCCCTTTGGTTTCCCTGATTTACTATGACATTCGCAGTGTGTTAGTGCTTAACACAATGGTGTTAACTCTGGTGTTAAATTACTCTGCATACGAACTGAAACTTCAAAAGCGTGACTTGTATGCTAGAATCTAAACGCAAGGGCACTTTTTCTTTATTTCAAAATTATGCTGGTTTATAAAAAGCTTCGACAGCTTTTATCTAAAAGGAATTACCCCAGCATGGTTACTTACCAACGTAATTTCTTCCCAAGAAGTAATCAGCAATATGGGTGTGTAAACGCTTCTTCTCCACTGCATCTGACAAGTATCTGTCTTCCGCAGCCTGAATAAACTGACAGTGATACCAACACGTAACCTGAGTTCCATCCGCCCCCCTGTCCACTAAGTAAGAGGAGAGATCCGCCCTTATTCTGACCCACAGCAAGGGGGGGAGACGCCTGATCGGTGGGGTCCAGTACTGAAAAACGTCATGGAGTAGGTCTTCATCACAAGACAGGATATCCTCGAGTTCGTTTGTAGTGAGACCAAGAGAAGCTGGATATAAAGGGAGATAATAATCTTATTACGCAAAGAAGTAAAGAATAAACAAATAGACAGTGTACACTTCACCGTCCTAACTAATCCATTGCACCGGTTTCGCTCGACGAAGGTCTGTGATTGGCTCCTTGAGTTACTGTCCTTTGCTCTGAATGGCCGCCGTGATTTCTTTGCTCTTTGAGCCACTCCGTAAATATGCGCTCTAAAGCACAAAACAAAACCAATTTCTCACGACTTTTCACCAGAGAATGCAACGCAAGGAGCCACTAGTGTTTGAATGTCTGCTATGCAGACATGCCTTTAGTATGGATTTCCATCCGTTTTCTCGACTTGTGGGCCTGTCATCGATGTCTTCCCATAGTCCGCTGTTTACCACCAAAAACTCGCCTTTCCATCCTAACTCCTGTAATGATTTTTCATCTTTGCCGGAAAATTTCAAGATAATCTACCCAAGATAATCTACGGAATTATATTAAAGTTACCTGCTGTAATATATCCAAGAGCGCGTCGTACAAGAACCTCACCATGGCTTATTTCGACTCTTTCCAAGAGCTTGTCAATAGCCTTTCGTATGGTCGTTTCTAAACAGGTTTCACTGATAGTGGAATATGATCTCCAAAGTCTGGTCTCATCATACGAGATCTTTAGAAACAAAGGAAGGGGACACTTTTTGAAGGCTTCTTTGAGCACCTGCAACTGACGGTCCTGGAGGGTCCTGTTTTCAGACTTCAGCCAGTTGGTCAATATGTCACTCACGTCATCTGAAGACAGTTCAGGGACCGACACGAAACATTTTGGATGTTTGAAGAGAGCCTGAGATATAAAAATGATAAATGAACAAGCTGGACAGAAGTTCAGGAAAATTAGCGCATGATTGCGCCAATTTCGGGAAAAAAAATCACAAATCACAATTGTCGATCAGAACAAGATTCTCATTCGGAAGTACGGGATTAACGCGATTTTCCGCGACCCAACATAAAGCGAAGTAAAGCAAAGCCAAATAAATCTCAAATCATTTCAGGATTCCTTTTAACACTCGATTACAAGTTGTTCAGATCAATAACTGCCTCTCGATTCTGGATTCTTGCTCTCTTTTGATTTACTCCTACTGGCTTGCTTAAAATGTGTATCAATAATTTGATATATGTTTTAGTTTGGGGTCCGTATAATACTTCAATTTCCGGATAAACTCACCTTAAGAATTGGAAAACATTTGTATTCTTGATCAGGAAGAGTAGATACTATAAACTTTACATGTAGAGGTAGTTGCCTTGGAAACCAAATTAATTTCCAAGCACCATGCAGTGGAGAAAGTTGATCCAAAGAATCCAAGATGATTATCAATGGGTTATCTTTTGTAGCGCTGGACAAAAAATTTGGGAACTGATCAAACACTCCCTTGGACGACTGAAATAAAAAAAAAATTACGATAAAAATGGAATCAATGCAGTCAGAAATGAGATCTTGTTAAGAATTTCACCAGCTTTAACGAGAGAGGGACAATCAAAGCATTTTCCGGGTTCAAATTTCACGAATTGGTATTAAAAATATTATTATTTTGAAGGGAAGCCATGGACAGGATCATATTTTCAAGGAGAGGAGAAGGACCCTCAATACGAGTTGAGAGTTTTGGTGGCGATGAAATCTAAATTAGATGCCGAGTTTAACGGCAAAAATACAGATACTATCCAAAGTTATGTCCAAGAACACGACAAGGGCTCAAAATAAAATCTGTATATTTTCACATAATCTAGAATCAACGAGCCCTCTGATTGGTCAAAAATCTATCGCACATTTGCCTGTATACCCATATAATTCAGGTTTATTGCTTAAAGTCAACAGAAATTTTTTTCTTTGGGGGCGGAAAGTTTACTCTGCTTAACCGTTTTTAGGGGCGGACCAAGTGCACTCTGTCACCAGGCCGGGGGGGGGGGGGTACAGCTACACGTAAGCTACCGCAGGACACGCATTTCTCCGCTCGTAGAAAGATTTGAGAAGAGTCGCGGAGAGGATTGCCTGGGGTCTGACACTAATAATTATCAGTACCAAATCCTTTCCAGACCTCTCGCCAGCTCGTGTAGATCAAGACCTCAATCCTTTCTCGCCGGCGAAGAAACCTTCGCGCTGAAGCGTTTATGTAGGCCTGCCTACTGGCTATATCAAATGAACATGAATATCTTTGGATCTGAAGTATTCCCCCGAAGCGCTTGATACTCACACGAGGAATTTTCGTTGTCAGCCCGTAGACGTGTTTGATCTGTTGCATGATCGACTTCAGTACACGGAGGATGGTGGAACTTTTGGGTGTTGTGCCAAGAAACCTTCAAATTGATAAATATTAAACTTTTACCTTATAACTTTAACTGTTTCACAAGTGAAGGATCAATGTGTAATAGACACAAAATAATAACGATAACAACAATAGATATAATATTAATAATAATAATAATGAAAATATCAACACGAGATAATTAAAATAAATTATCTTGCAAACTACCAATGAGTCAGTAATTTACTTTCAGGAAAACACTATTAATTAGTCAACAATAAATGAAGATTCCCTGTAATTTTTTCTGAAGTTTAGATTATTGGTGAAGGAAAAGCGGTGAAGCCAGAAAGAGAAATTTTTCTCAAAAAATTAACAACTATTCACTTAAGTGAAGGTGAATGGATGCTTTCTTTCGCAAAAAGAGAATTTTAACTCATTTATTCCTGCAAAGAGTACAATATTTTCGGCCGCAAATCCCGCGCGCGTTGCATGGGGGTGAAGAACAAAGGATATTCAGAGTCTGAGTAGCCAATAAGAGCGCGTCTTCAACGCTATCCATTGTATTAGTATAGGCTAAACCAAGTCTTCAGCTTGAAAGTGGAAAGTGTGCGTTCCCCTGTCACAATTTCATTGTGAAACAAACCAAAAAGCCCAAATGAGAACAAGTTCTGTTACAGTGGTCATTTCAGTGTTTGTTAGGGAAGTACTTAATATGAACGTAAAAATTTTTTTATTACCTGAGACATATACAACCTTTCTGATCCAACAGTTCACTTATGGACTTGGCTGCCATGGCAATAACGGACGTTTTGCCACAACCAGACTTTCCATGAATCACCAGGGGGTACCTACTTGGACTCCTGACATAATCTTCAATTTCCTATAGGTTAATGAATTGAAGTTACCACATGTCTGCCTCTGTGTAAACAGCATGGAAACCTTATTGTGGTGGGCTTTAAGTGAGCCATGAATGTGCAAAAACCCTTTGAGGTTAATCATATGCCAATCATTAGAGTAATGAGGACCGTGACAGTGGTAAAGGAAGATGATGACGGTAATATGGCGAAAATGTTAGTTACAACAACTTAAGCTGGTAAATGACTAAAAAAAAGGGCCAAATCCAGGGGAAATCTGATTTTATTTGAGTCAACAGGAAGTTTGAGTTAACCAAGTTTTAGCTGGCGAGCTTCTACAGTAGGATCATTGATTCTTGACTAGTAATTCCAATGTTTTTACCCCAACGGTTGACTTTCTTCCATAAACAACTTGAAGTTTTCTCTTACAGAACAGAGTGTGCTGCACCACTTCAGAGTACAGTAAATTGTCTTTTTCAGCCTCTTTGTGCTCAGAAATACCCGCTGATATCATGTCCTTTATCTTGTTCTCAAAGTCTTCACAAAACTGATCAAGATATTTCTTGTGTTCATCAATACTGGGATCAATACCTTAAGATAAAAACAACTGATTTTGTTAGTCATGTGATGAACTACATGTACATGAAAAATCCCATTGAGTGGCAGGGGGGTGGGGAGAGGCTGCCTCATTGCTGGTAAAACTGGGATATGGGACAGTTGCCCCATTTTTCATATGGGGGGGGGGGGGAAACTGATTCAGACAACACAGAATTTCTTTTTGCAGAAACTTACTTTTCTTGACATGGGTTTTAAAAAATTAAATCAGTAAAGGTAATTAGCAATATGAAATTCTTGCATGGCATAGTAATAAAACCTACAGGTCTAATGAAAGGGATTCATACTTCACTTACCTTCACTGGCCGTGACAGCTGCTTAGATATCAAACTACAGTGTAACTATGACCATCATTAGGACATGAAAAGTTTGGCGAATATAACAGGGAAGTTGTACTTAATTTCACAAAGTTCCAAACCAAGAAATCAAGAGTAATGAAAAAAATGTGAATTTTAATAATTCTATGTGCATCATATTTTTCATTTAATAAAGCCCAAATGTAAATCCACACATAATACATTTATCAGATCAATAATACTACACAGAATAAATAATAATTTTAAAAATTCTCACCATTTGGTGTCCAGGTAACATCGTAGGTGAAAGTATTTTCAGTATCCACAGCTTGCTTCATTTTCTCATTTTTCAAGTTGTGTAGAAGAGCCTGGGGATGGGCACCATCATTAAGACAAATTCCACCTGGACAATGATCAGTGTATTTCAACGCTTCTGGGTTGTCTGAATCAGAGTCCAGACCATTGATTGCACGGTGAAACCAGACACAAGATCGTTTTGGGTTTTCAACTTGTAGGAGTCCCTGTTTAATTTCCACCTCAGAAACTAAAAAGTGATACAACATTCTCAAAGACAATAACTAAACATTTGAAAAAAACTGAATAATTTCATCTGTTTCATAATGCTGGTAAAAATTTAAAGTCATGGCTGAAAGACAGAGAAATTTAATAAGCTTTTCCCTAAGATAAAAATTCAGCTGCAACATAAAAATTGCATGCTTTGAATCAATTTACCTGATATGACATATTTCTGCCAGATATCCTCATCATTTAACACTTCCTTGGCAGCTTGCTGGAGAAATTCTTTCATCATGTTATATTCACTCTCCCACTTTCTTTGTGCTTCTTCCTTCTGAGACAGATCACAGCTATCATTGAGGAAGTTTGGTATCCAAGTTGTTACTGGCTGGAGAATGTATGATACAGGAAAACAGTTTTCATCCATCTTGTACCACCTACAATCATAAAAAAAACCTGTTGATATCAGACTTGTATGACCAAAAGATATAAAAGCCATCAAATTAAGTGCCTTGTGAGTATTTAGCCTGTTGGATGAATTTAGGACATTTACCCATCAGGGTAAATCCTTGAATTACCACCTGTGTACACAAAAGGGCCTTCTCTAAATATACATTAAATGCTGTCATACAAAAAAAAAAAAACCTCATATCTGCTAGGACTAGCATAAATTAAATAAGCCTCCCTGCCTTCTCCACTGGTTCCTTTCTTACTTGGTTAGAAGTTCATGTATTTTGTTTTCCGAGCCTTTACTGAGAATCAACTCAAACTCCTGAGCAGTAATTGATGGCATTAAGGGTCGATAACCATACTTTTCTGACAGCAAAGTCTGTTAAAAGAAAAGTCCACAAAATAGAAATCACTTGTAAAGTATAAATTAAATACACCCTAAGTCATTTCCTTAGTTCAGGCAAACTTTTTATTGAAGAATTTGTTGTAATGTTTATTTCCCTCCAGTCTCAATTAGCCTTGCTATTTTGCAGGTAGGGATCGTTAGATAATTAAGTATTTTGATTCCTAACTAGGTAATTAAATTTTGTTGTTGTTGTTGTTATAGCAGTGAATATTTTTATGTGGAAATCAAATGACAATCAGTTACTAAATGTAAGAGGTATTAATTAATTCAAAGCATATAATAGAGGTCTCTTGATTAACCTCTAAAGAAAGGAAAATGAGTTTTCGATCAATCCAAATACTCACCACAAAATTTGGTCCTACAGAGATTTCTTGACAGGCTTTGATTTCCCGTAAACACAGCTCAGTTGTCATGTGCGCATCTGTAGCATCATCTCGTACTCCCCAGCGCATGTCTACAACCTGAAGTTAAAAAAAAAACAAAAAACCAAAAAAGTCATGAGATTGGTGCTTAATTTGTTATAAGAAGTATCGCATATTAAGAATCATTTTATTAGATCATGCCCTTTACTGGTAGTGAGGGGTATCTGTCACTAAAAAGTCTGTTTAATTGACTGATGGTTGGTCAATGTCAGTCCTGATGCCTTGATAGCCAAAGGCTAAGAACATTTCTCTGACATCAACTGACTACTGATCCAGTTTCTCTCACCCTTCATCTAACAGCGACCAACTTCAATATCAACCAAATACTGACATATGCATGGATAATTCATGACATGGAAGTCTAACTTAAGTGCATATGTTATTTTCATTTAGGCTGTTTGGTAAGCATTCAGGAGATCAGAGAATTCTCTTCCTACAACACAGATTTCTCTTGTAAAAATTACAAACTACTGTTTTTCACCAACACTTGGATTATGTTCTACAGTTATTTTTTCATTACATTTTACCCCTCACATGATATTTCTTATAAATGAAAACCCTTCACTGACAGATTGGTTTTGATCAGTAACAGAGTCTGAGGATGAGTTATTAATAACATACAACAAAGAATATGCTCTATGATCTAGAAAATACTCAATTTTAGAATTCTACCCACAACTCTGAGGCTGGTAAATGGTTACATGGAATCCAGCAACTAATAAAAGATCTTTAATACAGTAATTAATTACTGTTCAGCTGAGATTCACCTGGAATTCATAGCCTCTCTTCTCACAAAATTGTCTCAGTTTTGGATACACATGCTCCATGAGAGCATTACGCTCATGTTCTGTGTCTACAAGTTAGAAAACAATGAACATAGTTTATCTTTATAATGTAATACAACACAGGAACACAAGATGGACTAAACATTAGCGGTACCTTAATAATCACTCTGTATCTCCAACATACCATACAGCCTACACACCATATAAAAGGAAGTGTGTTCCTCCCTCATTTGGTTCAAGTCATCTCCCTTTTAGCTAAGTAATGTTAAGTGCCATTCCTTACCAGTGAATGTGGAGCTAAGGAAGATACGAACAGTCCTTGAATTCAGAGGGCAGTTTTCTTCTATGAAACCTCTCAAAACTCTCTCAACCCTTTGACCTAAATCAGATCTAGAAAAACAAAAACATATCCACTGACTACTATGATTACTTTACGAAAATTTGTTACATTCATAGTAAAACTGGTTTACCTCTTTACAAAGTCTAGTAACTGCTCTAAATGAGCCACATCCTCATAAAAGGAACTGGATACTTAAGCCTGTTTTGACTGCAAAAATAACCTCTTACCAGAGGCCTGTTAACAAATCAAAAATGGCTTTTGTACAAAACTCAACTATTGACTGCAAAATGACATGACATACATGTACCTTATTTAAACTGCGGTAACATACATGCAAAATAAATCACATTATATGATTCAAACTTACCCAGTTGAGAGCTGGACACTTTTACGAGCAACATTTTGTCGGTCATTACCATTTGTAGCTTTCTTCGGTGGCACAGTTTTTGATGCTGGTTTCTTTGACTCTGAAGTTTTTGTGACTTTATTTACAGCTGCTTTGCCTTTATCACCAGATTTTTCTGGCTTAACAGGTTTTGGAGAAGAATTTTTTGACTCACTGGGTTTTGCTTTCTCTTTTCCTTTTTTAGAAGATTCTTTTGTGGTGGTAGATGAAGTCTGAGAAACAGACTTCTTGTTACTTTTCAATTGCCTGTAACACAGAATGATTATATTGTCTCTTTAACCTTTAATTCCCAAAAGTGATTGACATGTAATGTCTCCCTATAATATCCAGCAAACAGGTAATGAGAATACATAAACATATCAGGTAGAAGTTGTTATCTTGATCTAATACCAAATGATTGCAAATATTTACAAGGAAATGTGTAGCACCGGGAGGGGAGAATTAGTAATCAGATCTCAGGTGTTAAAGGGTTAAGAAAATTCAATGAAGGACTTGAATCACAGTTGTAAGATTATTAACCCTTTAACTCCCAGATTAAATTTGTAATTCTCCTTACTGTCAACTATACAATTCTTATAATGTTAGTTCAGAGAATTTAGTATTGGATCAACTAATTATCCCCAAAGTGATCTTTTTCTTTATTCTCATTACTTATCTGGTTGATATTGTATAGATATTGTAAGGAGAAATTTTATCTTGGTCACTTATGAGAGTTAAAGGGTTAATCTTAAAGCTGCCAAAGAAAGTTTGAAGAGGAAGACCTTTGTTTGCTGCTCATAGGAAACGAGCAAAATGAGTGAGAGTTTAGAGAGAGAGACTTATTGAGAGTTCATAAAAAGATACATTTTTCAAATATGCTTTTAGTTTAATTTGGTTATTTGTTGGTTTTTGATTTGTAATTGTTGTTGTGCAAACACCTTAAGTCAATTCCCTTCACTCAGTAGATAATCTCAGACACAAAATTACGACTAATGGACTCTTGACAATTTAAGCTCCAGTGTCTAATTACCAAGACTCAGTAAGTAAAAATTTGAGTTTTTTCGGTGAAGTCTATTATTTCTATTCATTTGAAGTGACTCAGTTATATCTATCTTTTGTACTTTACATTTGTGATAACTTGGATCTTGATCATTTCTGTAAATAACTGAGAGTAACCTTTGATTTTGTGCAGTAATGGTAATATCAGCCATGCGGCGTTTGAACTTGGCCTTAGATGAAAAAAGTTAATTTGATTTTGATTGAGAAGTTTCGTTGCCGGGTTCAATATTCAATCACCAAATTAAATTATGAAAAGTCAAAAGTAAGAGTAAAGTAGAGTTACTTTTGCAGCAATACCTTCCTTCGACCTCCATATCATTGGAACCCCCAGCCTGAGTAGTCTGTCCTTCGTCTGACGCTGAAGACTTACGAGAAGGCGTATTCTTTTTCAATCTGACAGTACCCACAACTGCGTGTACAGTCGCCCGGGTACCCTTCGAACTCACCCCCGACCCCATCTCTCAACTGAAGGAAAGACACAAATTGAGAATTAAGAAATATATAAACAAAGATATCACTAGGAAAGGACGTCATATGTTTGATAGTCATCACCTACAGACTTGAATGAGTTCAGTTCAGCTGTTCAAACACAAATTTACAACTGGACCGCATGCCGTCGATCGGCCGTCCTGATCAAAGATTCCTCAACATGTTGAGGCAGACAATCGAAGACAACCTTCATCTCATTAATAAGAATTATTCTTCATAGACAAAAACGCAGGCTTGACAAACATGCATACAGAATGAGAACCCGGAACAACAGCAAAAGGTAAACACGCTGAGTCAGGGATTGGTGCGGTTTGGGAAGAGTCTTTGTGTAATGCTATCGAATTATCCCAAACTGTTTTAGTAACTGTTAAGGAAAATCGTAGAACCTGACATCAGGCACCTCTTAGTGTCCGTGAGAATTTTGAAATCCTTCACATCAGTTTTAAACCCTCATTTGCAAGATTCTCATGCTGGATGATAAATATTCTTCAATCTTTCCTTTCTATAGAGACTCTAAAGACCCTCTTCAGCATGGTATACTCTCCTAGCCTGATCTTGCTACCTGCAAATGGTTGCTAAATCGGCAAGGGTTCTTTTAGTTGTGTTGCTAAAACATGTAAAACAGAATAAATGATAAAAAATCTACTCAGAGGGCTGACACTCGAATCGCTTGCTTATAATCTCTCTATGGTGGCCAAACCCAAACTCAAATGTCTCCTCCGTCATCCCACAACCATCCCAGTGAGGCCGGAGAGGGTCACTACTTTGCTCCACTTTATAGATGTCCCGTGGACATCCTGAAAATCAACCCGACTCGAGCGCGAATTCTCTCTTAACGTTTATTTGCGTATCTAATAATGTAACCATATTAATGGAGAGCGATCTCTTCTCTTTTGGAAAGAAACCTAGTTTCCAGTAAGTCATTGGGTTTCTAGGGAGAAAATGACATTTGATCGTAGAGTGTAGACTGGTTAATCTGAGCCCGCAATGATTCCATCGGAGTGGCAATATGGATTCTAGGAAAGGAGAGGAACCACCTCTAACACGATACAGAGGATCTTTCCAACCCGAAACAGCAATTTTTGGCGCCTAAACTCTTAAATGAAATGGATAAATGCTCAGGAAAGGAAAATAATATCTCATCGGACGACATATTGAAAGCTTTAGATCGCTTCGGTAATGGCTCCAAAACTCCAAGCCCTGTTGGGGAAGACAGAGGTAGGTATCGGAAGTCTCGATTTGAGTTAGTTTTGTCGTAAGTGATGACAATTTTCCGCTATGTCTGTATGTGATAAAGAACAATATAGTACATTTTTTTAGCGGTATTAGTTTGAAAATGTGTGAAGGAAAGCTTGATCAAGATCTTCTTCGATCGACCCGATGTTTACAATCAGTTACAATGTTGCTTCATGTGATATGCGTCATGTCATTTACCTTATTGAAGTTACGTTATAAATGGATTGTCGATCTTGACTTATTCAGTCTTCGAATAGAGATATATTTTCGTCAGCTTTCTTCCCGGAATTACCAATTTTTTTTATTATGTGTGACGTTATGAACTCACTTCGAATGAGCATACAGTGAATTTGCAGACGACAATATATGCTGGTGGTCCAATTTCAATTCCGGTTCTTGGGAAAAAATTGACACATGAAGTCGATTTTCCGTTTCAGTATAAATAATAGTTTTGCGCTTGAAATCAAATCAACTCAGATTAATTCTGAAGTGAACTTTGAGGTTGAAGTGAGCGCACTGAACTAAAGATTAACTAAGAGAACTAAGCTTATTCTGTTTAAATTTTATTCGATTCAGAGTAAAAATGTCTCAAGACGTCCAAGCTTTTTTTAGATTTAATGAAGCCATTTTCTTCCAAAGGGTAGTTTATCAAAACATTTTACAGCGCAGTTTTTTTTAAATGGCCGCTGAATAAAATGTAAAATTGTTTTTTCCTTTAACAAGGATGAACCTGTGTGGTAATTTCTTGTGAAGATGAGCGTTTTTATTGCCTATCCAAATCTGTTTTTTTTTGCGCGATTTTCTCGCCGCAGTACGATTTGTTTCAGTTAGTTTTAAGTCGGTCTCCTCTGACGGAAGAAATATTATTTCATTACCAAGAAAGCAAGAAGGACTATCATGTTTAATAATTCAGTATCCTAGATAAATAGTTTTCTGTTGAAGAAAATCCCAGAAACTGATGCAAATCCAGGTTCTGATAATTAAGAATTCAAAACTGTCATATGTAGTTCATGCATGTATATTAAGCAATTTTAGATCTTTGAAGACTGAATAATCATGGTTCTGAAATCATACTTAATTCAAAAAGTCTTTTCTTTATTTATTTTTTTAACCTTAAAATTGATCTAATCTAAAAAGTTTTGGAGTAACAAAAACTATATTCTAATAATGGTATTGAATTTTCTTTTCTTCCCATGGGAATATGATCATATTTTGTCCCAAAATTAACACTTTCTAAAACAACAGACAGTAGTCATGAAGAAATTATTGTTTCTGTTGGCAGCAGACAATGAGCAAACTGATCATGACTGTGTGCATCAAACACTAAAGCAATGTCAATAATTTAAATTTTTTGAATGCATTTATAAATGAATCAAAGAATTTTTTTGACACAACTGAGAAAGAAGAAACAAGTTATTTTTGTTCTGCCATTAATTTCTGAGAAAAAAAAATTTTTTTTGTTTAGTGTTAAGGTTTATCCTTTGGGATCAAAACAATGCTAGACATCTATAACATGATGTCGCTATCGTACAAAAAATCTACAATTATTATAATCATTTTATGTGGATGAGAACAGTCAAAGAATAAAGTTGCATTAAAATGTAGGATTCTTCTGGAACTTCTGTTAATTACACAATCCATCACAGCATTGTTTTTTATTAAGGTTATGGTTTTGTGGTCATTTATATTAATGAGATCAGTCAAAATAAAAAATTGTATTCAAATCTGGGGGTTTTCTAAACTTCAGTTATTTTTGTAACCCATCATATCTTTGTTTCTTGAATTAAGATCATTATTAATTTTAGATTTTTCTAAGAGCTAATGGTAGTGATTATGGATTTGGTTGATTAATTTTTTAAGGTTTTTGAAAGTTTTTTTTTTTTTTAGTAAAGAAAATTTATTTTTTTACTTGCCATAAGTGTGAATATATTACTTTTTGTTTATGAAACAAACATGATTGCTTTGTGCCACCATCTCAACCAATCAGATTCAAACTAAATCCAATCACAGCTTAGTCACTCAGATATTCCCAGGCTTCATGTAGTTTTCTTGATTTCACTTTGAGTCCTTATTGGTTAATGATAATGTAATTCCTAATTGTAATATGGTGGCTGGTTTTACCCAGTTTGTGTGGGTTTTTCATTACCCAATGGAAAACTGCTCTACCTGTATGCTATTGATAAAAAAGTTATAATGTAAAAAAGCAGAACTTGAAAAAGAGAGTTTTGATATATTTGGAAACCACTACATGTTATCAACTTAAATTGCATTTTGCAGATGATCCTTCAGTGCTAGGAAGATTGTCATTTCTTGAAGATCCTCTTGGTACACAAAGACTCAGTTTTATTTCTGCTGATGGAAGTGAAATTGACTCAGATTACAGCTCAGCCAGTTCAGTGGCTCATTTGTCTGAGGAGCAGAAAACCTTAGAGTACGTTTTGCTTTCCATTATGAAAAACCTGATATCTAACCCTTTAACTCCCTTATGTGACAAAGACAGTTTTTTCCTTACAATGTTCTTGTTATTGTTCAAATTTGTTTTTAAGGAGAGAGTGGGAGGTACTCTTTGGTTCAACTACATATTACACTAAGGTAAGACACTCCTCTCTTTTTATCAGGGGTAGTTCAGAAAATTTCAAGATTACTGTCAGTGACAGTCTTACAATCCCTGGAAAAGGAAGAGTGATGTATTCTCTTCAAAGTGCTGCTGGCCAAATACCCACTGCACAAAGGAAGTTGTGTGTGAAGTGCTGGTGTCTTTTTCATGTATGAGTATCTTATATCAGTATCCCTGGATGTAAAAAAATTGACTTTAATATAATGACTTTCTCCCTTTGATTCCTAGATCAGACAACATGCTTTGGATGGCAAGCTTCGGTTGTGCAAGTTTAGGAGTATTTGCTGGAAAGTATGTGCAATTGGTATTAATTGGTATTCATTATTCAGGCATGAAATCCTCTTTTTTGTGTGTGTTGAGGAGGGGGGGGGGTGTGTAAGGAGGGGAGGGAGATGATATTTTGTAGGTTTTAGGTTTTTCAATTTCTATAAACCAGCTAAAGATATTAGGACTGAACTAAAGTGCAGGTTGTTGGTGATGTGTTGAGTGCATAGCAAGATAGAAAAAACTCATCTGGGGAACATGATTTGATTTAACTCCTAATTCTCAGAGCTACAATCCTAACAAATATATAAAAGACAGAATTGTGATGGTGAAAGGGTTCATGAGACATATCTTTTTTATGTTAGTATTAATTGGACTTTGTGGCTTAATTATTGGTTTTATGATCATACAAATTTTTCTCAGGTTTTCTTGGAGTGTCTCCCTGAACGCAAGGATGAATGGATAACAAAGACAGCTAAACTCAGAAATGACTATGCCATGTTCAAGAACAATGTAAGATATTTCCATATTTTGTCTGTAAAAATATTAAATAATAGGAACAGAAGTTTTTAAATCAGCTTCTACTCAATACAATTAGCCAATTTTTTATTTTTTTATGTGAGAGATTAGGTAAGGTTTTTTTATATATTTTATTGATAATAAATATTGAAAAAAAAGAATTTGGGTTGTCAATTTTGATATCTTGGGGATATGGTAATAATGATATTCCTGATACTGTTAAGGGTTGGAGGCCCAGTGGCTTTCAGCTGCTAGTAAGTATGTTTATTCTGACCAGTACATTATCAGAGTTCTCTGATATTTTGCTAGTACCCAAATGTTTAACTCTTGTTTGGAGAAGGACACTCAGAGATAAAAGTGTTTTTCCTAAGAACACAACACAATGATGAGCACTTGAGCTTGGATCCAGGGATGAGAAGTCCTGCATGCTAACCATAATGCCATCACATCTCCAGCTTATGTGGCTGGCATTCAATGTGGGGGGTGGTGGAGGTTATATGAGCAGAAAGCACAAAGTTTGATCATTAGAATTGGGAGAGCAATACAATCATACCCATCATGCCTGCTTACCATATTTCCTCGAAAAACCACGTGGTTGCTTATCTAAAAATTTTGGCTGAAAGGAGAAGTGCTGATTGAAGGGTGGTTGCTTAACTGAGGGAGGTGCTTGGTAAGAAATTATGAACCTTCACTGATCCCACATAGTTGAAGCTTAAAAAGTTGTAAATAATTCAAAGTGGCAACAGAAAAAGGTTTTCCGTGTATGCCTAATATTTAAGAAAGTGAAGGAGGATAAGGGTGCCCTTTTTAGAGGAGGGTGCTTGTTTGATATTATGGCCTTGGGTTGGCATTTTTTCTGGGAGGGCATTTAATAGAGTGTGTGTGTTTATTCAAGGAAATACAATATTTAGTTCCCCTCCCCCTCCATCTCTGTATCTTGACCATTCTGGTTACCACATGTCATCATTCAGTTTTGTTGCAAAAGAAAATTGAACTAAAGGTCTACTATTTATATTAAGCAATGCTTTCCTACTAAATCATGAAATAATATTATGTGTTCTTTAACTTCAGTGCCTGTTTGATCCAAATAAGGAAAAGAATGAGGACCTGGATTTGTCAGTCTTTAATCCCCTCTCACAAGAGGAAGCTGTAAGTAAAATTGTGTGAGGCATGGAAAAAAACATGATATGAAATGAATATGTTTTTGCGGTAAGAGTGCCTGGAATCTTGTCCTAGAGTCTTTTTGCAAGTAGCTTATCAATGAAAACTTCAAGCAGTTCAAGAGTCTTGAAAGATGCCATGCATTGAATATCCATCTTGGGCCAATACTTTGATTCTTTATTCTGTTCAATCTTACATCAAGCTTGAGCTTAACATCAGAATTTTAAATGCTGCTTCAGTTCTGTTGTTCCTTTTTTCATCCTTCACACTGACAGCTTACACTGTTATTATTATAATACTAGTTAATGTAATTCTGATTGCATTACTAATAACCTGGGCCCAGTTGTATAAAAGGCAAATAACACTATCCAACAGATAAATTGCTATCCAGTGAGTAGTGTTCTCTGACCTTCAAATAACGGGGTCCTGTACATTTATGAACTTGTGATGCAGCATTGTCATTGCTGAATGTTTAACAAATCAGTTGTAATTATGATACATGTAGAAATAATTTTTCTTACCCTTTAGAGCCCATGGAAACAGTACTTTGTAGATAATGAATTGAAGTCCACAATCAAACAGGATCTAGATAGACTGTAAGTCAATTCCTAGTGTAAACTGTGTTGTATCAAGACAGCTACAAGCTCAATTTTTTGATGTTGTGGGGGATGCAGTTGTCTAATCATCAGTGCACTGGACTTCTAGTCGAGAGGTCCGCTTTCAAGACCTGGCCGGGTCAATGTGTTATTTTCTTGGGCATTCCTTACCTTTACTTTATTCCATGTCTTTAACTCATAACTATGTCACCAGAAGTTTGGTTTTAGTTTCCATAATAAAACTACTGAGCAAAATGGGTAAAGCTTGGAGTGTAAATAAGATCTGATTAGAAGTAATTTAAAACTAAACCACTGTATGATGCTTGTCTAGAGCTTTGATTCCTTTAGTCACCAGTCAGAGGAAATGAGCTGTTACCATGTCTCAGTGGGAATCTACTGAATATACATCTGCACAGCATCCCCCAATAGGCCATTTTACAGTTGCCGAGATTACAGCTACGTAGTTGTCAAGCCTTTGATTCGGAGTAAGGCTGAGGCTGACCTTATTGCGATAGAGAACAGTATCTAGTTGGCATAATAACATATTAATTTAATTTGAAAAGCAGCAACATTCTTATCACAGCAGTCATCCTTAGCCTCACTTCTGTTCAAAGGCTTGGCAACCAAGCATGCAACTGAAAGATGGACTATCGGGTTTTACTCAGAGATCTACTGAGAGACAGTTTGCTATGATGATTGTAGCCAGTAAAACAGTAAGAAGTACTGGACTATGTTACTAATAGTTTCTGCTTATACTGGTGTATGATGTGTGCCCATGCAATAATGCTTGAGAAGTAATTCTTAGTCAAAGTAGTTCAAATTAGCAATAAACACTTGTAAACAAAAATGACAGAGATTGATCTCACTTTGATTTCCTGGTATGAATATATATTTTGCAGATCTCCAGAAATTGAGTTTTTCCAGCAGTCAAAAGTGAAGTAAGTAGAGCATTTAATACTATCCACCCTACCACCAGTTTGCATATTCTCTATAGTGTCCTCTATGCATTTAGTATGGTGCTGACAAGGAGAATTTGTTTAACAATCATGAGCTTCTTTAGGAAGTGATCATTTTCTTTTTTTCGTGACCCAAGTGTGTGATTCAGGAGTGATGTTTTAGAGAAAAAAAGTTACATTGTACCAATCAGTTTTATTGGTTTAAGGCTTTCAAGAGGCTTAAGTTTTGCAAAGAGATAACCACTTAGTCCTTATGTTGAACATATGTTTTTTTCTCAGGGAAATGATGCTTAACATACTGTTTTGTCATGCAAAAAAGAATGAAGCTTTGAGCTATAAGCAGGTATGATGTTCAAGGTTTTAAATATTTGTTACGAGCATAACCCAAACAAAGAAGAACCCTGTGTTACTTTGGAGAATTTGAACCCCGGTCAGTTATGATTTCACTGTTTGATAATCTTTATCAAAATATCTGCAAATATTTTTCTGTTAAACCATTGGTTAAGAGGTGTATCATGTACCCTAACTTAAACCTCAGCCTTTCATGAATTTCTTTTACAACTATTCACAGGGAATGCATGAGCTTCTTGCACCAATTGTGTATGTCCTAACAAAAGATGCGATGATCTATCAGCATATTGAAGGTTCAAGCTTGTAAGTGAGCTCCTTTTTAAAATTCACAGATATTTTCTTGTTTGTTCTGTTAAATTGCATGCACTAGTAAAGTAAAATGATAATACTATTTGTGTTTATTTCACAGGGGGATTGCCAAAGTTCTTATGGACCCAAAATACTTAGAGCATGATGCTTTGTGAGTGTTCTTGTTTTTTTATTATTTTTTCTTATCAAAAGATTCCAGATCTCATTTTGTAATTCTCCTTACTGTCTGCTATACAGTTCTTATGATATTGGATCAGAGAATTTGGTATTGGATCAACTAATAATCCTAATAATCTGCTTGTCTGATTTTCTTAGGAGAAATTCTCAATTGTTAAAAGTTTTAACTTTAATATGGTTTGCATTTGATTACTGGAACTTTCTGGAATTTAGACTTAAAAACAGATGATTTTAACCCTTTAACTCCCACAAGTGATTGATATGAAACTTCTCCCAACTATATTCATACATTATCCAGCAAAAAAGCAATGAGAATACCCAAACTTATCAGTTAGAAGTTCTTATCTTGATCTAACACCAAATTCTCATAACTAATTTACAAGAAAATCTAAAGAAGCTAGAGGGGAGAATTGACAATCACATCTTGGGAGTTTAAGGGTTAAGGACCCCAAGGAGTAAACTGTGGGTGACACAGTGGTCTAATAGTCCTGGGGTTGAGAGTCTAGGTTTCAAGATCTGGCCGGGTCATTATGTTGTGGTCTTGGGCAAGACACTTTCCTCTCACAATGTCTCTCTCCAACCAAGAGTATAAATGGGTTCTGACAAATTGTCAGGGAAGCCTGATGAAATTCTGGAGGGGGTAACCTTGTTATGGACTAGCATCCCAGCCAGGGGGGAGTAGTAACACACCTAGTCACTTCATGCTCCATGGAAATCAGGAGAAGCTGCGGCTGGTTGGGCCAATAGACTCAACTACAGACTTTTAAGGAGTAAGCCAGTTCCTGTAATGTAGTTGTTAATTGTATCACATTGTATCGTGTTTTTATAAGTGTTGTGGTTCGAGTATTGTGTCTTAATTTTGTTTCATTGAAAAATTAAAAATTGGTATATTTTTGTGCCATCAGTGCTCTGTTTGTTCAACTCATGGACCAGACAGAAACTTGGTATCTTCAGTTACCTATGAAAGGACTTCCTGAGAGAAATAAGGTTAGTACACCCGTCCTGTGTTTTGCGTAACGTGATAAAAAATGGGCTGTGCTTTTGATTTGTGAATTTTCTGGGAAGATTTTGTTACAACTTTCTGAAAGTCAACACAATTTGAGTTAATTTATTTATTTTATTTTTGTTATTATTTTCATTTTTGTGTATGTCTCTTTTTTTCACACTTCAGAAGTGCCACATGATTTGACACTTTTTGTTTTTTGTTAATGCACTTTTTGTTGTTAGTTTTTGGATCCACATGTTGAACCGTTCACAGATCAAGAAATCATTCCAGTAAGTTACACTCAACATGCACACTACTAACCTGGTGTTCAGGACAGACGATTTTGTATTCCGCAAAATTTTTACAGTGTGGTTTGTATCAGGGTATCCATTGTCAATGTAATCGCCCTTGGGAGAGGTTCATTGGGATAGGGGAAGTACTTTTTATCCCGGTTTCCGTGGCACGACGCGATTTGGTTCGTCATCCTGCCCTAGCTTCTCCTTACATTTCTTCTGGACAGCTTATTGATATTGTAAGGAGAAAATTCCTTTTTAGTTAGTCTTGGGTTTAATCGATCGGACAGTCAGACCCACAAAGACGCAAAAATTTTTGTTGCGTTTGAGAGGTAACATTTATTTAATTGTGTAGTCGACAGCCATTGTAAAGAAACTGAATCGAATTCAAGAACACATGCTGAGGAAACACGACCCTGAGTTGTGGGTTCACATGAGGAACTTGCAAATTACTCCACAAGTGTATGGACTGTAAGTAAAACAAACAACCGCTATCCCAGATTGCTCTCAACTCCTATTTGGAATCTACTTCGACAGATACGGATATGATATCAGGGCGTGAAATTGCGCCTAAAACAAGCGCAAATGCGACTAAATTTTTCACTTTGGCGACCAAATCCTGAAAATTAGTCGCCAAATTGGCGACTAGAACGTTTCATCATAACCTTACCTTGAGCTATAGTAAATTAAAAAGATTTGCAAAGACAAATCCGCGGCAAACTTCCTCATTAAGTTTGTTTCCAAAACGCAGCACATGCATCTCGATCGATAACTAGACGCCATCTTGGATTTCGGTGAGCTTAAACGTTGCATATCATTCATCCTAGTGTCCACTTTGTAGCACGTTAAAGATCTTTTTCCTAACTTAATTTCTAGAACGATGACAGCGTAAAAAAAGGTTTTGTTTGTCTTTGAAAATGGCGACCAACTTTTTCTAATTTCACGCCCTGGATATCCCATTGAAATAGTCGCCTAACCTGGTGAAATAATAATTTTTCGTCGCCGGGGGGCGGCTTCACCTTAAATTTCAGGAAGCACAAAAATGTATTAACGATATCATTACTTCTTATATGTTTGTTTTAATTCGGCAGTCGCTGGATTCGCCTACTTTTTGGACGTGAGTTTCCAATGGATGACGTTCTCGTGCTATGGGATGCTTTGTTCGCTGATGGTCCCATGTTGGACTTGGTAGATTATATTTACATTAGCATGCTCAAAGCCATTAGAAAAAAACGTAAGTTTAATTCGACGAAGGTTTTTACGGTACAAAATGGCGACATTATTAAAGAGTTTTAATTCCTTGCCGACGCCTTTCCTCTTGTAGCAAATTTTGTCTCCTAAGGATGAGGTGTGGCGGATTAAACGCGCACTTCTGAACGATGGGTTTGGTGGAGCCAGAGCGCACGAAACGTCGTTTATAAATTCACGTTTTCGCGAAATGCTTGTTCCTTTCGGTGTGTTGTCACTGCAGTCTGTGTGTACTCCATTTCTATCATAACTGAAATGGCCCAAAGAACTAGAGCATTAAGGATATTTTGACTTGTTGTTTTTGTTTATTTGCGACTTAAATAATTTACCGGAATATGTATGCATACATACATATATATATATATACAGAAAAGATGTAAGGAAATAGCCTCATCTTGGTGTTAAGCGCGTAAAATGGTCTATTTGGTTTGCAAAGAGCGCCTGGTCTATATTTTTCTTTATTAATTTTTATTCATCGCTGACCTACCGGTACTGTCGCAATGCTGAAATAGGGTGTTCAAAGATTAAGAAGTCCCCTCAGTGGTGGGGAACTTAAGACAGATTACAAATAACGAAGATAACGACTTCGGGCATTATTTTATCGGCATTGTATCACGAACGGTTGCTCAGATCCTTAAAGAAGGGCGATGGAGAACTGCCATTTCGGTAGCAGCTTTCCATGAACGGAAATTGTACTCTTATCTGCGCTTGTCCATCGCATTCTCTTTTGTTGCGAACATTATTGATTTGCATTGGCCACTTAAAACTTACACTTGAATTTTGTGTGTCTGCAGTGCTTTCAGGAAGTTACACGGTTTGTATGGGTTACCTGATGAAGTTCCCACGTGTCTACGATGACGTGTACCATTACGTCAAAGCGGCGTTGGCAATGAGAGAGAACAAGGTGAGCTGTGATTGAAACGGTGTTCTCTGTCCTTTTTATGCTTCCAGACACCCGTAGATCAATGTTGTGCTGGTCGTCATGGAGAATACCATACGAGATTGAATGATAGGGAGTTAAAGATATCACGACGGCTACGCCTAGGAAAACTTCGATTAAAAAATGAGCTTCCGTTTCTTCTAAGAATCTTGCGAGCAGGTCGGTAAACGGTGCCAGACCTTTTTTTGCAGCGTTAAATGTTAATGCAGAGTTGAGTTCGATTTGCAAAAGTAAATGAATTGCTGTGGGAGTTTCTGATCTCAGACATGGTATAATTCGATGATTTCACGTTGCTGTTTTTCAGAGGGCGGCTGGAAAATGCAAGGAGTTTCAAAACGCACGTGCAAAGCGATTTTTGTTTTTGCTCAGTAAAACCTTTTTTCACGACATTCTCGTTTCTCTCGCTGTCGAGGTTTTCTTTAATTATGGAGAAAACTGTTACCTTAACATCTTTGTCTCTTCATTTTATTTCCAGCCGTCATCTACTCAGTCCAGTCCCGGCATGTCAGGTCCGTCTCCTTCTCATCCCTTGGACTCATCCGGGACACTTGCACCGAGAAAAGTAAGACTTTTTGTCACGTGACCTTTCAGGATAAATAAAACATTCTTGAGTATTATTCTTAACCATATTCTGGTGCAGAAAAGTTTTTTCAAAATTGATCTTCTCTGATGTGCCCAGGTTAAGCGTTTTCCATTTCTACCTTAAGCTTTTTTGTTGCCGTAGAAACAGGGACCAAATAGGCCGCAATCTGCTTTCACGTCATTTACCAAGCGATATCAGCAGTTTGTTGAACCTACAAGACCTGCATCTGTGAAGCCTGCTGGGAAGACCGTTAGTCAACAGTTCTCCAGCTTCAACAGGGCTGGTTCAGAGGAGGAGCTCTTCTCTAACAGTCCACGGCCAGCCCGACCTGCCTCTGTTCCAGCTCCCGAGTTGAGGGAGCGCGCGGACTCTGGGACGCACTCGGCCGGTCCTGGAAAGAGCTTGAAGTCGCTTAGCAATCCCCTCAAAGGGAAACTAATGGCCCGGCCCAGGACTCGCCCCAAAATTGAATATGAAGAATTGGCTCAGGTTAGGTAGCAACTCGTAATTACTTGAGATCTTGCTTTAGACAATTTCAAAATATCTACTTTGTGAAGTGTGTATGGCTCTTTTAAGTAATATTTCATTCGCTTGAACCTCAGCAAAACGACGCTTTATCTTTGTTTTCTGATGTAGGACCACGAGCGACTCCAAAAACAAGTGTCTTCCCTGAAATCAGAGCTCGATAAAATGCAAGGCTTGTATTTGTACTGCGGCAGGAAAATGGATTCGTACATTGGTGAGCACCAGTGCATAACCTTTATTTTTGAAAGTTTTAACGGCTTCTGTTGTTCGTTTTCATGCATCTGGATTACAAGAAAGACGGTGAAAATTGAGCTCAGTGGTCGAAAAATGAAAAATAATAAAAATGCACACAGGACGTACCCGACGCTGTTGATCTTAGTAGTAAACAGGGAACTTCTGAAATGCGAGGCCTCGCTCGCTAACGAGTCCTCTTTGCCTCGGTTGGTAGAGGTTAGGACCGTGAAACAAAAGGTCTGAGGCTCTCATCTTCGTTACGAACCCAGATTTTTTTCCTTTGTGTCAAGTCGTGTAAGATATTTGCAAAACTACTTTTACTTATAGCCTCTTTTTTTCTGTATTATTTCCTCAGATCTTCTTCAAGACGAACTTACGAAGGACGAAGATTGTGTTCGAGACATCGTATATCTGTGTTTAGCCGGCTTAAAACAGGCAAGGAGTATTGATTGTCTGTGAACTTAAACTTTCGACATGGATTTTGTTTTTTCTTTCGTAACCACCTTCAACTCCGACAGAGTTGTTTTTTTTTTTTCATTTTTGACGCTGGAAGGGTGATGAAAAGATAGAAGTCCTAAATTGTAATGAAGTGTTCTCGAGAGCACTCTTAGGTGAAATTTCCCAATTGGTTTATGATCGCGGTACTTTCTTGGACTCTGTGGAAGCCCCACAACAGATAACTGGTTTGCAGAGTTAAACATTTTAGCGGTCATATTAGGTTAATGTAAGAAACATGGACGAGGAACGAGAAGTGGGAAAAACGAGAGCCTCTTGATGACGCGAATAAGGAGAGACTGATGCGAAAGACGATTTTAGAGATAATCGGAGCTATAACAAAATTCTCGAACGTGATTGGTTATCACCAGCCGGATTTGAGCTCTAATAGGACACTGTGCGCGTCATGCTTGTAATTGGACAGTGTAATAGGACAGATAAAGGGACAGTTGACACGTCATTCCTGTGTAAGTGGACAGAACGCGTCTTGTGCGCCTTGTTGTCTCGCATTTCGCCGAGTTAACTGGTTTTGTTGTTGTTGTTGTTTTTTTAATGAAAACGTATACCTGATGTCTAGTTTCTTTCTCAAATTTTGTCATAATTTTGATTAATTGGTAACAGGACTTCGTGTCGTCCAATTCTGACTGTAATCATACTCGTGACCGACAAATCAGACTCCCGCTTCGCGGTGGTCCGATCTTGTTAATCACCCATTTGATTACAAACCGAATTGGACTCCACTCGGTCCCACAACCATAATTAACGATACATTTTATTAAATTCAAAATAAATGTTCAACAGGTTCGGGATTTATTGAAAGGAACTTTGGCATTTCGAGGATCAACAATTGAGACAGAGTGTGATTTTATGGAGATTGATAACAACATTGCCTCTCGGCTGCAAATTCCGCCACAGAATCAACAGAAACACAGTGAAATTCCAGAGAACCTCCCTGTTCCAATGATGGCCAACTTTGGACACTTTGAGAACTCAGATGAAACTGAAAGCAGCTTTATGTCTGCTGGTGTTAAGCAAGGAAATATTCAGGAATCTGAGCATTCCAGCGAGGCAGACAAGGAAAATAACGGAAAGGAGTTTCCAATGGCTTCGGCTGAGATGGAAAGCATTCAACAGCAGCTGAGAGAGTTAGAAAATGTAAACGCGGAGATTTTCGCGGGAAAACATGATGGAAAGGCAGAAAACCTGAAGGAAAATTTTGCTGCTCTTGAAGATGGGGAAAATGTTGGTGCAGGAGATCTGGTGTTTAGTTTTGGCGAAGAAACTGGAATCTTGGAGTCGACTCAATCTACTCGTCTGCTTCAAGGAGAGGATAAAGTCGGTGATACAACAGCAGAAAGACATGTTGACAATTCCGATCTGCCATCTCATGATAAGTTAAAAAGAGAGAATGAGAGAAGCGAGGGCGACAAAGATGAGTTAAAAGCAAATAATTTTCAAGGAATGGATGGTAGCTTAACTACGTTATGTGACACCGATCATCTGCGTAACGCTACTAGTCAACTTTCACTGCCCATTTCTGACCCATTGACCGAGCGAGAGAACAATAACGACAATTTTCTTTCAGGAGTATTACGGGGCGATCCTATTGACAGGGAATTCGTGTTTGTCAATCGAGACGGCACGGCAGAGAGTGAGCTCAAGCCTAAATGGCACCCTCTGGAAAACAGCGGTGAATCTTAGCTTCCCTGAAAACAATTTGAATTGTAGATGAAATTAAGGAAAATTTAGTTATAATTTTATATTTACCTTAGTTTTTTCATAGTTTTATTGAATTAAATTTTTGTTTTAAATCGCCTTGCCATAAAAAGCGTCAAATTTGTAGATTGTCCGCTTCGCAGCTGTCACTCAGTGACACTGCCTTAGTGTCACGCAACGTACCGGTATTTGAGGATGTGTCGCCGCGTGACATTCAATAAATTGGCAGCAAAGTTGATCAGATTATAGGAGATTAGTAAATTTTATCACAATTTGTCACGTGAACAGCGACAAAGGGAAAAGTGCAGCTTATCGAAGAATTCAATTCCATCATTAACTGGTGACTCGAGTGCTTCGAGGCAAAAATTTTTAAAAACCCGGGGACGTTTTCTTTACAGTTGGGACACGGATTGCTTTGTAAGCTACCGTGCAGGACAGAAAATATAAAACTATCCTAATATTTACCATTACAAATGTTCAGCTGTCCTTTCAGAAGTCATGTCGTAATGGCGGTCAATTCGATTGATCACAGGTCTGTTGATGTTTGATGTTAATTTCCGGTAGTTCAACTTCTCCTGCATGGTTGTGGTTGGCTCCAATTGGACCAATTAAATGATCCAAGAAATGTTTGAGGGTCAGGGGACCTTCGTCATTGGAAATGACAGTATAAAGAGATGTAATATCCATTGTGAAAAGAAGTTTTTCTTGGCTAGGGAAATAAAAGTTGCCAAAAAATTTTAAGAGCGTGTTGGTTGTTCTTGAGTTATGATGGTAACGTTTTGAGAGTGGGTGCCATAATTTTGTGCTCTCTGTCTGTCAGAAATAACTCAGAACCAGACTGTCTCACATAAGTTACTAAAAACCACACAAATCCAATATGTCACGGTATTTTTACAGCGTATAACTTTTTTGATCAATAGTAAATCAACAGGATACCCGTACTTGAATAAGCTTTGTGCTCGAAAAGTCTCAAGTTTTCCTTTTCGCTTCTTTTGTTTCTCTTTTACAGATTTCTTTGCGAGACAAAATAAGCGAAAATCCTTCGAAATTTTGCTCGTGAAATTGGCGAATTGCCGGCTAGAATTGATCCCCTCGAAGATGTTCGATGTCTAACCGCTATGTTACTTGCGCATGCTCGACGTTTGACCGCCGTGCTAGCACGGAAGCACTGTGGCAGGACAGAGCAGAATAACGTCGGCGCATCCTCAAGGCTTTAGCGCGAAAACGGATTCAGAGTTATTGGCACGTTCGATTTTCTATTCTGTTACTTTAAGGCGTTGTTTCCTTGCCGCTTTTCACACCCTTTCAGAAATATTTTAAAACAATTTTCTCTTTAAAAAATTGGAAAATACCTTCAACGACAACAAAATGCCTCGGTTTTAAATGCAAGCCTTCTTTTTTCTTCGCAAATTTCGCTGAATTTTTAACCTCGTGTGCGTGAGCCCGCGTTATTCAGCTCTGCCCAGTGGCCGTAGAAACCGTTGCTGCGTGAGCTTGGTTCCAGAGTCCTTCTTTAAATTAACATCCATCTTATTTTTAAGCATGTCTCACATCTTCCTTAAAAGTTTGCTCTGATCCATTCTCATGGAGTTGAAACCCTGTCGTAAGCACTAATATCTATTTTTGAAGGTTTGAAGGATTCATTTGATGATTCAAAGAACCTCAAATCCCATTGTCGCTACGAGTTTCGTGTTAGTATAATTGTCATAACTTATTCATCTTATTTTTCCCCTAATGCATGGTTATTTCTAATTAAATTACCTTCTTTTTTTTATCAAGATTAGGGCCATTCAGCGGTTAGATGCGTGGGAAACTTTGGGTATAACTGTTACACCCAAAGTTTCTCATCAGAAAAAGTGTTTCTCGTCAGAGAAAGTCCATCGTTCTTCTTTAAGAAATGGCTGGCGCAATTGTCATCAATTCCACGCTGGGATCAACTACAGGTTTTCGAAGCATGTATCAAAGGGAAGAGGTTTAGAAAAGCAAAGCGTGGTTTCTGGGAAAGCGTAACAATGAGATGCTGCATGCAACACACTTGGTCTGAAAATCGCGTGATCAAACATTTTTTCTCCACGTATTTGTGGTTTAGTTAAAAACCCCTTCTTTATTAAGATAAACTATGCATTAAATTTTAGTTTGTGAGGTTTAAAAAATTCTCACACGAAAGAAAAAAAAAGGAATTCTACCATGTTTCCTACACTGCTATGATATATATACCGACCTAAATATACTCTCGAAAGTATTGCTATATTTACAATTCAATCTCTTTATCATCCACACTCTAAAGTTCAGTTTATATGTAGGCCTTTTCTTATGCCTAAATTCAGCCTCGAATACATAGAGGCTCTTTTTTTAAGATAACTAAAAAAAGAAAAAATTTTGCGAAAGGAGAAAGAAGGAAAAGAAAGAACAACACAAACCCACAAAAGTTCTGCAAGGACTATCAAAACTCAAACACTCTTGGAAATTATCTTGTGGAAATAGAATCTACTAGCAACTGATTTCCCAGGTTTCCCACAACATTATTTGGTTCGCTAAGAATCACAAGAGATTTTCTGCGGTAAAACAGAGGCGTCGGTCCCTAAGAGTCTTCACTTAACCTAGCGTTAACAACACACCACCCAGATGTTCCCTAAGTTGCCCGCATGCGTGGAAATATTCTCCAAATGAAGACAATTTTGATGGAAACGGGAGTAAAATGAAGTGGCACAAATTAGGCAGGAATTTTTGCGTGCTACGTTACTTCAAACTGGAGCCTCTCCAATCATAATCATTTGAAGTATGGGAGAATATGGCTACAGAATTCGAATGACCACTTTGTAGAAATTATGAAGATAACTAAAAATAATTATTATATATTTAAATTATTCGGTGTTTCCGAATTATAAAGCCGCTTGCTAATGATGAAACAGATATCTTGATCAGTGACAAGGATGTCAGCAAACTTAACCAAGACAATGAATGGAACACAGTTCGTGTCGAGCTGCTTCAACACTGAAGCACAAATAATCGCTGAAATCTTTGCTTACTGTTTGGTTTTTGTAGTTTCGCTGTTTGGAAACACCTTGATCGGAATTGTTGTTTACAAGAGAAAAGCCCTGAGAAAGCCCATTAATTTTTTGATTGTAAACATGGCCATGTCCGACCTGCTGTTCCCGATTTTCCTGTTTCCTAACAACGTGATATGGTTACACACCAGCTCTTGGGTGTTCCGCGGTCTTTTTGGCAAGGCTTTGTGCAAACTTGTTCCCTTCTTCATAGAATCCTCCCTTGTTGTCTCTGTTCAAAGCTTGGTTCTGATCGCAGTGGATCGATTTGGAGCTGTTTTTTATCCTCTTCGGGGCCCACTCATCAGTTTAAAGCTGTGTCGGTTCCTTATTCTCGCCACTTGGATCATCGCCATGGCTGGCTGGTGCATAAACTTGTTCACCTTTAACCTTGTCGAATATTCAGAAAGACTGGCGTGTGTGCGAATCTGGAGTGAAGCATTGGCAAAGTACTTTTCCTTTGAAACCTTCATTGTGGTAATGCATGTTGTATTCCGATATGTCCCTTTGATTTTTATAGCAATAATTTACGTTTCCATTGCTATAAAAATCAAATGCCAGAAGACGCCAGGCTTGCAAATAGTCAATTCAAGAGAACGCCGTTTGAAGAGAGAAAGGAGCGTTCTGAAGATGTCCGTTGCCATTGTGTCAGTGTTCGGAATATGCTGGTTGCCTCACACCATCGGCTGGTTCCTTGTCACATTTTCATCGAATACCACTATGATATCGTCTTGTGGCTTTCTATACTTTAGGTCTGTTGCCTATTTCCTTGCTGTGGCAAACTGTGCTATAAGTCCTTGCATCTGTTTTACTTTCAGTGGAAATTATCGCGGGGAACTCAAGAACATTCTTAGCTACCTTTTCTGCTAATCCGAAGGCTTACAAATACAGTTGCAGAATAAAATTGTTACATAATCAGGCCGAAATGAATTTCCTACGGATAAGAGACAAATTGAACTCGGTAACAAGCCTCCATTAGATTACAACCCGACGACATTGTGCAATTTCTAATTCGTGATAGAAGGATCTAAAGGGCTGTAGTTTACGAAGCGTTAAAAGGTTCTGTAATCACCAAGGAATAAGGAAAAGAAAGCCAGTTTCGGATGAAGCGCTTAAGTGCCACTCGCGCTAAGAGCGCTCCTCTCGACTTCCCGTCGGAAAAAAGTTTTCTTTTAGTTTTTGCCGAGAATAGATGCCGAGTTGTCCTAAAACGTTGCGTAAACGTGATCGGTCGTAAAGCTTGCGCGCTTGCGTGACTTACAAAGTTAACAAAGGAGGTCGGAAGGCGCCTTCTCGATAATTTTCGTTGAAATATCAGGTCTATCTGCACAAAACCGTTGTGGTCCATAACAGCGTAAAATCATTAATGATGGAAACAAACTTGTAGAAAGAAGGGCTAGTCCATCGCGTTCCGTGTGCAAAATCTCGGGAGAAACTTTTAGAATTCTTTCAGAGTGTATGCATGTTGTTTTGTAAATAACACTGTAACGTATTTACACCTGTAGAACGTAGAACGTAGAAGATAAACAAACGAAGTTTGAACAGTCAAAGGGAGATCTTCGTCGGGTTTCAGAATTATGCAAATTGTCACTGACACGAGCGCAATTTAGCGAACACGTGGATTTGCGTTGGTTTTAAAATGTTGGTGGATGAAAGCTACAGATACAACCGCGGGTTTGAGGCAATCGGTATATATGTGTAAATTGAAATCCGTTTTTTCAAAAGTTACAAAAGGAAAAACGGAGATCATAAAGAGAATTCGAATTCCGTTTCCTTCCTTGTTGATTACAAAACCTTTTTAACGCTTCGTAAACTACAGCCCTTTAGATTCGGATATCGAGCCTTGATTTCAGAGACAAGCTCCTCGTAAATATGTTTCTGTTCGATAAGAAACCGACGGACAAAGTCTTTATCTAAGACATTTTCTATCGCCGCCATCTTAGTTTCCCAAATATTCCCGCTGAGACAAAGATTGTCAGTTTCACTGCCATTGGCCGAAAACGAAAAGCGAAAAACGACTTGTAATCCGTTTTCAAAATTCCATGCGAAAACCAAAAACCAAAAACGAAAAAGAAAATTAAAATCCGTTTTTTTGGGCTACAGAAAAAGAAAAACGGAGAGCATTAAGTGAATTCGAATTCCGTTTCCTTCCCGACGGGGAAAAACGAAAAACCAAAATTTCGTTTTTTTACTGCAAAGAAAAACTAAAGACGAAGATAAAATTTGTGTTTCATTGTCCCATACAATTGAAAATCGGTTGGCACTAAGGTACACGGATTCTAGACACTGCTTCAAGTTGAGGTGAGCGTATGCGGGAGAGCATTGCATGAGTGGTAATAAAGATCGAGATTTTGAGAAAACTTCCTTTTGAAACCAAAATATCGAGATTAGACAAATGATTTGGTTGCCTAGTTCATATGGACACGTGCATGGACAGGTGACTATAAATAGTTAGTTTTCATATAAATTAAACTTTGTAAATCACTTGAGTTCTAGCTGCCCCGCACAGAGTTAGGAGACTAGCTTAGGTTAAAGGTCCTGTTGTATTTCGAAGAATTGATTAAGTAAAGAACGTGGATAGACAAGGCATTCTTATCATCAACAAAATCTTCCTGGTCAACTATGCTGTAACCTGAGATTGAACCTAAGCCTATTTTTCTCAGTTTCTTCTTGCAAAAGCCAGTTCAAGGCAAAGCCGATACAACCGAAAATAAAGAGTGGTTAGCCACTGATAGATAGCTTTAGCACTATCACTGTAGATAGTTAAATAAATCAGGGCTCCATAGCATTTTTAAGAAACTGAAATTTGCCAAAGGGACAGTTAAACCATCTCATGGACTTCACGAGCATTTTATCGAATGTATATCTCGCCAGCCTTGAATATTTTATGCAATCAACTTGAAATGAGAAGATATTGTAATTCAGTAATAATAAAATGGGAGGAACAAAAAAAAAAAAAAAAAAAAAACACGTAAACTTAAGAGTCTAAACAATTGCTTCCATATCGCCCATACGCCTCTAATTAACTGCTGTTTCGTTTATTTCAAGAGATATGAAGCACACGAGAAGTTTGGAGAGTACAAAAGATATGTAGGTTGTTACGAGTTGCTCGAGGTTATGCCTCGAGCAACTCTAGCTTCTTAAGTGCCCTCTAAAGTTTCTGAGTGCCTCATATCTCGATGAATACACTGCTGAAGAATAAACCACTTGTTTTATAACATTTTCAACACAGTTCTTTGATAGTTGTTTGTATAGGTAATCACATGATTTTGAGTGCAATTTTGGATAAATCATCATGAGTAATTTTTACGAAGGCTAAAACAAATTGTACACGTTGACTGCAATTTGTAGTCTTTAAAAGATGTACGAGTGCTACAATTTATTTCAAATTGCACGAAATGAATCATGTGGTTATTAAGAAATAAAAAACGCGCCGAGTGCGTTGTTGAGTTATATAGGCACGCGGGAATTTTTAAGAACACGAGAGAAGTGCGGAGAAGCACGAGCCGAAGGCGAGTGCTTCTCACACTTCTCGAGTGTTCTTAAAAATTCCCACGTGCTTATATGACTCAACAATGCTCGAGGAACAAGTTTTTTTCATTTCTTTTATAAAATGCATTGTGAATTGCGCGCGCTTGAACCGATGACGTAGGCTGCGTGCATTATTGAAGAAATGTAAAATGGTTTCCGTGTTTACATAGCCTGATGTAAACACGCGGGAGGTTGGGAGAACACGAGATAAGCGTAGGAAACCACGACGCGAAGCGGAGTGGTTTCCAGCTTACATTTCTTTTATAAAATAACTAATGAAAGAGGAACGAAAACCGTGTTTACATACGCTCATGTAAAATGGTTTTATGGCCAATCAGAGCGCGCGTACTATTTGAATTATTTTATAAATTTCAACAGTGCACTCGTGTGACGTAAGGCACGTGCTATATGGCAATATAATAAACTCGTTCTAACCAATCACGGCGCGCGTATTTCTCTTAACTTTTTATAATTATTAATAAAATACCTACATTTGCTTAGATGTAGAAAATCTCTTTCGTTTTTAAATTTCAAGGAACAGTTTTTCTTTCTTTTTTTTTTTATATCAGTGCGCGCGGTGCACGTGATTTCACAAATTAGGCAATCACATCACAGAACTCTAACCTTGACATTGGAAAACTGACGTGGACATTTTTCGCGTACTTTTCTTGTTTGTTTTTATTGAGTTTAGTTAGTTCTTTTTGAGCTTTCGTTGGCGCAAATTTGTTACCCCTTTGTTTGGAATCTTAACATTTTAGAAAAATGTTGTGGTTCATTTAAAAAGTTTAATACATATTTTCTGCGGAGTTTGGTCTCTAGCCTCTTTTTTTGTAAATTGGATTTTTTACGAGGGTGTCCAGTTTACACGTTTCAACACCTTCGTCATAGCTTTTTTTGGAAGCCCAAGACTTCCAGACTTATGCCCAGTTATTGTGATTTTTGGAATGTTTTTGTTCTTACCATTCTCCTTCCAACTCTGAATAAAAACGTTGTTCCTTTTCGTTGACCTGTCCACTGTTTTGTTTTTTTTTGTGCGTTCGCGACTTTGCAATCAATCAATTTAATTTCAACTTTCTGTACTCAACTTCAACTTTTTTTTCAACTTTGCATGCATATCATTTTCCTAGATTAAAATTCTTGAGAAACACAGCGTACAATAAATATATGATAAATCGCCTTTTTCCTAAGTAAAGTTTTAATTAAACAAGAAAAGTTAAATAAATTGTTGCTAAAGGAAAATAATGATATTATTAATCATTATATTTTATTCAGAAATCAAGATTTGGAATAAAAGTCAGAGCATGTTTGCAGACTCTGATCAGACCTCAAATTCAGTATAAGAATTGTCGGAGTTCTCACATAATCGCGAGCTAAAAAGCAAGGCAAAGCTGACATAGAAACATTACGAGACAACAACTTTATCAGAAGAACAACTAATTTTACTTTTAAGCAGCGACAAACGTCGGAATTTTTTTTGATTGTAGGTGACAAGCGTATTTGATTGACGATGCATGAGTCGTGCTTTACTAGACTTCGCTGCCCGAAAATTGCGTGGCGTTGTGCAGAGAATTCTGAAAGCTGTAGGATTTAGAATAAACACTTCATGATCAGTTAATAAATACTTTAAGGACATGTCAACACTTAAAAATTAAAATTTACCGGTGCAAGGAATGATCCAAAAGTGGCGAGGCCTCACTTAGAGTCAGCAAGTTCAGTCTTCATTTTCCATTCCCAAGTGGTATCGCGTTTGGGAATCAAAGTGTTGTAAACTTGAAAGCTTATTTCGTCGCTTTAAGGGCTTAAATGTCCACTGTTTTCCAAATTGAGTGGTCTTCAACAAACTTACTTTTCATTTTAAGCTCCAAAACATCTTTCTCAACCGGAATGGAAGAGACTACCGTCTTGAAAACTTTGAAACTCGTAGCTAAACTGCAGTCAGTCGCGTAGCAAATGATTCCTCTTGGGGCATTTGTTTGTGACGTCATAAGCGTGTTTAATTACGACAATTAAGCACGCGCGCAAATGAATTTGATTACACGAATTTACCATCTATGTTATATAACAGTTGTTCAATCATGTAATCAACGAGTTTGTCATTACTAACTATTTTTGTAAATCAAACTGTTAATACACTTGGAGGGGATCTGGACACAGCTATGCAGGAGCACAAGACTATCATTCATAGGCGCTTAGGGCAGGTCACGTGGTGAAATCTTGGCCAGGAAAAGCAAAAATATCATCGAATCCCTACAGACATGAGAATACTCGATTCAGTGAAGCAATAATTTATTCCCATTTCTAACTATGTACAGTCTATTTCAAGAAAACTATTATTATGCTTTACATCGAATACTTTGAGTCTATTGAAGACTTTTCTTTTTCCCAAAGTATTAAAAAATAGACATATGGGCTTCATTGAAACTCTAATTGCAAATTGAAAATGGAGTCATTTTTCCTAGTAAGAACATGACGACCTAACTTGAAATTTCAAAATTATTATTAGTTATTCAACAGTATGAAACTGAGGTCTTAAGAAAAATACTTTAAGTTGATATTATCAGCATTTAGTAAACTAGCGATCACGGAATGTTTTGTTGACTCAATTTTCAGCTTTGGTTGTTCAGGTGCACCTGCATTCCTGTCCACACCCCGGTATCACAGCGGCCAAACGTCTGCGCTGGTGCAAAAGTTGAAATCCAAGATACCAAGAGGTATCCAATTGTGACTGATATCGAAAAAGAAAAAGCAAAACACGCCGGAAACCCACAGTATTAATCAGTGTTTTTAAACGTACATCCGTTTTGGTAATACTCAAGTTTCGGTAATTTCGTCAGTTTCTAATAGAAAATTCAGCCCTAGAAATTAGGGCTCTGCTGGCTTTAATTGATCCAATTGCACATGCCTAACTTTTGAAATAACGGTGGCCTGGAGAGGATCGTGGGCGCGCCGAAACACTTATGACCAAAGACTGAGCTTGCATGTTTGGGTGATGCGGTAAATCCGCTCATCTCAATTTAAAACTTTACATCTTGTAATTAAATATTCTCGAACTATTTTTTTTCTAAATGTCACAGATTAAAGTTGATGTAAGGCTAGTTCGTTCTTTCTGCTTGTTGTAAATCCAATCAAAAGACGGTTATCTAGACAGCCATTTCTGCTGTCTAAAGCTCGGCTTGGACTTAAACACGGACTGGGCCAGATTTGCCGTTGCTATCTGAACTTGGTTCCAGTGTCCTCATGGGCGTCAATTCCTCCTCGGCTACTTCATCCTTGTTAAAGCGTTTTCGTTTAAAGAAGCCAAACTGTCAGGGAAAAAAAAAAAAAAAAAAAAAAAGGAAAAAAGAAATCTTTTAACAACGAATATTGACTATACCGTTACAGAATTGAAAGTGGGAGCCAGAATAAATGCTAAGCGTGCTGATCTCAAATTGTTTAGAACTAGTCAGAATGCAGTGCTTTCAGAGGTAATCATCGTGTTGCTGTCTAAGGGGAGATTCACCTTTTCACGTGTACTGATGATAACTTAAACCAGCTTGAGTGGTCAACTCAATAAGAACGGGAGGGGGAGAGAGGGGCAGGTAAAGCAAATCAATCTCTTTTGTGCCCACTATCCCATTCTTATCCTTCCTGGATTCGACGCTGTATACGCCCATGTTGGGGGAGGGGGGGAGGGGGGGGGGAAGAGATTTAGGTTTCTTTCCTAGAGACCCAACAGTGACTACAGCGTTGTTTTAAGGACTATCCCAACCAGGGTCGGTCGATGCGGTGTCCTATGCCCCATTTATGAGGCCAAATAACCGGGCAATATATCTTAGTTGCTGCTTTGTAAGCCTGATACTACAATTTCTGGAAAATCATATCCAAAGATGTCGCCCATTGTGATAAAAATTTCGGCGAAAGCAAACACCGTGATATCCAACTTACCTTGTAAAGGGCGAATCCTACCAGACAGAAAAGTAGAAGTCCTCCTAAAATAGACACGATAATGATCCAGGCCGCCACCTTTCCTCCGCCGCTTTTTGGCGTAGTCTTTGGATTGGCAGTCAGTCGAATCTGTTAAAAAAATAAACAAACGGCTCTTGTTACTCCAGCAGGCCCTGAGTACACTATTATCACAATGTGTGCTCCAGTCTTTTATCGATTTCAATTCGTTACAAATGATAACTTCTTTTTACTTTTACAAAAGTTTTCTCCTTCGATCTCGCACCAAAGTTGTTGGCAAACACAATACTACCCAAAAGGAAATGATAACTATCTCCATGAAACCATTTAAGAATGATATCTGTCCTCTCTGTAGTTGAAATAACTAGCCCATGGCGGTTATTTAAATGTCATCATGCGATATCACTCTCGAAAAAGGTGGATAGTTTGGTGCAACAATAAAAATAACAGCAAAACGTCTACTTGCCCTATTGCAACAATTTTCCCAGCACGTCAGCCAATTAAAATTTACCTTTTACATCTTGATCGAGAAAGAAACCGAGGATTGGTATAGCATAATCATTATGTGACTCTCTCTATGAAGCTACATGATTGTCTAAAATGTTCCCGCGCCTTTTTGCATGAGAAATGTTTGCAGCAGTCTATACAGTAACTTAGGCGTAAAAACAGCTATATATTTACATGTTTTATAGACGATAAAAAAAGAAAGAACCAAGAGAGTGTTGGTTTAGTTAATTTTTTATTTATCAGCAATATTCAATCACGCTGGCCCAGTTTAACTTCAAGATGGTTTGAATGGGGCCTGCGAGGCCTGTTTAATCATTCTCCCACACAGTCAACTCCTTATCAAAAAGCCTGCGTAATGAAGATGACAACCGTGCTATTTGCCGTCTTCTTTCTTATATTTCTATGGAAATTTCAATAACCCTCAAAGAGCATCCTGGGAAGTAACGAGCCATCTTGGCAGAAAAAAAAGGCAAACTTAATTTGACCGAGCTGCTTTGGTTAATTTTGTCCTCAACCACTCTTGGACAATCAGGTGAACGTGGGTAAAAAGAAACGGATTGAAGAACGTAGCAACGTAACGTGGGAGGAAAACCAAGATTCAAAGAGCGAAGGAGACAGTGAATAGCAGCATGTGCTTAACAAGATTGACAAACGACTTTCTCAATATGATCCTCATCATTTTCAAATCAATATTAATAGTTTCTATCATGACGGAAGTCCGTGAGGCTGAATATTCAGTGGATTTCCATCACTGCATGCAGCTAAGACGAAGACTTTTCGCTTCACAAAATGAAAGGGAAAAATATAAGATACCTCGTTGTAAGCAAGTAATGTAAGATTATTTGGTGGCAATGCTTTTCAAAATCGGTAATGGTAGTTAATATAATCTTTAGCGAAGTCAGAAAAATCGATGAAGACGTCACATCAAAAAGTATGCATTAACTTCAGAATTTTATCGGAAATGAGATATAAAAGTCATAAGGCATACCATTTCCTGATCATTTTTCAAACCTACCACTAGCAAAGAAAAAGATGATCGATAAAACGTCAATAACGTACGTGAGCCACTCAAGAACGGAAAGAGAGCAGCTGCGTTCATATGCTAATCTATTTACGACTTTGCAGAATACCGTCGTGTCTTGCTAGAGAACAGAAGCGTGCTATACTGATCAAAAATTCTTCTTGGTAAAGGACTTCAACCACGAACAGAATCCTTATAACTTCCCTTCATTGCCTGAATTTTCTTTGGATGATCTTGCATAATTGTCACAGTGATGAAATATTAATATTGACGTAGTATACAATTCAAAAGCAACTCCAACTCAGTAAGCAAAAGACAGAACTAGCGAACTTGAGGTAAGGTTTTTTTCTGAACCGTTCCTCTTTAAACTATCCTATGGCATTTAACAACACGGTACCTTTTGACAACAGTTCAATTTCTTTGTCCGATCACGATGTGGCTTTCGCAGTCTTGTACTCCATGATCATTGCCATCGGCATTCCCGCTAACTGTGTTATAATCACCATTGTTCGAAAGACACCTTCAATGCACACCACAACAAACTATCTCCTGCTAAATTTGGCCATCGCCGATCTACTGACTTTGATTCTATGTCCTGGTAGCTACGACTATCTTCTTACCAAAGTGCATTTTGATAAAACAATTGGAGATTTTGTCTGTAAAGTCTTCGCGGGAAATGCATTTGTTCCGATGACGATGAACGCTGCCGCCTTGACAGTTAGCACAATAGCTGTGGAAAGATACTTGGCGCTTGTCAGACCCTTCGAAATTGGTTTAAGACTAACTAAAAACCGACTTCCTTACGTGGTTGCCTTATTGTGGATACTGTCCGTCTCATCCTGCGTTCCTGACTTATTATCAAATACTGTGGACTCAAATCCTCACTCAGGCTATCCGTGCAAACGACCTTGGAGAATTGACGAATATTATCATCACGAAGGCTTTATAACGTTTACTTCTATTGTCTTTGGAATTTTTCCAACCATCCTTGTAATTTTCTGCTATTTCGAACTTTTCCGTGGATTTTTCATCACGCATACAATATGTGCAGCAGCTTTGCAAGGTTCGGGCAGTCAAGCGTTGGCAGAACGACGCTCAAAAAGGCAGCTCTTTAAGCTTCTTTTGTGGGTTATGCTCCTATTTTGCGTTTGCACTTTGCCATTTTCTTTATTCTTTATATATCTAACCACTATCGACAAAGAGACCGCTGCAAGTGACCGCCCTCGCCTGTTTTTAATTCATAAAACCGTTCGGTTTCTTCTGATCGCCAATTCATTTTGCAACCCTCTGATTTACGCGTTTCAAAGCTCAAACTATCGACAGGGATTCAAACGAATTTTCTCCTGTAAACTGTTTCCCCAAAGAAATGCAAGACAACACAAAGATGACAACATAGATAAATAATGCCAACTTTGCCAAGGTCGATTTTTTTTAAACAGTTTTAATGAAAAACATCACCTAAATGAATGACAAAGATGAAAGGTAGTTTTGATCATGACAGGTGCTCTTTAGATAAAAACAGACATCTGGAGGAAGAAGAGGATTTCTGACCATTGCAGTAACATATAGTGAAAAAGAAGTCTTTCGATTTCGCTATGTTTTTTTTTTTTAAAAGGCATTTAAATTTAGTTAAATTTCGTCATTTTGTCCCCGGCATGACATCGCCAAACCCAGGGTAGCTAGGAAACCGGGGGCTCTCGTCAGGAATGAATATGAAAAGACGGGTCGTTAAAGAATGTACAAAAATTTTGGAAAAAAAAAAAAAAAAAGAAAAAGCAGTTGGCACAAACCGTAACAATGTTATCTGTAGTTTTTGGTTCTTTAACACCAGTTGGAGGAGTCACTTGAGCCGTCGTTGTAAGGTTCATCGAGCCAGCGTTCGTCTATGAGCAAAGAAATACTTCAGTATTCAAAAACAAGAAGTCTTTTGGAACCGAAAGCATTGAAAGGCGCCTCTCAATTAAAAAGTACCTTAATGAGAGTATTCTGCCAGAGCCGGGACCTTATCTGTATCTTCACATCATCCCCTTTCTTCATTCTTCCCAAGACGCAAGGAACCCTTAGGCACGTCATGGCGTTATCAGATTTGCATGGCTGAAAAGTAATTTCCACAAGTGCTGCATTTAACAATTTTACGATAATTTTGCAAAAATTATTTTGTTATTGAAATATTGAAAACAAACTGGTAATTTACAATGACTTTCCTAAGTGTTGTTGAGTGCCGTGGTTTAACATTTGCAAAGCTCTCTACTTTTTCATAAAATTTGAAAGCGAGGTTTCCCACGTTTGGTGCCGACTTTGTACTCTTTATCTCAAAAACTGTGGTTTAAGCTCCACTTTTCGTTTAAAAAAGACAGCGATTTTTCTTACATGCTTTCTATTTTTGCACTGGAACATAAAAAATCATGTTTCTTACCAGTTCTTCGTTTGTCTGTGCTACTTCTCTCCGCCTTCTTACTTTTGAAGAACTGGACTCTTGTTCACGTTGACTGTTGTTAGTATTCAGCTGGGGAGGAAAAAAAAAATGAAATTTAATCGAGAATTAGGGTCACTTGCTTTAAGTAAAGCATGCATTGTAGTAAAAAAAAAAGCTGTTGTATTCCGCTTTCATACTGAAGCATTCACTTTTGATTTTTTTATTCTTTTGTACCATTAGAACCCACAGTCTTATAAAGAAAAGCCCACGAGCAGACCAAAACAGTTTCTCCGCCCGCGTGAAGATTTTCTAGGAGTCTGGCACTAATTATCAGTGCTAGATCCTTTCCAGACCTCTCGGTGGCTGGCGTTGCTCACGGTCTCATTTCTTTCCCGCGGGCGAAGAAGCTTGCGCCGAAGCAGTGATAATGAAGAACTGCTTGCAAGCTATATAAATCTCTAAATACAACTCACCTGAAGATTTAAAGGATTGCTCTTCACATTACAACTTCCTGCATTTCCGAGAACCTATTGATGTAGTGAAATAAAAAATAAGAATCTTGAACGAACTCGGACCAAATTCTTGGCAAAATTACTTCCGAAGGTTATCCTTCCGAAAGTTTCCGAAGAACAACGACGAGTTCAGCAGTTTACAAAACGTCACGAGGATATTTCGATCAAAATGACTTTGACTTACGTCTACTCCCATCAAATACAGCAAGTAGTTTGGACCTTCCTCCTTGTTATACTTAAATGGAACCTCAATTGTAACCTCTGCATATTCGATAGGACTGGGACCGTTGTTCCTTACCTAGAATGTAAAAACAGGTTCAAACAGGTTTTAAAGGGGCAGTTGCGATAGAAAGCTTACCGACTGTGAGCCTCTCCAGCCAGCGAGATTTTAAAACGACCAATCACGCATGCGCACGTTTGTGGGGGGAAATAGAAAATATGTTTGACGGGAATCGTGAGTGATCAAGTTGCAATTGGTTTTGCAGCTGATTGGTTGTGATAGAAGATGGCACGATTTTGTTTTACCAATCACAGGGGGTACTGTGGTAAAAGTAAAGCATTCCTGTAGTAATTTTCATTTGGAATGAAAAATGACTCAAGTAGCGAGACTAGGCATCTGTGGTAACCAGGAAGTGATAGAGGAATCACGAATGTGAGCACTGTTGACCAGCGGTAATAATAATAGCCTTCTTATCATTATTATAATTATAATTCAAATGATAATTTTCATTATCATTATTACTTACATTTTCATCATTGTTATTATCAAGTTTTCAAACTTCCCACAGTGAAAAAGAAGAGAAACGAAAAGTCAGCGACTTACTGTTATGGTCTGCTTTACTGAAGGTCCAATATCAAAAGCGTTCTTGACCTCAGAAACTTTATCCTTGTATACCACTTGATCTGGATTAGAAAATCTGAAGGGAAAAAAAGAAATGTAAGCCTTTTACCTACATTTGGGAGACGATCGGTGGTCAGATATTTTACATTTTATGAAGTTCCCATGGTCAACAGTTAAGCCGCAACTCTTCAAGCTTGGTCGCAGAGGAGATTTTCAGGTAGTTTTTATCGGAAACGCAGCAGTTGACTTGTAGTCTTACAGTGCATGTCGTACTTCCAAGTTAAGTTTCTTTTTCTGATAAACCAATTTTATTAAATTCTGGGTCAAGCCTACTTTCAATGTAAAAACAAAACAACAACAACAAAAAATGATCGCATGGTCTAAAAAAAAAAAGTGACATATGAGAATGGTTGGAACAGACCAAGCTGATGCTTAATCTCTCGTAAATTTTGAGAGCGGAGAATGGTAAAATGTAACACTTACCCAACAATACTAAGATCTGCTTCAAATTTGACAGGAACTTGGAGACTTTCTTTGTTATTAGATTTGTCCACGTCTTCACTGAGACCACTAAGAATATGAAAATAAGAAATTCATTATCAAAGAATCGTAGTCAACCACGCTTCAAATTTTGTTGACGTCTGGGAAACCTCAAATATTTCTTTTTGGCTATCGACGAAATTTTGTAAAGTAGAAAAAAATGGAAGCGCTGATGATGTTGTTTATAGGTGATTAGGATCCGTTAACATAATGTATACCCTCTTCTTTGACAAAAAAGCCCTGGTTTGTATTAGTTACATACAGTTCAATTGCTTTTCCGCATGTTAAAGTACTCACCTTGTAGCCTCAAGATGAATACTAAACTGAGTTATGTTTCCCGTGATTCTTTGGGCGTTGAATATGACATCGAACTGTTTCTATTTGTTTGAAAATAAAATGAAAATAATGCTTGACAGAATAACTCTCCATTTAAAAAAATGTTAATACTGGACCCCAAACATACGTCTTGGGGCAATTTGACTAATACGTAACTTAATAATTGAAGAATGCAAAAAAAAGTGTCTTTCTCTTTATTAGCTTGTGGCTACTTAAGGCTTGTGCAGCTGTAATTCAAGTTCTGGTCAAGTGAAACCGCAATAGATGTCTAAGGCTTTAGCCAAAATTTTTTTATAGTGATGTAGAAAAACATATAAATAAAATAAATAAATAAATAAAAAATAAAGAGAACCTTCATCGGTTAGAAATGAATGAATGAAAAGGTCAACCAGAGAAACTAAGCGGGTTTAATTTTGGATAAACCACGACGTCAGTAAAGAAGGAGAGATATTTTTCTCTCGTGCACTTTAGGAGAGACGTACTTTTCTCTTACGACTTTCAAGACGTCATTCGTGTACATGAGAGTTAGAGAGATCATTCCGAACATGTTCTTTTTTTTCACTTTGTTTACCTTGGTATTCCCCCTGAAAGGATTTCCAATGGCGCACTCTGCTTGCCTGTTGCCGTCCTCCAACAACTTTGTTGAACAGGATACATCCTGCCAAAAGAATCAAGGAAGATTATGTTTAAAAAAAAACCGAAAACAAAGGCAAGCACAAAACAAAAACAAAATAAAACAAACAAATCGTTTACACTCTAAACCTAGCAAACAAGTAAACAAAAATAAATTAGACCGATCAAGAAGTTTTAGTTATTTTGGTGTCTGTTGTATTCTCTACTCAAGTATAGGAGATTTCTCAACGCAATATGGTTATAAATTATATCCTTCCACTTAATCTTTGGTATTGTTACAATTCTGTGAATTTTCAGCATTTGGTATCAAACCGTTTACAATATAAAGGTACGCTGATTTCTCACGAGGAAACAACTGGGCACGTCTGTATCCCACTGTTTCCCCCTGGCCGAGGCCTGACAAATGATACCAGCAGTTTTAAAACGTTATCGATTTGAAGAAACCCGTTATTAAGGGACGCCAAGACGAACAAGCCAGTACGATAACTCTCATATTCGCGAAAACTTAAGCTATATGTAATTTTCATTACAAAATAATAGCAAAGCAATCCGAGCATTACTCGACGATGCTTCGAGCGGTCGACGTTTTCCATTGAGCATACTTAAAACTTTTCCATTTTACATAAGGACGAACCTCACTGTAAGCGTAGTCGATGAGGGATGGATATGTCACCATGACCTTTCCAGGGTAGGCTGCGTCCTGTGCTTTGTTCTCTACCTCTACCCGGACAGTAAGTGTTTTGACATCCCCAATCAGAAGCTCGTTTTGCTTCCTGTGATAAGATAGTGCAATGATAATAAGATAATACTTGCTTCATTTTAACCAATCATAGCACGTGTTTTATCCAGTTCATTACATTACAACTAAGCAATCCTCATGGAATCAAAGATAAAGATTTCTTCTTGGAAAATGAGAAATATTTTATCAGTCTCGTCTTAGCGGGGGACAAACCGATCCAAAATGGAGAGAGTAAGTATCAGTGAGACTAAAATTGAAATTTTTTTTTCGTCTGGTGGCCATGTTTTTAAATTTTGATAATTTGTGTGATATTATGAGACAAATAGCGAATATGGAAAAAAAAGATGTCTGGTGTAATAATTAAAAACCCTATTGTCATAACCTTAAATAGCGTATGACAGACAGTAAGAAGAATCCAAATGGTAAGGTCGATATAAAACTCACCCGTCGCCGTATATCAGTGATCCTTTGATAGCTAAGTCTGGTTGACAGATTTTGTCGTTTCCACATTGCTTGACAAAGCCTACCTGTAAAAAGTTAAAAATAATAAACGTTACTTAACATAGAAACAGCGCGGCTGCAAATAAATGCCAGGCTGAAACATATATGGTTTTCTTTTTCATACACTTACTGTGGCTCTAAAAGACCGCTGAGCAATGTCATTGTGGTCGTTCAAAATCGGACAAAGTGTACAGGACGGTGACTGAGAAAGATCGTAGGTCAGATCAAATGTTAAAGGATCAAACACGTCCTGGAGTTGGTCCTTTTCCTGAGGAAAAAATAAAGCTTGTTTTTAATTACATTATGAGTAAGAATTAACTCAGCAAGGGGGGTTAACTAGTGAGTTCATTAAAGATAAAAAAGTCATAAATTGCCAAGAACTGGTGAGCGTCAAAAGGAAGAGAATTTCAGGCAGCTCCAAAAAAAATCACTTTGAGTTTTAAGCCATAAAAAAGGGATGATCGCTACAAACTTGTGAAAGCAACTGAATAAAATAATCCAGGATTGCACTTGATGGTTTATTTCACCATGCTACTGACGTCATACAGTAAACTAACCAGATGCAAAACTGGTTGATATTTTGGTTTCATTCGCGCTTCATTGTTTCCTTGTGTTGTCCACTTTTCTTATGACGCGCTGCGGTAATTACCTAAGATTTGGCACTCAATCATATAACCACTTTAATGCTTAATTAAGAAGTCAACTTGATCTTAGAAAACGTACCCTGAGGTATGCTGTGTCAACTAACTGGCAATGCCATTCATTCTGCTTCGTTAATACTACATGCCGTGCGATAGAGAATGTAGTTTTGCCTTCTTGGAAGAAGAACATCCGGCGAAGATCGAAACCGTCTGTGAAGCGATCTTTGTCAAGTTCGACTGAGAATGAGACGTTTGGCTGACCTGATTTGATATAGAACGAAAAAATGAAATTGTCTTTAACAAGGTGATGGATAAATCTGTAATAAAATCATTTTAAAAGTGACTCAACGTATGCAGAGTCAATTAATTTTCGGTTATAATGCTGTAAAAGAACAGATAGAATTTTTGCTGGCTAACTAATAACTTGTCGGTGGCCAGTCGGTTATCTGTCACTCGAGATATCCAAGCCGAAATATTGTGGTATCAATCCATTCCAAAAGTGACCAAATGTATGCAGAGTAAGTTAATTTAGGTATATTGCTGTAAAAGTACAAATACAATTTATGTAATGGTTAACTGATAACCTCAGTTGTCGGTAGCGTGTCGGTAGCGCGTCGGTAGCGTTTCGGTGAACAGTCGGTCATCTGTAGGCTGACACTTTGCCGATAGTCGGCTCACAGCTTATTTCAGGGAGCTGTTCTACACAATTACCCATAAACCATAGAAGTATGATCTAAATGCAAAGAAACTTCAGGAACTTGAACGAGAAGAGAGAGGACAGGTAGACAGACAGACTCAGGAGAGAGAGAGACAGACCGTGAGAGAGCCAAACATACAGTCAGACAGACAGACTAAAAAACAAAAACAGATGGACAAACCGACAGACAGACTGCCAGGGAAGAACTGAATCAGGCAAGAACCAAGGAAGACGGACAGATAGACAGACAAGTTTAGTTGTACACATACAAACAGAAAGAAACGATGAGATAACCTACCAAGGGACGGCATTTGATTCTTGTATTTCAAGCAAACAGTCACATTGATACTGCAACCAAAAAAGTCAAATTAAGGTAAAGATTTTTTTCGCAATTGTATTTTCAAGTTATTTCTATCGAATTCCTTGTCGACTGAAGAGGAAACGTCAGAGAAACCATTAAATAATAAGCTCAGTTCCATATTTCAAATTGCTGATTTCAATTCCATGTTTAATCTTTTCCATCCGCGGCCCTCTTTGTTTCCTTTTCTCTCCGGCGTTTGGCCACTCTCGAGTAAAATTATTTAAGGCTTTTATTTTAGTCAACAACAATTCTCAACGAGCCCAACCTCCAACACACCCTCCCCTGGTGAAAAAGTACCTTTTTCGTGACACGCCGTCTGCTGCTAGCTGCACGGTTTTATTGTCTTCCAGTGAAATTTGAGTCACACTCAGTTTAAGTTCACCTTCCATCTCTACAATTGGTCGTGATCTATCGAGTAAAAAGATTTAGATCTTTGGTATTAAATTTAATTATACAGTGCAATAACTGAATATTTTGAAAGTTTTCTTATCTTTTACGATTTTTTTTGCAGATCAAGTTTCAATTGCACAATGACAGGAGCGCGAAAAAAAAAGTTGCCTGTATTTGTGTTAAAGACGCAAAAAAATTACGCGTGTTCTGCAGGCCTCGCACGACAGGTGTTGGTTTGGCATTCCATTGATCAAGATATACACTTTTTGAGATTCTTGAGATATGGAAATGAAATCCGTTTAGTTTTACCTTAGAAGGAAAGCTCTGTCTGAAGAATAAGCACCGACAGCGAGATCTGTGCAGAGAACGGAACATTAACAAAAATGGTGAGAAGCACGTTGTGAGGTAGAATATTCGAGTCAGGTTGGTCATCATAAGACAGAAGAACACTCGTCACCAGCTCTCCTGTTTGTGCTTACATATGGAGAACTACAAAAATTTTCATTGGACTTCTAAGTACATGGCGGGCTTCTAGGTACGTGTAGTTAGTTTTACTATGGTCTACTGGCATTCCTTTTTAAAAGTAGTTATATATGGTGACTCTTAAAGAATTATAGGAAAACCTTGCCCGTGAGATTCTCATTCTGTTCTAAATAAAACAGTTAAGGAATCTATGACGTCCTAAAATCTCACATGCACAGTCACTGTTCTCATAGTTTACTCTATTGCTGCGTCACGATTTTTTGCCTTCCCTGTCCCACCAAATGAAAGTCCCACCGCCCCGGTGTACAAGAAAATCTGGCGTTTTTTATTTATCAGAGGACATCAATAAAATGCTCAAATGGGCAAATTCACGCGATCCGACTGACCTGGATAGCCATTGTTATCCACATCAACATTACCCGCCAGAGAAAATCCAAACGTCTTCACTCCAACAGAAATGTCGGATGCCTCAATTGCCTGCGTTGAGTGAAAATAGTAATTCAATAAAATAGATGCAACATTCGGTACTGTTTTTTTTTATGACCTATGGTAAGACGCTGTTAAAATAATTTACCTGTCTAAACGAACTTTCAATGCCATCTTTCGTGCCGAAGTAGATAAATACAACACCTCCTCGATCTTTACCGCCATACGGTGCACTTATTGCAACATCTGTTTTTGAAAAGGAGATGGAAAAAAATAAGGTTAAAAGGTTGTTTCATGTGAATCCAAAATATATCTTACAAATCCAAATCTTTTTCTTGTTGGGTTGAAAATTAAGAAACATCTTACAAGACAAAATAGGAGTGAAATTCAACACAGAATCAAAATGAGGTAATTTTTGTTCCACTGTGGTGAATATTTGAATCTGCGACCGCCACCTAGACTAAAAAAAAACCGTTTCTATGTGGCGTAGAAGCACAAGTAATATCGGCCGAGGATTTCCGCTGAACGTTACTCCGAGTAACAAAATTTCTATCGCGCTTGCAATTTATATCAGGGTAAACTAAAATTTTGAAGTCAAAGATCAAGTCAAAAACCCTTCATCAAAATCTTCATTTATTATCCACGCCGAATGTTCTCACGACCTACTTCAAAAAGTGCGTGCCTGAAACTATAGCTCAGACTCTTTTTCCATGTTGTCATCCGCCATTTAGAATTTTGATGTAGATTGTCGCTGTATTTTCGGTTCCAGACTCCCTTTCCCCGCTTCCCATTTCTGTTTTTAGTAACATTCGATTTCCTCTCCAGTAAAGAAAGTTTTTGCCGTCTACCTGTAAATCCATCCCTGTTTAAGTCTCCGGCGACAGCCATCGCGTACCCAAAAAGAGATCTCATCGTTTTTCTCCCATCCAGTGTCATGGATTCCTTATGATTAAGAGTCCCAGGGGTCTGAAACACAAACAAATTGATTACATCACAATTCGATGACTCAGCTGTCAAATGTAGAGCATGCGCAAGTAGATCAAAATTTCAATCAACGACCGCTGTCACGCAAATATTACGTTTAAAAATTACCTTTCCGCTATTCATGTACGTATAAACTCTTCCTTCATCTCCGTATTCACTGTGCCTGTAATAAGGAGCACCTACCAACAAGTCGGAAAAACTGCAAAAAATTAAATCAGAATTGATTGTTATGGCTTTATCGGCTTAATCGAAGAATGAATTCACCTGACAAGAACATTCCTTACCCGTCATTGTTTAAGTCCACAACACAAAGGCATTGACCAAAATTGCTTCCCAACTACGAAACAAAACAGAACAAATAGAAAGATGAGACAATCAGCTAAATTAAGAAAATAAAAGGAAGCTGTGTTTTAGATCTTAGGGCAAGGTGATGATCTGCCTTAGAGATTCTACCGTCCGTGATTGAATCCGTATCATTTCATTAACTTTAAATGTGATGTAACGACTCGGTTATCGTTTTTAAATTTTTCTTTCCATTCAATTTAAGCAATGCAATGAATCTTTCGCCCCGCAGAATTTTTTCTTTCCGTACATGTTTCTCATACACTCAACTGCGTGCGAAAACTTTGCACAGTTAAAATCTCCCAAATGTGTTGAATATAATTCGACACGGAGACTTTCACTTATCGGAGGAAAGGTTTTTAAGATTCAAGTTGGGATATCACCCATGTGTATGTCCTATGTACTCCATCGTCGTACATGGGGCATATTTAGTCTAATGATTGGGTTTAACTTACACCAATCGCGCGCGAGCGATTTTATAGCATTGATTTTTAAATTAATTGTATTCTCTTTTGTTGGCGGTGATGAGTACCTGAGCAGTTGTGGGCAAAGGAAGAGTAAAGCTGACGGACGTATCAAAGTTGTCCGTGTTCACATCAAATGCTACAACCTGATAAAAAACAAAAAAAACCATAAAATCACATAGACGTGAATGTCTGTCGTCCCCTCTGTTTAAAACTGTGATTAGATTACCAAAGTAGAAGAGAAAATCGGAAAAAAAAATATATCCACAGTTCCGCCAACACAGAAACCGTGATAAACTACAGTGAACTCACATGCCTTAACGCGCCAGTCAGGAATCGAAGCGACAGTATGCAACCTAAGTCAAGCGCGGAAAAAACGGGTCGTAAAAAATGCGCAGCACGTGCCGATCAAATAAAGAAAACCGCATCTTCCTTTAGTTACGATGGGATCTGTGCTTTATTCAAAATTAGCTGTTCAATTCTTGACGATAGGACTTTTATACTAATTATTAAAAAGATACTTAATGTTCTGTACCTTTCCCAGGAGATTATTAGCTCGCGTCGAACTCGCCAGAAACTCTGGATTATGAATGAAAATAAAAACAAGAAAACAAGCAAAAGTTAGATCATGTTTCTAATTGGCAGTGTTTTCGCCAGTGTGTGTCACCGGTTTAACAAGAAGGCATTCAACAGACTTTCATATGTGATGGAACTTCATACCTTCTCTTCTCTTATTTTGAGATTTGAAATTTCCAATTCCAACGGCGTAACCTAAAATGCAAATAAAATCGTGAATTAATCGCCCGAATTATTCGCGAATTGTAACTTTCCTCAATTCCTTCTAAGGGGAGTCGGAAATATTTGGCTTGCGTTGAATAAGACTCAATATGGTACTACTACAAGGGTTTGTAATCACCGTGACAAATTTCAGTAATTGAGGCACAGAACTAAGCCGTCTTAACTCGAAAGTAATACAGGATTGGATGGGTTTGCTACACTGCACCCTGTGATTGGTCAAATGTACCCGCCTCACCCTCTCAACCAATCAAATGCCAAAACCAGTCGGGACTTGGACCCTCGTGCTTGCGCGCGCTGGAGTCATTCGCGAATTTACTTAGGATCTTATTTGCTTTTTGGCGTATTTTCTTTTGATTTGATTAACCAACGTAACTACTTAGGTTTTGGATTTTTCGATGCAAAAATATTAAAAATATAAAAAAAAGCGATTATCCCATTTAAACTCACCCAAAGCGCTACCACTGCTAAGATCAGGATACAGAGCTGAAAAAGTTCTTGCAGAATCTTGAGTATCAGAATAGAACACTGAGATTGATCCTAATTGGGAAAAAAAGGTAGAGATGTACTTTGAGATATGTACCGTGATTGAAGGTTACAACAAATGTAAAGCCATTTTCGATATTTACAAAAAAATTGGGGTATTTGAACAAAATTTCAGCCCCGGGGGCTGGAATTGAAACAAACCCATCCTCAAAAGTTCAAATACCTGGGGGTTGCTCAGGGGGGAGGGTGGGGAATGTCGAAACTTCGACTTGATCGACGCATTATGGTTTCATCTTAAGTAGTAGTTTCAAAGATGCACCGTTAATTAAGAGACTTCAAATAATATAAAACATAACTCAGTGCATGTGAACACAAACAAATTCAAAAAGGACTCGCTCTTTTTTCACGGTTCATTTCTCACAGCACCTTGACGTGGGAATTTAATCTTCACAGATAAATGTCCTGACAGGAAAATCTAGGCTTCGAAAGGTTCTGAACCTGTACATCCGAGATACTAGTTGGGCGCTATTACCATAGAGCAAATTTGTAAGGGTTGGATTTTAATGATCAGATCCCTCATTAGAACCAAGAACCTATTAAAACTTGCCTCACTCTAAACAGAAGTTTCGTTGCTCAATTAAAATAATAAATATAACGTATATCAGAAACGCATATGGTTAATGTAGAGCTCACCATTCAATAAGTATCTCCCGGGAGCACCCATAAGCACAGTTAGCCCATCCTGTGACAGAGCAGCACTAAATCCAGCCTCACACGCCCCTTCCTTATTTGCGTTGTACTGATCGCTAAAACCATTGTCTAAATTGGACAAAAATGAAAAATGATCTTAATAACACTGCTCACACTCTGGTCTCAAATAATCCATACTGAAACAATGAGGTCAGTTGTTTATCTTTATATACGCATTACCGTGCTCGCTCAAGCGAAGCAGAACTGTGCTAACTCTTCATTACTCTTGGTAAGCAGCGTTTATTAAAGTGAAAATTTCTGGTCATCCATCGTCCCTGTAAACGATGCCTAATGTAATAAGTTGAGCAAATGATAAATATACTCACCGCCGCGATAGCATGGCCGAATACCGTCCGACGTTCTACCAGACAAGTCATTTCTGACTAGAAAACATTTTCCCAACAGTAACTTTCGTCTATCTTCAGGTCTGGCGTCAGCAGGAATGCGCGCAACCTCTCCACGGAAAGTGTACTTTGGTGCACAGGCCTAGGAAAACAAAAAGGTTATCTTAAACGGACGAACAGGGATGTTGTTCGAGATTTTGAATGAAGTCTCTACATGAAACTAATTTGGAAATGGCTCACGGTTTTTTCGCTTCTACACAGCACCACTTTAAAAAGGATTTTAAGGCTTGTCGGTTTTTTTTTCAAATTTTTTAAATGGACTTGAATCATGGATGACAAAGTAATAGATTGACTGGTTATGAAATTCGGTTTCTTAGCATGAAGCAAAAATAGCCTTCGTAACATGCAAGAGGGGGGAGGGGTGGTACGAGAAAGGTGACAAAAAACATGTCGGAGCAGGGACTGGAAAGATGAAGACTGGGATAAACCGTTACTCCTCAGAGAGGGCAAGAAAATTGAGTTTAAACTTACGATCAAACGTTCCTTTTCTACTAACGCGAAAAGCGCATCTCCTTTGAAAGTATCGTATTATTCGTGCTGAAAAGAGAGCAACACTTGATTCTAGGCTAGTTGTATCTGAGAACTTTCAAAACGCTGGCCAGTACGTACCAACAATGCGCCGTTGTCTTTGGTAGGTATGCTGTCCAAAGTTGCTCCAAGCATCTGGCCGTTTTTCTCTTCTAAATTCGCCGTAAGGGTGACGCCATTTTCATCTCTCCAATAAGTTATCAAAGGATCTGTTAAAATAGATTTACAGTAAATCAAATGCTAACAGCCTTGTAGTGGTAACGTCTCTCAGCGATATGCTAGTCACCAATCTTTGCGCGGTATCAGCTAGTTTTCGCGCCATTTAATAATCAGTCAGAATTATTCCTTGAGTGTCTCTACGTCGTTTCGTAAAAGAATCCCAACCGTCAGGTATGTTCTTGTTTTCCTTTCTTCGTTTAATTTTCATTTACCTTGTTTGTTATCATTGTAATTACTGTTATCTAAATCATTTTTTCATGTATTTCAGATATCACTGGTTAAATAATAAAAATATGTCAATTTATCGGTGCATTCGCTACACTAATCCCTTCACGATGTCGGCTCAATCACATTTGGTCCTCCTATGAGCCGTGACCTCACAGAGAAGCTCTCACTTATCCAAGACTGCGCACAGATAATAGCAAAATGAAACTGCTGGGTACCAGGCTATATACAGAGAATATCGCATCCTCAAAAGCCGCATTACAAATTACGATCAAGAACTGGTAAGTGTCTGACTGTCAAAACTCTTTAAAGAATAGCTTCTCCGTGGTTTCAAAGGAAGTTGAATGAATGAATGGAACGGACGACAAAGCGCGAGGCGATCATGGTTGTTAGTTGTCAGTTGTCAGTCATAAACCGGAAGACCGAAACACCAAAACATGTAATTTCCCACACATTTCCTAATCCTAACCCCTCAGCGGCTTTGTCACTACGTTTCACAGGGCACACAAAACCACCAGCAACGGTGACTTCCTCACAGGCTATGTAGAAAGTACTTACTGCTGTTGTCAATCGTTATAACTTGACATGGATTTGACTGCGAATTTGAACTGCATTTATACACACTTCCATAACCAGTTCTTTCAGTGTCTCCTGACGTTTTGTTGCCAAATGGTGCACCCACAATTACCCTAGAAATTAAAATAATACATTGACGTTTCATTAGTAAATCAAAGAAGGCGCCAACTTCAATTGTGTCTTTTCTTTACCGTTGTCTCCCTCTACCACTAACTTCCCGCGGGCGTTGTGTTTACATTCTCCTCGCATTAGGGAATCAGGAAATTTCTAACTATCTTTAATAGTGGGTTGAGCGTGGAAAATCGCTGAAAAGCGAAGAGGTTGAAATATTGGCTTCTGTTTCAAAATAACTCCTCTAATTTTTTAACTTCTATAAATGGTCACATATTATTCATTCCATGAAAGTCTGCCAGGGGCCTTTTGTATACTACCGTCTCGATGAAGTAATCCAAATGTATCGTGCATGAATTATATGGACACATGGACATGGTGATTTTATACCGACTCGAATATCAAAGAATGGACGAGATTAACGAGGTTTACTGAGGAAAGAAATCAGTGAATAAATAATAACTCGTCAATATCGTTATCTTTTGTATTTTATGCGCATTAATCTACAGATATGATAGCCGTGACCACAGACACATGCAACACCTCATGAAATGAATAACTCATAAAATTAAGTCAATTTAGCAGAATCACGATTCATAAAATTGAGTTTTCACAAACCAACTAAGTTTCCTAGGCAAAAAGCTAAATCTGAGTTGTACCTGGCCGCAAATACGCAAAATCGGGCAATTCAAAACAAACAGGAGAACTAACACTTGTTGCTTCTCTCTATAATTACAATTATTGTCCTGAAAAACTGTTTTCTGTCAGTGTTAATTCACTTGAGAAGACAGGCTCGACAAAGATCGTTAAAACTTTAATGTTTTTCAAGTATAGAGCCTTAAGACTAGAGTTCGCTTACAAGATTACAACGATTCAAACTAATTTCGCTCCTCCTAGGAGTATGATCATCATTTTGTAATTACATTTAAACTCACAAATTATTCTTAGTGTCATAAAGCGTAAGTAAATGAACCAATCGATTTGATAAATATCGCGATCTTAGTTGGTGTAATCGAGTGATAAGTATTCAAGGTTTTCCAAACAGTTCATCTTTCAACATTCTGTCACGTTCTACTTGAGAGATGGTTATTGAAGCGTTAGGGAGAGCTAACAAACGAAATCCATAACATTTATTACGATCACCAGAACTTCAGTATCATGTGATTACTTTACTCACCTCGACAAACTTTTCAAATTGAAGATTATGACTTACCAATTTCCTACAGCTCTCTGCCTGTGTAGCACAACAGTATATCCAAAATATTCCCCGGACGTGCCCTTATAGATGAACGGATCTTTTACATCCAAATTAAAAGCGAAAACTCTTGTCAAGCACACAATAACAGCCAAAAATACAAAGCGACTGCGAGTCATCGCCAAAAGTCTGAAAAGCCCAATGCAAGAGCTTAAAAAATGCATTCAATAACGTAGTAAACTTCGCCAAGCAGTCGCAGTCAGAGAACGTCTGCCTCACGTGTAATGTTATAGGTGCAAATGTAAATTAAAAGTGTTTATATTGCTTTTCAACGTGAATTCCAATGACCTGTGTCACAGTCACAATCGTGCTCAACCGGAAGCGGAAGTTATACATCACAATTAATTGAAACTATCTGTGTTCGAGAAAATTGAACTATGAGTTGACACTCAGACGCTCTTAAAAATTATTTTTTTTATATACTATTTGTCATCTTCGTTATTAGTGCGATCGATGAAAAATATTCATGGCTGGATTTAATTTTCAGATATCAAATGACCGTAGAAATTTGTTTAAAACGTTTTTTGGTAATATCTCCTTCACATTTCAAATGACTGTAGTAGTTTATCTAAAAAGCTTTTTGTTCCAAAGTACTTAAATTTTTTACTCCTCCCCTCGAGGTTAATTCTCTTCCATGTTCAAGACCTTTTTTTTTACAATCGTGAGTACAAGTGCATGGTCACTTCCGGTTATGTCGAAATGTCACTTCCGTTGTCGTCATATCAACAATAACGCCCTCGTAGATAATTTTAGTACTTTTTTCCTCTTCTCACTCAGTTTTCAGCTCTATTTTGATCAGTTAGCTTTCTTTCTCGGAACTAGAGGAAAGACCAATTTCATTTAGTAAGGGCCAGTTAGGTCTCAATTCCGGAAATATTGACCTTAAATCTCTGAATGAACGAATTTGGGAAAAACTCCGCCACTCACAGTAAATTGATGTTTTCTCGAATTGGGGTTAACGTCACTGACAAGTCACCAAAAATAAAGAATATAGTGTTTAAGTTTAAAAAAAGTTTATTTAAATCATGGCCTATAAATGAGGTATTTTTTTATTACATACTGCAATTAAATAAACATTACTTATAAAAATAGCATTTGTCGTATTTCACGATTCTTTCAAAAACCCTAGTAAGAATAACAACATCGGCACTTCACACTTAAAAAAGCTATCTATAAAACCTGCTACATGATTTTCTACAAGAATTCAATTATGTGCGTTGATCATATGGACCAAATGAACAACTGCTGATAACTAAGGTTATCAGCAGTTGTTGACCACACAAACTTATTTTAAAATTCAAACTCCTTGAAAGCGAGGATTGTGTAAGTAATATTTATTTGAGTTTTCATTCATCGCGAAGGTCTCCAAGTTTCGTTATTCACTAAAAACAGCTCCTTGTAAGTGTTTCGTTATGGTATAATAGTAAATAATCTTGTTTTGTTAAAAAAATTGGATTCTAGCTAACAAAGTTCCCTTTCCCGAGTGTTCCATGAATATAAAAATACGCACTTTACATGACGTTCAGTTCTGAGGTACTCGGGCCTGAGATGTCTTTTATTCGTTTTCTCTTGAAAAATCCACACTAAAAGGGAAATAAAACAATATCAAAAAAGAAATTAGAGAGCTTTAAACTGTAACATTGAACTATTTACATAAATATATATAAATTACGTAAAATAACGTAATTTTTGTGCTTACTCAATGTTAACTGTGTCTTTTGGTTTCAACCATCCTGACTTGAAACTGCTTTGACAGGTTTTTTTTCAGACCCAGTTAAAATAATACATAGCTTCGCTTTTTTGACACAGCATTTTAAGCGGAAGCATACAGGTATTCTAAGAACTCCTGTCTGGTTTGTCGCATATCATTGGATTAAAATTACCATTTTTAATTAGTCAGTTTAGTTTAGAGTTATGTCTGGTACAACTAACTAGGACCAGACAAAGTTTACGGTTTTTTTTTCTCGTAAACAGTTCTGCAAAAACTCGAACAGCCTTTAACGCACACAGATTAGAATGAATCATGACCAGTGCAAGCCGGAATGGAACCAGAAAAAAAAACCGGTTCATCCGGTTTAAATTCCGTGTTATCAGCTTCATTGGAGTGTCGTTTAGTCTACAGTAAATGGCACAGGTTCATGAAACGAGTATTTTTTTTTCTCTACCTACTTACGGCAGTGAAAGGCAGATATTTTATATTCAGTGAATAAAATGTTACACTGAGGGTTAAACAAAGCAACCAAGAGACGAGTTGCTTATAGTGATTTACGTGAAAAGTGGGGAAAGATTCGGACTAAAACGATAATGTTCAGTTCATGCATCTAACGTCACGGTGGGTGAGATGTCGTCATATTTGGTCCTTACTCTGACGTCACGCAAGTCACGCTCATTTTGTTTGTGCCATTGGTTCTCTCTCTTCCATAGGACCCGAGATATCTTTTATACGTTTCCTTTTGAAAAATCCACACTGGAGAAAAAGGCAAAAACATTCACAAGGCAGAAAATTCAAAAGAAACAAAACACGCGAGGTGAAGTCACTGGAAAGTGAAGCGAGAATGGCAAAGTGAAGTACAGTGGTACGATGCAGATGAAATCCATGCAGACTGTGGTTTAAAGGTGCTCGTGGTTATGACGCACAACAAAATGATATCACTTTTGTTGACCAACCAAAATCCAGCAGTAGATTAATCCAGTGATGCTTAGCTTTTAACCATAGTAACAGCGATACATAGCCTTCATAAAGCTTTGTTCACACAAGCCCTTCACCGGTCACAAGTTGTTTACAAACATGTATAAACAAACACAAACCCTTCACCACTACCAAATATTGTTTACAAGCAGCTTAACAAGACCAAGACTAAAGAGGCTTTCTTGTTTGAAGTTTCATATTTACACTGAAACCTTCTTCTTTTATAGCTTATTCTAAACTTTTATTTAACCAAACTAACAACTAAAAGCACCGTACATCCAAAAAGTAAGAGGTTGAGAATTACGAAATTCCACGCGGAACGTTATGAATTGTGTTGAATTGACGTGCACGTGATCAATGAGGACGAAAAAGAGTTACCCACAACACATGTATCATTTGATTATAGTTAATGATTAGTTCAATCATCATAGTTAATGATTACTTAATCATGTTGCTGTAAGTTACAACTATTAGTTCACGAAGCATTAGCAATTACAGCTACCGTTTTTAGTTTGGATTCGGGAGTAAAATTGGATCGCGTAGTCTGATCGTTCGGTTGAGAGTAGCTGTGAGAAGGACTGTTATCGATAATAGTGGGACGATCAGAAAACGTCATCCGCATGAGCTTCGGCGGTGAACGACGCAAAAAAAAATTCTTCTTCTTGTAAAACTCGCTAGAATCTAACGGGATTCTTTTACAGGTTTAGTTGTTAGCAATTGCTCTAACTGGGATCTGACGTGGCAAACCCAAAGACTTGATGGAAACTAAGTCTTAGCGTGGCCTTGTTCCCGAGTATTTCTCGTCCAAATTTATTACACGAAGCGCTAGGAATCTACCGAAAAAACACGTCGAAGGCAAAGAAATACACGACTTATTGAAGTGGGCCAATTTTTTTCTACCACCTTGAAGAGAAACATTACTCATGATGATAACGCACGAATTTCTCATGCAAGTGATAATCGAGGTTTGTACACAAACACCGTCCAACTGCTTTGGTTAATTCGTTGTTAGGGCCCGTTTAGGCCAGCAATCATTAGTTATACTTCGTGTGTTTCCTTTGCGGCACCAAAATCATTCTAAGTCACCAATAAAATCATTTTAATCGTCAATAAAATCACTTGAAAGTACTTGAGGAAACTCAATTTCCTTACTTTGTACAGGCCTGCGACGACCCCGCCCACCAAGAGAACACCACCAAGGACAGAGAGCAAAATCACCCACCAGGCTACCTTCTTTTTCTGTGCCTCGGTCTGAGCTGGTTTGGCTGTTGTTATAATCTGTGACACAGAGATATAAGAGCAGTAAGTCACGTTAGCTGTCGTTTCAATCTGTGACACAGAGATCTAAGAGCAGCAAGTCACGTTGGCTGACGTTATAATCTGGAACACGGTGATATAAGAGAAGTAAGTCACGCAGTCACCAAGTCTACCATAGATCTGTAAATATGTAAGGAAAGTACACAACTTCAACAAACTTCTGTAAAATAAAAATTGCACTCCTTAGCTACTGCAAATGCTGAACTATGTCCTCTGAAGGGGCTACACGCAAACAGACATTTGATTTAAGGTTTTTTTTAACTCCTTAGGCAGCCACACAGTGCGAAACAACTGAAAACTAGCATAGAAGATCGATTGGGCGGCGACACGATACGAAATACAGCCACAGACATTCAGCCGACACCAGTAAATTGATTCGAGTCGTAATTAAGTTCTACTCTGGAGGCAGGTAAGTTCAATTTGAAACAGAGCGTTGTCCCATCCATGACCTAGACGCCGTCACTTCGCCTGTCATGTTCTAGGGTGGCAAGCGTATAAATACACAATGTATCAAATGAGTTTGCAGTTTTCTTCCCTGTACGTACCGTAACCTGGTCATTGTTCAGGTTTGGCTGAGTAATTATACTGGGAACTTTTATCTTGGCTGTGGTCTCGAGGTCAACGGCTTTGGGTGGATCGAGTTCCTGCCAAAACAAGTTCATGGACAGACAATTTAAATTCTTCAAAGTAAAAATACCAAAAGGACACTCAAGTATTTGCGAGCTTCAAGTCCCTCATCGGCTCAAGCGTTTGACAACTTAGGGGCACTTTGGTGGGCATGTGTTGCTGAGGTCACCAGCTTTGCCCCTTTTACAACCAAATCTCTACGCCACACCCTTTTAAAAGTGCACGTTCCTTATTGCTCAAGCGAAGAAGCATCATCCCCTGTCCATGAGGCTGACGACCCTACTCCATAGCAAATACTCTCTCAGTATTTCTTTTATCAAATTTTCAGAAATTTTTTATTCGATCTCGGATTATTGCTTTTGCTCCAGGGTGAAAAGAGGCTCTGTGAAAATAAAATGTCACGCCCAACAAAAACAAAAACTGAACACATAATGGATGCTATTCTTATTTGAAAGTCAAGGCAAACCTTGATGAGAGTGTTTATCCATAGGCGGAAAGTCATCTTGATATCCACCTTGTCACCTAACTTCAACTGACCCAGATTGCAAGAGAATGAGCTGCAGCTTGCGGTGCGGCAGCCCTGTAAAGTTATCGAATAAAAAAGAAAAACACAATTAATTGGAGGAAATACTTTGAAGATTTCGAGAAGATTCCAGGCTTGCAATAAATGATTTTTTTTCTTTCTTGAGGAGATTCAACTGTGTCGAGCTGTTTCAGTGAAATTTGCTGTACTTCTAAGACGATAACAAGATTATTTAGCTTTAAATGCGTCTGTCGCGTTTGGACGCGAGCCAAGAAAACTGCCTAGGGAAAATTAACCACAAAGATCGGCTAAAAAAATATGAATTAAGAAGAATTTGGAGATTTAACTATCCTGAGAAGTTTACTTACCAAAATCGTGTTTTCTGTGTCACGCCGTTTGCGTGATTGCTTGTTATCCACTGATTCATCAGTGGAATTAGACTCCTGAAGGAAAAAGTTCGACAAAAATTTAAAAGATATTACACAGATTGAGACAATGTCAAATGTTACTGATTTCACTACCTGATTTTTCAACGTCTTTAAACGCACCATCTTCCACTAAACGTTAGTGTCTGATTCAAAATTTTCGTTCTTTACATTTTCTTATTTTCTGTTTGAATTTAATATCTAAGACCTGGAGCCGTAATTCTAACAGATCAGGGATTATTAGCCCCATCCAGCATTTAGTTTATTTAGCTGCGACTATGTGAAATTCGATGACAAAACCTACTGCAAAGTTACCAACATTTCTTACGATACACATGTAGAGTTGGAACGATTATCATGAGCAGGGAACGACTGGTCAGTCCGAAACATTCATGGAGAGAACTAGTCATTCATCAGAACTGTACATGAGTTATTTTCTAACTTTTGTCTTCTATTCTGATTGAATTTTACAGTCTTGTTTTTTTGGTGTCTATTCTTTTGCTTACCTTGAGGCCCAAAGGGTTGACCTTCGCATCACACGTCCCTGAGGCACCTTCAAGCTGCAGGCAAATTAATAAAATAATATTCAATTCATGAATATATTTGCAGTTTTAAAAGCAGACTACCACCGCGTGACTTTTCCATGAATGGATGATCTACCTACTTAAACAAACATGCGCGTAGAGATGACGTTTCAAAAGTCAATTGGAGCTATTAACTTACTTCAACGTGTATAAGATAGAGCAGGTAACTTTTGGGGTCCGACGATTTAAACAAACTGGGAAAATTGACGGTAACTTTCGTCCCATCAACAACACTCGGACCCCTGTTCCGAATCTGCAATCAAGAAGTTAAAATGGGCAGTTAAAAGTCATGTTATTCCGACAGGCTATCAAGTATACAGTTGCAATTCTGAAAGAAGACGTTTCAATGAGACTATGATGAAATTGTTTGTCAACATGGTATTTGTAAGAATCCACTAGATGGAAGGTCGAACAGAGAAGAGAACAAAAGAGGAGAACAAGGGTAGGAGGAAAGATGTCTCTTACGACAACCGCCATTGAGAGAGAAGGCACCATTGAACAGTAATGATCATGCATCCATGCGACCACAGAGCTCGGTGGAAACCCATGTGATTGGTGTGGTGCAAAGCGCGGGAAAATGTAAACGGTGCGCTGCCAAGTGCGGGAAAATATGACTCGGGTGCCAGGTCCCGATTCTTTATAAAGATATCATGCATTTTGGAACAATTTACAAGCGAGTGCAGAGAGTAATCTTGGACTGCTTCAGTTTCCTTTACTGTACTCTGTTATTGGCCAAAAAACTCGCGCCACTTTCTCGTCCAATTGGCTCGTTGTGATATTTTTCCTTTTCAGCGATTGGTCCTTGTCACTATTTCGATTTTGTATTTACGACCCTCAATCTAAAAGCGCTCAAAATATGAATTCTCATCAGTTCCTTGCGATATTTTCTCTTCATTAGATTGGTCATGGTCATTATTTCGATTTCGGTTACTACGACACTCAATAGGAAAGCGTTAAAGAAGAAGGAAAAATAAAACCTAAGTACCGTCAGCGTTGTGATCACTTCTGGCCCAATCGACTCCAAATTGTTTATGTCGTCTTTCACAGGTCCTGTATATACCACTTGATCTTGTTTAGTTGACCTTGAAATGATACAAGAAATACATAAACAAACAAGTACATTAATAAAATAAAAATAAATAAATATGTACATAAAATTATAATATCAAAAAATATCTCTTTCCTCATCTCATAAATTTTAGTTTGTTTTCCTCGCCTATAGTCGTCCCGCGATATATCCCTCCCCCCGTGGAGGGGGGGGTGGGGTGGGGTGGAAGGGCGGGTTCACTCCTTGCGACGTAACTGATGACCGTTTTACACCGCAAACAAGCCTTGCATCCTCCTGGGAAACCCAAAGTTTTTCCTTGTCTCATGTTTATCAACTTTCTGTATGTAACCCTTTCACTCTCAGTAGTGACCAAAATCAAATTTCTCCTTACAGTATCAATAAATTTTCACACATGAAGGTATCGACAAGAGTGAAGAATATCAACTAAGGTGTATTGCATGAATTACGATCAAACTCTGAAAGGCGAAAATATTTTAGGTGTAAAACAAAAATTACTTGGAGCTGATATTTATATCTTTTGGATAACACGGTTTAGGAGTTTTTTTAGATTTTTTCCTCCAATAAGTGGCAAAAGTAGCTTGTACCCTCCTAAAATTCAATATAACAAACAGGCATTATGTAAACTTCATGTCTAATAAGCTACTTGAAAGTCCCGTCCCCCAAACAATGCTGCCTGAGGGTGATCATTTGTGAACAAGAAGAAGAAGCAACACTGAATTGGAGAGAGGGAGACATAAATGAGAGCGGACTAAAAATATGGTCAGTCATTGCAGGTAGTGCGCTGATTGTTTTGCTTTGTCCACATACCCCTTCAGTTCCAAATCTGCTTCAAATGTTACGGGAACCATGAACTCTATCTTGTTGTCCTTGTCGTTGCCATCGGTATCTTGACTAAAGAAAAGCAACAGAAATATGATGAGCCGGTTATTTATACGAGGTCTAACTTAAACCACTGTTTTTACGTAATCAGTGAGCCTCAGGTTTTCTTTATAAAAGGGTTGATTAAATGGAAGAAATGTTCTTCCATTGTTGGCTTTCGGCCCTTTTGACGCTGTTCACAAAAATAAATTTTCAGATAGAAGGTTCAACGAAATTGAGGACTGTTAAGGACGTGGTTTTGTTAAACAACGACTAAACTTAGTTTAAATAATCAGACCGATAAGATTCAGAATATTTCACGACTTGACTCAATTGGCCAAACGTAAAATCAGTAGCTACCTTGATGCTTCAACTTCAATCTTAAAGTCTTTTTTCACAGAACCTGGTGCAAACTTGACTCCAAATGTTTTCTACAAGAAGAGAAAAAAGTAAATCACCCAGAAGCCGTGTATTTCTATAAAATGTGGCGAAGAACCACGAATTTAGAGCGTGAGAAACTGCAGGGGAAAAAAATATCCTCTCCAAGCAGCCTCATCCCAACGAGAAAGGATCGCGTTTGTTGAATCCCACGTATACAAGACTTTCACAGTTTCTTAGATCAACAAATTCAATATTTTAGACAATCAAACTCTAAAATGACCTGATCACAATTTAAGTCTCAGTAAACTTTGCAAGAAGAGTACGGCACTTTCCTAGCGTTTCGTTGTTCTTCCAAGATATGCTTCAATTTTGATTGAACACTTTTTTGCCAGATTTCATTTAACATACGCAAAAATTTTGGCAAGAGCGCAAGAAACACGCGCGCGAGAGACAGCTGACATACGTGAAAGTGACTTCCTTGGGCTTCCCGCGCGCGCGAATTCTCGTCAGAGTGTGCCGGTCTAAATCTTTAGCGCCCAGTACAATCAACAGGTTGCTAAGCAGGTTATAACATGTTATGGGTAAAGTCACTTGTCTGGTGAGTGCCGAACATCTGTGGCGGAAGCAACAACCACGAACTTACCCTGACTTTACCGAAGAGTGGGTTGCCAACGTTACAAGTTACAGCCACGGTTCCATTGTCTGGATCACCCCTTTCACATTCTATGAACTAAAGCGCAAAAAGAATCCTTTACATTAGGAAGGAAATGACAAAAAACAGCAAAAAACAACTCGAAGGAAAAGCAAGCAAACTACTCGAAGCGCGGGAAAACGCGGGTGAGCAAGGCGCGATTGGTTTTAGTTTTGAAGCTGATTGGTCGAGAACATGGTGCAAGTTTTTTTTTTGACCAATCAGAGAACGAAGTAAAGCAAAACTAGAGCAGTCCTGGGTTATTTTCGACACTGTTGAAAATTACTCTTTAACCTGTGTGGGCCCGATGTAGTCCAGATCAGCAGGAAGTTTCATTGTGATAGTGGAGTAGTACGCAGAATCTTCAACTTTATTCGTAACAGTCAGCATAACAGTGAAATCTCTGATAACCCCAATTCGAACTTCTTTAAGCTTCAGGTCACTATGAAAGAAACGAATCAATGTAAACATTGTGAAAGTCTGGCAATCTTGAGTTTACAGGATAACTTTTTGACAAATTTTTTAAAGGATCTTCTTGATTGATTCAGGAAGGAAATAACGTATTGTTAATATATTGAGATACAGGCAGCTTATAGAAATCACGGGAACTAAGTAATATGTCACGAGTACGAGGACAATGTTTTCCGTGGCCCTACGAAGCATGGGAAAGTACTTTCTGTGGCTTCCAACATGCACGAAAAACATGTAACCGTAAACAAACGCGATAAACAAGCCTTGCAACAAGTATGGGAAAACTTCCATTCTCTAACAATTGCGGTAAAAAAAATATTCTCAGTAAAGAGAGCGTTGGAATCTTTCAGTCATGAAAAGTGTGGGAAGACATGAATGCTTACCCTGGTGAATACAAAATGCTGCCATTAACAGCCAGATCTGGCACACAAGCTAGCTGATTCTTACACTTCTTTCTAAAAGCAACCTGTGAAAGAAAGAGACTAAGAACAATGCACAGAGGAAAACGTGTCATGGAGGGTTGGGTCTCACTGAGTTTACCGTTCAGCCGTTACGCAGCAAAAGAAATTAGCCGTCAGGCATAAAAATTTTTAACCGTTGGCCATTAAAACTCTTCTTTCAACAGTAAAGGATAGAAATGAACAGTTGGCCGTATAATGGCCACAATTTTAATCGTTAGCCGTAAGAGTCATTAACTCACAGAGACCCTCGTTATAGCTCTACTACTGAGTTCTCATAATTATTCCAGGTAGCCTGTACTCCGGCTGATTTCAATGGTCGGTCCAGGTAATTATTAGTAAAGGAAGAAAACAGTTACAGATTGTTCTTGTTGTTGCTTCTGTTCAGTGTTGTTGTAATATTTCAAGGAGATCCGCCTTAAAAGTTCTTTTAGCTCATCGCCTTCCTGTTTTCGGTTAGGATGAGAGCTTTTGCGGCACGATATTTCCACTGTAATAACGATGTCACTGAGAACTCAAAACCTACCGTTTCTCTGTAGTTATCAGGCAAATAGCTGTTGAGAACGGGACATACACCAGTACAACCAGTTGCGGGCAATGAGAAGCTCAAGTCAAAAGTGAGCAGTGTGCCGACATCTGCAACTTCATTCTTATCCTACAGTGGGAAAAAAACATTCCTCCTATTAAACTTACATGTTTCAAAGGTGCTGGCCAAAGTCGCTCTTCTCATAACTTAGGTTTGTCCAAAAAATTAAATTTCGCGTGTTTTCAATGCTAGAAGTATTTGCACTTTTTTAAATTTGTACTCAAGCTTCGAAAGTAATCTGTGAGTGGTCCACGCGAGTGTACCAAAAGAAGAAAATATTTATCCTACTCAAAAAACAGACCCAGCTAGGCCTGGACCGATTTCAATCCGTACCGTCAATGGAAGGAACCCGATTGCAACATTAACCAACGGATCTTAAAAGAAATTCCAGTTTTCCAGTAAATTTCAACTCAATATGTATGAGAGCGTCATTCAAAATATTCGCAATTCATTTACAATTGTTTAGCCCCATTTGGAGATGTGCCTCTTCCTTATATGACGAGTGTATTTTATTATTGAAGCATTAAAAAAAAATAATCTTCATACCAACAGATATACTGTTTCTGTAGGAAGGGAATAAAATTGGTTCTGAGTCGAAATATTGTAGGTCCCGCTCATGATGAAGCTCTTCTTCTTCGTAGACGGGTTCCAAAAAAACATACGACGCAATGCATCAGATTCCTTTCCCTTGTCCAGTTCCACAGAATACCTTAAGTTGTACAGACCTGAAAAGTAACAAGCGATGCTGAAGAAAAATAACTTAAAGACCTGCATTGGTTAGAAAAACTTAGGAACGAGAGCCCTTGTTGAATCACGGTAGATTCAGTGGCTGATAACGAAATTGGCCACCATAGAAAGTTTCTAAACTGAAGACGTTTCGATTGTTAACCCTTCGTCAGTGTCGGCTTTACGAACTTTTTACAATGGACAATTAACATCAACAACTTAGTTGATAAAATCACATTTCTTAAGAGCGCTTTTCGATTAAGTCTCGTAAAACCAAAATCAAACCTTTAGCGCGGGAAAACACAGACGACCAAGTTCAGTATGGTTTTTGTTTTGCATCTGATTGGTTGGGGTAGTGGCGCGCGAGTTTAATGGACCAATAATAGAGCGTAGTGAAGCAAAATCAGAGCAATTCCAGATTACTTTCGACACTCATTTGAAAATAGCGGTATGTTCGTTTGACAAAGTTGCTACGCTTTAATTAAGTCCTTCTCCTCTTGCTCCTACCTTGGCTGCCACTCGACGAAACCTGATCTGTGTACTGGAAAACCACTGTCATGTTCACACTGCAAAACAAGAGGAAATAGTTAGCCTTGCACTGCTTTAGTTTTCTTCCAACACTCAATCAATCTGTCTGCAATATATTGTTTTAATCATTTGGCCGGTTTTCTAACCAGATACCTGCATATTCTTACCATTTATGTTTGGCACCATCCACATCACACAAACTGTCGTTGCCCTCCAAGGTTATCTGGGACTTACTCAGCTGAATGACACCTTTCACGTTCACAATACTTCTTGTCCTACATTTCATGATGATAAAAAAAATATATACATCACTAACTTATTGACTGAGTGGTGGGACCGACGGGAATATATGTAGCTCGAAGTCCGTGCCTCAAGTCCGCAAGCCAGATATTTTCCCGTGCGGCCCGACTTATCTTACACAATAAGCATTTTAGCACATGACCATCGCTCTTTCTATTTCTCTAATATTCTTTCTTAATTCATCACACGGGACAATAAGCTGATCCCTACTGCTTCATCAGGCCGTTCTCGCGCCATCGGGCACGACCCACAGGACGGTCGTTGAAATATTAGCTTTGTTGTTCCAAGCAGAGCTGGGAGCGAAATAGATTGTGAGTGCATCTTAAATTTCCAAAGGAGTAGAGAATTCTCTTTGAATAAAACGCCTCCATTAGATAGGCAAATGTAAATATACCATGTGTATGTGTCTACACTACCCTCTACTAAAAAATAATTGTATTGATGCAAAAAAAAGATACTTGGAGACAAGGCAGACTTTGAGCTCGAAATGATAACCCAGTATCTGCAGCTTATCTGTCAACTTTACACGCTTTTGTACTGTATTCTCTCGACCAATCAGCGTTTTCGCAGTAAGTATAATGTTTAATAATTTGGACTATTCGTAGTACATCAATTTAGAAAAGAATATCAAATTTGACATATAATGATTCAAAGTTCTAGATTCCAACAGTAAAGCAGCATTTCTATATAAAAAAAATGACAGACACAAAAATAAATATTTGACTTGTTTACCTCACAATAACAGCTTGTTCTGATCCATATGCACCAACTGCAATATCTAGAAATAAAAATAATTTAAAATGTTCAAAGCACAGGCTCGTTTCCTCTCGGGGAGATCACATACATGTACCTGTGTATAACCAAGGTGCTACATCCTCCTCCTACGCTTTGATGATGGATTTTTTTAGCTTTGCAAAATTAACTTTTCAAAGTCCACATTTAAATAATGTAAACACAAGGACAGCAAACATACAGTCATGGGAATGACCCGAGTGATAATGATCCAAACAGTTTTTTTTTAGTCAATCAATCCATCAATCACCCAATCAATCCTATTTGTTAGCCTGCGCGTTCGCCCCTCATCAGCGCTGCAAGACGCGCGTTTCGCCGACCAAGGTAGGATTTGAGACAAGTCGGAGGAGAGAGATTTACTGGAAGTCTGGCACTATGATCATGCTCAAGGCCTCGTACTTTCTCGCGGGCAAAGAACACTTATGCCGAAGAGCTAATTGTGAGGAACCGTTCGCAAGCTATCAGTTTTTAGAAAATATACAGAACATAAGTTACCTGGATACTTGTTTTGATCCACGTCAACACCACCAGAGATCGACACCCCAAACATCTTGATTCCTGATTTAACTTGTGATCCTACAATTTTCTGTAAAAATATTTTTTTCGTCCGTTATTTAATAAGCTTTATCATCTACATTTTTTCAACTTTACAAACTAGAGAATAATTGAAATAAAGTTTGGGTGAAATCTCATTGCTATCTCAGAAGGCATGGTGATAAATTCTGCAATCTGATTGGTTCTTGGTGCACTCTGGATTTTCGTGTCTCTGACCATTGTAGGAAACTCATTGTCACTGTGATGCTTTCGTGAGTTTTAGTACAAGTGTGAATTATAATTGAAACTGTTTTCTGCACACAAATTTTAAGCCAATTTAGAAAAATATTTTCATTAGTCCAGAAAGTTTAACGAGTATCTAAGTAATAAAAAGTTTACTCTGTAAAACATTCAGTTTTTCATAGTTTATTTTTTATTAAGCACTGCTAAACGCGATGTTTGCGTGCGTGTGCGTGCGCGTGCGCGTGCGTGTATTGAAAAGATCAACAATTATGAAAACGATTTTAGAGAAAGTGGTAAAAAAGCAAGTCGTTTACCGGCGTAGGGTTGTTCTGTATGGTGAAGAACGATGACTTCAGTGTTTTTAATCAAACTACTACGTACTTCCAACTATCATTTACTGAATCAATTATTAACCGCAACACACCTGTCTGTAGTGGGTCTCAATTCCTCTGCTGCTACCATGGTAAATGTACACTGCACCACTTCCATCCTCACCTTCAAATGGGGCTCCTACAGCGACATCTGTCAGAAGTAAAGAGAGTAACAACCTTAGCACTATAAGTTTTATCCTTAATCATGCCTGCACCATAACGAAATAGGCATTTTTTTTTTCAAATTCAGCGCATCACTCGGCGAGCAGGTGAAAAAAAAATAAACAAACTAGTCATCTAAAGTATGTAATAGTGATATACAATCACATGCTCTTAAACTTGTTCAGAAGGAAACATACAGCAGCTAGTAAAGCGAATTGGTTATCAGATCTTCTAACTGGTTCAGTGTGCCTGGTTTGGAAAATCTTGCTTGGCTAATGAGGCAACTAGTAGCCCGAGATGACTGTCTTTCCTCTAGCAAGGATAAGTTACTTAATTTACCTTGGAATCCATCTTGGTTCAGGTCTCCCACTGCTGCAATGGCTGCTCCAAACTGGGCATTGTACACCTTATCTCCTTCAAGAACTTCATCTTGCAAATTAAGAGCACCCTGGAAATAAAATGTTTGAACTGTTTCAGTACATAATGCTAAAGCCAACGTAATCACAAAGATGAACCAGAGAGCTACCAATGAAAACAAAAATGACAATATATTAGTTACTTATCTTGAAGAAGCGAAAAAATTTGAGTGGCAAAATTGCAAGTAATTTTAGTGCAGATATAGTCGTATATAAATAAGCCCAACTTTTTACAGACCAATCACAGAGGGGAGGGTAGCAAAACCATTACATTCCTAAACTACTTTGGTTCAGTGTTCTGTTGAAAAGTGATCAAAAGGCAAGCTCGTTAAAATCACCTCTAGCCTATCACTGGTCAGTTCATAGATAAAATTGGTACACAGACTGGTTTAACAGCTATGAACACACATGTATAGGGAAAGTCAAATAACATGGGATCTGACAGTTGACAGATTATACTATTAGCAAAGGAAAAATTTTTTAATAATGAAAAAAAATTTTCACCAACCTGCTTATTATTTAAGTAGATGTAAACTCGCCCCTCATCTTTTTTGTAGGTAAAGTAAGGAGCACCAACGAGAATGTCCGAGAACCTTGGCACAAAAATCAGCATCATTAATTATGGGTACTGCAATGAGCCCAATTGTGACTTCAGTTAAGCCACATGTGTGTGTGTGTGTGTGACATTAAAACAATGGATTTATAACTATTCATGAAAATTAGAGCAGGAGCACCACTAACCTACACTGTTTCTGGAGTGACACCAAATTTTTACAGTGCAGATTTTACTTTTAGTGATATAGCTTTTTTTCCTCATCAAAATAATTTTAAGCTTTACATGTGATCTGCAATTTATCAAGTACAGAATGATGTACTCTTGACTTTGCCTGCAATTATAGTAAAATTCAGCATGCAAAACTTACTCATCTGCATCAAGGTCTACTGCACATAAGACACTCCCAAAATAGGTGCCAGTCTGAAAACAAATTTTAAAAAAAATTCAACGCATTTAAGTGATGAGACTACTTTAATTTGCAATCATCTACATGCTTTTGAATGTATATAACCTTCTCAGGTTAATATTGAAACTTAATACGAAAAAAAGTATCAAAATAAAAACTTCATGTAAAAAGAAAGAAAAAACTGGAAGCAATAAATTTTTCAGAGACTTAACATTATGCAAGACATACCGGTATATTTTTAGGTTGAGGCAGAGGTGAACTGACACTGATTTGTTGCTGCTGATCATTAGACACATCATAATTGTAGATAATAACCTAATTACAAAAGGAAAGGAATACTCCTTGGTATTGGCAGTTGTTTAAAGTTCACCTGGCAACCTTAGTTTATGTTCATGAACAGCATTAACAACTGGAACCCAATAAAACAAAAATATACAAACTCTACTTTTCAAGGTGATAAAATCCAACACCTGAAAAGAGGCTGTTAGTCAGTTTCTGTTGTTGTGGTTTTTTTCAAATCAGAATTAAAAAAATGAGGGATGGGATAGATCTAGGCCATAGGCTGGCCTTTGTTCATAGAACCCAGGACTCCAGATTGGAACAAGAAATTCAAAAGAAAAAAAATAAAGAACAAGCCTACTGCTTTTATCGCTGATTAACAGTTTTAATAAGTTTCATCATGTTTCTTATTTCAAAAAAATTGAAATTAACTTTGTGCTCACAATGAAAAATCATAACTACCTTTCCCTTCAGTCCTGCACCTCTTGGTGCACCACCTACAAGCTCTGGAATATACAAAACAAAATACATGAGTATGACTACCACAGAATTAAACCAGCCCTGCAGCTAATTAACCATTAAGGCAGGGTGTTAAACAGATTCTGACTGAAGATCAACCTTGACCAAACCTACTACCGTAATTTCCGGTCGATTACCCGCACGGCCGATTACCCGCACCGGCCGATTATTGCATACGGCGAAAAAAAAAGTCAACGGATTACCCGCACCGGTGGATAACCCGCACGTTGTTATTCAACTTTTTCGGTGGCGAAAACGTGACATTAAGGCGATACATTTCAGTCTTTCGATTCAGACATGTGCACAATTCTGTGTCAATATTAGCTTATACTTTATTGATTGATTATTGCTGCTGCTCTATTACCGATTTCATCGGCAAGAGTTATTACTCTAAGCTTATAATCAAACGTAAAACTGTGACGTGGGCGTTTCACAGCAGGCATTTTAACTTAATTGGTGACTCGTGGATACACTTATTGCGAATGATCGAGGTTTATAATTCTTATTCAGTCAGTTACCTTTTTATAGCATGTAGGAGCGTAATGAGCAATATCCATTGTTCATTTGTCGTTAAAATACTTTTTCAGCGCGAAATTAGTTAAGTTTCGCACCTATTATTTTCAACATTCTGGTGATGCATTTGGGATTTAAAATTACTGTCGGCAATTTCTCAAAAAAATCGATATCTCCTGTTCTACTGGGCCTAACAAGTCCCTTAAAACGGGAAAATTCTCTTTAGCTCAAGCTAGTGAAAACTGGAAATTTGTTACTGATGCGCCGGATATCCTTGGATTATTTTTGTCACCATCAGGTTTTGTTTTCACGCGTGCCGATAAAAATTTGTTTGTCACGCAACTAATTATGCGTGAAATAAACTCGAGTTGGCATCATGTTTTCGTGCCGCTTTGTGGCACTTTTGATACAATAAAATTCATTTGAGAGGTGGAAACGCAGGTAGGTGAGAAATTTTTTCAATTCAACTTCCAGAAGAATTTAAAATTGTCACATAACCCGCACCTCCCTATTACCCGCAGTGGCGCGGATTTAATGCAAAATCAACAGATTACCCGCGGGTAATCAACCGGAAATTACGGTACATCTATTAAAGTAACTAATCAAGAGTAAAATCTTTTTTTATCCTCTGTTTTGATTATCTTGAGATGTAGAGCACCAAGCTTTCACCCCAAACAGGTTTAGTGAAAGTGTAAAGATAAATAAATAAATAAATAAATAAAAGCAAATAAATAAAAGAAAAAACAAAAAAAGATGGCAGAAAAAAGACTGACATTGACAAGTCTACTTGTACTGTCATCATGATGGTTACTATGGCAGAAACTGTCACCGCTGACTAACAGTGCTGCTACTATTCGGAACCAATGTTAGCTCCCAGTTGGCTTGTTGGCTCAGTCTGTAAAGCGCTGCACCGGTATTGCAGAGGTCATGGGTTATAATCCCCTACGAGCCTGAATTTTTTTCAGGCCTTATTTTCATTACTTCTTACAGTAAGTAGTGTTCCTAACTGCCAGGATCACCTTCATATTCATTTCTTCAACCGCAGTTCACATACATGATTTTCATATATTGACAGTCATTTATTCAACACTGCTAGTGTTCAGAGTACTGTACAGCTGTAGGCTAAACAGTGACAAGTTGAGGAAACCATGATGAGTGCTCAAGGCACAAACTTCCTGGGATCTGCAGCTGTGCCTTACCACCTTTGCATTTGAAAATATACTGATACTTTCAAGAGAAATTCCCTGGTCACGCCTGAAAGTGAAAGAGCCATTGAGCCAAAAACACCATCTTTCTGAGATAAGAGCATACACAGGCACCCAGTGATTCCCCTGTGAAAACTGATCCAGGATTGCTAGTGCTATGAATCAATGGAAGTCTAATTGTAATTAATCAAACCTGTATTTGATGGGCTTGAGAAATGACCACTAGTCACTGAATAACCTAAAACAAAATTACACAAAAATACAGTTTTGTTATACATGCAAATTTGACAACTCCTTTCCATGTATAATTATTATTAGTCATAAGATATACTGTTAAATCAAATGAAATAATCAACAAGAAGTTCATTTTTGCCAAGAACATACTAGTTAACAACATACCCATGTAATCTCCATCATTGATTTGGTCTTGTGGTGAAACAGCCTGAGTTATCGAACTTCCAGTGGAAGGAGAGACCCACACTCCACCTTTAATCAAACAAAACCTCTATAAGATCAGTGGTTCTATAAAAATTTTTAAATCAAGTTTAAGAGGGAGGTTAACTTCCATTGTTTACCTAGCTATGCCAAACAGTTTTAAGTTACTGTTCGAAAAACTCCATAATTCAGTCAGTCATTCAGTCATTTCAGTGTCATCAGAACATTTCAAAATCTGTCTTCTCTGACATGTACATTTTGTAACTATTGTGTAAAATGGAAGAATCAAAGACCAGGCATTCTCTTTTATTTTTTTCCTTACAGTGGAGCTAGAAAATGTTGCAATGAATGCCTGATCAAAGGTTAGAAAAACTTCTCTAGCTCTAACCTTTCCATCGGGCAATTCCGACAGCTCCCATTACCACATCTTGATCAAATCCAACAGTGTATTCTGCACTTATCCCAGCCTCACAGTAACCATAATAGTTGTTGCCCTTTGATTCTGATAAAAAAATGAAAAATGAACAACTTACAGAGTAAAACCTGTATTAAGGAGCACCACAGTAAGCTGTCGCCCTGATAATACCCCTAATCTGTGGAACCTGTATTAAGCAGTCAACCTGTATGAAGCAGTCACCCTGACAGTCCCTGTGGGTGACTGTTTAATACAGGTTCAATGGTCCAATTTTACAACTGCATGCTTGGTTGCCAAGCCTTTGAGCAGGAGTGAGGCTAAGGTTGACATTGTTATGATACAAACCTTCAAGTTGCTGCTTTTCAAATGCCAATTACTTTGTTATCATGCTAACTAGATACTGGTCTCTATCATAACAAGGTCACCATCAGCCTCACTCCAAATCAAAGGCCTGGTAACTAAGTACATGGCTGCAAAATGGCTTATTGTAGTTACATGTGAATCACTACTCTATTATTATTATATGTGTTACAGGTAACTACTTGATATTTTTCCTAAGTTAACTTCAAATTTTGAGCTTGGAATTTTAATAATATTTAGTGTTATCATAGATTGGCACATGGCACGTAAGGTCGGTGTTCAAGGGAAATTGATCCCACAGGTAATTCATATGTGTATGTGAGTCAATAGATTGTTGACACACTGTGGATTTAGGAGTCAAACTTGTACATTGCTGACATTAAGTTTCCTTTGATATTACTGGTCTTACATCAAATGTGCCACTTACATTAAAATTGACTGCATCAATTTTTTGTAGCTTTAACCTTTAACAAGGTCCTTGTATCCCATTCAAATCATGAGAATTTTATACACAAGGTTAATACTTGAAAGAGTGACCTAAGTCCCACTAAACTGCTCCTTTGCACAATGAGTGATTTAAACTTACTTAGAAAGATTGATGAATAATCTTCTCAAAATAGTTTGAACTGACAATTTATTTTATGGATAAGTTAAGAAAATTATAAACAAGAGAATATCATTCAATCATGGAACCAATTGTCACTAGATACAAAGAAATTAATGATCATCTGTCATAAGAATTAGTAATAGGTCAGAGTATGAGGGTTTCCAGTAAAGAAAAAAAATCATACCACTGATGCAAGGCACACGTTCACTTGTTGTAACTGATAGATCACTAGAAATGAGGAAACACTTTCCCAACAGCCAATAGTAATGCAGGCCAGCAGCATTGGGCAGACCTCGATAAACATATCTGGGTGCACAAGCCTAAAAAAAATAGAGAAGTTTCAATCTACCAGTAACTTGTTTTCAATAAACACCCTTCTATGGCTCTCAAATCACATGTGTTTTCAGTACATCAGACTATTTCCCACAGCCACTTGACAAATTCAGCGGTTTAGCGCAATATGTACTCTTATGGACAATGATAATCATGAAAGAAATTCATAGTTTACTCTATCATCTAATTGGTATGTATACAAAAATCAAGCAACAAATTATTTGTAACAGGAAAACAACTTTTAAATTTTAAAATAACTAGCTAATTGACCAACAAAAGAGATAACTTTTGACCTCTAAGAGTGATAAACATGCACCTAATCTCTTCTTAAAGTATTACCTGGCCTGAGCCAAATTTCATGGTCACAAGAACTGAGGAGATGATATTTTAATTCAAGAAGCCCTTGATTGCCAAACAAATCGTCTTTGTTAGTACCAAAGAATGTGTTAAGATAACAGTATTGAAAATATGCATAGTAATACCGAGGTGCAAAGGTTTTAGCCTGAGGTATATGACTGTTTATCAAATAATCTTGGCCCTTTACACCCTAACATCAGTTGGCATATTCTACTTCATTACTGTTCTCTATAAACTTCCTAAAGTGCTGACAAGGAGAAATTGTCCATGAATCTAGAGCATCTTTAATAGGTGATCATTTCCTTTATTCTTGTAACCTTTACACATGATTCAGGGATGATGTTGTGAGGAGAAATTAGGTGCTAATCACTCTTAGGGGTCAAAGGGTGAACAAATTACCAAAGCTCTTCCATTAGTGCCAGTGCTGTACACACTGCCACCAATCCACTGTCCACTCTTAACCTCCAAGTCCACCAACTCATTTGAGCTGAACTCTTTTCTAACAGCTAAAAAGTAAAATGTAAAATAAAACAACATGTCAAGACTGTTGTTTCTTATAACCACAACTGCATGAGATAAATGAGAAGTTTTTCTATCTTCATTGATTTGCTAACAATACAAACTGTAACTGTATGCAGGGACCTAGCCAGCCTATGGTTGGCCTGTAATTAAGCCCAGGCCTCCAATTATTTGCACCCACTTGACTTTTATCACTCTTGCAAACTTTGGAACAAAAATTGAATTTTTTTAAAGTACAGCCTACAATACATTGAAGAGTGGGCTATGTCCTTGATATGAGCACATACTGACTTGGCCCTTTACCCCATAACACAAGTATCCACACCCTCTATACTGTTTTCTAGACATTTTCTTAGTTATTAACAAAGATAATAATAGATCAAAGCTTCTTTGGTTGCTGATTTTACTTCAATCATTCTTATGATGTTAATAAAAGATTCAGCACTAAAAATATAGGGAGAAATTAGTTTCTGGTCTCTCAAAATGATGATCAAAATTACCTAGTACTTACTAAACGATTGAACGTGTCCTTTAGTAGCATGTCGTAATGATGTGGGATATTGATCAAATGAAGCCTTTAAGTGCTACGGTGGTTCTTTCTTTATTCACTCCGAGCTTTCGCCGTTCTACGGCATCATCAGTAGAACGGCAAAAGCTCAGAGTGAATAAAGAAAGAACCACCGTAGCACTTAAAGGCTTCATTTGATCAATATCCCATATGTAGTACTTAGTTTAAGTCTTTTGAAATAATCATAATTATTATAACTAAAGGCACAACTTATGCAACCATACTCTCTCAAGATGCCCAGTATTTTTCTAATGTAAACATTAACAACTTACTAAAAACCTTTTCCTGCTAGCTGGAGAAATAATACCTGTAATCTAACTTATACTTACGCCGGTTGTCAGTTGTAATGACTTTACATTCTTGTAAGCCAGTATATTCACATCTGTAGACAGCTCCATACTTGATTAACTGTGAGCCATCGTTACCTGTAACATTACTGAGTGGGGCACCAACCATAACCCTGTCAATAAAAATAGAAAAAAAAAAGTGCATTTAACTTTATCCCCTTTGCCCCCTAAAATAAAGAGCAGTTTTAAAAACCAGCACAGGCACTGTTTTGGGGTTGGTGTACAGTATACCACTATCTGTTGAGTTGTATTGTGTGATAAACCTACAATTGTAGATATTGCTTTATAACTTAAGATTGCACATTGTAGGTCAAGAACTCAAGCTATAAGTAGAGATCCCATGAATTAAACTTTAGCTCTTGTATTTTAGCTCAACGACTTGAATGAAAAGTAAGGAAGTTGCAATATCTATTGGTTTTCCTGGTATAACATTAATAGCCCCTGCAGGATTTCAGGAGAACATGCCACACAATTTACATACTTTTCAGTGTTCCCCCAACATTCCATGTGGTTAATTAGGTTGGTAAACCAAAAGAGAGCGCAGCCTATAACTTTTACATATAAACTTCATTATAACATAGCCAGTAAATTTGTGTAATCAAATTCAATTGTGCAAGCGTGCTTCATATTCCAATTGTGCACGCGCTCATGACATCAGCAAACAAATCCCTCAAGAAAAAAAGTTTTCCATCGTGTTGAAAATGTTATAAAACAATTGGTTCATACGTCAGCTGTGCGTTCATTGAGATATGAAGCACTTGGGAAGTTTGGAGAGCACTCAAGAAGCTAGAGTTGCTCTCGGCAACTCTTACGCATCTTTCGTGCCCTCCAAACTTCCCGCATGCTTCATATCTCGATGAACGCACACTAATGTATGAACCAATTGTTAAATTTACTATGGGTTTACTGATGCATTTAATGATAGGTTTTTAACCAATCTTGGTACTCATAGAATTTAATTTACTTCCTAAAAGTTGATATCTTGCACTATAGGTCATGCTGTCATGCTACAAGCAGTTGAGATTGCTCATTGTTAGTCTAGATTATAAATCATACCAAATACACAACCCTTACTGGCCACTACATAAATCAATTGGTAACATGCAAGTCATGAAATTTAAATGAGATGAAAAAGGGATTTAAAAGTGGAACACTTTTGAAAGGAGCCATGAGTAAACTATTCACAGTGATTAAACGACGCATGGCTGTCGGTTTGCGGGTGCCTAAAGCTTTGAATGTTTTGGATTTATTATAAAACAAGATGTTTGTTCTGTATTGGGACAGAGGGAAGATCTAGGACAACTTATAGAGACAGTTAAAATACGGAGTAGTTGTTGTATCGCTTGAGGGCAACCATATTTCTTTCTTCTCCACATGAAGCCTTTTCAAATGCAACAAAACTCCTTAATTCAATTGCGCAAAGCTTATCTTTTGATGCCGTGGAAATTGTCCATTAATAACTGTCCGCCCGAGCTGATAAGATTTTGAAGACTAAAATAACACTTCGTTAATACGCCCGCATCTTAATCTCAATTATCATAATTTGCACCAGAAATTTTCGTAAAAGAACAGTCAATAAACCGATCCTAAAACTTGACGTCTAATTGACTTGATGGTCTTTCTTTAAACACATTTATCCGGTCAGCGCAACGAAAACAAGCCTTTTTGTTTAAGCCCCTTGATTTTGTTTATATATGGCGATATAGGAATCCTTTCGCTTTACACACACTCTTTACTCGCACAAGAATGTTTTCATGAGACTGATTTGCGTTTTTATCCAAATATGGATATTCAAACAAGATCACGCTGAAACTAATCGCTTCAAAAATGTAAAATTTAAATGATTTTAATCTAGGCGTTGTATAGGTAATTTATGGCAGGTCCATACCAGGTCATGGGTTGCCACAAACAGACCTGTCTCAACTCGCGTTAGCCCTTCGTCAGAGCGATACCCTTCGTCCAATCGCTCTGACGTCAGCTTTTTTACCCTTTACGGTGGCTAATTTTCGTTTTCAACTCAGTTGTTAACACTAAATTACCTGCCATGTATGTACTAAATGCACAACTACGGAACATTCAGAATGAATGAAACCGAATTGCAAGGAATTTCACGAGCAGCTACAAATATCATTCACTTGCCGAAATAATTAATTATAGTAAGTGTTCTTTCTTGAAGAGGAAATACATTTTTTTGCTGTTACACCACAAATTTGGGAGCTATGTAAGGAGAGTTTAAAGTTCTAATTACACTTGGGATAAGGTCTCACAAACGACCTCTTGAAGAAATACTAAAGTAGAATTGAAGCGTGAACACGCCGAGGCTAATTTTGAACACACCTACCAGAATTTATTCTGTCGCGAATGAAGAGCAACCGAGTAACCGAAGTATTCACTCTTCGGAGGCCCATCGAAGACTTTAGGCGAGGCTGTATCCAAGTTAAAACCATAGATGCCTAGAGACTGCAGTAGAAAAATTATTAATGCTAGGAACGTCCGAAGGTCCGTGTCAAGTATTGTCCTCATTCCTTCGCTCACTTCTTGATCTGAGAACAAATCGTGTGCCACTTGTGATTACTAAAACTTTCTTTAGTTCTTTAACACAGCAACTTTGCAAATAATATAAGACGTGATGTCAGATGACATTCCTTTATGAACAGGTGATGGAGAGATTAATACGTCGGATCCGGAGCGAGATACTCTTTGCTGAATCAGGCGGCGGATGTGCGCGTCTTTAGTGTAATGGAATGTCGGAGTTTAGAGGCTGATGTTTTAACCCCCGTTTCGAAACCAGAAGTTTGCAACCACGAAAGAGAAAATTTTTCTCGTTGAACCTACGCCACTCCTGAAACGAAACTAAGGACCTTTCTAGATCTCATGTACTAAAGGTCGCCTGTCTTTGTCGGTTCTCTGTCACGTTGTTTGCGAGAGCCTCCCAAAGGGTCAAGATTGGTCCGCCCGGCGATTCGTGCCGATAAAATCGCAAAAGTCGTTCAACTGATGTATATTGGCGAGAGGAAAGAAGATGCGATTAAAACTCGAGCAAAAAAAGCTAGACTAGCAAACTAACTCTTCCTTGCTGATGCAAAGGAAGAAATGGGTCTATTACCATCTATCGTCTGTTAAGGTCAAGTGATTTCTCTAGTCAAATGACGTCATGTGTTTGCGCACGGTAAGTCACGCAATCTAAAAGCTTAAATTGAGCATATTAATGTTCTTTAAAAGATAAAAAAAAAACTACTGAGCGTGTCAAAGCAAACATAACAAACAAAACCTTGGGATAGCCTTGAAGGTAGAATAAGCTATTCTTCTGGTCACTAGCTATACTAATGTATTTTAATGTATTTACGACCGGTAACCAAGAAATGAACCGAGTAATTCCGGTTTTAAATCCGCGTGCTCTTGAGTGCATCTTTTGTTTTTTCAAGTTGATTTCAAACTTGGAATGATGGGAATAAATCACGCAATATCGTAACCATAAATTGCTTGACAAACAAGTATGTATCAAATCCCCGTGGCAATGTTATACAGTTTTGGTGACAGTAGTTGTCGATGCTGACATTTCGAGGGTCGAAATGTAGTTACAAGTGCACAGCCTTTTCTAAGTTGGTCGGTATATGCCTCTGATGCGATGAAACAAAACATTTAGCAGTTTCACTATGGCTAAGCTGAAGAGAATAAAAGAAAAATTCACGAAGAGCTGAAGGGCTCTCAGAAATACGAAAGAGTCAGTGGGACCCCATGCAGATTAATTTGTTAATTAACTGTTTCACTCATAGAAAAAAAAAATTGTGGAGTAAGGAGAGACATATACAAGGATTAGCAAGGGCTAAAGCGGACCTCTGAGTTAATTTATTTCACGCGAGCGACCACTGATTTGTATATGTAATCACATGAGGCCAAGGGTAAAGCGGACCTCTGAGTTAATTATTTGCGAGCGACCACTGATTTGTTTTCAAAATTTTTCCAAAGTTTCAAAATTTTCCAAAATTGCCCGAGTCGCGAAGCGACGACGGCAATTTGGAAAATTTTGAAAACTCAAGTGCAATTAATCCTTAATAGTACGAGGTCTCATGGGATTACTTGTTTATCAATAAAGGGCAAAATTTATACGAAGGAAAATCACGCGCGCAGTCTATTTTTATCTGGGAAGCCTGTTTAGCGCTACGGCAAATCATCAATCAAATTGAACTGACCAATCGATTCAATGAAATTTTATTCTCCAAAACTGTGTCGTGATACACTGCCAAAAGTCTAGAAAACAAAGCTCATTTCAACAGAGCGTTTCTGCCGACAGAAAAACAACAAAGTGCTTTTAACTGAACAAGGTAATCATGCCCTCTCTTGATTACTAAAAATGCCCTCGATTAAGAAAAAATGCCCTCTCTCTCAACCAATCAGCGCTCAGTAATTTTGCCCTTTATTGATAAGTAGTGTAACTGACACGATTTTTTTTTTTAAACCAATAACCGGGTGTAGCAAAATGGATTATTCCGACATTCAGTCTAAAAATGTTCAGTTCCGCCATATAAAAATAACTAAGCTACCGACAGTCCAGCCGCATTGAAGTAAGAAGAATGATAGAGTGTGTGGGGTTTACATCCTGGCTCGACAGACGTGTTGTCTCTGTATGGTTTCTAATCCCCACGAGGTCTGGGATGAAATAATTGTTCACCGAAGTTGAGGTGAATAGTGGCGGATATTTACCGAGCCGCGAAGCGAGGCTGGTGCAGAAGTGAATAATTATTTTAGTACATAACACAAAAATACCATAAAATAGGTTTATTTCTTTAAATAAACCGAAAAATGGTCTAAAAGTGAACTCTCATCGGCTGCTCAGTGAATAGTGCTTGCTATTCACTTTCGAACTAACCAATCAGCGCGCGCTGAAAGCATTCTTCACTTTTTTGATATATACTAATGATAGTAATTGTAACAATAATAATGACAGTGAACATGATAATGAATAATTAACCCATAACGGTTTTTATTTTATTGCTTCCGTACTATAAATTATGGTATTTTGCGCTATAAATGCGTCGTTATATTCGAAATCGAAGAACTTGAAAAGATTGGCCAAATGTAAACATTGGTAAACAGTAAGCAAAGCGTGCTAAAGTTTTATCCAAAAAATAATAATTTGTAAACTAATCCACAAGGATATGTTTCAAGTGCTGTCATACAGTTAAGCTAGATCTCAGCCCCAGGATCGGCCGGTATAGCATTTCAAAGCGATGGCGTCATAGCAGCTAGGCAGAAAATGCTATACCACCCATTGTCAGCCTCGTGATCCTTCATCATATGAAATTTTCAAGCCAGGACGCAATAAGATTACCTTATCATTTATCGCGTGAAGGTTGAATTTTTCCCGGTAGGAATTCGGCACGGCAACACGGAATTAAAGAATTTTTGTGATTGCGATCCTTTTGAACTCTTACAACACAGAATATAACCCGAAATATGTAACCGAAAAGCAAAGGGTTGACCGGCAATTTCCGATGATAGTTGACAGAACCCTTTTTTATGTGATCTCTTTTTGTGGAGGGGTGCAAATACATTCTTATCAGCAGGATAGGCATTCAACTGATCTGGCAAAGAAAAAAAATAACCACAGTCAGAGCTTCTCGCACTAGATTGCGGAAATATCCTTTGCGTCATTTTCAACGGTCGAGTCAATTTTGTGATATAGATGTTGAACAGAGGAAGAAGCCTTAACGAAGCCGGGCCAGGCCATGTACTTGTTTTGTGATGTTGTTCATCAACTTGATTTACTTTATGATAACACTATACCTAGAAACAACAAAAAGTTTCTCGACAGAAAAGGGAAGATCTACATCTAGCGTTTTGTGTCTTAAAAAAAATTGGGCTGGAGTTTTTTCAGTAGCTGTCTAATGAACAATTGTCTCCATTTCCCGCCCTATCCTTAAACCTTTACGGTCTTTCCTTATCTCTCTAGTCTTCTCTATTTTACTACAAAAAAATTTTGTAGTCACCGGCAAACTTAAGGTTGTTAGTCCGAACTGTTGTAAAATATATCTCTCATGTCTGAAATGTCCACCTTTTCCCAGGCCCCCGCCAGCTCACCACCCACGCAGAGGACTGGCAGTGAGGATAAAACTCGGATCATGTTATTCAAAAAATGCATAATGACAGAAGACGTCACGAAGGCTAAGACGAGATTAGGAAGTCTTTAAAAATGCAGACTCCCTGTTTGTCCAATCGGAATTGTAACAACTTCAAACTGACCAATAGTCGAGGTATCTACCTAGCTACCGTTTCGCAAAGGCGTCACAGGAATCCCCATGAATTGATGTTTCACATATTTTGGGGGCGATCGTTCATACGCCCTCATATGTCTTTCTGTCTGAACCCGATCCGTTTAGAATTTGCTATTTTCCTACGTTTGAACTTCCCCAGATACTTAAAGACCTTCAGTTATTTGTCTGTTATGTGACGTAAAATGATTAAAAGTCGATCTTCTCTGGGTAATGGCTTGCTATTATTCACGCAACAGGTTGTTTCATCTGCTTTTAAAGGCGTTTAAAAAAAACATCTTTTCGAAAAAGCCATAAAGTAAAAATCCTCTTCTTCGTTGTTAAGAAATTAATGTTGAAAATTTTATTTACTTTAAAACCATCAAGACTTAGTACTATGGCTCTTCGGGGGCAGTTACTTTGAAATGGGGAAAATTTCATGCGTTGGACAGATCTGGTTCGTATTAGATTGAAATCAAGGAATGCACACAAAATATAAAGCGTGACTTTATATTGAAATTAAAACTTCCACGTAAGCCAGCCGAGTAGCTTATTCAATTTAAATCACGTCTCTCACCGAGATTCTTGAGGTTCGGCTACACATTTTGTTTTCGGATAATCAAATGGGTCTTTTGATCAAATTGAAAGTGCGTGTTTATTTTGCATGTTAGGGGTCAACTCAAGGATGAAGCCAGAGGAAAAAGTTAAGCTAAGATTTCAAGTACCCCAAACAATTTGAAGAGCTAAAACGACAAATTTATCTTTAAGTTTGATCAATTGGTCGGCACGGTAAAATTGATACTTCACAATGGACGAAACTCGTGTTCATGAATCTGTTTTTTTCTTGAAAGGAAAATGGGAGATATCACCTCTTAATATTTTTTAACCGCAATTAGTGGGTTCTAATGTTATCTTCTTCAAATCAAAAGTGGTTTATGACTCAATCGATCTACGCCCACTGTAATATTTGGCGGGGTCGCTTGCTATTCAGCCGGAATTGTGACGTCATTTGTGAAAACTATAAGTCTTCCTCTCACTTCAGTTTCGGTCAAAACACGGCCGACATAAACTTTGAATTTGAAAGTAGCAGTCACCTTATTATTAGCAATGGAACTAAGGCCATCAACGAATGTCCTTCATTTTGCATTCATTTTAACTCTTGGTAAAGTTTACGCCTTCAACTTGGACGTCAAATCGCCGGTTATCTACGATGGCCCCGCCGAAAGCGACCTCTTTGGTTATACTGTAGCAACACATTCCTATAACGGTCAGAAGTGGTAAGTTCAATTCAAGTGCCTTTAAATTTGGATGTTTACTTAGGAAAACCTTCTTTGCGGTTATTCTCTGTTCGTAAAATTTTTTATGCCACGTAACTTTGAATATTCCGTTTCCTATATTTACATTGAATTGTTGGTGTTCAATACTTGGCGAAAAATTAATTCTGAATGGACTGCTCGCTCAGTCTGAAGGCACTGATGCCAAACGACATGCAAGTGATTTGCTAAAATTTCATATTAAGTCTCACTTCTTCGCCTGAGGTGATTTTTACCTTTTATATCTTCTCAGAGAAGTAGACGCCGGCAAAATGTATTCCTGAGTCTTCTAAACAAATATTTATGTTGAGCAACTTTTACAGCAAATTAACCACAATACTTGTATCTTTGTATTTCGTGACTATTCATCGGCGGTTTAAATGAAGCTGATCTGAAGCATCACCGTGAAGCAGCGCTAAATCTGTCGAAATCTTCTTAAAAGCTTAGAAACAGCGGTTTTTATGTTCTCAATTACTTACATGCGACTTGGAATCTTTGCTACAGACGTTTACAAAGAACTGTAAACACCGTGAGACGTTTTACCTCGCACGGCCTGACGGCAACGTCTTTGTAATTATTAGTTTTTCCTGTTTTGTCCGGCGGTATGTACGACTACTTCGATTTTCGTTTCAACTCAACAACTAATTATGGATTATTAGAGAGGCTTGGTCTTACCGAAGGGTCACACTGAGTTTGGATTGTCAGTGTTTCTTTGCTAAGAATCAAGGCCAAATTTAATGCGCAACAGACTATGACTTATGAACTTGCTAATAGCTTGCAGTGTCAATTAAGACTACAAACACGCATTGAGGCTGATCCAGACAGTACACAAAAGCACAGAATTAGAAATTTCCCTGAGGGAGAGTTCAAATGAAGAAGTAGCTGTGACAAATAATTATAGTGTTGTTCTTCGCAAATCTAAAACGCCTCCGTCAGCAGAAACGTTTCCAAAGCCGGTATAATTTTTCAACCGGTGGAATTTTTATTTTGTAACGTGATTTTCAACTCGAGAAAAATGTCAAGCCTTTTCTGGGTGTAACCTGGCACATCAGGAAGTTTTAAGAAGGGTTAAAATGTTTCCTTAGAAAATAACTGGATACCTACACTTATTTGCCCCGTAGACTGATTGAACGATAGAGAATTTTTGTTTTTGATTCGGTGTTATTTTTACGTAGTTCCTTTTCCTTGAGCGGAAAAGAGACGCATGGGAAATACTGGCGAGGAAATATCTTCTCCGCGAAGCGCACGCTTTTAAAGGTGAATACGTATTAAACTTTGTTTACAACGTGTTGATGACATAATCTTATTTACATGTGTTCATCGTTTACTTGGGAAAATGCAAGATCTTGTGGTTGAAAGCACTTAGTATTTATATCTAAGTGTAAATCAGGAAGGATCTAGATATTTTGTCCGTAAAAAGATTCCTTCTCAAATCATTTACGCGTTTCTAGGAACTGAACTACAACATCGCATGTTGAGAGCGAAGCAAAGTTAGTCCCTCAATTGCTTCTACGTAACTGCCCTCCGGAAATATCCTATGAATCTTAAATCGCCGATACGAAAGGGTCTAAATTAGAGTACTCTTTGTCAATTGACAGCTAGAAGATGAATTTTTGACCCTTAGCAGTGTGGTCAAACGGTTGACTATTTTGGGTCGTTTTTGATAAAACAATTATGTCACTCGCTCTTGTTGTACGGCCCTCGTTGACTATTTTTCATCTCGTATTAACGCGCGCTCGAGGAACAATTGTTTATAAGACACTGTGTTGATTGACAACTTCTAGGTGATAATAAACGAGGTATTTCACTACCCGCTGACTCAGCACGAAGTTTATTTTCAAATAAAGTCTTCAGCACGAGCGTTTCTTCGCCAGCGGGAAAGTATGAGGTCTTCATGATCAGCAACGCCAGCCGGGGACAGGTCTGTAACAATTAGTGCCAGACCCCCGGAAAATCTCGCTTCTACTCGTCTCAAATCTTCCCGCAGGCGAAGAAACGCGCGACCAACGGCGCCAGTAATTAAGGCCTGCTCGCAGCTAATAAAAACGTTAAGTTTTCAGCAAGAGAATATACACTGTTGATATTATCTTGGTTTTCAGTGATACTCTTATAATAGTCAAAATGTAGGGAAGACCTCGATAATGCTGACCACCACTGAAACTTAGAAGATTCATTAAAGTTCACCAGGCAACCAGGTGGACAATCAGACATAGTTTGATGTTACTCTGGTTTACTTACTACCTGACGTCTATTTACACCTCGTCAGAAAAAAGGCAGCTAATTAATGAGAATGTAAAAGGACCTCTTGCTGCAGCGATTAGTTCACCCCTGATGAAGGCACTAGACAGGATTGTCGAAACATTAGGTCTATGAATTGTAACTTCTCGGTTACATTCATTAAATCTTTAAGCCAGAGTAGCCTCAAACCTTGTCTTATAAGATAATTTTCCTTTACATTGTTCTTCTGTTTACAGGTTATTAGTTGGGGCACCTCTCAGTAACGTGACCTCATCAAATACACAGGAAGCCTTAATCAAGTATGGAACTGTGTTCAAATGTGAATACAAATCCGGATCAAAGTCATGTTCAGAAATCTTGATGGATCATCAAAGTAAGTTCCTTTGAATCATTGTTCCCCGGTTTGTGAGAGCAATTGATTCTTATTTTTTCAGCAACACATCCGGCAACAGATATCCATAGTCAATCTTGTTCCCAGGATCTGTCTTTACCTAAGGGGCAGGGAGAAGAGAAATCCTGAAGGGAGACATCTTCAACGAGAGTATAGAATTTCCACAAAGCATAATTATAACCTGCATGGGTTCAATCTGCCTTATGATGGAATAGTGATAAGGCTTATTTCAAACGTTTCTGACTGATTTGGTATGCAAGGTAGGCAGAAGTTTGAAGCCTTTCAGTCAACGGAAAACTCAAGCACGCCTCCTTCGAATGGAGTCGAGTTTTTAGGTTCGGTTGTTCACAAAACATCCGCTCTACATTTCAGTATTTGTCCCATCACAAATTATGCTTTCACAAACCACACTAAAGTAACTCGAGCGTTTTTATCGCAGCGCCAAAGAAGGAGGTACATCAGTTGGGTAACAGGACCGTCACTATTGAAGTCGAAAAGAAAACGGAACAGTGGCTTGGGGCGACGTTGCATAGCTCTGGCGAGAACGGAAAAGTGGTGGTAAGTCATAAATTTGTGTTACGCTCGCGGTCCGCGGAGACGACGGGAAAACACGTACGACGGAAGTCTGGAGAGAAAAAATTACCAACAGTCCAGCTATTTCCCATTTGCGCCTACCCGCTTTTCGCGTCTTCTCCACTGATCAGGAGTCTAATCCTGGTCTCTTCTTTTCTATTCTATTGTTGCTGTTGATTTGTTTAAATAAAAGAAATATTTTGGCAACTGGTCGGTTTTACTTTAGGAGGAATTAAGAAAGATACACGTGATTGTAGAGTGCGGAGAGCTTTCCGGAGAAAAATGAAACCCAGACCCATGCGTCGACGAAGGTCTTTAAGCTTAAATTAAGTTAACGAAGTCCCTAGTCCGATCAAGTTAATTGACATAGTGTCTTAACTTTTTGTATCAATCTGAATATTTGCTCCTGCTCGTGCCCCTGCACGTGCCGCAGCGCTAATAATAACTTAAAAACCTCTCGATCAATTTAATTGTATGGCATTCTTTTACATGTCAGACTTGTGCTCCTCGATACACGGAGGCACCGTTCACGAGCAAGGAAGGAATGATCGATCACCGGTACATCGCTTTGATAGGAAGGTGTTTCTTGATGTACGGAGACCTTAGTATTCAACGAGAGATCTCTCCATGCAAAGGTATAAAAAATATAATAGATAATGGCAGTATTGTTTTTGCGTTGAGCCATCGAAGTATTCCACAAATTGGTGTTACATATTCTTTGACCGTTTGTTCGGGACTGTTTCACTGTTACTTTGCACTGTTGTTTTTCTTAGGCCGAGTAGGACAACCTTACGGTTACTGTCAAGCAGGGACCAGCGCCGAATTCAGCGCAGGTGGCGAGGATTTACTAATGGGTACCGTTGGATTTTCCTCCGGCAAAGGTAAAAATGTTGATCTAGTTAGTAAAGTAAAGAATGGCTAAAATAACTGTCTTACTCCTAGACTTACTGCCACTTATCTTTTTTTATTCTTAGGTGGTTTGGCTGCCTATTCTTTATCTGCGGAAAAGAATATTTTCTCGCCGACTGCTTCCCTTAAAATACACGCGTACATGGGTATGGATGATTAATGCATTCATTTTTAAACAATCTTATTTGCTTCCGGAAGGAATTGTGAGTCTTGAATTTCGTTTGTTTTTATTTTCAGGCTACGCAATCTCAAGTGGTAATTTTTGGAGCCAAAAATCAACAGGTAAATGATGGTGTAATTTTAAAATAATTTCCCCTTCCCTTGACTTGTGAAACGACTTTGGCGTATTCATTCACTTATTTACTTATTTTGATCATTGCAGAATTTATTGGAGGTGCACCGAGAGGGAACGACATGCGTGGAAAAGTGAGCACGGGGACCTTAATTTTTCGGTCTTATAATTAAGATTTATTACCAAACTTTCCCTAAATAAGCAGATATTATTTACCAAAGCCTTGTTGACATAACGTAGACCCAAGGCTTTGACACTAACATGTAGGCTTGTTAGGTATGGTAGTTCTTTTCACACTTTGCCGACACCTGATTTAACAAACAGTAGGACAGAAAAGTCAGAGAGTATGTCAGCTAAAGTCTTTTCACTCCACCTTGATACACTTATTACCCTAGATATTCAGAAAACAGTGACTGAACTACGGTATTCCCACAGGTTATGATGTACGCGTATACGCTTGACAGAAATGACATACAAATCAAGTCAGAGATTCTCCCGCCACCAGGAATTAAAGTAAGAGAAATGAGGGGAACAAAGCGCTTTTGGAATGAGTCGTCAGCTATGTCAAACCCGTAACATCGGAACAGCCAATCAGAACAAAGGAAACACCACGAGGAGATTACGAGGGCTTAAACCGTATTTAAAGTACTCGAGACGCTGGGAAACGCGGGAGATCAAGCTGACAGGGTGCATAGCGCTGGTTTCCTTGACCAATTAACTGATCAATCTCATAGCAAAGTAAAGAATAAAGCGAAATATAAGCATCTGGTGGATTACTTCTACATAAAAACTGTTCTGGCTGAGTTGTCCGTAATCATAGTATATTAATTTTTTAGGTGAAAAGTCTTAGACTATTGGAGATGGCTTTTCTAAACCAGCGTACCCGCACAATGATTCGAAGCTTAACCTGTTTTTTTACTTTTCTTATTCAGGTTGGGAGTTATTTTGGAAGCACGATCTGCGTGGTTGATCTAAACAATGACAAGTCAGTATTGTGGACACACCACACGATTATATGTATATTTAATACTCAATAGGCTGGGCAAGAAAAGGTTCTAATTTTGTTTACCTCTCCGTTCTCTCAGCTTTTCAGATTTACTGGTCGGTGCCCCACTGGCCTCAGACAGCGATGAGGGGCGGGTGTTTGTATACGTTAACAATGAGATGGTAAGGTTACTTTTTTCGTTTCTGAAACTTTCTTCCTTCGTCGATCACTTCTGTCGTTATATCTTTTTTTTTATTTCTGAATTCCCTCCCAAAGTCCGTTTATAAGCCAGTCAGTCACTCAGTCAGCCGGTCAGTCAGCCAGTCAGTCAGTGCTTCTTCCCTTAAATCATTCAAAGTCCGTTTGTAAGCCAATCAGTCATTCAGTCAGCTGGTCAGTCAGCCAGTCAGTCAGTGCTTCTGCTCTTAAATCATTCAAGTCATCAGTCATTTTTTCAATTTGTCTTGTTAATCATTCACTGCAAATTGAACGGATGTCATCATCATCAGGCACAGTCATATTTTAGACTAACCTGGCTATAGGTAATGGTCATTACAACTAAAGCGCATCTGATATTACTATAGACTAAACTTCTGAGCGACACCAAATTAAGAGAGATATTGTGTTTCTTATAAATATTTAAGGGTGCACTTGATGTACAAGATCCTCTCGGTCTCGTTGGTGACAACATACCTTATGGACAGTTTGGTAGAGAAATAGCAAGAGTAGGAGACCTAAACAAAGATGGCTTCCAAGGTACAGTTCACCTTAGGAGGATTATCCTTCATTTCTTAATTAAGTCCTTCCTATATCAGGCTAACTTGGTACAGAATTAAGGTGCTCAAAATTAAATGTAAGAAATGTGTGACAGTAGCCAGATAAGACCTTATAATTCCTTTGTAGTTCTGAAAGCTTTTAAGGTGAGACACAAGGTTTAAGTGCTTTCCACTTTAACCCCACTTATTGCCTGGCAGATGTTGCAGTTGGTGCACCTTTCGAAGGCAATGGTGCTGTCTATGTTTACCACGGCTCCAGGAGTGGAATTAACCCTACATACAAACAGGTTTGTCTTCAGGCCAATTCAAAGTTTTCCTCCAACTAATCTAACTCAAAATGGTGTTAGATCGGTTTGTCCAGTCCTAGTCTCAGCCATTTGAATACAATTTCCCATCTGACTATAATAAGTTGCATATAGTTTTACTGCTCCTATTGATTTTCTTTTAATTCGAAATCCAGGGGAAAAAGTACAAACGGTTGATTGGAAAGTTTCGGCCATGATATTATTAAACCCGGCTGTTCTCAAATTATAACAATTGTAGCCATTGGTCCTGGATTTGCGCCTTTGAATAATCTACTCTTGGGCTTGGGTGCTTAGTTGAACGCTGTCTCTCAATCTTTGTAATCTTCTTTTGAAAGAGTCGACTTGAATTGCTTCCCCCGTGCCTGTAACTCTCTCAGCTTTTCTTTCTTCTATTTCGTTGCAGAAACTGAGAGGTTCATCCGTGGATCCAGGACTGAGATTGTTTGGCTCAAGCCTTGCTGGAATTGTTGACATGGACAGCAATGGGTATCCAGGTAGAATATCGTTTATTAGTCTACATCAGTAGTGCTTGTCGCGTGCGCTGATTGGCTGGTTCGGAAGTAGATAGCAAGTACTTTTCTCTTCCGAACGGCTGATGAGACAAAATTGCGCGTTAAGAGTTTAAATTCTGACCACTTTACGGTATATTGAAAGAAATAAACTTATTTTTTGGTATCTTTGTAGTATAGATTTTGTATGAATATTTACTTTGCCACTTCGCAGCTTGGTAAAGTCAACCACCATCCACCTCCACTTCGGTTAATAATTGTTAAATAGTAGATATTCAGAAATATAAGAGGGTGATACTTCAGAATAAGTAAATTTCTGATCCCTCTTTCGTTCGTCATTGTCAAAAGACACCTTGTATCTCGGCTAAAAAACGGCGAGCGCTGAGAAAGTCGCTCTAGTCGTAAAGGATCCAATCAATCTACAATTGGCGCATTGTACTCTCAAGTCCGCTGCTTTCACCCGATATGGTAACCAAATTAGGTTATGTTCTGACAGGCAGAGTTAAACGGGGGTCAGGGGAAGCACCTGGACAAGACTGTTTTCATCTTCCAAAGGCGACAAGTCGCCTCATTTTTTAGATTTTGACGGCACCTCGACGGTTTTTACGTAATGAACTACAACCCGATGTGCGCTTTTGTCGAGGTCTAGTGTCGTCATTAGGAAAATCTTAATTGAACATCTTTCGCTGGGAATGAGCGACAGCAACTTCCCAAAACGTGTTAGAGCCCTTGCTAGAGGTTTTTGCTTTTAGTTAATGGGGGGAGGGAGGAATTTGGTAGATGCACCACTTTTAAATCCCTTGACCTTACATTAGTGTACACTTGTTGTCAGGATGTAACGGTGCCTTTTCTGTTTCCGTAGATATCGCCGTCGGTGCGTACGGATCGAATAAGGCAGTTCTATTTAGGTATGTATTGACAGAAAAAGTATTCTATCAAATCAAATTAAACGTAAGTAGATATCCTGCTGAAACCCTTGGCTCCAAACAAAAGAAACGTGCTTGACAGTTGTTTTACGTTGTGTGCTTATCACTTCGCCTTTTTTTGTCTCTACCCATCTCGCCACTTTGAAGCTTTTCTTTCATAATATTATTCAAAGAAATATTTGCTATTACTACTTGATTTAATTTGAGTGGCTTTGATTTTGTTTTCAGCATCAGTAATCGTTGTTTTCTGCCCTTTTTGCCACAAAAGTAGCCAATTTGGCGGACTATGAACATTGTAAGCTAATATTCCTTGCTCATGTTGGATTTTTCAGAACTCGTTCCATCGTGAATGCCGAAGGAGAGATTCAGCTGAGTAGGAACCAGATCATTGTAGAGAGCGATGACAATTTGTGTCTTTTGGATGGAGGGAAATATTATAAATGGTAAGTTATGCAATGGCTCGGAAGAAATTAATTTTTACGGGGACTTGATTGGATGTAGATGTACTAGTTCTCAATAATCTGAGTCATTGTCAGCGTGCGATGTGCAAAGGTACCTCAGGTCGAGAAAGACTACAAAATATTATTTTGATGACACATAAAAAACACCAAAATAACATGTGGACGAATGAACCAAAGTGTAACGACGTGATGACTGACAAGCGCCCTTGCCACCTCCCTCCCCCCCCCCCCCCCCGTATTTTTTCTTTGTTCGTTTTTCGGAACAGGCTACCCATTGACTGTCACCATAACGTACCGTCAGTAGTAAAATTCCTTCAACACAACTTGTTGATTTAAAGTTGTGACTGATCCGAGAGAACTGAGCCCTTTTTTTGTTAAAATTGTTTGGTTCGTTTCTTCAAGATTGCTTAATCGATATGTTTCTTCATCTTTTAGTTTGAACCTTTCTGTGTGTTTCTCAAATAAGGATAAAGGAGCTGCAAACTTTGCAGGTACAGTAACGCTTTTTTCTGTACTATTTTTTAAACAAAATTTCGAAAATTCATGGTCTACAGATTGTCGAGATATCATGTGGCTTCAGCTAACATATTACGAGGTTGTTCAGCGGGTAATGAAACGGAGATGTCCCGTTCTAGGGCGTTCAGTTAGCTAAACAAATTGCGATAGTAAACGGCGCGATATTAGTGTGGGAGTTAAAAAACGAGTTGGGTTTGAGTCTACGCGACCCGACCAGAATCTCTCTCGTTTTCGCTCCGCCTCCACTATCGCAATGTTTACTACTTTGCTCTGTTGTACTGTAAATCCAGATCTGTTTACTGGTTCAGTCACCATCGATTACAATATTACAATGTCTCGTCGAATTTCCCATGCTCTTGGTAACATATCCGCTACTATTTTCTCTTGTAGGCCTGGGGATAACCTATTCAGTCGATCTAGACCGCGTGAAAGTTGTAAGAGGGACAAACTTTTTTCGCCGCATGTTCTTCTTGGACGAGAACAGCGGAGACAAATTGCACACAATAAATGGCGTCCTAAATGTAACAAAACGAGGAGGGAGTCAATGTACCCCACCCCGAACTGTCTACCTAAAGGCATGTAATGTATAGTGCATTGATGTGTCGTGTGTTCTGGAACAGTACGGAAACTCACAAAAATAACGGTTTGTTTGTGTTTTTGTTTAGGAAAAAGATAATCTTGCAGATGTTGCTTCTTCACTGACCTTTGATCTTGACTTTGGGTTGGTTGAGCCTTGTGGCAGCTCTCTTTGCCCAGTGTTAAATGATTCTCTTCCAACGACTCACACGGCGAAGGTAAGGAGCAATGTCAAATATAACTGGCAATTGTTTTGACGCTTTGAAGCTACGAGCGGTTTGTTTCCGCGCCTACGCTGCCTCCGTTGACCGCTAAAACCGCTAGCTACGAAGGATACAGTCGACGATGTTAATGAGAAGAGACTCAAAAAAACCATTATTTTTCTTTTTGCTACGCGATGGATTTGTGCTTACATGTCAACTATATGTGCCTGGCAGAAAGAAGATATTGTTATATTCGGCAAGTAAAAGGGAAGAAAACTATTAATCCAAACGTATCTTAAATTTCCTGAGCTTTTCTCTTTGTCCTGATTTTCAGTTTGCATTGTTTTTGCTAGGTATTTTGTCATCATCTTCCTAATATTTTCTGTTATATTATTGTCACAGGCATTTTTTATGAAGAGGTGCAAGAATCAAAAGGTCTGTGTACCTGACTTAGCAGTTGACGGAAAAGTGGTTTTAGTGGGGTAAGAAGGAAAAAACAAAAACCGTTTGGATTCGGTTAATCTGCACTTAGCTTTGTCATTGGATTTCACGGATTAAACGCAACTGTCATGAGTCGAAATAATTTGGGATTGGAGTACCTTTTTAACCAATTAGATGACAGTTTCCGTGGCGATTATTGACTTTACTTTTGATTTTTGATACCCTTTGAAGGTCGCTCTAGAGGCTTCAATCGCGTTCTATGTTTGTCCTTGACAGGTATGACGAAAATCGCAGATTTGACAATCAGCTGCGATTAGGTCTCGTGAAAGACCTGATACTACAACTGACAGTATCAAACAAGGCTAACGATTACGCTTATTACTCCAAACTCGTAGTGAAATACCCGAGTTCACTGAGTTATCAGAGAACTGGCGACGTAAGTAAAAAATATCTATGTTTTGAGCAATTTTCAATGAGGTGACAAGACTAATCCGGGACAGTTATTGGTTGGGAAAACTTGAACCACCCTCGACCAATCAGATGCAAGACGGAAATCGATCGCGACCTTTCATGTTTATTTTGAGTTCTAGTCGATTCCCTGTTAAATTTCTAATATTCTAGTTTGTTTGGTATTTTCACGTTTTTTCGAGATACATCTTTAAACTTTCTCATCTCTTTTCCCTTTCAACATTTTAATTCAGTGCGAACACGACCGCAGGTTAGACAATGACACTCAGTCCCAGCTCTCCGTCATCTGTGACGTGGAAAAGGTGGCTCTTCCAGGACTTAGTAATGTAAGTGACCTATGAAAATCTCTACCGAAAAGTTTTGAGATGGTGTTAAGAATCGCCAACGTGTTTTTCGTAAGTAGATACCGTAAGCAGATAGGAGTCTTTCTTATGACAGTCAAACTAACATTTACGCCTTTATTAATTTCACCTTAGAAAACATTCAGTATCAAATTTTCAGCGGCTTCAGTAGAGGAAGATATCTCCATTATTGTCACAGCTAAAAGGTGAGTTAACTTACATTAGTTTTCTTTGTTGATTACCATCAATTTATGTTCATTACGTTTGGGTGTCAAAGGCAGTCGCTTTTAAAATACTGGGCAAAGTTTTGTAAAGGCTTTTTCTGTCAAATCGAGAACTTTCGTCGTCAAAATGATCGATTAAGTTGTCGGATGTTATAATCAGAGTAATACTTGTTGCTATAGCGCAATTCAAATCATTATCGATTGTTGTCCAAGATTTCCTTGTGGTTTTGCTTTACATCGCTATGTGGTTGCTTAGGAACTTGCGCCTTCCCACTCTCAACCAATCAGATGCCAACCTCTCGACCAATCAGGTTTACGACCAAAACTAATCATAAGTTCCTAACTCGGTCAGTTGCATTTTCCCACGTTTGAGGCGGTAAGCCTGCATTTACTTTGGGTTCTTCAGTTTTGACTCCGTTGATGTTTTTCCTGGCTCTGTTGGCTATCGCAATTGCTTTAGTTCGGTTTATGACGCTGACTCAAAGAAAGCGTCTGGAAAACGCTATCTTGGTGCCGTATATTGTGTGAAAAACTTTTTGGTATGTTTATAGCCAAGACTTAGATGCCAATGAGAAAGACAACAGCAAGGAATTCTTTATTGCCGTGAAGTATGAGGCAGATCTGGAGATTAAAGGGTAGGTATTGATTGAAGTTGGTACACCAATCCGCATTACTGTATCATACAAAGTGTCTGTTACGCATGCCTAATTCGTCGCAGTATTTCACTTGTGCGCTGAGCTTGATTATCTTCAAGAAGTATGGTACTAATCACTGTCTGTCTCCACTCAGTTATTCAAAACCAGATCAAGTCATTTACTCAGGATCCGTAAAAACGCAGGAGAAAGTCAGAGAGTTTCAAGAGGAGATTGGACCTGAGATTGTTCAAACCATAAAGGTATACTGATAGCGATGTAGTTAATTTTGTGTTGAAGTAAAATTTTTCCAAAATAGAAGAAATAATTGGTGACATGAGCAAAGCGAAATTTCGCCAAGGAACTTTCTAACTTGAAGTGAGCTTTCCACAGACTGTACCTTTTTAAATGCTAGGTACTGGTTACAAACTGATGTTGCTGTGTTAATTTATCAATTCCTTTTAGTCCTAGCTAACATACAGCACTTTTCTTTACATTAGGTTTTCAATCACGGTCCCAGCGTGGTAGACTGGTCTCAGTTAACGATCACTGTACCTAAACTATTGAATAAGGACGATCCTGAAAGTTTTCTCATGTATCTACTTCAAGTTGAGGTGAGATTAAAATTCGGGAATAATTATCCATCGCTTCTCATGACCAGTCTTTATAGGAGCAAACGCAACCAGAATGAGCCTGATCAAACATACGAGATATTCTTTCATTGATTGTTGGAAGTACTGTTCTTTTTCAGGTCATTGGCTCAGGAAGCTGCAATGCTGTTGTGAACCCTTTGAACATTAAGGTAAAGTATTCACCTTATGATATACAAACCCTCCCCCGTGGGGCTGAGAGAGAAATCTGTTATTCAAGAACGCGCGAGAACGCGCTGGTAATGAAAATTTCATCCACGGGTCACAATTAAGAACTATCCACGACTTTCACCGACACTGAGGTGAATAATTATTTTTTCACCGACACTATCAAAAAGTCAGTTTGAAAATTACTTTTTGATATAAACCTTTAATTGAAAATTCATCTCGGTTAATTGAACTAGCCAAATGAAAATCACTATTCACTTAAGCTATCTGATAATTTGATGATAATAATAATCTAACATTTTTTGATATAATAAAATTCATCTCGGTTTCCAATTTTCATTTCTTCTGTGTAATTTGTTTCTTCAGTTCATATTCTATTGGTTTCTTACAGTCAGTGCAGTTGAATGAATCCATCAGCACCGAGAATTCTGTGAAACAGAGGCAGACACGTGACGTCAAGAGACTGGTTAGTACATGAAATACGCATGGGTGTGTATGATCATAAGTTCTCGACGGCTACAGGCGCTTTCAAAATATCTCCTTTTGAGCGAGTTTACTCAAACACAGTTTTACCGTAATCTAATAAAGGCGGTACGTTTTTAAGGAATTTTGTGGTACTACGTGGTTGGAGGGGTGTGACAAGATAATTTGGTTGTGACAACTAAGCGCAAAACAAATCTTGCTATAAACTTGGCAGATGCTTTGATAATCTGTGCGAAAAATGTGTTGCATGCGGTTTCACAACTCATTTCAAAAAGGTTACTTTTACGAACATTCACTCGGCTCGCTTAGCCAATTTTTCTTTCACGGGAGAGGTGGTGATCTAATGGTTAGCACGCTTGGACATCGAATTGCGGGAGGTCTGGGCTTGAGCCTTGGCTGGGGCGAGTTTATTGGGAGAAACATTTTCAGGATAGAAGTTGAAAAATTTGGTGGGGGAGGGGGGGGGACTTGGTAAAGGTGGGGCGAACTTGTCATATTTGATAGGGCGACCCCTCGTCTCGGAGTCGAACTGGTATAGGGCTAAACTTCTATAAACCAATGTGTTGTGTACTCAGGCAAGAATTAATGTAATGGGTACACAAGCCAATTATCAGAAAAACTCGACGAATTGCCAGAGAATCATTTGTTATGGTTAAGCATTACGTCTGAGAGGACTAGCAATACTCCTAAGCGCTGAAAACTAGGCTCTGAAAAAAATGGTTTGGTATATTCAATCTCTAACAACCTATTACTTTGTAGAGCTGTGGAGAAGTCGGTTGCCAATCATTCCAGTGCAGTTTGGGACGTCTGAGACAGGGTGATAAAGCAGAGATCAAACTAACATCACGGCTGTGGCAGAATACACTCATTAAGGTATTCTTAATATTCCGTGATCTATATTGTGTGTAAGAATCGTTAGGCAAAAATTTTGCATGAGTTGCCATACCTTTTCAATAATGCTCTGTTACAAAACAATTCCCTACTTTGCCTTTTTTTTTTGTCAAATCTATGAACACGAGTCATCGTCGGTCATTTCAAATCACCAAATATCATCTCTTAATATCACTTATAGTGTGTCATTTTTTATGCCTTTCTTTCTGCGATATTTTTTGTATTATTTTAGTAGTATAGTTAAGTAGATAATTGACCCACCTCGCTTAGTGTATCTTATTTGCAGATCAATTGAATTTTATAAGATGAATATGTCACAAATCAAGTGTTGTGTGTATGTCAGAGAAAACCCTCCAACGTTAAAATAATCGTCGAAATGTGCGCTGTGGCACTTTGGGGTTGAAATATTGGATTAAAATCATTGAGAATCTTTCCTTCAAAAAAAATCATCTCTTACATCATCACCCTACCCTCTTAGGGAGCTTTGTGACCTCACAACCCTCCTCCCTCCTTATATGTCAATATACTTGATGTTACCTTACAGCTCGATAAGTCAGCAGTAGTAGAACTTGAAACGATTGCACAAGTACAGCCTCCAGCGAAAGTCACTCAGCCGGACGTAGGAAATGATGCTGTAACGGTGCGTAGCTTGATTATACTCTTTTTAAAGTCTGTTTTTGAACATATTTGACGACACTAGAGTGTTGAAAATTTGGTACTGAATGCAACTAACCTTGTATTTCATTTTTTTACGACCACTGTGTGATTGATCGATCGAAGTTGATTAAGGAGACTGAGCCAGGGGAGTTGATTCGTTTTCAAATTTTCGGCTTAAATTGAATGTACCAATTGTAAAATTACTAGGCAAATTTACATATTAGCATCCTTCATTTGGTAAACCTTTAATTGAAGTTCTGTCCGGACAAGAGTTAGGAAAATGTGAGCTCGGGTTTTTGGACCATACAATAACCTGTTTTGATGAGTGTTTTCCTTATAATTACTTTCTAGGGTAATCACCATTTGGAAATACAAAACCAATCGTAAATTCTCTGAACGAAAACAATCTCCCATGTCTTCCGCTGGCCATGTACGTCTATTTGCTTCGAATTTTTACAAGCCAATTTATAAGTGGGCAGTTTTCCTTAACTGTTCGGTCGGTCTTTGACAATTGCTTTAGTTACAGTTCTGCGAGGTTTTTAATTTTCATTAATAGGACGTACTGTTTCTTTGGCAGATCATTCTCACAGCCAAGCCTGAACGCCCTGTTGCCGGTAAAAAATCCACCCCCTGGTGGGTATACTTGGTCTCAGTTCTGGGTGGTGTCATTTTGCTCGGAATCGCAGTTTTAATCCTCTATAAGGTTTGTATGTTGTTAATTATATGTCACCGAAAAAAGGGTAGAAAGATCAATTTTTTTAAAGAAGCTTGATTTAATTGTACAAATAGCCCTAAATTATAATTGATGCATGACATTTACAAAAAATAACATCTGATGTTCGAGGATTGTTATGACTATGTGGGGTATCTTTTTTTGCCCTGTTGAAAAATTCTTGTTCACAATAGAAGCTAAAAAACGAATTGTTTTTTTTTTGGGGGGGGGGGGGGAGGGAACAAACACAAAGGCTGCGAGTTGAAAATGATCCAAGGCGGAACGATGATGGGTGAGGTGGGCACTAGAGAAATTTGCTAAATTTTTCATTATATATGCACTTTGACGCTACGTCTTTTTAAGTCAAGTTCATCATGGGTTTTTACAAGCTGAGTTGCCTTCACCAGCAACGGATCGTGAAATCCGAAGATCTGGGGTTTAGATCCTCGAAGGAAATTAAGTCTTTTTCTTTAGATTTTTTAACTTCGTTCTTCATTTACTTGTTTTCAGCTTGGTTTTTTCAAACGGAAAAATAAGTCACTGGAGTTAACACCTGAGGAGCTTCTTCCTATGAAGAAAGTATAATTTCTGGAGCAATTAAGATTTCAGTGAAGAAGGTGGTCTCTCTTTAAAGGTCTGAGCTGCTCAGAGGACACTAAAATTAATATGATACTTATAACAGATGAGGGTTTGATCGGCATATCCCGAGGATAGAAACAAGTACGTCGTGTCTGAAGGTACATGTTTTATTCCCTGGGTTTACTTTAATTAAGGGACTAATGAACTACGTTTATAGGACATACAAGGATGCTTTGCCTGAAATTCGTTCCTTTTTTAGAGTAGTGATATATATTTAGGTAAATGGCCCAATGGGTTGCTAAGTTGACTGAGGGACATTCTATGTCATATCTTTCCTATGGGTGAAGTAGAATAAGGTAGCTTTTAAGTGAATGGATAGGAAAATTGTTTTCATGATTCAAACTTTGACCTCTTGGCTGAGCATCCTTGTACGTACCCTTTTTAATCCTTTATATCCTAATATCAGCATGAATATTCTCCATACTGTTCACCATACATTCAACCTCAGGAATAATTTGTCTAGTAATCGAAAGCTGTTGATTGTTGGTGATCATTTTCTTTATTCTCATAACCTCTATGTTTGATTTAGTGATGATACTGTAAGGAGATATTAGGTGCTAGACACTGTTTGGGGTTAAAGGATTAAGAAACCAGTTAGCGTTTTCCCGCTATCGTTGTAAAATAACTCCAGCTATTTGCTGATCAGTTTATTTATAAGTTGTAACTATTTGAAGAAGTTCCTTCCAAAGCCATGGAGCGAATAAGCTTGGACAGAAAAATTGCTAAATTTATGGCGCACACTGCCCGGTAATTTGTAAATTACCGTTAACTGCTCGTCACGCGGGAGAAACAGGCAGTGTGAACTGTTAACAGCCTGAACGACTTCGAATGTGACCAGTCTAGATATTGTTTTCACTGAAATACCGGATTTCAAACTTTTGTAATATGCCGAGTCCTTTAGAAATTCATTACACTTCACCCTCATAGTGCCTCTATCCAGTTATAATGGCTACCAGCCGAACTGTCAGAAAAAACCTGCTTAATTGATGGGATGCACTCACGGTAAATTTCATTCACGAGTAACACTAAGTTGGTGAACTCGACTGAACGTGGTATTCAACGATTTTAGTGCGAACAATGTGGGTACATGTCATAGTTTAGAAAACGAGTTTTTATGATATCAGTTGAAGAGTCTAGTTAATTTATTATTTATAAAGTAAAAGCTATTGTAATTATAGGTAAATATGAAAGAGCCCGCATTGAAACTTCTTGCTTGTTAGATAAGCGACTTTAAATTAATTTTTGTGAGAGGTCGGGCGATCGAAGTTGTAAATAAATAGGAACATTTTCTACATTGTTGTATTCCGAGTGGCCATAAAGGTTTGGTTAACAATAACAAAGTATTTATGTCCCATGAACGATTTTCATTAGCGACCTTTGGTCTGGGTTGCATCTTACCGCGGTTCTACGCGAAACCCTACATTTAACAACACATTTAATAAAAATCGCGCAATTGGAAAGCGCAAAAGCTCGAATTAAGACAGTTCTAACTCAGCGCTAGAGTCGTGTTAGTCTTTAGGTGGCCACGATAAAGTCAGTTCGCTATGTTTGCTCTGAGGAATCCACTGTTTCAGGGCAGCCAATAAAAACTTCGGATCTTTTTTTAAAGCGGCCATTAGGGCAATCTTGCTATCGGCCTTCCCGTTCACAAGTTCACTTAGTAGGATTTCGGTCCTCGGCTGTAGTTTTGCCCAGGACTTGATCATTGTAACTGGTGGGCACAACAGGAATGGCACAAACTTTGCAAATGCTGGGATTACTTTTCCCTCGAGCAAGAACTTTGCAAACCACTTGTATCTATCGAGTCCCGCAGGATATTCAAGCTCCTGAGGGGGCACCTGCCAGGACCTGGGTCCAAATGAACATTTCATGTGGCACTTGACGACGCCAGCGTCGGAGTCATAACGAGGCGGATGTTCTTCGAGGGGTTTGGAGAATGTGCACAAACTCGGGACCAGAATTGGGATCCAATCGGACTCAACAGCAATAACACCTTCAGTGAAGAAAAAAAGATAAGTGTTTAGATTAACAACCGAGACCTTGGCTTTCAGCATTATGCTATGGGCCTGTCATGTAGTTATTTTAACAATGCTTTTTTAATGCCTGCATTCAACATTCAATCCAGAGGATAAAAAGTTCTTGAGGGGGGGCCTTTGCGAGCGTAATCGGGTCCGCGAGCTCAAAGAAATGTGCGCAAAGAATTTCCCGCCGCACCGTGACGCGGAGGTGGGATACATTTGGCCTGTTGACATGCGCGACAGATTTCTTAGTAAAATAAGGCCTGTTCTTAGTTTCATTGTGATGAATAAGTTTTCCTTTCTTGTAGTTTCGTTTTGACAACACTTTTAAACCATTACAGACTAACCTTTCATAAAAAGTTTTGAGGTCTCGACGATTTCTTGATAAATCACGTATTCTGGTAACACTTCAAAGAGCGCAGAAGATGGGTGAATGAAAACAGGCTCACCCAGGGACATGCAGCTGTAAGCATTCTTTCGTTGGGGGTCATTTCCTGTGGGGTTCTTGCGGGCTACATGGCCGCAAAGGCCCGATAGGCATATCTGCCGAAGGGCAACGCACTGGGCGGGTGATGGCGGGCTCATCCGAGGGTTAAGCATCACTTTTGCATCAGCATTGACAAGATTTACCGAGTTTGTAAGCTGGGCACGGAGCTTTCTGATCTCGATCATTCCTTTGTGACGAAGTCCATTCTCAGAGCAGAACTTTTCTGTGCAGCCGGCATATTCACATGCCCCAACAGCTCTAAGAAGAACCATCGCGTCTCCGAGCTTCTGGGCGTCACCTTGGCCTGCCCAAGTCCGCCGCAAGCGAGATATCTTTCGCCGATCTTCCTTTGTTACCTGGCTCTTTTCTCTGTCATTGTCATCCGCAAAGATTTCTTTCACCGTGAGAGCAGATACAATAGCGATGACGTATTCCATACAATTTTCCTGATGCCCCAGGCAGAGCATCTTTGCGTATCTCGGAGACACAGGAAACTTAGCCATGGCGCGTCCAAGAGGAGTGATCACTGCATTCACATTTCCCTTCATCGTCTTCTTCTCCTCCAGCGCGCCTAGATTTAACAGCAACCTCTCTGCGCTTTGCAACGCTGTTAGGTCAGGTGGAGTGGGAAAGGGGAAGTTTACTACTTTGTCAATGTTCAAGTCCTTCATCTGCAACACAAGGTCTTCCACTGGACGACGTGATATTTCAGGTGCTGAGAACTCTTCAAAGTCGTTGGTAAACACGGCCGAAGAATATAAACGATAGCAGTGTCCAGGCTCCACTCTGCCAGCTCTACCTGCTCTTTGATTGGCTGAGGCCCTGGATGTCCACGTGATTTTAAAAGAAGACACTCCAGTGATTTTATCGTAATAACGCCTCTTTACCATACCCGTGTCCACTACGTACTTGATGTTGGGAATTGTCAACGACGTTTCTGCTACATTGGTCGCTACGACACACAACCGAGTCCCGTCGGGGGGTGGCTGAAATACCTTAGCTTGTTGTTGGCTCGAGAGAAGCGAATACAACGGCAGAACAAACATGGGTAAATTTTTATCGATCGACGGCGTAAACGCGCCGTCGTCGAGATTAAACTCACTATCGCTGTCGTTGTCGTTGAGGTTGTATTCACCAAGATCTTCGTCTTCAGCGTCTCTATCTTCCACAGCCGGGTTTACGGAATAATTATCAAGATCGAAGTGATCATCATCATCACCTGAGTTTTCATCGCTCGCATCCACCTTTTGTTTCGAATTTTCCTTGCGCAGGATGCAAGGAAATGTTCTCTTCAGCTTTCTACATAAACCGTGCACTTCGGCCTGACCTGTCACAAACACCAATATCCCTCCCGGGGGTAGGGTGCGGTGGATTTTGCAAACTTTACGGAATGCCTCATTTAGGTAGTCATCTGGCGTCCTCTTATTAAAGTGTACAGTGACAGGAAACTGTCTGGACTCCACGGTCACCACCGGGGGTGGGATAGAGAAAAGACGCGTATTACTCGTAAAATCTTCCACACGAAGTGTGGCGGACATGATGATAAGTTTGAGCTGTTTACCTTGAGTTTTGCGCATTGGAACTATTCTTGAAAGCAGTCCCATTAAAATATCAGTGAATACACTTCGCTCATGGGCTTCGTCGATCACAACGACCGAGTATTTTGACAAGAAAAAGTCATTTTCAATTTCCTTGAGTAGCACACCATCTGTCATAAACTTCATGATGGTATTTTCAGTCACGTTACCTTCATAACGTATCTGGTAAGACACCAGCTCGGTACTCATATTCAGCTCCAGTGCTACCCTGCGTGACATTGTCACGGCAGCTACCCGGCGTGGTTCTGTCACGCCAATCAGTCCTCGTGTAGTGTATCCACCTTCGTATAAAAACTGAGGGACTTGAGTGGTCTTTCCACTTCCGGTTTCACCACAAAGGATAACTACGTCATTATCGTGAATCGCTTCCATGACAGCTTGCTCTTCGGCGAGGATCGGAAGCTGAAGCCTTGCAGTCTGAATTTCTGAGTTCCTCTTTACTTCCATGAAAATTGCCGGCTTCAATTCCTTTTTCACGGTCTCCACTTTCTCTGAGATCGTTTTAACTGTTGATTCTGCAGAATTTTCCCCTGCATCCTCTTTAGATTTTGAAAGATCACTTTTGTTTTCATCTTTTTCCTCTATGTCTGTATTCTGTTCATTCAAAGGTAACCTTTCCGCGAGTAGATTCTCCTCCTGCAACGAATCGGGGTTACCTCCATCCTCTTCTTCGCTTTCTGATGATTCTCCAGATTCTATTTCTTCCTCTATCGTCTTTGCAATCTTAGCAGGAGCAGGATCGAGGGCTTTTCTCTCTAATCGCAGTCTTTTGCCTTTTTTACGACCACAGCGAACACTTGAGATGACTACTTTTCTGGCTGCACTTTCTTCAACTTCCGAAATCGTTCTTTTCTTTGTTGTGTTAGACTGGCCTAGATCAGTCGTAGAACTCATTTGAGACAACTCTTTATCACTGACAGCATACTCAGAGAGCGCTTTAAGCAACTCTGTTCGCTTAGCTTTCTTTTTCTTCGTCTCGACAATTTTTTCCAGTCTCTTTCGTTGTTTCTTTGTTAGCTTCTTTCGCTTATCACTTGGGTTCTTAATGGCTACCTTAACCTTGCCTTTCTTACTCGGGGCGACGAGAATGTTGGAATCGTCATGGGAAAATTTGTAGTCGTCATCTACCGTAGTCTTTTCCAAAACACCTTTCTGGTCATCAGTAAGCGCTGAATTCGTGTCCTTTTTCGAAGCCTCTGGCTGCAATCTTGCCTTCCAGTTATGCCTCTGCCTCATTCGACCCATGACTTCGGCTTTTTGTAATAATGAGGTTGTTTCAGATCAACAGAGAAGCGAATTCTCTCATTACACGTGTTCGCCTAGATGGTCCGCCATATTGCAAAATACCTCTAAAGGGAAATTCCGCTGACTAGTGATTTATCTTCTTGCTTGAGTAGCCCTGGGACTAGATAACCAAATCTCGTTTCAGTCTTCCTCCCAACGTTGGCTGCACGTTTTCCAAAATGGAGGCTGATCTGTATGATGAATTCGGAAACTACATTGGTCCAGAACTCGACAGTGATGAGGAAAGCGAGGAGGAAGAGGACGCAGACGAAGAAGAGGCAGTAGAATATGTAAGTGATCAAGTCTTGATTGACTCAAACGCGTAAGAGATTTAGCTTCGATAACTTTTTGTTCACCGCTTGCCATGCTCGTTACAACAATTAGCGACTCAAAGAGCGTGTAAAGCAGCATTATATATGTGGTGAGGTGACATCTTACTTCTTTTTTGTGTAAGTGGTGAGACTGTAGCACGAATCATGCATCATATCTTAACCAATGTAGCTTGGTAACGCAAACACCTGAAAACTCTACTGGCGTTGTGTAATGTATGTAACTCTGTCAGTTTGACAGATTGATCCCATCTCACCGTGCTTCTGCTGCATGATAGATCACAGATGACTTCAAAATGTGATAGGAACAAAAAGGGTGGCATATTTGGTGCGGCCTATTGTGTCACTGACGTTCCTACAGCGTTTTGATGTCTGTTTGATGACTGTCTATCACTGAACAGACCCATGGAAACTTTTTATCTCGTGATGATGCCGCCAAAAGATGTCATTGGTGACATCTGTCCTCAAATAGATTATAACCAAAAACCTATCAAAATGTGCAAATAAATCAGCATTTTCGAAACCCTTGCATATTGCTGAGGCCTCATGTGCTTAACTAGGCAAAGTGCTTGATTTACTTTTTGTATAATTACATTCATCTCAGGGATTATTAGCACTGAATGATAGGCAAGTGTTTTAATGTCATGTATTTCAGGCAGAAGATGATGAAGATGAGCAGATGGACCAGGATGAAGAGCCTCAAATGCAAGTGGTTTTGCACGAGGTACAATGTTGTGATAAACTTTCCTCTTACTAGACTAGGGCAGTAATCTGACAAAGGGCTCACACTCAAAACATCAGCTTTAGAAACTCTTTACATTTTAACAACTCAATTGATAAAATTTACAATTTACATTTATTATTAACTCAATTGATAAAACCAAATTATCACGTGTTACCTCTTACTGATGCAGCAGCACCCAAGTTCCTATAGAAACTTACCCCTTTTATTCATTCAGAGTGGTGATCCTCAGGTTTCTGCATAAAAGATAAAAATGATGCACTCCATTGGTAGCATAGCTACATTATTTTAATATTCTCAATATGTGTCACTTGATACTTTATGAAAGATGACCTATCCCTTTGACCTGTAAGGATGACTAGAATCAAATTTCTCTGAAAAAATGATCACCAACTAAAGAACCTCGTGATAGTCAAACAAATTCTCTTTGTCAGCTGAAAAAACTTATAATGAACAAAAAGAAGAATATGCATACTGATGTTAAAGTGTTAAGTATTAACTGAGGCAGTTTTGATCTTCTGAGGACTGTTAAGGTAAACTTACATGTTGTTAAGTTTAACTTTCAATTTTTTTTTTCAAAGTTATATCTGCTGTGTGGGTCACTGTCTCTTTGAATGTTAATTATGTTTACAGGACAAAAAGTATTATCCTACTGCAGAAGAGGTCTTTGGTCCAGAAGTTGAGGTAGGAAAGGAGGCAAAGTTGAGATGCTATAAAATGAAGTGCTTGTAGAAGTTTATTACTACATGTGTTTATTACATGAAATCACTGTCTGCCTTGAAAAAGTTTTGGCACTTATATTTTGGTTATTTCTTTAGACCGTCGTCCAAGAAGAAGATACACAGCCATTGACAGGTTTCTGAAAATATCCTTGTCCTAGTTTTGTTTGAATCTTGTTAAGTAGTAGTCCTAATGAAAAGCACAGGTTTACAAACAACATGCATGTCTTTCTTTGTTTTTGGGATAGCTTCTCCATGTGTCTACCTTGCTTGCCTTCAGTGTGGTGTCAACCATGAATAAGCTAGCTTTTGGTGCTGTGTTTAGCAAATTAAATGTCATTGGGTTCTTTCACTGACCACTCACATAGATTGGCAATACATTGTTTGTAACAAAATACTGTTGATCTAAAATGCTACCAAAGGCATTTTTTTTCTTTCAGTCTTGTACTGTATAGTCACATTATCATGAGAATATTACATGAAAAGATAGAGGGGCCGCAGCCAGGATAAAACATCTTATGAAATTTAAAAAACTATCTCTGACTAAAAGTTTTAGCCAGAGATCGTTTTTTAAATTTCATAAGAGAATATTACAGTTACATCATTATAACCTAAGTGTACTCAGATAGAACTAAAAATTACATCTTTTTGCTTACTTTTGCAGAGCCCATTATTAAACCTGTGGCAAAAAAGAAGTTTTTCCATGAAGAGCAAGATCTACCTACAACAACTTATAATATTGAGTAAGGGGGGAGTAATTTAATGTTTGTCACCTTAACCTATGACACTTATCATAATCATTATTAATGTATATAACACTGATTGCCATAAAAAAAGGTTTCTTTGTGGATTTACATGTAATTATGCATTGTGTGGTCCATGATAAATCCTGTTTTTATCATAGTCAATACTTTAATATTTATAACATGAATCTTGATATGTTTAGCAAATCTGACCTCCTGTATTATTTTAATTCCATTGTAGATATTTGGCAGATTTAATGGACAACCCAGATCTTATCAGAAATGTAGTCTTAGCAGGACATTTGCACACAGGAAAGGTAGAATTGTACATGCAAAATTGTAAACTTAATTGAATCACAATTGTTGTTTTTGTTTTCAACTTATTTGGCCTTGAAAAATACTTCTCACTGACCAAGTTTGAGGTCTGCACTGTAAGTTGCAGACCAAGTCTTTTCTACTTGGATTTATGGCCCAAGTGTGAGTCATGTAGGTCATAAACCCAGGTAGGAAAAAAACAATGTCCCATAACTTATATTACAGACCAAGAAAACAAGGTTGGTAAGATACTTCTTTATATCTCTGGGTTCAAACAGAGGGAGGAGATTTTAATTTGAACAAACTTTTCAATTTAAGGGGGCATTACAGTGAAGTGATAACTAAGAGATATGAAAGGAAGCTTAAGATTAATTCTTTGTGATTTGTGTATTTGCAGAGTGTTTTTGTTGACTGTCTTTTTGAACAAACACATCCTGAGATACAAGCTAAAGAAGGGAGTGATGTAAGTCTCAGAAATAGTAAGGAAATTGTGGGTACATGTACTTTGAATGGTGACCTCTGAAGAAGAGCTTGGTCTTCTTTTTGGTGTGATGACTTAGTTTAAAACTTTGAAAAAGGAACTTTAATTATAATAGTTGTTAAAAACTGATTGGAAGTCAACTAAGTGGTTAAAAATGCAAATGGTTAGCATTCTCTCAAAGGATATATACCTCTAGTGCAAAGCAAAGCTGACATTTTGATCATTACCCCTTCATCAGCTTTAAAACTCTTAACAGTGGCCAATTTACATCATCAACTCAGTTGATAATACCAAAGTATATTGCATGTGTGTTGTGTCTAATTTGAGGGTTCTAAATCTCAACTTTTTTCAGTTTCCTATTAGTTGACTTGAGTCATGAAACGGTGGCCAGAAAGGGAATTTTAGTTTTTTGAAAGGAAACAAAAATAAAACAAAATAAAAACAAATAAGCAATGTTATACCATGTTACAGGTATTATTTGCTGCAAATGTAGAGACCATAATTTGTTTTTTACTCAGTGGCAACTTGGAGTGTAGAACTTGAAAGTTTCATGCCTGTATGGCTTAAAGTTCATAATTATGTAAACTCAGGCATACATGTAATTTGTATTTCTTTATTTTTTACTTTGTTCAGCTTCGTTACAGTGACACACTGTTTACTGAACAAGAGGTAAGATGTTGTCTATTGTGTTAAAAACAACTTTGCACTAAATTTACCTGAACTAGGGACTGTCTCATTGCAATCTGCCACTTCTATATGCAACTTGCGTGTATTTTTTTCTTTTAGAGAGGTCTGAGTATTAAGAGTATTCCAGTGTCTTTAGTTTTGCCAGATACTAAGGGGAAGTCATACCTCATCAATGTCTTTGACACCCCAGGTAGGTGAAAATGCAGCATCTACATGTATGAGTGCTAGCCAAACTTTTTGTGTCTTGGTCCAAAGTGATAGGTGTGTTTTCAATGTGACAATAATGATGCCTAATCCTTAGATGGTTAAAAGTGATTGGCATCTAATTTCTCCTTACAATATCACCCCTGAATCACTCCTTAAGGTGACAAGAATAAAGGAAATGATCACCAACTAAAGAAGCTCTTGATTGTTAAACAAATTCTCCTTGTCAGCACCTTAGAAAAATGTATAGAAAACAGAATGGAGAATATGCATACTGATGTTAGGGTACAAGGGTTGAAATAAAGTACACAAGTATCACAATCATGCAATTTTAGGATCATGTGTTAAACACTGATGCATCTCGGACGGTCTGAGCATGTATGAGGACTTTAATTCTTTTCAATAAATTTAACAGTATTTTTATGATGTCTCTTTTTTCAACCTCCCAAGAAAATTGGCACAGTATTTGTAGGAACAGAGTTGAATAATATGATTTCTAAATATCTGGTAGAACAGTCCATCACAGAAGTAACTGACTAAGATAACAAAGTAGTGGCAATTTTTATCACCTCTTGCATTGGCAATGAGTAGATATCATAGATTTGGAATGTGAAAAGCATGGTTTGATATTGATCTTCCAGGACATGTAAACTTCTCAGATGAGGTCACTGCGGCAATAAGATTGTGTGATGGAGTTATGATCTTCATTGATGCCTCTGAGGGGGTGAGTTATTTTAATTTCCCCTTAACTTCAAAGGGTTGCTCAGGGTGTAGGATCTTTTTGTTGGAATTTTGAATTACTGTACCTGTTCCTGTTTAACTTATACAGAACGCGCTTTTGCGGTGTAGACAGACTCAGCATGCAAAAGTATTTATTTAACACTGATGTATGTCTGGTTGTCATCTCTTTGTTTCAGGTGATGTTGAACACAGAGCGACTCCTAAAACATGCTGTTCAAGAAAGGCTTGCTGTAACTATTTGTATCAACAAGGTACAGACTGATTTTTGTTGATGAATATTAAAGGCCTCAGAGCTTCTTTTTGATTGTACATGGAACAAATAAATGGCAAAAGAGTTAATTATCTGAAGCAAAGCATGTATATTTGAGCTTGAGTTGTTGTCACAGACAGAATAACAGAGCCTTCTTTTCCCCTCATTTTCAGATTGATCGACTGATGTTGGAGTTAAAGCTTCCCCCTACAGATGCCTACTACAAATTAAAACACATAGTGGATGAAGTGAATGGACTACTCAGGTATGGATGTCGGAGTTCATGTGCTGTGCAACTGTCTGTTGTGAGGCAATGAAAATAATGCTGATAGTAAATTTGAGCAAAACAAAAGAATCAAGCATTCTAAGTGAAGTACCTGTGCAAGTTTGTTTAATCATCTTCATGTTCCAGTATTTTTGTGTTTCATTGATTACCATGCAACAAATTATAACACACTCTCACAGTTGAATAGTTTATATCCTCTCCTCTACAATTTCATGACTTTTTAAAATTGTTACTAAAAAAAAATATAAAAATTGGCTTCTCTTTTGATGGAGATGAGTGTTTTTTTTTACTCCTTAGTGTCTACTCTGATGGTGCAGATGACTATGTCATGTCCCCTTTCCTTGGAAATGTCTGTTTTGCGAGCTCACAGTATAGATTCTGCTTCACACTCTTTTCATTTGCCTCTCTTTATGTTGACACTTTTGGTGAGTATCCTTCAGATCCTTCAGATTATTAGCCTGTTCCAGGCATTCAGTAAGCCAAACAAAGCACATTAGTGAACAACACAAAAGTGGAGAAGTGAAAAAACAGGGGAGGTCTGGGTCTGGTTGCATAAACTTCCCTCATTTATACTCTGCAGCTGCTGTTGCACCATTTACTATGTCACCGTTTTACTAACTTGTACCAGGAACAGGCTATCAGATTATTTTTACGAACATCTATGATAAATAAAGAGTCCTTGAACAATGATTTTTTTGTTCGTTTACCAAGGTGTCACAATTGATCCAAGAGACTTTGCTAAGCGTTTGTGGGGTGACATGTACTTCAATTCTAAATCGTAAGTACATTGAAAATGATACAGTGTGATGCACTTGACGCGAGTCTCCCTTATGTAGATTATGTGTGTAGGGGCCAGCTCGCTGGGCGAAAATAAATACGCCACAACATTTTTTTGTATTCTTGTAAACAACGATTGACATACGAGGATCTATCCTGCGACGATTCGAAGTTATTGCTTCTTACAGGATAGCCTGAAACCCCTTAGCTAATAACTAAACTTGGCAAAAAACGGTAAAAAAATTACAAACGACGCCCAAGCAACGCACATGGCTTGGGAAACTGTGCCCTAGGTATATTGGCAGCAGCGCTATTGACTGTAAGTAAATTCAACAAATCATACAATTGGGTATGATAGTCTCTGTTGAAGTGTTAAATAAATATACATTTTAGATATTAAATGTTAAAGAAATCTAGCATATGATGTAACAGATTTGATTGAAAGTTTTTCCCTTGTTTTTGCTAGGCGTAAGTTTACACGGAAAGCCCCTTTAAGTACTTCTCAGAGAAGCTTTGTGGAGTTCATCTTGGAACCTTTGTATAAGATCTTTGCACAGGTAATATGTACGATGTAATGTGTGTAATTTCCTTCAAAGGATACACTATTTCCGTGCATGATTTACTCTGTAGTCGTAGGAAAAGTTCCCAACAAGATATTCAATCTTGGTTTGCAGAGCTTCGTGAACCTTATACACGTATGACGTCCTGCTCAATATACATTAAATTTTGTTGTGTACAATTTACAGCACTTTGAATTTTCCTAATTGTTGTTTGTTCCAGGTGGTAGGTGATGCAGACACGAGCCTTCCAAAGCTTATGGACGAGTTGGGTTTGTATTTAAAACATTTTTGTTGTTGTTGTTGACTGCCAATAGCATGTATGTGTTGTCTGAACAAGAATGTTTCCGTATCTATGACTATCATGCTGTGGCAAAAAGTAACATTTACGCAAGAAACTAAAAAGCCTTTCTGTTGTATTTTTACTCTTCACTCCTTTTCTTTCAGGTATTCATTTGTCAAAGTCCGAGATGCAGATGAATATCAGACCATTACTTAGTCTTGTTTGTAAAAGATTCTTTGGAGATTTTACAGGTATGAAATTGTCAGTAATTACTAGTGTACTTGATAAACTTGATGCGGAACAAGAAAAAAGTAACAATTTCACCTTGCAATAAGGGGACGGCTCGATCTTCTTTCAAGGAAGAATACCAATGAAAAATAACCAACGTTTCCAACCAATGCCGATGATTTTTTTCATTCACATTTTGTATCCGCTAAATTTAAATGATGATGGACTGTGCATGGAAAAGTCTGGGCTCAGGCCTTGACGACGTCGTTATGGTGTGTTCTGCGAGGAGACACCTCTCTCTTACAGGTGCTAGACCCCTCGCAAACCTCTCGCAGGTCGCTCTGCTAGGGCTTTAAATTCTCTCGTGGGCAAAGGAACGGTCGTGCCGCCGGGATAATTATGAACGCCTGCAGGCAGCTGGCTTTGCTACTAAGGAGTTAAATTGATTCCAACAAAGTGTCTAGGCAACGTGATGAATTAGTTGCTTCATGCTGTAGAAACTGGAATATGCCTCCCGCAGCTGTACAAGTCAGTCCTGTAACATGATATACAAGGAGTTAAGGCAGTATTTTACCTGATTAACATGTCTTTTTACGAACTCTCTCTCTTCAAGGATTTGTAGACGTGTGTGTTCAGCATATACCTTCTCCCAAAGCAGCAGCCAAGACTAAGGTAAGCGACATCAATGTTACACTTTATGGTTAGCCACAAGGAACTGTCCATTTACTTTTGGGCGGTACTGTACGTGTAAGTTGCCTATTCTTAACATAATGTCTTGAGTTTTTTTCATGCAGATAGAACATGTGTACACAGGACCGCTGGACACCGAAGTCGTGGACGCCATGAATGATTGCGATCCTGATGTAAGTTACTTGTGAACTTGAACATCCGCTGTGTGGTGAAGAGAACATTTCATATTCGTTTGAAGATCTTATTTTTGTCGTTTTATTTAAGAGAATTTGTCAGTGTTGATTAGAGGTTACATATGTAACGCTGAAGTTCTCACTATGTGAAGCATTGTATTGTGTTTTTCTGTTTTCCGATTTCTCTAATCTTGAAAGCTATCTTTCTCTATTTACCAAAGACAAGTAACTGTTTGCTGTTCCTTTGTCAGGGACCTCTCATGCTTCATACGTCCAAACAATATCCTTCCCAAGATGCCACAGCTTTTCACGTGTTTGGACGAGTCATGAGTGGAACAAGTATGTTGGATATTAAGTCAGATTCAAAAGGCTACTTCGAAATATACCATAATACTCTTCAAAACGCATTTTTGAGTAGTACTTGTTGTTAGCCTGATTCTTCCCATAACTTTTTTCTAAAATCTTTCTATTTTCCTCGTAGTTTATGCTGGTCAACAAGCTCGAATACTCGGTGAGAACTACACTATCGAGGACGAGGAAGACTCTCGCGTTGGAACGGTGAGAACCAATTCCCTTTTTACCCTTTGATCATGAAAGTATCTGAGTACGCGTTTGTTTATTTTGTAAATGTAAAATTATTCTTAATTTTGCTTTTGTGTCTTGTAGGTTGGAAGGTTGTGGATCGCCGAAGCAAGGTAGCGTTGCAATAGCCGCAGTTGCGGCGTTATAGCATATAAATGTTTCGATCAGATTTCCAGTTAATTTATCCAGAGTAAGAATCTCATTCCTTAGCAAGATACACATTAAGTAGCGATGAAAAAAAGGAGAGAAGACTAGGTGAGATACCATGTGGATTGAAAAGAGAGACGGAGTAAGATTAAAATTGACGATTTTGTAAAACTAATGCTGTTCTACTAACGAGCTGCACTATTCCTGTTCAGGTACAACATTGAAGTTAGCCGTGTACCGGCAGGAAACTGGGTGCTAATTGAAGGAATCGACGAACCTATCGTTAAAACATCAACTATCACTCAAGTACAAGGCAACGATGAGGTTAGTTAACTGCTACGTAGACCTTTGACATAGTTTTCATATAGAGGGCGTTTTTTTGCTATATTTTGGGTGATTCTCTACTTTTCAGGCGTATATATACAGACCGCTGAAGTTTAACACATGCTCAGCCATTAAGATCGCTGTGGAGCCTCACAATCCTTCTGAGCTGCCTAAGATGTTGGACGGTCTGAGGAAAGTGAATAAGAGCTATCCCCTGCTCACTACAAAGGTAAAATATCTGCACTCATTTTCTTCTTACTATATCCACGAGGGATGACTAACTAAGAAAGCTGGCAATCTTTTTGTTGTGTTAATTTTTTTTTCCGCTAAGTTTTTCTTTGGTCTGGTCGTGCACGAATGATTGGAATAGCATTCAAATAATTTTGTGCCGACTGTCTAATCGAAACTTAACATTAATCTGTTCGGTAAAATTGTATGGAGGCCTCCTTTATATTCAGTTGGTGACGACTGCTCCCCTTCCACTCCCCCTGAAAACCATGTGAACCGCCCATAGTCTCCCGACCCCTCTCCCCAGGTGAGAAATATTGACTGGCCCCTTCCACGAGTCGAATGTCATCTTAAGATCTCGAAGTGTGTCATGGGTTTTTTTTGTATTCCTATCTTATTAGATGTTCGCGACGAACAGGTTTAACCGGTTCTTGATCCTATTCCTCAGGTTGAAGAGTCAGGAGAACACGTGATCCTCGGTACAGGAGAGCTTTATTTGGACTGTGTCCTGCACGATCTGAGAAAGATGTACTCCGAGATAGGTAGGTCTTGGCCATACTTATTCTCTCGTGTTCAAAGGGTGTTCCCTGGGAAGAAGGTCGTATGAGTCATAGCGAACTATTAAAAAAACTTCGCAAATTCTGAGAGGAAAGAGACTTCAATTTTTTTCTTTGTGGGGAGCTTTGGTAGTTTCTGTCTTTTCCTTTGCAAAATTGTCCATATATTCGGGAGAGGAATTTTAATGTCACTTTATTTGATTTTCAGAAATCAAGGTCGCTGATCCTGTTGTGGCGTTCTGTGAAACTGTGGTAGAGACTTCATCACTCAAGTGCTTCGCAGAAACACCAAATAAAAAGTGAGACGTAGTTCTATGGTTTTCTTTGTTAATTTGCCTGGATTTGACGTTATATACTTGTGTTTTCTCAGCTTTCCGTTTGCTACGCTCTCCCGTGACTTGTATAGCTCTGCGTCCCTCAATTTTGCCGCCTTTGATTCCGGCAGTTTGTGCGGGTGCGAATTTAATGTTTTGGTGTATGCGAAGAAACGAAAGAGAAACTATTCATTCCTTCCATTTTTATGACTCATATCTTCTTTTTATATTTTAAGGAACAAGATTACTATGATTGCAGAACCTTTGGAGAAAGGCTTAGCTGAGGACATTGAAAATGAAAAAGTTTTAATTACATGGAACAAGTAAGTCCGAAAAAAAATGGACGACAACAACAACAATAAAACAAGTTTAGTTAAAATTGTCTTTTGGGCGGGAAGATTCACTTTTCTTCTTTCACCTTCACAGGAAAAAGCTTGGAGAATTTTTCCAAACCAAATACGACTGGGATTTGTTGGCAGCTCGTTCTATCTGGGCGTTTGGACCTGACAATTCTGGACCAAATATTCTTGTGGACGATACGCTTCCGTCTGAGGTATGACCTTGAGCAACTGGAATATTTTAGTTCCAATTGCCTTCCTATTCACTGCACTAAAGGCTTATCGTACTTATCGATATCATTATTTCTACTTACTTGCTTTGTTAACACAGTCAAGTGTGGATTATATGCTTTTGGCGATAGGCTGTGTCATTTTACGGCTACAGATGAATAAGCACATTATCTGAAAACATTTTTCTGTTTTCAGGTGGACAAAAGTTTACTCAACACTGTGAAAGATTCAATTATTCAAGGTTTTCAGTGGGCTACGAGGGAGGGACCTCTTTGTGATGAGCGTAAGTCTTTTGAAACCGTTTTACTCCCATTATCTGATAAATAATTTAGCTGTTATTATTTTACTCGTACTCCAGAAATGAGCATTTTAAGTGATATCAAGAGAACAATTTCCAGCGGATAAGATCGTCCTTTGTCAAAGTCCAAAATCCGTTCTCGACATACACAAAATATTCTAAGGATTACGAAAACATTAGCCTTATTCAAGATTGAGAATGCAATCGTATATTTGCTCTCAGACATCATCTATGTCTTCAATCTCACATTTTCCTGATTTTCTGATGAATTTGTTCTTTTAGCAATAAGAAATGTGAAGTTCAAGATCCTTGATGCTGTGATCGCTGGCGAACCAATCCACAGAGGAGGAGGGCAGATCATTCCTACAGCCAGGAGAGTGGCGTACTCTGCATTTTTGATGGTGAGTAACAATCCCGTTTCTGAATTTCACCCACTTCTTTGTTAAGCCAGCGATCTTCGAAAGAGCCAAATTGCAAACCGTGTTATTTGTTCCAGTGACCTCTCGTTCTAGATATCATTCATGGCATCAATGATCGATGGTTTCCGTACTACTTATATAACTTATTTGTCGTATGTTGTTTTTTGCCAGGCTACACCCAGACTGATGGAGCCGTATTTCTTCGTTGAGGTCCAGGCTCCAGCTGATTGTGTGTCCTCGGTATACACCGTGTTAGCTCGTCGAAGGTGAGTTATTACATTCGAGTTACTCTCAAGTAATTTATCGTAAAGATCAGTGATTGAACGTACATGTTGCCGCCTGATTCAGATCAGGTGAAGATGTTTTCGGAGGTAGTATTTATTAATTTGTGTGTTTTTTTGTTTGTGTTTTTAGGGGTCATGTAACTCAGGATGCACCAGTTCCCGGTTCTCCACTGTACACAGTTAAAGCTTTCATTCCTGCTATTGACTCTTTTGGATTTGAAACTGATCTGCGGACTCACACCCAGGGACAGGCGTTCTGTCTGTCAGTATTTCATCACTGGCAGGTAAGCGGAATTTTGTTAAAGTTAACTTTGTTCTTCTTGATTGGGCTGATCACAGCGCAGCAATTCAGGAAAGATTATAGTTGCTATCGAGCGCGGCTTAACCCTTTAACTCTCAAGATCTCATCATTAATTCTCCTTACTGTCTGCCATACAATTCTTATGATGTCAATTTGGAGAATTTGGTATTGGATCAACTACTAATCCCCTAATTGATATTTGTCTTTATTCTCATCACTTCTATGCTTGATATTGTATTGATATGGAAAGGAGAAATTCTCTCCTAGTCACTCATAGGAGGTAAAGGATTAAGGGTAAAATTATAGCACCACATTTCCAACTTTCTTCTCATTCTTTTTATCGCACGCTGCATAGGTTTATATCTAATAATACGTCATGTTATTCGTACGCAGATCGTCCCAGGAGATCCTCTGGATAAGAGCATTATTATTCGTCCGTTGGAACCACAACCAGCCACTCATCTGGCCAGAGAATTCATGATCAAGACAAGGAGAAGAAAGGTCAGCTGATGAGCTGTATACGTCCGCCTCTGTTAACTGACGCAGGTCGCTTAATTGTTCTTGCCTTTTAAATTTTTGTATAGGGTTTGAGTGAGGACGTAAGCATCAACAAATTCTTCGACGATCCTATGTTGCTGGAGTTGGCCCGACAAGATGTCATGTTCAACTATCCAATGTGATCTACCTGCTTGTTAAAGGGACACCATACTACAGATTTTCGCGTATTTAGCAGTTGCCTAGTGACCACACTCTGTGCTAGGGATATCCTGACAGGGCTGTTTCCCTAAGACGCCATCACGTTGTAACACGTCTCTATAATATTAAGAAAAATTTATAAATCTGCGCTTTAGTAGAGGAGCAAATGAACTTCGCCCGCCTTGGTAGACTCTCTTTTCTTGTCACGTATCAGTCACAGTCACGTCACGCTTTTGAGTTCAAGATTGTGCGACGGCTAAAGTAGTTGCTAGTCACTCTTGGAGAGCAATTTTCAACTGAGGGTCGTTAGTTATGCGGATTACATTTGTTTTGCTTTAGTGGGCTCTGTGATTGGATTGGGAAACTCGCGCTACATCCAATGGCCAATCAGAAGCACAGCGAAAACCGCCCTTGACTCAGTCACTTTCATGTTTTTAGTTCGAGTTGTTATCGGCTTGTTGTGACACCTTTGATCTGATTGGCCATCGAGATGACTTTGGTTTACCTCTGCTGTGATTGACTGTTACGATGACTTTGGTTTTGGTTCTGCGACACTCAGTGACATGAGAAACGGTCAAAATTGAGTACTCACGTTGATCGTAACTATTACTTATACAAAGCACAGTTCAAGTAAAAAGCACTGAGATGTAAAACCTATGTTTTTCATCCTTTAGCATGTAAATACTTCCTTTGTAAGTCTTACTTTTCTTTGGAAAAAAAATAAAAAGATTCCAAGTTGTAGGCTTGTTTAGAGAGTCTTGTTTTTCTTTACTTCCTGTTCAGTGGTTAACTGAAACCCCAACAGCATCCATAGTTTACAGACGATTCGTAAAAAAAGAATGAAAGGGATCATATAAATATTGAGTCATTTTTAGCATTTTGATTGGAGTTTAGTGTTGGAGACGCCGCTTAACTTTTACGTGGCTCAGTTCCCTTTACGGCTCACAGTTTTTATTGGGTCGCTAAAAAAGTTATCCGATCTCATTCTGGGGAACGAACAATCAGTTCTACGAAATTTAATTGTGCAAATCCAAGAGTAGAACCAAAGCACGTAAGAATGGCAAAACATTTAAAATACATAGCTCGTTTTCTGTAATGAGTTCGACTAGTTTTGTGCAAGTTACCATGGTACTGTAAGTTCACTAAAATGTTTGAAACAAGGCGCCGCCACCTCTTGTATGTGGCCCTTACCTCTTCTGTACTTCTAGACGCAAGAAGTTCGCAAAAACGGTGAAAGACTCAGCACAAATACGCAAGGCAAATGAGAAACAGACGCACAACAAGTGCATCATGCAACGATGCGCCGCTAAGCACGTGAATAAACAGCTGACATGCAGTTTTCGAAGCGGCTTCGAAACTATGGTGATCCGCCCCTAGTCGTTGTGCTCACTGATTATCCTTAGAATTTTGTTAAATTTTTAAGATACAACATTCATATTAGTTATTGATCCCCAAAGTAATTGTTACACATTTAAGATCTGGAAGCTTTACAGTATTCAGAATATCTTTTGGAGCTTCTTCGTAGTTCAAAAATTTGTTTGAGATCGTTTAGGCTGATCGTGTGAAGGAGAGTAGTCTGCAGAAGGACTGCTGTTTGTAGTAGTGACTGACCGTTAAGAAACCCGAGAGGGTTCAGGTCTTATATAATGACGTCCGCAAAAGTTGACGAAACGTCATTCGCTGCCACCGATGGCATTTCCACTCAGGACTACCCTCACTCGGACGAACAGGCTACACGATCGTATGTTAATAATAGTAATATTAATACTAATAATGATAATAATAATAATAATAATAATAATAATAATAAATAAAAGATTTATACAGCGCCAGTATCCTAATGTTTAAAGGCGCTTTACAACACCAGCGAAAATCTGAATTAAGACTCGTAGAAAGAAAAAATTTAAAAGTGCCTACAAAATGCTTTTTTTTTTAGAAAAAGAAATGGTTGAAGTCTTGAACAAACGGACTGACGGAATGTCTATTGCTACTGGGTTCAAACCAATTACTGCAAAATTTAATTTGGCTTTTCAAATTTACGTTCAATAACCCGCCCTCACTTTAAAAAAAGGCCTACGAATGTTAAAAAAGACTGAAACAAAATTATGATTAACAGCCACAAATGCGACTCAAAGTAATGATCTCACTGCCCGACGTGAATCAATGTCATCACGCTCATGACACCGGTTGTCCGGTCGTCCGCCACTACCTACCGGAAACCTAAAGCTAGCCCTGCGCAAAACTCTAGTTTGATATTTGAGGATTAAATTAAGTATTCACCAGCACGGCACAAAGAAAAAACTGAGATGTATCTCGTTCGATCTGTCGATGTTTCATTGAACGTATAGATCAAGTATTTTTCGTGTTGACATCGGTTGCAACTTCCTTGAAATCAACAACATGCTTCAGTTTGTCGAACCAATCAATTCGCGAGAAGGGAACGCAGATTACTCCCCACTGTCAGGATTTAGAATATTCTCAAACGCTTGAGAGGTTTCTAACACTTGATATTTTGGCTATAAAAAATCGTTTAAAATCGTACTTAGAGGAAATGATGCGAAAAAAAAGCTTTTGTGTTTGCTAAGACTTAAGTGTCAGCTTGCTTTAACCCTTGCAAAACCCGACCAATCAACTTGCGAGTTATAATTAGAATTACTCGGATATTATGTCACTGATTTGTAGGGGGCGCCACGGCACCAGTAAAGATTACTTCAGTTATTTCCTTGTGGTGCGTTCAAGCGTTCTGGTGGATGTTAGACTGTTTCGAAAATAAAATGTTGTAAGTGAAAATAATTCCTCTTCAACAAAATTTGGAATCAAGACACACGGATAAAGGTAAACGTTGGTAATTCTTGCATTTAAGGTTCTCGTTTTTGCTGAAAGGTTGAGCTGTCTCGTTGACATTCAACTTCAAAGGCGTACCAGTTTTGACACCCAGAAGTTTACGCGTCGGTGATCACAGTCATTTTTAACCTCTGAAGCTTTGAGCAAGCATTTTGTTAGCAACTAGGGGACTTTTCTGACAATCTTGGTTTTAACTTTTTTTAGCCATTCGAGCTAAGAGATCAACAGGTATAAACAAGATATGTAAAATTAGTTCGGTGTCTTCCGTTCTGGCACAAGGACTTAAACTGGGTTGTTTTGTAGTTATGTTACTTGTTTGTTCATTACCTGTTTGACGTTATTTTTCTTGGTCCTGTAGGTTTAAGAAAACCTATTTTCATCGTCGTTTGAACACGGGAACATTACCACCCAACTTGTCATGCCTAGTCTCAGATTTCTTGTGGCGCTTTTGTTTGGGCTTCTATTGGCTTTTGGTATTCGACCGTCCTCCTCGATGCCAATTGAGGGAGGTAAGATGTTAGACCATGTTTTTGTAAATGCCCGTTTATCATACCTGCATGCCAAAGTAGGCCTTCTACAAGGAACATTTACCGAACACTTTCCAATTTCCACAATCAACTAAAATCACTTAAGTGTATGTGATTTGAAACCAACCATTGAATTTGTTTTCTCATCCTTCTCAAAATCCCTGAGATCTTGTTTTAGTTTTTTTGACTTAGTGACCTCTGTTCATGTATAAACAAGCAAAGACACAGGTGGCCAGCAAAAGAGAATGAAGAAAAAGGCGTACAGAATTATATCTTCTGGAAGTTGCACAAAATTCATTGGAATACTTGTGACAAAATGACATGAAAAATCCGACAGCCAGCTCAATTTTCGTTTACTATAACGAGCTAGGCTTGTGTTACTGGTTGATTGTAGATTCGGGAGTGTAATGGGATAATAAGTCAATTTGAGGTCATACGAGATCTGGTGCCCATTCTCCCTTCCGTCTAGGAGCTGAACGAAAGAAATAAAAAAAGTGAAAATTGAGAAAAAGTTTATAAATTTTCCAGGAAAAATCCTTAAATGTGAGTTTATTTCCAGTAAGGTCTGATGCAAATAAGCCGTACGTTCCATTAAGCTATCTTTATAGATATCGACTCACAGGCTACAAGTAAGTGGGCAGCCATGTTTAAAAGGGTCTGATTTTTTCGCAGCCAAAAATAGTGATAAATACGCGGCTATCTACAACTTGATAGCTCAAAGGTTACAGAACTTGAGCCAGGTTGATCAAGAAAGCGACCAAAACATTCGAAGAACATTTATTCCGGAGACAAAGGGTATAAAAACTGGCGCAAGTTTAGTTTCGCGGAACCAATCCGATTTAAACAGCACAACAGTTCCGTTAAGAATCATTAATCAAAAGAATCAAACAATACACGATCAAAACAATCGACGATCATATGTTCCATCGGTTGCTGGCTATACGGGTAACACACTGGCGGGAAACCGAATGGCGGGAAATCCACTTGCAGGAGTTTTATTGGCGGGAAATCGACAAATGACGAATTTCCAAGTCGGAAACCAAATGACGGGAAATTTTTTGGAGAGGAGCCAACTTGCGGGAAATCCACCGCTGACAACTCAACTGGCGGGAAATATTGTGGCGGGAAAGCAGCAGGTGGGTAATCAACTGGTGGGAAATCAGTCGCCAGGAAAACAATTGGCGGGAGTTATTACGGCAGGGAATCGACCCATGGGTGAACAACTGACTGGAAGTCTGGCGGGAATCCTATCAACAGGGAACCCATCGAGTAAAGATCAACCGGTGGGAAATACGTCGACAAGAAACTTGTTAGATGGAATTTTATCAGCCTCCGGTGTAAATGGAACCAAACAAATTTCTAATTATTCGACAAACCTAGGGGATACTGGTGCATCCATGTTTCCTACCTCGCTCAACGACGGTCTAACCTCTAAGGAAGATCAAAGTGGTATCATCACAAACGTTTACAGACAACAATCAAATTTGGATAGGAAAAATACAATTTATTGGCCTCCACCTGGCTTTTTCAGCCCAGAAATAGTCGAAAATTTTAGGAAAGTTTCAGGTCAATCCTCAGCTGTTAAAAAGACAGATATTAGTCAACAATCCTACCCGCACATTCGTAACCTTCAGAAACCTATGGATCACAGCAAACTTAGCTACCAACGGTATTCTAGCTTTCCATGGTACTCAAGCTACCAACAACAAGGATGGAAGCGTGGATACCCAGCAAGCCCTGGTTACCAAGTAAATTATCCGGGAATGATGCCAAAGAGTGCTTTTCCAGTCGTGAAAGGCGTTCGCGATAGAGTCCCTGCAGATCAGGAGAAGAACGTTCAAGTGACAAGTTATTTCCGAGACAATGATAAAGCTATGCAGGGTAAATTTCACGGTATGCTGTCTCCTCAGCCATCTTCGATGCAAATGAAACTTCCCATCAAAACTGTCACAAAGAGTACAACCCCTTTCGCTCTTCCGAATGATATTCCGACTTCCGGCTCTGGTAGCTCGGGGTCTGGATTTGACGAATCTTACGACATGGATGATACCGCTGACTTAAAAGAACCAGAGCCGGAATTTGATGATACGGCTGACCTGAAAGAGCCAGAGCCGGAATTCAGCGAAAGTGGAAGCGGATATGACGAAAAGGACTTCAGAGACGATATTTCCAAAGTGGCATTCATGTTAGCAGGCACGAATGATAACCCAAATATGCCTCCATTTCCAGTGCCAGGCCTTCCCATGAACTTGACACGGCAACAAGCCATTGATATATATAAATCAGCCTTGTACTTCGCTGGTCTGCTGCAAGGAGATGGTGAGTAGTTGACACGATGTGCGATGAGACTTTTCGTCCATCAATAGCGAACAATTGAGCAAAAGACAAACTAACTGTTCGAAGAGTTTTCTTCGACAGAAATTTCGGTAGAAATAAAAAATTGAGTGATCGAAGATCACTTCCCAAAAAACAATTTACGGCTCAAACAAATAAAAAATGAATAAAGATCAAAACTGTAAGACCCATTTCCCGGCATAACTATTGATTAATAGTTTTTTCGCATTTTTGCATGGTCTCATCGCCTTTGTGTTTTCCCTACAAGATATTCTGACAGAGACTTTACTCTTGAGATGACAGCAACCAACTCCAGACAGATGAAGACAACAACAACTCTTAGAGGGACACATTATAAATGACAGAACCATCGCTTAAGTCATTTTATGTACATCACAGGGATAAAAGACAAATCATCATGAAAGACAAATCCACTTTTTAAGCGCTTCGAATTCTCTATGAATTTGACGAGCTGTTCAGAGTGATCATGAGGACACCACATGAATTAGACGCTACGTGGACATTCCGTGAACAGCATCTTACAATGATCCACTACGATAACTGAAAACAAACTTTGGTGACAGAGAAGGTGGTTCAGGTTCACGCCTTCGACTGTACTGAGTGAGTCAGGAAAGTACGACGGAAGACATGACATGTACATTCACTTGAGAAAGCTACAAACCGACAGCCCATTACGTACTGAATGAATGTAAAAATAGAAATAAAAATGACAAAACTTTAGCTTAGTACTTTGCTACAAACTACTGTCTACCAAACCTAAGCATTTTTATAACGACTCTTTCACCTTCTGTAGTTTAGCTGTTTTATTCAGCATGATACGTCATCTTAATATGTTCCAACTTGCTTTGTTTTAGATAGCAATGATATTGACAAAGCAGGATCAGGTGATGAAGCTGTAGACGAAGGTACTGATGACGACGACAGTGAGGACGATGACGAAACTATAAGTGACAATGACGTCAAGGAAGCTCTTGCTGCTTCAAGCGGGGAACTGATCGCTAGTGGCCAGGAAATCAGTGACGCAGAAGCATCTGGCAGCGAATCAGAGTTACCTATTGAAAGATCAGATAGTAAAGACAATGATGTGGTCCAAGGTGATGATGACAAAACGAAAATCGATTCAGAGAAACTTGCCAGCGAGCCTCAAAAGGAAGTTAAAGAAGCACAAGCAATTGATAAAACTTCTAATAAAGCTGACAGTGACAGTGTTAAAGATGAAGAAGATGGTCAGAAGGGACAAAACGAGGAAGAACAACCTGAAACAGTCGAGGACATTGATGCAGATGTGCCCCCACCACTTGATAGTGACACGCAAAGAAGTGATTCCGCTGCTCAAGAAAATGAAAATCCCCCTATAGACGACACCAAACAAATGACCGAGGTGCAGTCAAAATATGCTGCTGATCAGCAACAAGAAAAAGCCTTGGCCTATCTTGCCAATAGTAAGAGTTAAGAGTTTTTGTAAAATTAATGAGGTTGTCGAATGTTGTCCAATATCTGTTTGTGTATTACATTCTACATCTAGCTTAAACTTGACCTGAGGCTTGCTTCGTTGCTAAACATCAGTAAATCATCGTCAGATGCAGTGTCTTAAACGTTTGAATTATATTTTTTTATCTTAAACTTACCATAAAAACAAACAACAACAAAAAAAAAGACTTTTTTACGCAAGCACTCCAAGGAAAACAAACAAAAAAAATAAGTATCAAGAGCAAACCTGGCGGAAGATTACGCCTGGCTAAGGCAAGATCGCATTCGGTTTGTAACTGCAATATGGTTATCGTGAATGAGCGTTGCCTCATAAGCGCCATCGAACTATTTTGGCCGATTTTGACAAAAGTTGATTCCTGTCTTACCTCTCTTTTCAGCTCGTCAAAGTGGAGTCTTTTCCGCCCCATCTCAAAGAGCCATCATATGCAAAGACACGATACAGAAAATATCTTGCCCGCCCGAACATAGGATAAGGGTGTTAAATGCTGATTTTGGTGACATGGGTGATGTCGGTTGCCTAAAGGAAAACAATCCAATGCCGGTGGGATTCTGCCGCACTCCTGGAACTTACGAAAAGGTGAAGAAACGGTGTGATGGTCTGGAAGGCTGTGATTTGGCTGCGAGTAATGACTGGTTTGGCGATGCGTGCCCGGACGCTAACAAGTATTTGGATGTCAACTACGACTGCGTGAATAATCCGGGTAAGTAAACTGATGGGTAAAATGAGGTCTGTATTCGAGACTGCTTTAAATATCCTCCGGCAGCTTATCTCGATCAGGAGAAGTGACACGAAGTATTGCTATTCGCACATGGATTGGATGCTTATCCACCCGAGGCTACCCCTCCTAGAATTTCGGTTTCTGACAGATTACTTGTACCCACTTATTCTCCCCCGGTCCACTCTCCTGGGTGGAGAGTGGACTGGGGGAGAAAATGACCTCTCTCCAAGTACACAAATAAATGACCCGGAGCGGGGCTTGAACCTAGAGTCCAGTCCAGTTCTTCCCAGCTATAATTCTACCGCATCTCCAAAGCCTGGAGGGGCATTCGATTTTGGGCGGCAGTGAATTACAATAAACAAGTGTTTTTTTGAAATCCAAGTGATAAGGCAGAAGCACCACTCTTTTACAGACCCGAGGAGTTAGATTTCCTTTTGAGAAGAATAAGACTGAGTTTCTCAAATATTTCGGATCTGGAATGTCCCGTTATGTCGAAGTCAAAAATAACTTTCTCCCAGTTCTGCTATTAAGCCCTAATGAGCAGCAAAGTACTCCTGGTTGACAATTGAATTAACTCATCAGTGTGACAGGTTAAAAAATGAAGCTTTGTTCGAAGTTTTTTCTTTTTTATGTCTCTTTTCATCACTCTGCAAAGGTGTGATACAGAGAAAGGGCTAGAAATTAAGAAGGCTGATGATGTTTAGTTGTTGTCTCAGATGTTTAGAGGCTGTAGATGTTGTCCACAGGTTCTTAAAAGGCTCTTCCCTTCGGCAAAGAATATAATGGCACTTTTAAACGATTACTGGTTAAAGAGTGAAAATGAATCGTTTGTTATGGTACTTGCCAAGAGATTATAATTTCTTGTTCTGGCTATGAACTTAAAAAAAGACTAAATAATTAGAGGAAAACCCAGGGATTTTAAATTTGCAGTGGAGATAATCTTCAGGAATGTTCTTTTCGAAAAGTAACTATATAACTAATTTTTAGTATAGAAATTGCCAAACAGAAAAAAAGCCTGAATATTTCCTGAAACCTTGGCCTACAATAACTCTAGATCTTTCTCTTGCGTCAACTGAGCGTTCATTCCTTTTTTCTTGCTATTTGCGTAACCGGGGCGAAAATATATTTGGGCTCGATAAATCAATTAACACGCCCTGCTTTGAGCGCGTAATGTCATCCCAAAAGAGTTATTATGACTTGATTTTCATCAACCAATCACGTGGAGTTAAAATTAATATCTACCCGCAAAACAGACACTTAGGGGAAATACGTAACCTGACATAAAAATAAACATTTTGTAGATTGGAAGCTTTGATCTGGATGAAACTTCGGGCTACATGATGAGGAATTCCGAAGTGGAAATTTTTGCAATTATTTCTGTTGCGTTTTTAAATTTTGCTTTTGCAGGTATTTCAACTCGAGTATCGAATACCAAATTGGCTAGATTTTTTTTCAACAAAATGTGCCTAGGAGTCGGAACTCTTGATCATTTTTCGTATTTTTTTCAGCTCCGTCACTTCAGTGGTACGATCTTTGGAAATACCATTCAAAGCCTAATGAACAAGGTTTAAGCTCGTTTTAATGGATAAATCAGATTTTATGAGTCTTGATCTTTCGTGAACGGATTAATTTCCATGACTGATATTTTTGGTAATTTTATATCGGTATCAATAGCAAGCGAAAAACGCGAGCCGCCAGCACAACCGATAGTGCAATCTTCACCTGGTCCGCTCCAGTCAATAATTCAATTACCGCAGTTTATTTTCCAAGGTGTTTACATGTGCTTTAATGTCGTTTTCAAAGATCTTTGAAATTGTTGCTGTTGGTATTGTTTCTAATCTCATGGTATTATTGGGTTTTTGTTACAGTGCCTTACCCGGCCCCTCCTGCTGCGGGATTTAGTCAAGGTGAGTTATTTGGAGCCGTATTGTAGTCTAAGTAAATTGTCACAACAAGATAAAAACTTGTGTCCATAGTTACTTTGTGCTTTTAACATATTTTTTCATGTAGCGCTTGAGTAAGATCTGTGCTTATTCTTTGCCATCAGTGAACGTATTATAGGCGTGAAAGTAATCATAATTATGGGAGCTTTGACAAAGAATTACTAACGTGCTAAAACGCTAAAACGTTTTTCAAGTAAAGTTGTAAGTAAATGTGGATTTATGTTAGGCGAAATTTTTAAACGATTAAATTCGTTTTAGTATTTCGAATTTTCCTTTTATTAAGGGTCCCTGTTCAGATCATCTTCTCCAATGATGCACTATGTTCCCAAAGTAAATTAGGTCTCACTTTATGAGAAAATTGCTAAGTAAAAGCAGAGAATTACCCTATTAATAGCTAGATAAAAAAACCACAACCATTTTTCTCTCATAAAGATCGCATCGAACAGAAAAAGCCGCCATTTGGTTGATCTGAGAGCGCCAATTACCCGCAATAATGTGTTCAGTAAATTAAAGACGTTTTTTCGTTCTCTATCTAAGGATAACTTTTTATGTCATTGGAAGTTGGGTAAATTTTCTTTACAGCTAGTTACCAGCCCCCTCCAGCTCCGGCCGCCTATGCCCCAGCTCCTTATGGTGAGTGATATTATTTCTAACTTTTCTGGGTTTGTCTGTGAGTTGTTGAGTAAGATTAGAGTGTCAAACGGCAAAAATTATCTCCAATTCTGTTTACTTTCCTCACAATGATTTATCGATCTCTGAAGAGAAATCGTAAAAGGATTCCTTCTTCACTCTGAATGTACATCACTTTCATGCCTACCCTAACAGACAACATCAACTTCAATAACTGCTGTTCACCGTGAATGCAATGCTTAACCTCTCTTATTATAAACGATAAATCTACTGGATTTTAGCATGACTAAATCTCATATCAGTAATATCTATCACATTCTCAGCCCAGCCTCCCCCGGCATATGCCCCTGGTATGGGAGTCCCGGATCTCATGTCATCGAGTCCTTACATGGCTCCACCAGACCCGTGTAGTCCGTGTAACACGTGTGCTCAATGCTCGTTACCAGTCTGCAGCCCATGTACTCACACCTGTCAACCTCTGACCTGCGCTCCTCGCATCCCAGCTAGTTTACAGCCTCTGTGGCAACAGTGGAATGAAAGGACTGCAGGTAACATATCAATCAAAATGTTTTTTTATTATTTTTTTTTCCGACGGTATAGCTATATTTTTCTTCAAAGTCATGGAAATGATGGCTGGCTTTTTTCGTTGAACACTTTGTCGTATTACGTTCTAAGCTGCATTAGCCCAAAGAGAAACCATCAATTGATCACAAATATCCAAATTAACTTTACCTTTCCAAGAAATACAACGTCGTGTTCATACGCCCACTTGAAAATCTTTATATCTACAGCGATACTATTTGTCTTTTATTTCAGACATGAGTCGAATGGAAATGGCAGCGCTTATTATTTCGCCTCTTCCCAAACTTGCTGCTCCCACAAAAGCACCTGAATCTGCGCAGGTGTCGGGTGGAGCTGAAGGCTCTGAGTCTGCGTCAGGTGAAACAACTTCTGACCTTGATGAGGACGCTCTCTATGAAGCTAGTAAGAGGTCTAAAATTCAGCAGGTGAAATCAAAACAGACAGCAAAGAAAGTAACTTTGGCAACGCATAAGAAAGCTCATAAGGATGATAGTGAACAAGGCTTTTTGCGAAGCAGTGATTTGTTGGTTTCGTCAGGAGATGCAAGCAGCGGCTCATCTTCATGAAGTTGGAGGATAAAAAAGTTGCAAAAAACAGTTATCCCTCTGAGTTGTAACTAGGAATGTTGCGTGACACCTAAGTGAAAGCCCGGTGCGTTACTTAATTTTAAAGAACTATTTTTTAAGTCATGAAAATAATTCGGGAGGAATACAGAAACGAGAAGACTACGATTTAAGAGGTTTTTATGATGTCCTTGAAAAAGTGCAAGTTTGCAATGACAACATGAACTTAGAGTAAACACTGTTTTGGAACAGTGGTACTGACTTAGTTACAGATTTAATGATTATTTTTTCCCTCTGAATCTTTTCGTCTCACAATTGTTGGTAGTTTATAGTATTTGTAGGACTCTGCAGGATATTCTGTCCAGCAGTCAATAATAAGTGATTCTGTTAGCATAATAAGTTTTATAAGCTTTGTATGGGCTGTCGTGTGCAATCCAAATAAGGAAGAATACTTCAAAATTTCAGTTCTGATTAGAGAGGATCAACTGGAGATGTCATTCATGCGTCGTCTAGATAATCCTCGGATTCTCTTGTGTGTAGTGATACCTAAAGATGTACATTAACTAATCATGTGTCGCAAGTTTTGTTTGGATATTCGATGCAGCGATTTGTGTTTCTTCAACAAAGGATTCAAGCGACTCCCTTGTCACGTGCAGCATGATCCCTTGGAGAACAGATACCCTATCAAAACGGAAATCCAAACTGAGAAAGTGATGCTTTTAATTCAACATTCCCATTTCAATAGCGCTCTTAGATTTACACCATATAGACGTATTTTTGTACACGAAGGTTCAGATGTATCGACAACGTTAACAGTATGCTGAACTGCTGAAATTTAGTTCAATATTAAAACACTATCTACATTTTCGTGTTGGCGAAAGTCTTGTACATATAGATAATGAGGTTAAAAAAATGTTGGTCGGAAAACTGTATTTTTAATAATAAAAAATTAAGAAAATGTGAATCGAAAAGCCCTCTATATTGCGTTTGTCTCCTAGACAGCTGCTTGTTTTTTAAAATACCTGGTTCACTACCTTTGTCACTGGTACCTTAAAAACATTTAAACAGTACCTGGTTTTGCAGTGGGCGTAGAGCATCGCGTCCGCCACGTTTGGGGCATGTGCTGTCAGCTTTTCCTCATTTTTTACTTTAATTTATTTCAAAGAACATAATGAATAAAAAAGCAAGAATGATAGGGTAACTTTAAATTGAGAGTTTCAAGTGATGCTAGACTGCTCGGTGTTGGTTTAAGTTACTTTTCGTTGGCACTTAAAAAACTCGCGCATCAGCCAAATGCGAAACTACTTTCGCTGCACCTCAGACGATTTGTACACCCCAGAGAAAATAACTCCTCATTTGATATATAGTGGTTAATGTTCCTTTTAAACCAACATCGTTTGCGATTGAGGATGAGCTGTTACTCAAAAGCCACTGGTTATACTGACAGTCTTCTCATGCAGTGTGACGCTGAATTGAATTTATTTATTTGTTTTTTGTCTGAGAAGGATTTGTTTTATTTCTCCAGCATAGCCATCTTGTTATAGTGGAAGTGGTAACCTTTTTCAATAAAACTCTTCTAAATAGCCTCCACAGAAACTGCAAATTTCATATGCCTGATTTGAGCGACAAAACAAATTTAAATATAACTGACTCTAGGACTTGTCAGTAATAGTGTTTTTTTTTTTCGTGTGTGTATCACTCAAGATTAAGTCGTTGATAGAAGCTAGGTGACCATGTTCAGAGGGTGAAATTTTTTTTTTGCTGCTAAATTCGAACGAGTTTTCTGTTGAATTTTTCCACGCCTTTTGATAGATTAAGAAATGGAGAATTGACTCGGCAGTTTAATTATTTGCCTTTCGGTCTGTTTGTTAATTGCCTCTTTGAAAACTCTCTTACCAAAATGCACCCATGCGAATTAACTGATTTAAATGTCAATTTTCCTGAGTAAAGGCTCTTTCAAGTATGAACATTATTCATAACTTAACACAAGGTTAAAAGAAAAAAAAAAACCGTCTGGATAACGTGAAAGTCAAAGCAATTTTTCACAACACACTGAGTTGCGATAATTTTTTTGTTAAAAGTTTGCATTCAAAATAAATTGCATCGTTCAGATAAAAAGCATCTTGTCCAGGAAACAATACCCCGATTTCTGTGGTTAAAGAATCTTCGCTTGACAATTAACAAAAACCACAAGCAAAGCGAACAAAAGATTGCATTCAGGTTTCACTCGCTCAAGTTATAGGCTTGTTTATCATTGATTTCTACAAACAATTTATCTGTTAGCACATTGTTAACAGCCCTCTGTCGTAATTTTTCTTCCACTTTCCAAATATTAAGATACGACTGTAAAAGATAAAAGATCCAAATATTGATTTCTGCCAGACAAAGCGAGGTGTCTTCAAATCGAATGATCCGTATGAACATCAAATTTGGTAGTCGTGGTTTAACAACAGGGCGTGTACCCTCGATAAACTTCCCCCTTTTCTTAATGTCGTATCATTATCACGCCAATGATGGTTGGAAAAGCACTTCAGTTATTGAAATAACGTTAAATAGCAAACGATTAACTCTTTTCCACTAACAGGTATTCCAGACGAAAGTCAAAATAAAATGTCTTGGTGCGAAATATTTTGTTATACGCTGGAATCTCAGTGATTTCGGACTGCGAAATAAAGTTTATTTCACGTGGTAATAACTTTCCTCTATAAAGATGTAGGGGTCTAGATTTGTAATTATGTAAGGTTTAAACGCACAATAGAGGATAAATGGGCTTCCAAAGCGGTTTTCCTACAAATTTCTGGTGTTTCCTTGTCATTTCTAACGACACAACTGGTGAATACTGAAATATTAACAACACGTACTGACCTGATCCGAGAACTGTAAACTTAGATAATGACCTTTCGAAAAACAATACTAATGGATCTCTATCACTGAAAACCACATGATAACATTGGTGGATATTTCAAGCGAAATCAAAATGTCTAGCAGCAAAAATTTCGTCTTTTTCCCGAAATATGAACTTACGCGCGAGACCCAAATCACCTCACTAGTCGTGAATAATTAACGCCCTACGGTCCTGACCTTAGTGAATCAGGGATTACAAAGACTGGTAAATAATTTAGTGTTACCGGGGCCCTGGCATAAAACGTTTTATTGCAGTTTATCATAATTCAATCCGAGTTTGCGGGAGTAGCCACAGAGATACGGTGAGTTTCACAAGTTTTATGATACAGTTTCCAAATGGAGAGACTTAGCTCAAGAGAATTGGTACAGCTAGCCAGGCTAATAGAAAACAGACGAGCGAAAAACCGCGTTTTTCACTTTTATTGCAATACAGCGTGGGATTGTGACTTGGTAGAAGAAAGGGAAACGAACCGCTTACCTCAGACTTGTTACAGGAAAAGAAGTGTTTGTCAACCCACTGTAGACAACCTACTTACTTATCACCAAGTCTCAGCGCGGTCTTTAATTTACACTCGTAAATCAAATAGTGAAACTCATCTTGCCTATGCGATTTACTCAGATCTAATATATGGCTTTTAATTTTGCATATTCTCAGAGCCCAATCATGGCTACAAAGGCCCTGTTAGTCTGTCTTTTAATAGCGGCCGTTGTCTTCGTAGAAGCCGGCAAACATCCAAAAGCTAATAAAATCAAGAAAGGTAAGCTTTCAGTTTTAAATTCAATTTAAATTAGTGACAGAATTTTGAATTGTGAAATAACCGATCACTTTTAGAATATCACTTCCCGAGATAAAAGAGATAATGGGGTAAACTCTGATCGAAGGTTTTCGAAGAAACCGAAATGTCAGAAATTATGTCAATGGATATCTTTCCTTCATCTAAGGCAAGAATTGGTAATTCGCGACTTGTAATTGTGTGTTTATCATCAGATCTTGATCTTTCCACTTGGAGAGACAAAGAGATCTATAGGACACTTTCAAAACATATCCTCGGTATTTGTAGCATCCTTGTTTAGTTTTAATAATGATATTATTTAAAAAAAAATTGAACCTAGAGGCAAAAGTGGACAGAAAATATATATATATTATATAATCTCACATTTTGTAAAGGAAACTGAAAAATTCTTGCCACATGTAGTCCACCGTGTACCACCTGTTACGCAAAGCCAAATGTGTAAATAATCATTTGGTTCATATTAAACCCGTGATAAACGGCACAAAGCGTTACAAGAACGAATTAGTCTAAATTGAATGCAATTATTCATATTTTCGTTTTTTTTTTTATCTTGCAGCTAAGGCCAGTCCAGGATCCAAGAAATGCGCCGGCCCATGTGCAGTGTCATGTGCACCTCTTTGTCCTCCTACATGCTGTCCCCCACCACCACCCCCACCGTGCCCACCACCCTGTCCTCCCCCTTGTCCCCCTCCATGCCCACCACCCCCTCCCCCATGCCCACCACCTTGTATGACCCATAGTGTGCAACATTCTCATAGTCATGCGTGGGCACCTGCTCCTCCTCCACCATGCCCCCCACCATGCCTCCCTCCAGCTCCCCCTCAGGCTGTTCACCACATCCACCATGTAACACATCACCATATGCTGCCTCCTCCTCCACCACCTCCACCTCTCCCATGCCCTCCACCATGCCACACCGCTAGTGTTATGCACCATCACTCCCACCAATGGGCTCCTGCTCCACCTCCACCTTGCCCACCTCCTTGTCTCCCACCCGCTCCTCCCCAGAGAATCCATCACGTTCACCAGGTTGTCCACCACATTGTCCACCCACCACCACCACCTCCACCCTGCCCTCCCCCATGTGTCCAAACTTGCGCACCATCCTGCCCTGTGGCCTGTTGTAAGAAGAACAAGGTAAAGATCGAGGATGAAGCCTCTGGCAATGCTGATGATGACGATGACGTCAATGATCAGGAAGAAAAGAAGGAAGAGGAGATTGCCAAGCAGGAGGACAATGAAGAGGAGAAGCAGGAGCAGAAACAAGAGGATAAACAGGAAGATAAACAAGAAGACACAAAAGAAGAGAAACAGGAAGATAAACAGGAAGAAAAATCAGATAAGGCTGTGGAACAGAAGGAAGAAAAGAAAGACGACAAAGACGATGATGACGATTAACTTTTCGGAGCTTCATAGATAGGTTTATTTTCGGTGTATGTTACACGAGGTGTCTAGCGTCCAGGACGATGCGCTGTCGATGCGATATGCCTTTATTTGGCATGCTTGTACGCCTGTGAATATAAACGCAGTCCTCGATTCACCAATGTGAAGTTTTCAGCGAAGTTGTACATGTGCTTATTGTTGGTATTTAATTAAAGGTGAAACGTTTTAAACTATAATTTTTGTTATTTTACTGCGTTTATTCTTATATTCTCAAGAGTAGCCGACCGCAGCCAAAGATATAGTTTTTATGACAATATTGGAAGAAAATAAAATACTGAGCTCCTCAGACATTCGGCATATTTATATCTGGACTTTTGGTCTCCTTTAGAACATAAACTTTTATCAATGAAAGAGATCATTTTTGATACAAGAAAGAAAAATAGGAAAAACCTAACCAGCCACGCCCCCTCCCCCCAGTCCTTCTTGTCTTAACCAAGTCTACCATCTTAGGTTGAGTGACTGCATGCCACACATATCGAGCGGTAAAAGGGCGTTGAAATAACATCAATATCTGTTTGTTCGGTATTATTTTCCAGCTTTAGGCTGTTTCGCGCAGCCCCAACCTGACAGGAGTTCAGGGTTCCCCTCCTTATTTGGTAAACGAAGGAAATATTAGAGCACATATCTTATCTGGTATTTCGCAGAAATCTGTACACAAGTCGTTTACTCAAAAAAGAAAAGACAAGCAATTCAGTCCTCCGTTATAGTATAGCCGATTTTACGTTATTGTCCATAAAAGAGTATCTATATACAGTGAGTAGACAATCCCCTGTCCATCTAATTCATTGGTACTTAGGTTAACAATGATATTTGAAATTTCATAAGGGTCAGTGACCCTAGTAAACATGGTCATGACTTATTTGTTTACCAATAAACAAAGAGTAACAAAAAAAAAGTCAGATCCAGACAAAATGGGAAATTATTCAATTAATTGTCCCTATTCCCCTGAATCCCGCTGTCTTTTCTAAGATCAATACTGCACGTTGCTCAATTTTATGGTCATGGTGTTTGGATAAAATTGGTACTTGTGTCTGTTCTCGCTTCTTCCCAGACTTCATATATTGCTATCTCCTAATTTTAAAGTGAAAGTAAACATGGGTACAGTATTTACTGGAGGCAAAAATCCATGGTGTTATAAATATGAAGTATTCATTTGTTTAACGGTCATGTAAAGTTGCAAGACTTTTTTCTTGTTATGTTAACACCATATTTTCAATGGAAATCGAATCTCTCGCAAAGTTTAATTACCTAGTTATGGAACATGGCTTTCGTGATTCAAAGTATTTCCATGGAAATTAACCTCGAATATTTATATCTTGAGAAAAAAATTGATCTTGTTGACAAGGCCGTCTTAAAATTGAAACGATCCTTTAACGCCAAATGAATTTGCTAAATACAAGCACCAGTCCTTCAGTCAGCATAACATAACATTGTGCCAACAAATTTTTCCACCTACATCAGTAGGAGAACTTTCAATATTTCGTGGAAATATAAAATATGTTAAAAGAAAACTGGAGCTTTTAGTGGAACATTAGGAATTTTGCGACAAGTTTTTCGGTCTCCTGTGATGCAACGGTTGGCTACACCCATCATACTGGTACCTGATCTTCAAACGAAAATGTTTTGGTTTATGTCAAACAATAACCAGGTGCCAAACGACAAACAAAGAGTTTATTTTCGTGCATTTTCTGAATCGATCAAAGGCAAACAGCAATAAAATATCGCCGCTCACAAAAAAAATCAGAACTGGACGCATTCACGAGGTCCCTATGGATGTTTTTTCCACGAAATTAACGCGCCGGCACCTCACAGCTTCCACATTGACACAGTGATGTCGATGACTTAATTCTTGAGTCATTGGGGCTTGCATAGGGTCTCATAGGTGTGCAATGAAATCAACCAAAACTATGAATAACTCATAGACTTTCTTCAAATCTTGTGATCCGAAGTCATCGCCAGCCAATGGGAATCCACTGATCTGGCTAAGACCTGCGACTGGTCAAATGTCGACATAATTAATAAGATCCTCTATTCGAAATCAGTTCTCAGCGCGCTCAGTAGATCGAGATCCAAGCTCTGACTAGAAGGTAAGTTACTAACAACCTCATAGCCGATAACGACAAGTGGTTCTACGACTTGAGTGACTTTGTAGGTTTGGATTTTAATTTTATTGTTCTGCTTGCGATCATCATTATCCAAGAGAATCAATTGTAAAAACGTGTTTTAAATGTTTGTTTGAAGATCATAAAGTGTTCTTAACATGATCTGTTGACGTTAGTACCGTAAGATACTTTTTGAACACTCAGGAATATCTTTCACGATTTCTTCATAATTCGTGTTGACTCTTTTAAATCTCTTCTCTTTTTCAGTTGCAGAAATGGCCCGTCTTGTTGTTCTCCTTTTAGCTGCCGTCGTGTGCGTCAGCGCCAAATCTTTTAAAGGTGCGTACTACCGAATTCGCTTTACTTCTTTACGTAATAATCAAAGTAGAATTTCTTCTTGATTATCATGCTAATCGCGAAGGATTGAGGAAATCCGGAGCGAACTTGTCCTCTAGGGTTTCGCTAAGGTCAGAGGAAATCAGTTAATATTTCATGCTTGTGTTGTCACGGTTTCAAATCACAATTGATAGGGATATTGGACAGTTTATCGCTTCTTTAGAGCGAAAAAAATCCTTTAAACAGAATTTCTCCATTTAGTTTACTTTCTTAAAAAGTTTCCATGTACTGCTATCTACACGACACAAGACAGTAAGCTGAACAATTCAAAACAAATTGTGTGATGTCGCAGTACCTGTGTTGAATAACCACGTGATTATAAGTAAAATTGTAACGACCTTCGCCTTTACTATTCCTAGTACCTCTTGCTGCATGTAAAGGTTTTGAGACTTTTCTGTAAAGTTAAGATGACAGTGGTGACAAAGTTAGAAAATGATTATAGACACGGCTTTTGTAGAATTTCTCATGGGTTGGAGTAGTCTCCGGGGAAAATCATTCAAAATTAATATCATGAGTTGTTTAAAAATTACTCATATTTGTTCTTACACTAATACGGAATTTAACAGAAGTGTAAAGTTATACCACATGAATTCGTCGATGAAGTGACCCAAAGTATAACGTTGTATCTCAACAGAAAAGAGAGGCGCCATCCCATGTGGATACCAATGCACCGCCCCAATGTGTGCACCAACCTGCCCAACTTACTGCTGTGCCCCACCACCACCACCCCCTCCCCCACCACAGCAGATTCACCACACCACCCACATCCACCATCACCACGTTCACCATATGGGACCTCAGGCTCCAGCTATGCCTGCTGCTCCTCAGCCAGCACCTCCACCAGCCACCGTTCAGAGCCAGCAACACGTATGGGAATACATGCCACCACCACCACCTTGCCCATGTCCAGTCCCGGCTCCTCCCCCAATAGTCGTGCCTGCCCCACCATGCCCACCACCCTGCACACCACAATGCTGCGCCCCCGCCCCAGTCTGTCCACCAGCCTGTCCACCCATGTGCTGCAAGAAGCGATCGTCATAAGTTATCAGCCGTGTACATACAGGGACAGTGACTGCGAACCAGATGTTGTGATATATAGGGTTGTTTTATGGTGTATCTTTATGGCGTCGGCGGTGAACTCTGCTTCGCCAAGAAAACGACCGAATGGAAACTCTTTACGTTGACGTAATAATAACATCTATGTACGGACGTTTTGTAGAATATTTTGCGTTCTAGTGACAAATTTGTGTGCTCCTTTATGAAGCTTAAAGTTCCCGTCAGAATTCAAATAACTTAATAAAATGTTGTTAATGAGAAACATATTGAGTGGTTTATTGTACTTTTCTACAATACAGTTAAGAATTTTTCGCTCAGTTGCACTTCCTGCGCTCATGAAACGCCTCCTATGTTATTCACTTTACTTGGTAGGTTTCTGCCAAGTGAATAGGTATGTCAACATACCTGCTGCAGGACCGAATAAATAAACAAAGAAGAAAAAAGACAAAACAATCACGACAAACAAACAAACAAACAAACAAAAAATACAACAGCAAAAATCACTAAACTAAAATGGAATGACCGGATTGAAAGTGAAAATATTGCGCCACGCGGAATCTCGAGAAGATGAACAAAGTTTTTCCAGTAATTCCTGGAAAAGAATGAAAAAACAAAACTCTTTTAGACCGATAAATGTTCTAAATTAAAAGACGCGTTGAACACTCCTCACTCTCAAGTTCAATTTGTTTCTTTGCTTTCTGTTTGTTTTAGTACCTTTCATAAAAGTAGAGAAAATATTGGTAATTTACCATAAACGTATGTCAAGATGAACTCGTAGAAAAACGTAGATAACCGCATAGTTACTCAAAGAAAATGGTGTATACAGGAGCCATTTAGACATGACTGGGTTTAGAAACGCTATTATTTTATGAATTACGTTTTTAAACATTCCTTAGGCACTTCATTTTAAGAAAGAAAAGGACAGTGCAGAAACGCCAAGTTTCCTTGCAGCCTATTCCTGGAAAATGACTCGAAAGAGGACATTTGTCTTCTTGTATTGTCGGACACATCTTTCATATTTTTGCTTTGCTGGCAATCATAAAAAGTTTTCCTCGCCTTTAAGTTGCTTTAGATGCATCAGTACCCTTAATGTTGATTTTATTTAGTAAGTGAGTTTGAATCTTCTGCAATTGAATAGCAGATATTTCATGATCAGTCTATAACAGGTCAAGAAGTCAAATGATAAACAACAAGCGGTCAATTAAAAAAACAATTGTCTGTGACAGTAACATAAAACGGTTAAAGCTATGGTTTGGAAATTGCATGGAACGACCTTTACGGATTATTGCACCAAACAATTTTTCAACGGTGACTCCAAAGCAAAGGTTTTTATATTCCTTCATGGTCCATAAAATTTGGTATACATATAGATTCATAGCTTACAGGTTGTTTTCATCGTCTCAATGAAAACACCATGAAAGTGTTGAAAAACTGTTATGAAAGACTTGGATATAGGATTGTTTGCATAGAACCAGCCTCTTAGAGACAGACCACCGGTAAGTCGTGAATGATTAATGGCCAGCGGTGTAAACGGGCGCCTCGTGTCATAGACCATTGCTGTTCGATTACGTCGTTAGTTTGGATCGTTTGGTCATGCATGAATAACCATTCACAAGCCAATCAAAAGCTTTAACCCCGAACGGGTAGTGCAAACGATTAGCGCATCCTAACGTCTCCCATTTAAAGCAAAGAAGCAATTTCTTGATTGTGTTGCCCGAGGAATCAGGGATTTTAGGTTTTCCTGAGAAAAAGGTAGGCGTCTTTGTCTCAGATTTTACATAATTGCCATAGTGATAATCAAAAAAGACATTTAACTCAAAACTTGTTTCTCATATAACATTGTAATATAGCAATATAACTACAGTTTTTTTCTGTTTCTGTTACTCAACCACTCGAATTGTACGAATTGCATTATCTCGTAAGTTGTGTTTATTTTATCAACTTGAGGCCCCGTCACTGTGTGTCTTAAATGTTATCGATTATAATAATCTGAAATGTAAATCTAAACCTAATTACTACTTTATTTGTAGCTGAATGTCCGAGGGTAAATATTTTAACCTCCCCGTTTGGTAGAATAGTTACGAGAATGTATTTATTAAGAAAGTTCAGCAATGTTTTAAGATTAATTGTATATCTGTGTTGGTGTAGTTTCGTCGAATATTTGACAATCGTTACGGCGATAACGGCGATTCGGAAAGATCTCTGAACGAGAAACCATTACGAGGAGAAAATAATTTAATCTACTTGGAAAGTAGGGAAAGAACCTTAGCAAAGCTTGGAATGTACTTGCTATAATTTGTTTCTTCTTTTTATCAGGCAACATGGACAAGCGAATCTTTCTTTTGCTTATTGTGCTGGTCGCCTTCTCTGTTGAAGCAAAAAAGAAAATCCTCAAAAAGAAGCTAAATCAGCTCAAAGGTAAAAATTTAGCTATTCAAAGTTCATCGTGTCTGATATTTATTAACTGAAATAACTGAGACGAAAGAGTTGTTATTGAGCGTTTTAGCCACAATTGTTCACAAAAAACCACTTTACTGAACTTAGTGGGGAGAGTGCTTTTGACTAACTGTGATTTTGTTTAGCTGTTTTTACAGTTTTTAATAAGGAAAGACGGACCATTTTTAAACTCAAAGCGAAAAAACATTTGTATCAAAATATGTGCGTTTGAATGCAAACAAATAACACAATGCCAATAAGTCATAACACAGGAAGACAGATTCGAAAGCTGAAAAACGCCTTTTCTTAAAAGCTTGTTGGCTTGGTTATAAACATTTGAAATTATTGATTGAAAAGAATCAATAGTCTTAACAGAACGATGTTAATTTTATTTTTGAGAAATTAAGCGAATAATCAAATGAATGAGACTACCTACGGAATCATCAACAGGTTACAATCTCGTCACTTGACAAGGTAGAGCAAACCACCAGTTAACAGACGAAAGCATTCGAACCGATGAGAATAACCGATTTTTAAAAAAAAAAAGAATAAAATTTTACTTCCTTGACAACCTTCGGCGATTTGAAATCAGCAAAAGTGTGATTTATTAAACCTCTGTGTTGAATGAAGAAAACAAACACAGAAAAGATTCGAAATTGCACAAAAAGCAAACTAAACAAATGCAAGGCAACAACAGAGATGAAGATTTCGTCCTCTCAATCTTCATACGCTTGAACATCGACGCTTGAAGATTTTAACGCCATGACTAGTTTCATAAGGAGCGGAAAATTTGCTTTTTTTGGCCATTCAGTCAAAATTCAGAAACTACCTGGTCAGGGCAATTATCCTGCTTGTACCACTGGTCACATGTCTTTGCGCGCTCGTCCTCTTGACACAGATCTTGAATTTGTCGATGATGACATGTCGCTCTCTTGTTCTCTGTCGACCAGTGCAACTATTTAGACTTTTCAGTAAGCAAAGACATTCAAGATCAGTTTTCAATCTTGCAGCCGTAGAGTTAAACTGCAGGAACTACAAAAAAAATAGGTTGCGAAAGGCTTAATTTTACTCCCTCCCTTTTATTGGTGACTTCCAATATTGTGACAGAAATCGATCATTGTTTTAGGAAAAATAAACGAAGATTGAAAATTCTGAGCGAAGGGTAAATCAAAAGACGTGTTTTCTTCTTTTAACAAACAAACAGACGTCCCTCTGCTGGCCAAGAAGTTTTTCTTTTTCTAATCACTTCCTCTTTGGGTTCATTTTCTATTGATTAAATCAAAAGTATATATAAGAAAGCTGTTACTTAATATTTTTGTCTAAGTTTAGAACAGCGTTTTGTTAGTCATTAGAGTATCTTAATTGAAGGATTATTCATAAAACCGATTAGGTTAGATTAGTTACAATTAATTGTCTCCCTTTTCTATCGTCTCTTAGGTGCAAAGAAATGCGGATACGGATGTCCATCAAGCTGCCCTTGTCAGCCAACCTGCTGCCCACCACCTCCACCTCCCCCGCCGCCACCTCCAATATGCTGCCCACCTCCCCCTCCACCTCCTCCTCCACCAGTAGCAACAAGTAGTCAGTCAACCCTTTACCACCATCACTTCCACCCAGGACCACCTCCCCCTCCTCCTCCCCCACCAGCTCCATGCCCACCACCATGTCACTTTGGACACACCGTGCACCACCACGTGTATCACGCCAGCCCACCAGGTCCCCCTCCAGCACCCATGCCCTCTCCTCCACCCTTCTCCACTGAATCACACGCTCATGTTTTCGTCCACCACTCACATCCTGGACCTCCACCACCTCCACCACCTCCACCTGCTCCATGTCCACCCCCATGCCACACTGTCCAGACAGTCCACGTACAACAACACCACTTCCCACCACCACCATGCCCACCACCCTGTCCTCCCCCATGCCCTCCACCCTGCCCCCCTCCCCCTCCACCCTGCCCACCCCCATGTCCTCCAACTTGCACCCCACCTTGCAGTGCCTGCTGCAAGAAGGGAAAAGTAGACAAGAAGGGCAAGAAGAACGATGAAGAAAAGAAAGACAAAGAGTAGATATAAAGATTGAAAGATGGCTGCTCATTCAACGCTGCAATGACTTTGTTTCAAGATGAATTGCGGATAAGCACCCATTGGTTGGGTTTTCGATCGTTGGGGCGGTGTAACTGTGTTGAAAACATGTTTTTAAGCTATAGTTAGTGGACTAACTGGCGTCAATCTGAAAAGAGTTCGAATTCAGGATAAATGTCTTTGTAAATAAGGATTACTCCAATGTGATGAAATGGAACTTGACTATATGTCTTAGTTGGATTCGAGCTCTTGGGATCGTTTTGTTGTCAGAGCAGCTGTTAGAAAACAGCTTAGTCTTATATACAACTGATGTTATGTTGTCAATTAAATTATGTTGAAACAAAGGACTTCGTCTGAGGCATTTTCATTTGAGAATTCCTTCTCATGGAGAACAACCTATTCTCACTATCAATCCCCTTTATGACAATTAATTTCTTTTGTAGTACTATTGACTTTCAATTTTTCAGCCTTTTGCAAAGATAAGCAAGCCTTTTCTATTTCTGTTTCTCTTAGGACAAAATAGGACATTTTAAATCAATTGCTGAGTATCTATGTAAATTCATCCGAAGAAAAGAGACTTTAATTTTTATAGAAGGAAAGAGTTCAAATCCTGTAGCATTGACTTGCCAATACTACGATACTAATATCGTATTAATTAATTAACGTTATGGCGGCGATGTAACGTTGAGTGAAAACGATTTATAGGACAAATGGATAAACACTTCAATTTAATGGGATAACAAACCGTTCGAGGCGAGAGAAAGTTCAAAAAGAGCTTAATAACCTGCTCATGGAAAAATTAAAATAATTACAGCCTTCTGCACCCCAAGATTGACTGGAGATGCAAAACCATGCACTAGCCGGGAATCGAACCCGGGTCTCCCGCGTGGCAGGCGAGAATTCTACCACTGAACCACCAGTGCTTCAGTTGCATACTGAAATAAAGACTTCGTGAGTGCTGCTTAACATGGTAGAAAATCACTTGTTTGGCATTAATGCATAAGTCTGTGGTACGGCAGATCGATATGTCAATGGTTTTATCCTAGTTTCCTCATTTACATATTTTTACTCTTTTCAATTTCGTGAGTACCTTTTTTTTCCTTTACTTTCTTTGGGGCTAAAATTAGGGAGCGGAGGCCCTGCTAACAAAACGTTAGCAACATGTACGCGTCGGGCCTGACACTCGACATCTGTCATCGTTGGTTGATGTGATCATTCGCAAGGATATGCACAGCAGCAAAGAATGATCAGCGGAATCAGTTGTACTTTAGGAAGCAAGGTGCACCAGCCGAGTTTTGCAGGACTGATGTTGAAGCCCAAGGTTAGCGAGGACAAGGCTGTGGTGGCTGGCCGTTTTCATTAAAAGAGTGTTACAGGGTACGGAAGCTGTAGTTTGGGACATGGAAAACGGAAGATCAGGACAGGAGATGGGGGCATAGCTCAGTGGTAGAGCATTCGACTGCAGATCGAGAGGTCACCGGTTCAATCCCGGTTGCCCCCTCATTTTATTATTCATGATCATCATCACATTTTCACTTTTTTAAAGCATATCTTATTCATGAAACGAGGTCTTGTTTGTAAGATTTGAATTTTTCGGGAGAATGCGCCTTACCTGAGTAAATTAAAATGAGTGTCGATAAACATTACTAAAGATGGTCGCTCATGACACTATGGTGACAGAAAAGTTTTGGTATTTGAGGAAAATTATATGCTTGAAGTTAGATTCACGGCTTTTTGACAGATCCAGAGCGAGGAGAATTTACGTCAGGATAAATGTTTAGGACCGTTTCAAAAGAATGATATTCAATGCTTTTGAAACAAAAATCTTAACAATTTTTATTAACCACCCTATTTAGCACAAAGAGACATGCCTAGTTCAGTTTAATTGAATTGATATGATGAGCAGCCCAAAAATGAGCACCTTTTGTGGCATAAACAAAAAAGACTGTGGTCCATTATTTACAGCAGAAAAGGAAACGAAGAATGGATATCTTCGACTTTTCCTTCGATTACCCCTATGCCTAGGGCGTCGCCATTAGCGCGTAGTTGTCCAGTCGGTGTATGGTTGACTCGAAAGCCAGAGTACTTTAGTTCTCAGCATTACGCTTCCTTTTGTCGCAACATTCAGGTTTACATTTTGGTGCGCATGATCGGGCACAGGGCGCGGGGCAAACTGTCTGTGGAGGAGGCATCATCATCATGGGTTGTTGAGGGGGCATCATCATTGGAGGAGGTTGCATTGGAGGTGGCTGCATGTTCATTGGAGGATAAGGTGGCATCATCATTGGTTGAGGAGGTGGTCCCTGGCAGCAGGTGGGAGCACAGGATGGCTGGCATTGCTGCATGGGAGGCATCGGTGGCATTGGTGGTGGAAGGGGCGGGAGTGGTTGAGGGTTGCAGCACCTCTGTGAACAGGCTGGATAGCAAGCCTTAGGGCAACCTGGAGGGCAAGGTGGTGGTGGCTGAACTGGAGGAGGAGGAGGTGCTACCATAGGAGGAGGAGGGCCCATAACCATTGGTGGTGGTTGAGGGGGCATCATTGGTGGAGGTGCACAACAGCCTGCCTGCTGGCACTGATCAGGACAAGGAGTAGACTGAATTGGAGACACTTGAGGCATTCCGCCCCCTGGGTTGATAGTTGTCGTCCATTTCAAACAAACGGGAGGACACTGAGGAGGAGGAGCCGGCATTGGCATTGGCATTGGTGGGGGAGGCGGTGGTGGTGGTGGAGGTGGCGGTGGTGGAATTGGCATACAACATGATGGCTGACACAGAGGAGCACAGGATGGAGCGCATGACGCCCCACATGGACTCCCTAAAAAGAAAGAGAGATGATATATTAACGATAAAGAGCCCAATGATGAGTTGAATATATTTACTTCAGTAAATAGATATCATGGTTTCGTATCCTATTGACTTGTGGAGAAGTTTCCCAAGCTAATTGATCGAAGTTATATTCATTATAATTCTATACTTACTCTTTGCCCTCAATTCCGCAAGCTTGCTCTGAACTGAAAGTAAAAAATACATGGTAAGAAACTTGAATAAACTTTTGGTAAGATCTCCGTCGTCTTACATGGCATATGTTACTTAAAATTCTGAGTGAGAAAAACAAGCAGTTTTTTCTAACTTTGTGCTAATTGTCGTATGTGGAGAGATTTGACGTTTCATTCTTATCCACATGCTCGTGCATTTCGGCATAAGTTTCTATAAGTGTCAGTCAAGAAAACAGGGGATCATTATTTCCAGGAAATGCATGGGGTGTTCCTATTCATTGCCAGTTAATAATAGGAAAAAAACTATCAGTTATGCCAATTGTAGCATAACAGTTGGATGAAAGAAGCACATTGAAGTCGTAGAACTGAAATCACGTATTAGCAAAAAGTTATGAACGATACAGACAGGAGTGGTTCTTTCTTCTTCTTTTGTCTAAAGAAGTTTTGGTGCCATATTGAAGCTGTACGCTGTAATGCAACGCATGACCGGAAGTGCACGAAATTCATAGGACTTTTCAACCGAAAAAAATTCGTTTCCTGCCGGTATAGACATCGCGGAACAAAATAATACGGTTTAGCCAGCTTGTTGCCAGTTAACTTATTCTAGATCACGAAAAAAAAAACAGGTTTCTCCATTTCTTCTTTCGGTTGTGACAGGTTTTCCGCACTGGTGGCTAATAAAATTGATCAAGCGAAAAATTGTCTTCGCTTGTACTTGGAGTTCAGAAGTTAAAAACATTACTTTGAATAATATTTTTTAGTTCCTGTGTGATAGATTCGAGAGTTTATCATTGGGGAAACTCCTACAGATGAAATATGTTTAACAAGTAAACTGACAGGCGACGACTTATAACTTTAACAAGCCGTGGAACCTTTGTAAATCATATTTATTCTAACTGCGAGTGACCTCAGTGATGTCGTTTAGCCAGTTCTTGGAAATTCGAACAGCACACGAGTTTTGGTCATAGATGAGGGGAATAATACGAAAACTTTACTTTTTGTGGTTGATTAGAGTAGGAAGCAGAGAATGGGTTGTTATTAAACTTATCAAGCTAATTTACAAAATAGAATTATTTCAAAAGTTCCCTTGTACCATACTTACTAACTGAACTCTCCACATGAAGTACCACGACCAAAACAATCGATGCGACTATCGCTATCCGGGTCTTCATTTTCTAATATATCTAAAGCAACAAAAAGGAGGAAAATTCAAGTATTACATTACCATGTTAGAATAAAATATAGAATTTTAATTTGTGAATCAAAATATTAAATCAGCGTGACAATTTGACAGACTCTCTTGACTAAGAAATTATTGACCATGTGAAACGAGCCGTGGTTAGTGAAATCAATGCGAGAACAAACCAACTTTTTCTTCGGAGATTAGTTATCGTTTGACTTTTTATTTACAATAACCCTCTCTAGGACAAAAAAATACCTGATATATGGAATTTCCTTTCCAACATAGAGAGTTGTTTTCTTTAAACTAAGATTATAATCTTGAATACTTTTTTTAATCAACTAAGAACTGAAGATAAATGCCATGTATCAACTCTTACCTGGAGATGCTGTCGGTGACTTTCTTCTTTCAGAACTTCTCCGCTAAATTAGATCTTTGTTTGCAGAGGCAAAGACTACCGGTTGTTCTAAGCGGTGCTTATTAATTTATTAAACAACACCTCAGCTCACAAATGTCGTGGAATTCCATTTCTGTCGCATAATCACGGCAAAGTGTAAAACCGTCCTCCTAACCGTCAACAGAATTGGATCAGCAGAAAAATAATTTCTTGTTAGTCAAGTCATCCTCCACGGATATTTCGCGGGATGCAGATAAATTTGTAACAGATCTTTCTCGCTTCAAATAATTGTAAGGATCTCTACGAGTGATAAATATTTCAGATGTCGTGAGTAAAACAACCCGGCGATTTTTCTTCAGGATTAGAGACTTTGACCACACGTAGAACAGCAAACAAATCTACGGGTGCTAAGAAAGAGCATTGTTGTTGATTGGTTAAAAATGCTCCCTAGAAAAACATTTTTGGGAGATTGAGAAAAATAT